ATGACGTCATCACGATGACGTCACTGATGACGGCATCAGTGATGATGAGGATGATAATGACGCTATATTCCCCGCTAAATTTATCGGGAAAAAATTACCTCGCTAAATCTAGCGGAAATTTTTTTCCGCTAGATTTAGCGGGAAAAGTTTCCCCGCAAAATCTATTGGAAAAAATTCCCCGCTAAAGTTAGGGGAAAAAATTGCCCCGCTAAATTCCTGCCAAATTTACACGCGATGCTCCCACCAAAGATCTGCATTTTCTGCGGCTTGCGTTAAGCCAATGGTTAAGCACACGTCGATCCACACCACCATGTTAGTAGTGGGGGACTTTCCACCGCCTCCCAGGGTGACCACCCGTCCCGCGACTCGCGGGACTGTCCCGCATTAAGGGCTCGTGTCCCGCGTCCCGCGAGAAATCCCCAATCTCCAAAATGTCCCGCATTTCATACTGTCGTAAAATTCACTCTGCAACTCATGGTGCTGTCGAACAACCCCTTCCGAAAATGGCAGATCTGGAATACTAGACGCAGGGAAGCGCGGAAGTCGCTGGTACTCGGGTGAATCACCAATGGTATGCCATTTTCCATACAAGCATTGCGGGAAGCGGCCGTCGTTCTTGCAGGAGAACCGATGCGCATGCTCCGTTGTGCCTCTCCACTTGGTGGCAAAATATTGTAAGAAAAACTGCTCGCAAAAAGTTTGAATATAAAATATTGTAATTATATTCAAATCACTGTGTCATTAAATTCAAATCACTGTGTCAATGTAGAAGCTAGAGTTGCTGTATTTTTTTTTTAGTGAAGACAGCTACACAAGGCAACAAGCCTGCAACTCAGAACGGTCGAAAAAAAAAGTCATGTTAAAATGTGTAGGATCATGTTGATAAATGTAAACGTTGACAGGAAACAATAACCCGAAAAAAAGTTAGTTTTTTTTTTTTTTTATTTCCATTTGTTGCACTGAGTTCTGCTACAATCGATTTTTGTTTTCAACCTCAAAACATATAATAACACATTTGGCATAAAAATATATCACTGGGAGTGAAAATTATTTGAGCTTAATTGCTGCAATACACTTAGCAGGTGTACAAACAGCACAGGATATTAAATGTGTTAACAGGGCCTTGGTTTGTGGTGTGCGTGTTCATCGCTAAATTTAGCGGGGAATTGAATTGGTGTTGAGGTCACGTGTAGTCATTTTCCCGCTAAATCTAGCAGACAAACTGAATTTGTTCATAGGTGACGTGACACGATGTCATGCGACGTCATTTTTCTCGCGAAATTTAGAGGGGAAACGGAAATGGTGTTGAGGTCACGTGGCGTTAATTTTTCAGCTAAATTTAGCGGGGAAAGTGTGGGAAGAGGGGAGGGTATGGTGGAGGAGGAGGATTATGCAGGAAGAGGGGAGGGATTGACGGAGGAAGAGGAGGAGGGGCGTACCCTTCCCTCCTCCTCCTCAAAAGCTGCGCTCCAATTTGGTATTACAGAGATCTGTAAACGTCTTTCATTTTATCTTTTTTTTTTTTTTTTTTTTTTTGAAGATATTAGTGATTGTACTTTGACTTTCGTTTCTTCGCACGTACTTAACTTTTTTTTTTATTATTGCGGTGTGAATTTGGTTTTATACATAGTCGGTCGTTTCCACAGTTGGATTCCTCAGTGAGCTTTTTTTTATTGTGTTTTCGCTAACGAGTCTCTGTTTGTCCGCATTGATGAGAAACGGAGAGAACCGAAACGAGTCAAGTAAAGGAGACTCAACTTTCCTGCTGTACATCCTTTTTTTTCAGCTTTTAGCGTGTACGTTTTATTCGCCATTCTGACACGTGTTCGTTCGCGGAACGCTGCTATCAGATAAACAGCGATAGGCCGAGCATGGCCAAGAAGGAACGGAGTAACATTCAAGTGTACCAGTTTATGACCAGATGCCAACACCGAAACAAGAAAGAAATTAGGAGCAGGACGCGCGCTCAAAGTGGCAACAAGAAGGCGAGGTCAACAAACGGGACCGTGTTTCTGCGGTGCTTCGCTACAGATTACGATTTTATGAAGGCCATATCCCGCCAAAGAGACGAACCTCGTTCCTTCGCTCAACCCTTGGTCGTGGAGGAATCGGCCCATTTTGATTATGCGTCGACGGTGAGGACTATTTAGTGCTATCGGATTTTGTCACGCTCATTGTCCTTCAGGTCTGAACATATTAGGAAGTCTTAGGGAACCGTTTTTGCACATCGGATATACGCTACGGTGGGCCGTCCGGTACGAACAGTGCACGTGAGAGACTTTTGCGATAGCGCATGCGCAGTTCATACCGTAGGGTACGATCTGCGCATGCCATTCACCGTCATTCATAGCAGCGATTGCCTTTCCTAAGTCCTTTATTCGCGAGAAAGTGGCTCTCCAGGGTTGTTTAAAGTTCGTGCGACCAACTGCGTTAGCCGTGTTGGATAAATCCCCTCCCCCTCCCTCTCTCTCTCTCGCTTTTTACAGTGTCACGTGGTAGAGACCGCTGAGGAAAGGAACGCACAGGACTTTCCCATAATTCGTTGAGCGCTCTGCGTGGCCTTTTGGGATTTCTTCGAAAGCTCCATTGACGCCGAAAGGATCGGCGACGTGCCCGACCAAAAGCGTTGCTGTGTCTGGTCAGCATTCGCGATTGGCCAAATGCTCGCTATGACGTATTGATTTGTATTCATTTTGCTTTCGTCGACGGAAATAGGGACAATGCCAGACCGTGAAGTTTCGCGGTGTTTGTCTGATAACGCGATGACTCCAACCTTCCATCGTGTATTTACACGCACCGTCGAACTTGTAGTTGGCAATGGATGATAAGTAGCCAGGATGGCACCTCGTGATGTCCTGGCGAAGGAAGTCCTGATCGTAATGTCAAAAACGAAAACCATAAAAAAAAAAAAAAATACGGAAGTGTCGTCGGTGTCGTTAATGAAACTTTTTTTTCTTCTGATGTTCAAGGCGCTCTGAGTTTTTACTTTGAGTTTATCTAAAATTTGCATAAGCTTGGCTTTGTTTTTAGTGTGTTTTAATTGTTGTAATATGTACTTACTTCGACACCCACACAAAGAGGTCTGTTTTGTGGTCACTTCGAAGGCTATGGTCCCATGATGTGTGGGTGCTGACGAGTGCGACTCGTGAGTTTACGATCTTTATTGTGGGTGAAAGCTTCCACTTGCGTAAACAACTCTCCAAAGTGCATGACTTTCGGTAGCATATTCTACAGCTGACATCTGGGTGTCTTTGGACAGATTTGAACCGGTTACTAACAGGTCACTAAGTTACCATTCAACCATCTTTGTAGCAAACACAAAAAAAATATTTATTTTTTATTATATCTTTTTCTTTAAATATAAAGGATATAGTGCAGTGGAGAAGTCGAGATGTAAGCGATACTCGTTCATGTTTAAACAGAGCTGTAAAGTTTGAATGTTTTGTTTTATGTAACCAATACTCTTCGCTGCAGTTGGCCCTGCTGATGGCAGGTACGATAATGACTTATTTGGCAAACTTTGCACGACCACTTTTATCGCACGGTTTCACAGTTGAATGGTTCCCATCCCACTACTAGCGTAGTTAAACAACTACATCCTCGCTTTGTCCGCGTTGAGCACTGGGACCCGGAGCACACCCTGCAGTCCAGATTCCCGTACTCGAGTGCTCGAAGGGAAGCCTGCCAAGCCTCGAATTACTCAATTCAAGCTCCTTGGAATTACTGGACGTTTAATTGGTGAAATAATAAATCCAATCCATAGCCACATGAGCTCGAAGTCAACGAGCGTCGTTCCCCTTGTTTCTAAGTGGTTCCCAACGTTGTTGGTCGTTCCAAAAGAAAGCTAAGCTGTCTAGAATATAACTTACATTAGTTATTCAATACATATTTGTGGTTCAAAGAAAGTAGTAACTGAGAAATAAAAAAAATATATATATATACATATTGCTAAACACACCACCTAGGGTGACCACCTTCCTGCTAACGAAGGTGGTCACCCTAGGTGGTGTCCACCTTTGCGGGACGAAAGGGAAAGGGAGGGGGGGGGGGGGGGGGGTAATGAAGGAAATTTATCAACACGCACACAACAATCCGAAACTCTGTTAGCACATTTATTATACTGTACTGTTTTTACACCTGCTAATTGTAGTGCAGCAATTAAGCTAAAATAATTTCCATTCCCTGTTATGTATATTTTGAATGCCCAACATATTAAATGTGTCGAAGTTGAAAACATAAATATCGACTGTAGCAGAACTCAATGCATCAAATGGAAATAAGAAACAGTAAATCTTTTTCTGGGTTATTGTTTCCTCTCAACGCTTACTTTTAGCAACATGGTCCTTCACGAAATTTTAACATGATGTTCTTTTCCGACCTGTGCAACTGTAACTGTCTTCACAAAAAGAAAAAAAAAGAAAACAAATCGGCAGCAATCCTTTTGCATTGACATAGCAATCTGAAAATAATTACAATATTTTATATTTAAACTTTTGGCGAGCCATTTTTCTTACAATATTTTGCGCACGCGAACGCGCACAACGGCGCGCGCACAACGGCGCATGCGCGCCTGTTCTCCTGCAAAAAAGACGGTCACTTCCCGCAATGCTTGGATGGAAAATGGCGTACCATTTCGATTCACATGATTACCAGCGACCTCCGCGCTTCGCCCTGCCCCGTTGTTCAGCAGCACCATGAGTTGCGGAGTGAATTGTACGACAATGTGAAATGCGGGACATTTTGAAGATTTTAGAAGTTCTCGCGGGACGCTGGACACGAGCCCCCAACGCAGGACAGTTCCGCGAGTCACGGGACGGGTGGTCACCCTAACACCAACACGTTTTCCGTTGTCGTTGTCGTTTTGTTTTGTTTTCCTTTGCGTGCCGAGATGACGTTTGAAAACACGCTCCCGGATTCGATAGGTCGGCGTTCGGACGCAGCGCCGCGCTCGCGGGAGGTGCACAAACCACATCGCGATGTTTGTTATTTCCCCCACCCAGGCTTCCCGATGGAGATCTTCGCCATCTTGGACGGCGTCGTACTTCCGTACATACTGGACCCGAACTTCGAGAAGTACCTCCCGGTGATCCCGTCCGAGGTGAACTCGGTCAACTTCACCTGGAAGGCCGGTGAGAACAAGGTACCGCAAGCACGACCGCATGGCCTCGGGGTCGAACAACTGCCATGCGTTATTTAAAGTTTCTTGAGCTACCCAACATGTGTTCGGCGTGCCCAGACTTTTCTCTTTCCGGCATGTCATTCATTATTTTTTTTAGTTTAAAAATTTCTTTTGAGAAAACGGCAAATAGGTAAAGGTGATGTCAAAAACTGGCATCCAGATTTTCCCGCGCTCTCCAGTGGAGTGACGTCACATGTTATATAACCGAACAAAATGTGACGGCACAAGTGAGCTGGTGTAAGCAGAGAGGTGTAAGCTCAGCACTGTGAAATTGCCCGAAACTGCGGTGACGACAGAAAGATCGACAAGAAGAGGTCTTAATGTTACATTGTTGCGAGTCGAACAGGCAGTCTTAAAGACACTGTGTTTTGCGATTTTTTTTTTCTAGCGTAAGGTTATTGTGTTTTTTTTTTGTTTTTTTTTTTTTTGCATTTATTTCACATTATTAAATGTCTTGTAACCCGCCGGTAACAAGCTGGACTGCCCCCCCCCCCCCCCCCCTATTACATTTGACGTCACGTCTTAAGACAAAGTAATCAGAGTGCAGGCGAGCCCTGATACTGGGGTAGGATACTGGGGTTGAAAACGCAAAGGAAGACAGAAAGTACGGGCAACGTCTCAAACTTAGCTACAAAGTTTATTTCGTACACGCCTTATATACCACGTCTCCAAAGCTGTCACTAGTCACTGCAATCACCAGAAGCAACGAAACTCTACGACAGGAGAACATAATAGAACAAAACGGTAAAAAAAAAAAAAAGCACACAAACACACACACAGTTTTTAACAAAAACGGAGGTAAACCTTCTCTTATTTCCCCTGACCTCGGCAACGAAACATTTACACAAAGGGTCACAGTTCAGCACAACCAACACCCTGTCCTCCGCGAACGCAAAGGGTTCACAACTGAACACAAAGAAACGACCTTGCCATCCGAAAATCAAAAATGACTAAAACTGCGCTTGCTCTAACAAACCACACAGTTCAAAGATACACACATAGACACTGCAAACACTTCGCAACTAAGTGCTCGAATCCGCGACCTTGTAACCACCTACTACCATCCTTAAACAAAAGGAGAAAAAAGAAATACAAACGCAGAACTTGTTTACACCATGTTCATCCAGGCTCGGAGACCTTCCTTTTTCTTTTGAGTTTGCTTACGTCCCCATGAACGATGAGGTCGCAGTTAAGCCGATAACAGTGTGACCCCCGTTTCAGAACTACTACTACGATTTCGACGTCCTGGAGTCCTTCGACAGCTCCGTGCTCGCGAACCCGCTACTCTCCGTGGCCTCTAAGGGCAAGGTGCCCAGGAAACCGAAAGGTAGGTTGGCAACAAACCTCCTCCGCTTCACTCCGGGATGCTCGCTGTAAATTACGCTTATCATTCGGGGCCGCTTGTCAAATCTGCACAGATTCCTAAACAAGGAGGCAGCGATCGTTATCTTAATACCGCGCCGTTGCTGGAAACGTGCCCAACGGGTATCCGGTGCTAGAATAAATACCACATAGCTTCTTCGTGACGTCATCGCGCCATGCTGGTGGTCATTCATACTTGTTCTTGACGAGAAAAGCAAGCAGACCGATCTCGCTAGCCAGTTTGGCTATGCCACCGATGCCGCAATGCATCGAGGCAGTGACGTCACAAGGGTCAGCGGCACACGGGGCGGTAACCCGCCGCGACACCCCCCTGAGCACTGCAACCGGGGCGCCCACCCCCCCCCCCCCCCCCCCCCCCCCCCCCCCCTCCCCTTGTGACGCCACTGCATCGAGGGAACTTTAGTCTTTCTGCACGCGCGGCAACCCCGCTGGAGCTCTTCGCGTGCGGAGCACGAAACGGCACGAGCTCTCGCATGCACGGTCGTTTGCCTCCTGTGAACGAAAGTTATGGCGGCGTCGCGCTTGCGCCGAACGCTTACCGCTCATTCACACTGGAAGCGGATCTGCGTTCGCAAAGCGGTTGCGAACGCGGTTGTATAAAGATCCGGTACAATTGCATGCTCAATGTCATCGAGTGCGCGTGCAATTGTACTGGATCTTTATACAACCGCGTTTGCAACCGCTTTGCGAACGCGGATTCGCTTCCAGTGTGAATGAGCGGTTAGTGAGATCGGTCTATTCGGTAGCGCGAGATGCATACTGCACAAGGTGTTCAGCAGCACGTGGCGTATCCAAGAATTTGTTTCGAGGGGGGGGGGGGGGGGGGGGGGAGGGGAGGGGAGGGGGAGGGGAGGGGGAAAGGGGGTTGAGGATGGCTGGGATATTCATGACTTGGAGTGCGGAGGTCAAAATGCATGTGTAGATTATAAAATCAATTAGGTGTTTTTGTGTGTGTTTTTTTCTTGGGGGGGGGGGGGGGGCTGAAGTTTTATGTGTTTTTCCCCGTGCTACGCTACTGATGATAGCCGATCACCAAAGCAAGTAATGTACATTACAATCTCTTTGATACATTTTCACGGGAATCTAGAAATAAAACGTATTAGCCGAAAATTGTATTATCAAAAGCGTGCTCCAAAGGGCCGGGGTGAGAAACTTGTTCGGATCCCGGAGGCAGTGCAATATCGCGGATCCCTAAAAAATTACACTGCCTCCGGGATCAGTCTACTCTTTAATGTCGAGATCTTTTATTAAAATATTAAACTTCAAATTTTTTTTCCTTTTGTGGTCTTAGTTATGGTTTTCTAGCCGTGGCGACTGTGGCAGTTGCGATTTTTTAGAGCCGCGGCGGCTGGCCGTGAATACCGCGGCCGCGCAATGGGTTGTTCGTGGCTTCTTGCAACATGATTTGAGCTATACATATGATTTGAGCTCAGTGACTTGTAATGATATCTAGTAATACTACTTGAATAATATCATTTTATGTATATTTTATAGATCACTCTGAGTGCACTTGACATTTTTTCTCCTGGATAATTTTGAAGCCTGCTCATAAAAAGTTGGAGCGGTCATAAGGACAAAGTGGCTATGCCTATTTGAGTTAGATGTTTGGTTGTAGGATTTGTTTTGAGTGGTGTGCTCACTCCGTCTCGTGGGTTTTATCAAAGCGAAGGCCAATAGTTTATGACCGGATGAGAACAGCAGGGAGGTCTTTCAGTTGTCTCACCTTCAGCGTGAGCTTAACCTTCCCTATCAGTTCAGCATCTTATAAGCTTGGACAGCTAGGCATCCAATGTGAGGTGCTCTGCACCTGCTCTGCACTTGCCCTGCTGCTGACTATTCGTGGTGAGAGGCTCGCTAGAGGCGCTTCTGTTTTCCTTACTGTAAAGCCGTATATGCGGAGTTTGATTATTAATTGGTAAGAATAGGGCGAAAATAAGGGCACGTCATTGGCCGAAATTGTTTTAGTGACCTTGGGTGCGATGATTGACAGCTCTTGTAACCAACCACTACAGTCGGTGACAAGTCAAGAACGAAATGGAAGCTCCTCCCGCCTCTTTCCACTTCAGCAGAGCGAACCCTGGAGAGGAGGCGACCTCCTCTCCACCGTTTGCTCTACTGAAGTGGAAAGGGGTGGGAGGAGCTTCCACTTCATTCTTGACCAGTCACTGACTATAGCCATAAATATTCCCCTAAAGGAGGCAATGAGCTTAATAACTACCCTCCAATTACAATTTCTAGTTAAGGATTCAGCCTTTTAACTTACACCCCGAATGCACACCCCACATTTGCAGTTTCGCCTAATGTTTCAGGAAATTTTTCTCGTCAATGTCACCTTTCCTGGCTCAGTAAACACACTCGGCACCTTGAAACTCTTTTCCACAAATATCTTACAATTATACATTCATGTACTTTCAGCCTTATCCAAAAAATGGCCGCATCTCCACGTGGTGAATGATGTTGATTGGGGCGAAGCTCTGGTGGTGCTTGTCTGCGTAGACGCTGAGCTGCAGCATGCCGAGCCTTTCGTTCGTTTTCATCCATGTCAGAAAGAGGATGTGTGGTATGGAACGTGGTTACATACGCATTTGAGCATTTGACCGCAGCGCCCTCTCGTCGATAAACGTTGAGCCAATGCCATGCAAAGTTTAACGCGATTATATACGTATTTGACCGCAGCGCCCTCTTCTGTATAGACGCTAAGCGGCTACATGCAACGTTTCATCCATGACATCCCCAGCTCTTGAGTTACTACCACATCTCAGAGCCCCCTACTCGTCCCGCAGTCGTGGCCGAGTGGTTAAGGCGATGCCCTAGAAATCCATTGGGGTCTCCCCGCACAGATTCGAATCCTGTCAACTGCGCAAACATTTTTTTTTCCTACACGGGCACGTGAGCACGTGCTCGTGAGCACGTGAGCTCACGAGCGCGAGCACCAGCAAGAGCGATGTGAGCACGGACGCCGGACGGACAAGGCTAGGCTCTAAGGAGCTTCGCCCCTAAAACAAAAGATACCTGTGCTACACTACGCGAATCCTTCAAGGTCATCTTAGCGCATTCTTACTTCGCAAGTTCATCACGGGGGGAATATGCGGCGCTCACGAGCGCGAGCACCAGCAAGATCGATGTGAGCACGGACGCCGGACGGACAAGGCTAGGCTCTAAGGAGCTTCGCCCCTAAAACAAAAGATACCTGTGCTACACTACGCGAATCCTTCAAGGTCATCTTAGCGCATTCTTACTTCGCAAGTTCATCACGGGGGGAATATGCGGCGCTCACGAGCGCGAGCACCAGCAAGATCGATGTGAGCACGGACGCCGGACGGACAAGGCTAGGCTCTAAGGAGCTTCGCCCCTAAAACAAAAGATACCTGTGCTACACTACGCGAATCCTTCAAGGTCATCTTAGCGCATTCTTACTTCGCAAGTTCATCACGGGGGGAATATGCGGCGCTGGCGACAGCGACGCTTTCGCCGCTCCACCCCGGCTCCTGCCAGCTCCTCCCATTGACCAAACTCCCAATAGGGCGTTTTCACTGACGTAATTTCGTCCACCATTTTGTTGTTGTGAGCTGCCTGGCGTGTGCCAAACTCGAGCATTCCAAGGATTTGCATGCCCCTCAAATGCGTAGAGCACCTCTGACATCATCTCAACCGGTTTCGATGTAATCTTTCATAGTACTAAATTTGTTTGAAAAAACAAACCAACAACAAAATGGCGAATTGACGTCATGTGCAAACAACCTATAAACACTCAGATTTCGGTCAGGCACGCGAACCGTAGGCGAAATAAATTTCACGAGCGCAATGTAGACGAAATTTTGATTAAATGGCCGTCTCAGTACGGGTAGCAAACCTGCTACCCACGCAGTTGGGTTTTAATTTTCATAGTGCATATAGAAGCTTGGCATTGCACGTGCTTGTACCAGCAGAGGTTCCATTTTCAGTGTATGTGTGTATGGCGCATGATTCGCCCGCTTTCCGAAGCGACGAACGTGCCCGTGCTGGGCTGAGGACTCGTACATATGTAACGGTGTATAACTCCACCAGCCTTACTGAATACCACCTAAAAGACAAGGTCTGCGCCTCCTCTAACGTCATCGCTCGTGGATTCACGCAGCACTGCCTAGCTTGCGTCCGCGTCGCCGCGAGCGTGTACGCCTTGCAGCGTCGCACAACGAGCTTGATGCTAACACGCGGCTACACAAAAGACGCACGCGTCCGCCGCTTTGTCGCGTACTCTCACCGAGCCGCGAGCTTGAGCGTGTTTGCCACTTGGGGCGGGTCGGGGGTCCACAAACGATGACGTAACGAGCAGGCCTTGTCTTCTAGGTGGTATTGGACCGGCCTGGTGGACTACGAGCGGACTACGCGGACCGCTGAGCAGCTTGAGAAAACGAGCGTGTGGGGCTGCTGTGGCGTCGCGCGTCGCCGAGACCGTAAGCCCCCTCATGAATTGCATCATGTGAATTTCGCAGTAACGTGAATTAATGATCGGTTGAAAAAAAAAGAAGAGGAACTTGTGTTAGGGTTCTTGGGGTTAGGTTGGGAAGACCCTGGGAGCCACTGGAAGTAAGGCAATACTGGTTAATTAGCTGCCTAATTAACTAAAAACTTTCAATTAACTTTTTTCATTCTTTTGGGCATAATGTAGTTGGAGAATTGATGCCCACGTGAAAAAAAAATTATTAATAAATTCTAAGTGGACGCTGTGAGGCAAGAAATGTCAACCTTGTACACAGTTTCGAAATCTAAACTAACCAGTAAAGCGCGCCTAAAACGTCCATTTCATCCGCTCTAAATTTGCGTCGAGGCATCCTACTTGCGTCGCACTAATCACGCCACCTGCGGCACAGGCACGTGTGCTGCGGAGTTACGAGTGATTTTCTGAAAATATATATGGGAAAAATGGGGCGGGCTCCGTTCCTGATAGCAGACGCCATTCCGTTCCATGTACCCATGGTCTTCGCCACTGATCTCTAGTGGTCTTCGCCGTCGGCCGCCATTTTCCCATCGAAATTTTCAGAAAATCACCTATAACATTTTAGTTGGAATAACGGTTAGTTCTAAAACTTTGGCATCTGGTTCAGACCACTAGCTCTGCTTTTGTGTAAAGAAGCTGAGTTTTTAATTTTGGCGGTGCAAAAAACACTGTAAATGTTTTTGTTTGTTTTTTCTTCGAGGACACCCTGTACGATTCCAATCACCCCAGTGTTGGCGCCAACCTCCGCTTCACAGTGTTTCAGGTGTTCCTGCCATGCCTGGGCAACGTGAGCGGAACAGCATCCTTCGGCATCGGGCTCAGGATACAGAACGACAAGGGACGCTTCCTCAGCGGGACGCCGCTCCGCCTCAGGCTGCAGAAGCAGTGCGCAGACAACAGTAAGGCTTTTAGCGGATCAATGAATTAATGGATGAAACTTATTTTGGACAAACGTGTACGGGAGGTAGAGCAAGAAGGCGGCCAAACTACTTGACGTATTTTTCGAAGTGTTGACGGCAGGTTAGCCCCGTTGAACGCGCTTCTTACCGAGCACCGGTGCACTGCGGAGAAGCCACATTCGCGGAGCTCGGTTCCGCGGGTATTGCTTCTCCGCAATGCCCTTGTGCTCGCTGAGAAGCGCACTCAACAGGGCAAAAACGCCGCGCTCAACAATTCGAAAAGTACAAATACTACAGCCGCTTTCAAAACGTGAACACTTTCAAAACGTGAATGGGCACAGGCGCGCCTGGTTTATTAAAAAAGAAACAGAAACTTTATGAATGTTAATATCTACATTTGGAAAATTAAAATTTTCTAAATTAATCTGGCTACTATGCATGAGCGTATGTCAGGTAGGTATGCCATTACAACCCAAGTTCATTCGTGACTGAAAAAAATATATTTCCATATAGCAAGAATATTTATAAATCTTCTCAATAAGATATACAGCTAGGGATCTATATAGGTTTAATTTTATGTTGAATGCATTGTTTACTTGCCATCCAAATAGTCATTTGACTTTCTTGGACCACAGTCAAAAAATATACCATAAAGTACCAATCAAGTTCCCACTCAAAATTTGGAGACCATCGCAAGAATGTGGGGGATGGGCGCTTGTTAGGTCACAAATTTTATCTATATTTGTACTGCGCATATTTGTTCAGATGTTACAACATTTACGAATGGCCGCTTGGTGTGGAATGTGCGGAGGCTCCATATTTTACGGTAATTAGATTGAAATTAGTTTACAAATGAACAAGTGGAAGCTTGGGAACAACCTTCGCAAGTTCAGCTGGGTCAGTAGTGAAAGGCTTGGAGAAACTATTCGATGTTTGATTCGGGAATATTTGGCCCAAACCACAGTCCACTTTGATTTCACTTGAAACTCGAAATCCACTATTTGCACATGTTTAATTGTTTTTATGTACTCAACTGAAACAAGTGTTGATTGAAAACCATAAAGGGGTAGGGAAACGAAATTTCAGCACTCATTTTCTTGCTTGAATGTGTTGCATGTTGCATCCTAACCTCAAAAACACCAGTCTTCCGTTGAAAGGCACAAGAAAACTAATTTTAAAGTTATATAAACAATCTTTCAATGTGCACCTGGTGGATCCATGCGGAGCCTATTTGGGTGGTAATCTAGCAACGTTGTGGAATCTGCTACGTAGTCGTGACGTAGCAGATTCCTTCGGAGCAGCGCCGCCTTTTGGAATTTTAACATTTTCCTTCTTAGCTTTCCTTCTCAATTCACAAATCGCGCATTGTACCAAACGGTCCAAGAAGACGGAAAGAAAGGACTCCCCTCTTTCTGGGACCCTCGTTCGTGCAACCGGAAACAGCCATTCTCCCCCTAGAAGATTAGCCCGTCGCTCAAAACTCAAACAAAAGTTGCTTTCCCTACCCCGTTCAGCCCTAAGCTGGCAGTGTTGTGGAAGCTACGTGCTCCTTGGGCCAGCCACACGCTCGTCACCCCACGGGTACTTTGAACGGCTCGGTTGTAACGCGCTGACGCTATTGACACCACCACAACGCTGACAACGCCACCAAGGGCAAAGCTCATAACCACGCCTGCCTTGCTACTCCACGAACGCGGGAAATCTTTTCTTTCTATTTTTGTTTGCGCCGGATATCCCATGACGAATTGCGCTTTCCGTTCGCTTTTCTTTGAGAGCTTGCTCGAGTGCACCGTTTGGAACGAAAAATATCGCCAGTCGTTCAAAATACAAACGTGCGATTATCATTTACGGTTATTATCCGTCATGCTTGACTCATTTCTTAACGAAATTTGAATATTTAAATTTTTGTTTCCGTACCCCTTTAATACAGCCACCCTGTCTGCATGAATAATCGTGTGTCGCGTGTCGCATCTCTGAAAGAAACCCTGCCAAAGTTGTAGCACTCAAGCAGGAGTAAAATGCAAAAAGTTTTTATTTCTTGCAGTCTACTATTTCTCGTCTCTCCATCTCTATCTAAAGCATGTGCTGCTTCCCTTCCAACCTTGCCTCTTGCACACTTTCTCACCATATGTGTGAGCATGCTCGCTTTTCCTGCATGCTTTGTTGGTGCAGTTGGGGATTCACAACTGCTCAAAACTGAATGCTTCCGTAATTTTTCCCGTGCTTCTTTTTCTGGTGAATACTTGTGTAATGCTCTCGCATTACAGGAGTGTGTATTAAGGAATCCGTGTTGCAGCAACATGTGTTACAAAATACTGCTAGGAGCCAGTCATATAACAGATCCTGCATTAAAAGGTTTTCTCTGTAAGGGTGTCTGCAAAATGGCGGGTCATCAGCGAACTCACGTCCATATACTTCACGTGGTTTGCAGGTCCTGACCCTGAATGTGACCGGAAGTGCGCCAACGGCGGACGCTGCAATGCAGAAAAAATCTGCGAGTGCCCCAAGCGCTACATGGGGCGCTACTGCAGAACAGGCAAGTTGCTCTTTTCATTTAGTCCTCCTTGGCCCTAGTGTGTATAGTAGCCATAGCTGCAAACAGCCGCCGCTTGCACCAGGGCTATTCGTTAGATAAGAGTAATTTACGCTGCTTCTTGCAGCAGTAAAAGGTGTGGCAGAAATGTGTTACATGAAGGTAAGGGAGGATAATCACACAAAGAAGAAACACCCCTTGAACCAAAAGACCAATTGAAAAATGTGCTGCAAAGCCTGCACAGCCAGTTCCCAGGATTTTGCAACAGGTCTAGTGACAAAGTCACGATGCAATTATATATGGCCGACAAGTGGTAGTTTGTACAACTACCACTTGTCGAAAGAGACAATGAAAAAAAAATAAGTTAAAGAATTTTTTGATAGTGCCTCCTCCACACTTTTTCGCCAGTGAGCACCGAATGGTAAGACTACCGTATTTTCCGGTGTATAAGACGCATCGTTGTACAAGATGCACTTCCCACTTTTCGCAAGTTTCGAAGTAAAAATTAGCATAGCACCTGTGTATAAGACGCGTCTCTAAGAACACTTATGAAGCACCAAATTTGCGAGAAAAAAATTGCACAATTACGCATTAAGGAACATCCCGCATATTTGCAGGAGAAACATTTTATTACTCGAAAACGTCGCAAACCAACATGTTTTCTTTTTTCTTTTTGTTTTCTTGACTTTTTCTTTTTTATGGAATTTTCGTTTTGGGAGGTTGACTTGCATTTATGACATATTTGCATTGAGCTGTCATAATAGTTAAAAAAAAGACTAATCAGCATCAACAGGAGTTCCTTCAGAGTTTTTTAAAAAGAAAAAAAATATACATGTTAAAATGCACCGTTGTATAAGACGCAGCGCCGAAAATTTTGGAAAGAAAAGTGTGTCTTATGCATCAGAAAATACGGTACTTGGGCTCTGACCAGTGTTCTGATCTCAGCCTCCCCGCACAGCGCTTTGCTACCCGCAGTGCATGAACGGCGGCACGTGCGTCTCACCTGGCATCTGCGACTGTGCGGTCGGCTACCAGGGGCCACACTGTGAAGGAGGTGAGTTCTCTGGTTTCCCTTCCTCACATCCACCTATTTGGGCGCAGCCCAACCATTCCCATGTCATGACATCCTTCAATTCATGCAAAAAGAGGCCATCGGTGCCAGACACCAAGTACCCTGCCCTGCTCCAAGCATAAAGGCAGTGAAGTTCTGTGGGGCTGCTCCTTAAAGATTCTTGTGTGCTCATTCTCCCCTTTTCCACACGTTGCACATTGTTTCTGACCGAGATTGTGGCACTGGCCCCTGACCGGTGTAGAAACGGCCAGCTCCAAGCTCTCCCGCATCGTCTGCTCGCAAGATGTGGTCATACAGCCATTGTCACCATCTCTATTCGGCACTGTCCATGGTTGACGTGCTCTTTGTTCTGCAACAGTGGAGCAGTCCTGCTGCGCCTCGTGCCAGTTCGGTCTCGCTCGCAAGTAGTTCACCCTTTGGTGACAAAAACGACAGTTTGATACTATTTCTGATAGGCAGCTGGGTGGCATATTGTCCTCTCTGGAAAATAACCTTTAGATACCGATTACATCAATACGCAGAAAACAAGGCGATATGATAGCCAACAAGAGACCGGGTATTTGAGAGGGTCATCACACTTCCCGCTTTTCCAGGAGTGACAAAATATAGGTGGCTGCCTGCACTTTCCATCAGCAGGGGCTTTGAATTTATTTGGCAGTTTGAGCGCATGACCCCATGCATTGAGGTAGCACTACAAACTGGTTTGCAGACTGTGTGAACTATATTGTTGCTACTGTCTGTCCCCTGACAAATGCCTTCCTGCAGGCATCTGCGCCGAGAAGTGCCTCAACGGTGGAAAGTGCGTGCAGAAGGACACCTGCTCTTGCCGGCGGGGCTACTACGGGCCACGCTGCGAGTACAGTAAGACGCTTTCCAGGCATCTGCGTGCATTCTGCACACAGGCACAACACAAAGCAATGCAAACAATGTCTTCAGCTCGCAAAAACTACAGTCGGTGCTGTTTAAAGAATTCAATTTTATACAAGTAAAAAGGCTCTACCTACAAGCTTCACCCGTCTCAATCCCCTGCAATGTCAAGAAATCCACCAAACTTTCACTTACCCTAGAAGGGTAGCAGACCCAAGATGGGACAAGCAGGGTCGTGTGCTTGTTCCGCCAGTTGGTGAGCGGCAATTCGTTCACTGCTGAAGGCCAACTGCAGCTGTCAGGTTGCGCACAACGCTGCTAAGCACGCAGTGAAATTATTGGCTTTTGATGTGGAAATGCTTGTGCTGAAGGTCTACAAGGAGTTTTCTTGTAGCGCTAAAACAGTCAAGGAGTTGAGGGCATTTTTCGAGTTATGTGACCAAGAGTACAGCCATGTACTGAGCCATATTCCTGTTCGTCGGCTCAGCTTGCTTTTGGCTCTGGACAGACTCGTTAAAAACTGGACCCCCTTAAGTCCTACTTTCTAAGCCAAGGGGCAGATAAGTGCAAAAGAACCGTGTGGAAGTTCATTAGTGATCAGACTGATGAACCTTCTGGCATGGTTACGCTTCCAGAGTGCTACTTTTACTTTGATCAATCATTTCTTAAGTTGTTTCATTCAGCTATTCTCACTCTCATAAAAAGCAATCTCGAACCAACTGAGCTGGTCGTACGCAGTCATGATGAACTTGAATAGACAACTTAAGAATAGGACCGAGCTCAAGTTCCATGAGGGAATTGCTACTGTAAAGCTGATCCTGCAGCCTTGTTTCTGCAAGGAAAGCACCTTGTTTGCCAGCACTGGGACTGACTAGTGATGGCAAACGTGCAGGGTGGCTTACATCTGCGGGGAAATCTATTGTTGAGCCACTTCTGAGCCTTATCTTTTGCGCGCCATAAAAAGATAATTCATCGCGAGATATTTTTTTTGTTTTTTTTTACAGCGGAGCTGTTAAGGGCTAGTTTCCCGACTATCGTGTCCGCCAGCAAACAAATCTCGACACAGAACTCTGGACAGCTACCGCCATCTATGAGCTAAGGCGGCAGCCAGACAACCAGCTTGCCGGTTGTCTGGTTGCCGTCGTCGCATACATGGCAGCAACCTTTCCAGCCTTTCCACTCCGGCTTGTCAACTTGCAGCCGGCCGTTACTTCGTTCCCGCCATAGTACAGATTCGCTGGTCTTCCTTCTTCACCAGAGTGGAAAGGCTGAAAATTTTTTGATAAGGGGTATGATTTTATTTATTCGAGAGACAGAATAGCTCTTAGAAGGAAGTGAAATGTGAGCCTGATTCAGAGTTTATTCTTTAGAACAAAGCTGGTAGTCATGTCTCATTAATATGGACGCCTCCATTCCCCAAACAAATCGTCCATAGTATGAGTCGTCCATAGTAACGAATCGGGGTCAAAACAAACATTAACAAGCCTAGCAACAACAAGAGGTGCATAGTTTAGTCAGCTAAAAAAAGGACAAAGTGTGGTTTTTACTAACTTTCTAGCCCACTTTTGTGTCCAGAAAGCGCCACACATCCGCTACTTGAATTGCGCTTTCTCCGTCCTTCTTGTTCAAAGTAAGCGACAGCTGTTTCCAAGCCGCGGAGAGCTGCACAGCGAGTTACGGTTGGTCTCCTGCCTTCTTCATCAACTACCGTATTTTCCGGACTATAGTCTGCACCCGGTGTGTAGTCCGCAGGGGGAAATTTGGGGTCAAAAATAAAAGATTTTGCTTAGATGGCCCGCACCCGGTGCATAGCTCGCACCCGGTGCATAGTCCGCACCTGGTGCTTAGTCGACACGAAAATCTTCTCATAGACGGCACACGTTTACAAATGTCTGCTTTTTAGCTCACAATAAAGCCTATAATGTGTATAAATCATCATTAACATACACTTTCGTGCACAAAATTCGTCACGTCTCGTCATAATAAACAATCTTGAAAAACATAATTCCTGTATAGTTCGCACGCGTAGATAGTCCGCACAACCAGAAATTTCAACTTTTAAACATGTATAGTCCGCGGACTATAGCCCGGAAAATACGCTACTATTGTCAGCACGGGTGTAGCCCGAAACAACCCATTCTCGTTTGAACCCGTCCCGTTTCGACCCATTCCCGAAACGACCTTCCCGTTTGAACCCGTCCCGTTTCGACCCATTCCCGGAACAACCTTCCCGTTTGAACCTGTCCCGTTTCAACCCGTTCCCGAAACGCCCTTCATATTTGAACCCGCCGTAGCCAAGACATATTTTATGTTTTAATTCGTCCCGTTTGAACCCGTTAATTGGTATAAAACCCCGTGCATCTCAACCTCTTCGCAAAAAGTGTCCATCCTTCTAATCCTGGTTTGCGCAGTTTTTCTGCTTAAGAATATGTCCCGAAATCATGTTAATGCAATTAATACAAATGTGCAGGCGAGCAATTCAGTTATGTTGAGAAATATTTTGCTTGTAAACGTATTATTAAAATATGCAATACTTTCAGACAAGCTTCAATGAAATATATTTCTACTTGAACCACTTAAACTATTTCTTTCAAGATGGTCCCCAAAATGTGTAATTACGAAATGGACTATGTACACTGCGCGACAACGTTACCATGAACACGATCTTGACGATTTTTCGAATTTCACTTCAAAGTGGTATTAGAAGGTATCACATTTTACCGCTTAGGTTAGTGGCCCAAATGAGCACTTTCAAACACACTAGTAATATTGATGGCAGTCTTCTGATTTTTTTTTGGTGGACAAACAGCTAAAACCAACAATCACTTGTTCGCGCTAACGGTTTCGCGCTCTGTACAATAACAGGGAGCTTTCGTAGATCGTTTTCGAAGTCACACGACGCTCCTTCGCAACCCGCTACGATACCCAGAACTCTACAGTCAAGGCCATCAGCGCGCAGGTGCAGTAGCGGCTTCTTCGTTGCGGAGGGCTTAGCGAAAGGGGAAACGCGGTCTACGAAAGCACCTAATGAAGTTTTAGAGTAACGCAGGCAAGCACTTTGAGTAAGCAAAAATTAGCGTTGCCTAAGTTTTTATATTGCGACGCTACTTTTAGGTTACCCAAAGCGCTTACGTACGTTATTCTAAAACTTCCTTATAGTGAACGAAATACTTTTTAAAAGTGATAAATCAGACAGGCTGACGGGCATATGATTGCGACTTCATCTTTTTACAAGTTCAAACACAGAACCGTCGTGTACACAGCCAAAAATCATAAACCACAAAATGCAGTCGCCTTGGTTGAGGAAGTTGAGAAGGAAAATCGCGCCATCAGAAAGGCGGCACTCCAATATGATAGTTCGCGGCGTTCACCTGGCCAGCACGGCACCACCATTTGCAAGCTGCTGCAGCGATATCCTTCTCAAGGATCATCCCGTTTACAGGTCGATGAAGTTGTAAAAGTTCGGGTGAGCCCTCCCTGACACAGCGCTTATCCTACGGTGCCATGTCTCTGAGGTTGTTTCGGCAGAGGGAGAGGTGGAGGTCAGCAAGGAGGACAGACATTGAACACTTGAACCTAATCAACTGTTAACGAGCAATGCAAACTAACCGAACGATGGCCGAAGCGAGAAGGTTGTTTTGGGAAAGGGCGAAACGGGAAAGGATGAAACGGGAAGGTCGTTTTGAGACGGGTCGAAACGGGAAAGGATGAAACGGGAAGGTCGTTTTGAGACGGGTCGAAACGGGAAGGTACAAACGGGAAGGTTGTTTTGGGAATGGGTCGAAACGGGAACCACCCGTCAGCACAGTGTTCTTTGAGATGGGTTTTTGCTTCTTTTCTGCTCTACTGATTTTTTTTTTCCAGGTGAGCAGAGAGCTTTGTTTGTTTACATTTTGGCATTTGCCAAGGTCCCTGACCGCTTCCGCTTCTCCCCTGACATTGTGTACTCTGCCTTCCAAGCGACCAGAAAAGCATCCGGCCTTGCCTTTTATGTCACTGACAGGCTTATGACCAAGGGGGCGCTCGCTGTGAACCACTTCAAGGACAAGATTTCCTCCATCCCCATTGTAGGTTTATCTAGAAGGAATTAACCTTGTGGGTCTAGACTCTCCCATTCTCCAAACAGTGACGAGGTCTACAGTGAGGGGTCCTAGCTACTTTAGGGTTCAGTCTTCTTTGTTCCAAGTTGTAGGTCATACATGATCTCAAGAAACAATAAACTACAAGCGATAATCACTCATTTTACGTGAAACAAAAATGGGTGCCTGTATTTGTCCAATTTATCCCCAAAATAGCTGTCCATAGTTGGAACTGCGGGTTTCCCTATTAACGCAGCAGAACTACCATGGCGGAAGATTGATCCCCCGAAAATTTCATCCATAATACTGGGTGTCTATATTAACGAGACATTACTGTACCTGTTACACTAATTATGAAAGAAAAAAGCCCATTGTTACCGGTACAAATCAATTCACTTGGAGACATCATTTCAAGACACACTTAACGAGTTATAAAAATTAGCAAGAAAGAGCAGGAGTCATAGGCATTTTTAAACAACAAGAACCAATCTTTTTTTTACTTGTAGAACTTGGTAGCATTGATGGTAAAAGTTGCACTTGGGTGGCCTGTGGGTAAATAGTGGTTGGAACTGACTGCTCCCTGTCATCCCTAGCATTCATTGTGCAAAGGATGCCATCTGCTCTGCCTTTGCACTGCAAGCAATACCAGTGACATGGAAGTATATTCAATTCAAGCTATTATCAATGCACCCCCATATCACTTCATACATTACCAAATTGCTGGTGGAATTGACTTCAGAAGGGTTTGTCCAGAGCAATATTCACACAACAGCCACTCCGACATATTGCACACATTTTCTGTAATAATGTTGTGTACATACTGCATGCTTTTTGTAAAATTCCTTTTCAATTCGTGGTGCCACTCATATTGTTTATTTTTAAACATAGCCAACCATTATCTTGTCAAGCCATTCTGTGAGCGCCGTACCATTAGCAACGGGGTGCCTCGAGTGGCGTCAAGATACCTGAGAATAGTATCTTTTTAAACTGACCCACTCACCAGCCTGTATTATCGGTGGTGAAACAAGTGCTCTCACTTTTCAAGGCAAGTGCTCCATCCCGTGCCTCAACGGCGGGCGCTGTGTGGGGGTCAACCAGTGCCGGTGCACACGCAGCTTTGTGGGGCCTCAGTGTGCGCATCGCATCGACAGCAGTGCTGCCGCCACGGTGCACAAAGGCAAGTCTCCTCACTTTACTCAGGGAGGCCCTCATTGTTTTGGCTTCATGTCCGAGACCATGTGCCCGGCTTCGTTCAGCAAATGCGGTGCTACGCTGCAAAGCTCATCTGGCTTAAAGGCTGACCCATGAGAATCACCTGGGCTAGTGTGCGAATATTTGAAAATGTGAATATATTGTGAATGATGTATGCTGTGCGAATATTCGAATAGCAGTTTCGAATAATACGCTATTCGACATTCGCTTCGAGATGAATTGCGATTTTCACTTTTCGAAGTGTTGATTGCAGTGGGCTTAGTCCACGCACTGCGGGGAAGCACCCGCAGAGCTCGCAGACTCCGCGGGTATTGCTTCCTCGTATTGCAAAGATGCTGTGAGAAGCACACTCAATGGGACTAACCGGCCGCAATATGCAGCAATGTCTTGAGAACCCGCATTCATCATTCGCGCTTTTCTTCATTTCTTTTTCAAGTTGCAATATAAAGAAAAAGTTAGCATATAGCAAGCAGATTTATAAATCCTTTGATTGGGACAGCTGCGACAAATTTGACATCTACATGGCACAGTTCGTAAATATGGTAATATCAAAATTAACTGAGCTTAGAAGTGGACAAATAGAAGGGTGGAAACAACCTTCATGAGTTCAGCTGAATTTTTGTTTAGGCATGGTGCGCTGTAGTGAAAGGTTCGAGAATCGACCATCGGACTACTATCCGATGGTCGATTCTCGACCAAAACCACTATCCGCTTTGAATTCGCTTCAAACTTAAAATCCACTATTTGCACATGCCTAGTGTTTGCTATCCGTTTTGATTCACAGCACACTTTTTCTGTTTGGAGTATTGGAGTTGTTCGAGTGTCTGGAAATTACGATAATTTTCAAATAAATAAGGTTGTAATTGCTTTGCTTGCCATGATATGCTATGTCTTGCCCAACTCATGTGATCAAATTTTTTCTTTTAGTAGAAGGATGTGAAATTTTTCTCATGCAATGTAACTGGCATGGTACAAAAGGTGAGAATGGCAGGCGGCAAGTGGGCAAAAAACAGACAGCGACTGCTCCACATCTGTCCCATGTCAAACAGTGTCAGTCATATGACTTGGGTATATGGATGTCCAGAGCAGTAGCTGCACTCCGTTTCACCTTACAATGAAACACAGAGGATGTTACGAGCCATCGTAGCCAGCGCGATGCCGCGCAAGTGTCACATGGCCTTTGGGAGAGGTCCTTTGATTTATCAGGTGCAGAGTCACGTGATATGTTCCCAGCACTGGACTGGCTGGAATGGCTCGGAGCATCCGCCGTGGTCCATCATAAAGTGAAACGGATTATAGCAAGATGTTGGCCATTTGTTGAAGTTCCCAAATTCACGAAGGAGGGAGCATTGTCGGAGGGATGGAAAGGATGGCAGGTTTAGAACAAATTCAACCCAAAAAAGCTACCGCAGCTTATGTTCTCAAAATAAGTTGATCTGTGAAAGCCCCTTTGGGCATCAACCGCACATCTACAGCGCCATGGTCCGTGATTAGTCCTGGCAATCGTGTGGCTAAATGAGCAGGGAGAACGGGTTTTGATGCATCGAAGGGGGGGACCCTGTCGAACACCCTTCCATTGTTCCTGCAGTGCTCAAACCCCTTAAGGCTTGTGCAAGAGCCTATAAGTGCTGTCCGTCTCTGCATTTCAGACCACTGCCAGCGGCGCTGCGTTCACGGAGTCTGCGTGCGCAGCAACCGGTGCCTGTGCGACGAGGGCTTTTACGGACGGAGGTGCGCCAGACGTAGGTACCGGCCTCCCCCGTGCTGCTCCCTCAGCCCTACCACAACTTGACCTCAGCGGTGTGCCGCCGAGCCTTGCCTCGGAGCCACCCGAGGTGGAGGGTGCCACCCACAATTTGGTGGCTCAACGAGAAAGTGGCACCAACCCCGTGCACAAACTCGAGAAACCCATAGTATGGTACCTGGAATATGTCTCCGATGGGTGTGTTTGCCCGTTCAAGAAAGTGCTCCTTCGATTTCTGCCCGATAACCTCATAACCTCGGCAACAGCGTGCCACGTTGTTGCCGACCGAGACCGTGGCAGGGTCACAGAAGCGGCGGTAGATGCGGCAGACGCCTGCCCTGCTGCAGGTCACTCTTCAGCTTGGCAGTTCAAGGTATCTCGGGCAGATGGGAGTTGGGACGCTGCGACGACGGCAACACTCGCAATCCCTCTAGCTTTGTTTCCAGAACTTCTACGCCCAACCTCCAGGACTGCGACACCCGACGGCGTGACCCTCAAGCTTTTGTGACGTCATTGGTTCCCACTCAGGGACCACTTTCGATGCACGGGCGGAACAGTGTGCTAAACACACCAGTCGGAGAAGCATGCCAGGCACCATACCCAGTGCTACTGCCTAGAGGGGATGGAAGTTGTGCACTCTTGGCAGGCCTAGAGTCACTGAATGTTCCCAGAGTACCAAAGCTCCCAGGCTCAAGGCACCAAGATGGCGGCCCAATCTTTTTTCTTTACTGTGGCCACCATCAGCTTTTAGAAAGCATGTTTTTGCGTAAAAACAAATGTAAAAAGCTCTTTATGTAGAAAATTTGATTGGAGATTAGTAAAGAATGGAAGGAGCATGATGTTTTCATAAAATGTGAATTTGCAAGTTTTTGCAGCAGAATTAATATTGTTTTTATACAACCGTGTCTCACAGGTGATTTCAGGTATCGCAACCCGACCTGGGCGCGTCTTAACTTGGCGCTTGGGAGACGGGGTGGGCAGCCCTCAAACCCCTTCCACTGTGTATGTTTCGGCACCAAAATTGCCAATCAAAGCCAGAATTGAACAGTAACAGCGGATGCTGTTGAATGCTATACTCTGGCAACATACAGCAACTCCAGGCAGACCGAGCTTGCATCGATTCACCGGTGATCTGTTCGTACGGCTTCGTGACATGTGAATGGTAGATGGTATTGGAATCGTACAAGGTCCAAATGCACAAAGGGCAGGTCCGGTTCTTTGCCGGCTTGCCGTTTCCTTTTTTTTACCGAATACGGCATACTTTTTTTTGGTACTTATTGGGAATGTAATTTGTTGGTGTGCATAAAATGTGCCAGTATTTGTTTTTCAATAATGAGTGCAGTATTTTCGTTCAACCCAAAATTGTATCTTTTTGTGAGTATCGTGCTATTACAGCAGATTTAGCCAATTAATGATTACGATAGCATTAGTCAATTAACAGACGGTGGTGCTTATGTAGGTTTTGTCACAGATAGTGTGCAGCTGCCATACGAAAGGCTGACATTCCAGAAACTATAGACCTTTTCATCCCATCGTATGGGCACTGCCATCTTGGAATCGCGTGACGCGGCCGCCATTAGATTGCTTCAACTTGTTGCTCTGCTCTCCCCTCCGCAGCTTGGCGGATACATTGTATTTGTGATTTTCGACGCATTTCACCATGCGTTCTTGCCTCTGTAAAGTGTAGTCTGATATGTCTACTACCTAATTGCATTACATCATAATGTGCACAACTTCTGCTGTTCACTTTAAAGCCCGATTTGGCTATTTTCACCATCGGCATACCGAATGTGTGCGAGGGTGAGGCAGAGGAATCAGCGCTAGCACTGAGCCGTGCACATTCGATTATGTAGATGACTAAGAAAATACGAGAGTTCAAAGGTCTTTTCCTGTAAACAACAAAATTTTTGCAAGGAATAATTTTTGCGAACTTCGCATATTGCTGCGATTTGCAAAGAATAGGTCCTACCAACAATTCGAGAAAAATGTTGACACTTCGCAAGTTACATGGAGAGGCTATGTTTCCTTGAGCAACACTCGAACAACGAGAAAACATGCGCACAAAAGTTATCGCGATATCATTACATATGTTCTATTAAGAACGTAAGTATTTAAAATATCTGAAAGAAAATTATGCGATAGGCCAAAATTCATGCTCACCTCAATTTACGGTCACCGCAGGTTATAATTTTCGATTCGTGAAAATTAGAACTCGCGAATAATTAAAAAAGGTAAACTTCGGACCGATTCGTGAAAATTAAGTCATTTAGAGTAACCGATGTTAAACACGAGGGGTGAATATTAAGTTTTGTTTCTAGGCTGTAACTTTTTTATAGCCCCCCCCGGCGGCGATGGACTTCTGCTCTCGGTGCACTGTTCTTTGCATACAGTTCGAGGGCGGCTGCTGACGACACCGACAGTGCACTGTATTGGTAACCTCGCCGTCAGAAGCAAGACATGTTCCCTTCAAACGTTCCTTTACTTCGGAAAACAACTAAAAGTCTGTAGCCGCGAGGTCTGGGCTGCAAGATAACGAGGCAAAGCATCTGGGAACTGCAGTTCCTCCAGCGGTGCGTTGGTCTCGTCAACAGCCACCCTCAATCGCCTACGACGGCACATGGAGACTAGTGTACCGGTATCGAAAGTGCATCACCACCGGCAGGGACTGTATTGAAAAGTTGTGTGCTCCTGGGAAAGAGGAGATTCCAAACTTTCATTCGAATGCAACATCTTTAACATCTTTCAATTCCACCACTTAAGAAGAAAGTTACAGCCTAGGAGGCAAAACTATTCTACCACCCCTCGTACAAAAAGCATGTTAATTTCATCAGATAATCAGGGAAGTTACATGGAGCCAATTTGTTTTCACCACGGTTCTTGAGGTGCAAATCTGTGTAGATGAAAACATTCCCTATAGTAACCCACAACTTATGAAATGCGGGGCACATGGGTCATTATGTTCACGCTTCTTGCTTCACGATTAATTCTTATTTTAACGCAAATCTCACTGGCTGCGAAGCAATGGGCTTGGGACTCGCCACACTCCAAGTTTCTTAAGCCGTCAGCTTAAGACCTTTGATCAATACCGAATTTTGGAACATGAATCTGGCTTTTGTACTCATCACCACAAAATGAATCATTTTTTTAGAATTACATTATCTGTAGACTCGGTGTATGAAGCGAGTTTTTGTTGTCTTATTAAGTAACATTTTCAGAAGGACTTGCCTTTGGTGACTGAATTTCGCCCCACCACATGAAGCCGTCTTTTTCGAGGGTTAAACAAAATCCGAGGAGCAAAGAGCTTCCGACGCCGTTTTTCCTCGTCGATATAATGGGCTAGAAGGGGCAGTGCAACGATCACACCAGTGGGAGTGGTCCCAAGACTCGAGCCTACAGTGTGGAGCGTAAGCTGCGTCTGGGAAGCAGCACCATAATGCACATAGGGCTAGAAGAAAAGCTGGTAACAAAAATGGGTGGATTAAGCATTCAATAGAGGTATTGTTCAGCTGTCAATGATCACGACCTTTTATACTTTTGTTTATATTTCTTGCCTGTTCAGTTTCATTCCAATGTCCATTGCCAGAGAAAAATTAACCCGGTCTTTACTGTTGTGGCATGGTTACTATTAATATGCGAAAATATTACGACGGGCTAGCTGGTCAAGCACGAATAAATATAAATAGTATGAGGGACAGACAAGGGCACGGCGCTAGTCTCATTTTTGTGTCCGTGGCTGTCCCTCACGCTATTGACATTAAATATGCCGCTACCAACTTGCAGACGGCACCACGGTGGAAATGACACACGAGGCACGATACGCGGAACCGCTCTCAACCGCTGAGATAAGCGAGCCATTACCAAGCCTACCCTTCTATAGTCAGTTACAGATTAAGAAGGTAGCGGCAAATGCCCCTCAAAGGGAATCAGATATCCCTCCGCCACCTCCGCATCCAATAGCGTCCCACCGTTTCCGTGACGTCGCGGCCAACGCACGAGGAGGGTCTTGCCTTTCTGTACATATTTGCTTTATCTTTCGACTTTGACTTAGCATTGTGGAAGCCACGAGAGGGGGATTAGAGTTCCCCCCACCGACGGAAACAAATACGACTTTCGGGGATTAGCTTCCCCCCCGATGGATACAAAGGCTGCTTTCAGGGGCTCGGTTACCTCTCCGATGAATACAAAGGTCGCTTTCTTAAAAAGTGGGATCGGAGACAAGTGGGAATCCATTGAAGCGGAACAAGGAGTGTTTCCAGTGAACTCTTCTTTCGACTGCGGAGAGATTTGAAACGGGCGCATCACACTTGTGGGAGGAGCTTCTCCTACCTTCTTGACTTGTAACCGACTATAGCCCACTGCATCGTCGATTGGCGAGACTCGTTTACGCCAGACGTGAACCCCTTCTTGCGCAGGCATACCTAAGAGGAAGGCACGTCGGAGGAAGCAGTTTGTCTGACGGCAGCTGCGACAGACGCCGGGCCGAGACGCCAGAGCCCCGGCCGCAGCGTGCCAGGCGACCGAGCACCATGGAGGGCCCAGCGTCGGAGCGAGCGGTTTCCAGACGAGCGTGCAATAGAGACATGCAGCGAGGGCACCCCGGGGAGCCGCCCGCCACTGGTCGCGTCCAGCACCGCCGATGTTGCCACGGCTCTGCGAGATGCGTCCTTTCTACGAGCGCTCGTACCTCCGACAACTTCGGAGATGAGTCGCCGGGCCTCCAGATGTCAGGGAATGCGGCTATGGTGCCTGGAACGCGTCTCCGCCTGGTGTGTTTAACGTGCCCTCGTTTGTGGTCCTTCGATTTTTAACCAGCGACGTCACATGTGTTGTACCATCGCCTGCCGCTATCCTGCCGGCGGCACAGCGGCGGAGGTGGATGCAGCAAACTCGAGTTCTGCCATGGGTAGTTCTCGAGCGGACCGTTCACAGAAGCTTCGTCGGGTTAACATCTGGTGGGAGTTGGAACACCGCAAGGACGACGACGACGTTCATGTTCCTCTGATCAACTGCTGGGATATGGACATCCGATGGCGTGACACACCGGCTGCTGCAAGATAATCTGTTGCCACTTTTGATGCGCGAATGGTATGGGACGCTAAGCACGCCGGTCGGAGATGTGTTCTGGGCACATCACCGTGGCACTCCGGGAGTGCTTGCCAAATCCAGGCCCGACAAAGCTGTTGACGGCAGTGTGACCGGATGGACATCGTTGATGCCTCTCAACACAGCTGGCGCCGCCCCAAGGACTTGTGCAGGTGGCGACGGAGAATTTTAAGTCGGCTTCGACGATGAAAGCTGTATCGGAGTGGCGATCGTGTTTGGCCAACGCACCTGGTGTAACGGACGACTTTCTTACAGCAGCGGCCCGTTTGTGTCGATAGTGTGTGTACGAGCCACGCATTTGCCCAGCGCCGAAGGTCGTTGGCACTACTGGCCAATCTTCCCTGCGGGCAATAAAACTTGCGCCAGTTCTCGCTCGACATCCGAGGACACCGAGAGGTCATCGTTATGAGCAATGAATAAAAAATGCCTCCCTAGTCCTCAACGTGTCCACGAGACGCGCGTAAACCATTGGCAACAGTTGGACCCGACTTGGTGCAACCTCGTAAGGTCGGACGCCACCGGTCGCAAGCACTGCCCCAGCCCACATTAAAGGGAAGCTGAAGAGGTTCTTGAAAAAAAATGAGTTAAAGGTTAATTTTACAGTATTTTTATCCCGTGAATCTGAATATCACGTTTGTTTTCCCTGGGGATATAATTGAACACGAGAAAACATAAAAAAACCACTGACCAGTTGTTACATGATACTAGGATCTTTCGACCGCCAAGCACACGTCACTCGTGTGGGCAGCGCGTGCATTTGCAAGCTTGTCAGGTATACTCCCCCGCACTAGTACCAGCCGTGACGTTCTTTTCTGACCTTTTTGAAAAATCGCAAGTGTACGTGCATAGCTTTGATAGGCACTGAAGATTCGAGAGAGCGAAGGTTTTGAAAACTCCTGTTATGAAGTAACGCTTGGGGAAGGGGGGGCTTCAGCGGTACATTCAAAATTATTTTCTGCAGCCTTCATGCACTAAATTAAAAAATAATCTTGATATTTGTCATTCTTGAGGCCAAATGAAGATGATTCAAGTGTTTTTCCTCAAATACAAAACTGCTTCAGCTTTCCTTTAAGGCGTCTGGTGGAACCTTTCATCATTAAAGCAAGTCATTTTGTGTCAATACAGGCGCGTAGAGATTCACTGCTTAACACTGGCAGAAGAACCTCGGTTAGCTCGGAAGTTTACTGGAAAGGGCACTTGATAGATCCTTTGTCAAAACCACTTTCGGCTTGCAAGTGTTCCAGAACGTCAGGTTCCAGAACGATTTCATCAACCTAATTCTCGAACTGCAAGGTTGAACGATTCATCGAACAGCAAGCGCCATCCCCGGCACCACTAGTCACGGCCTCGAGCAAGCACCTGTTCATTTCTAAGCAACAGTCCCGTTTATTGTCAATCAACATTCCTATATCGAGTTAACCACTGCAAAAGTCACTCGACCGTACATGGCCTGCATGGGATGTCATCACATCGTGCTGGTGGCCATTCCTGTTCGTTCTGGCTGAGAAATATGAAATCCTTGATGCAAATCTTATACCGACCAAGGTATGTGCCAAGCAGCAAGGCCACCAGAGCTGCATATGATGTGACGTCTATGCAAGCCACGTATAGTACCACAACATTGAATATTTGTGGCAGTCTCGTTCCCCAATATAAGAAACCTAGAGGTCAGACCCCTTGCCAGTTCCACTCTCCCACACCGTTTTCGCGGTCACCTCAGTAGCCCGGTACGTAGTTGAGCGGCGTTTCGTACATCTCGTACGCGAACTCCTCCGAGTGCGCCTCGTCGATGTAGGCGCCCACGTAGTCGATCTCGAGCCTGAAGGGCCCGGGCACGGCGTCGGCGCACGTGATGCCCAGGCTGCGCACGTGCGTGAGCGGGACCGGGCCCTGCTTGTCCTGTATCCGGCCCTTGTTGCTCAGGAAGAACCGCGAGAACGGGATCCGTGCAATCTGCCAGTACGGACCGCCGCGCGTGTACAGCGCGAAGTTGTATATGAGGTGCCAGGTGACGTCGAAGTAGCCGTCGATGCCAATGTTCAGCATGTACGCCCGCCCGTCCCCACGGACCCGCAGCTCCAAGTGCGTGAACGCGGACCAGTCATAGCTCGCGTTGCGGCCGAAAGAGCGCATGGCCCTCGGAGACCTGATGTTGCAGTATCCCGTGTGGAGCACGCGCCCGTCCTTCGGCGGTTTCGTGTCCAGATGTCCCGAGAAGACGCCCGTCATGCCGGGCCCCAGCGCGAAGTCGGCCGTCGAGAAGCCCTCGTCGTTGTCTCGATCGGCGGTCACGATCCAGTCGTCCACCGCTTTGGCCGAGTCGAACTTCCAGAGGACCTCGGTGTCTCCGTGGAAGTAGTACTTGGGGTCGCAGCGGAGCGTCTGCAGCATCTCCTCCTTGAGGAGTCCGAACTCTGTCTTGAGCTCCCGGAGGCCTTCGCGGAACCTGGCGGCGTACGGAGTCGTGTTTGGAGGCTCCGGACGCTCGTAGCCTTCCTTGCGGGACGACTTGTAGAAGCACGTGCGGCGGAACAGCAGGATCGGCGGGCTGGGCCCGGACAACCGGCGAACGGCCGATGTGGCGAGACGGCCGAGCGGCATCTTGGGCGTGCGATCAGCTAAACATTCGGACGCCGCTCGATGCTACGAGGTCGTGGAAGCTTAGCGGAGGTCGAAGGGACGGAACCGAGCGGGAAAGCGGCGACAACCGCGGCACAGCTCCCTGAAGCTCGTCGGCGCGGTCTATTCCAGGCCCGCAGCATAGAAGTCCCGGACACCTGAGCGAATCGACAAAAAAATACGCCACGATAATGTTGCGAAACCTATGAGATAGCTCTGGCAAGGACGCAGGACGTATGCACCAGCAGAAGCGGCAAAATACAAAAATCAAAAGGCTTACAAAAAAAGCAAAAGCGCACCAAATACACGAACATCGAAACAAACTCGTGACGTCAATCGACGTCATATCCTGTTCCGCCCTCGCCTTCTGCTCAGACCGGCGTCATTTTGATCGACTCTTGCGCATAGATTCCGACGAACTCTGAACGCTCCAGACAAACTAACCCCGGTGAGTACGGACTTCTCGTAGCGAAAATAACGTTCGTCGAATCTCGGACGCTCTCGGGGCACCGACTGCGCAGACCTAGGCCTCAGAACGGTCCCGCAATCCCCACTCGAAAAACCCACTTATTTCGCCGTGGGACATCCCTACCGCGCAGTCGCAAAAATGGCGGCCATGTTCGCTGCTGCTTGTTTTTATTTGCCACCGGTCGGATTACACAAAATGGAATGTAACGTAGCGTGAGCAGAAGGCATCCGAGCAGCTTCGAACGACAGTTCCGACCTTTTTTTTCTCTCTTTTTCGGACAGCCACGACTAATAAAAGCGAATTTCTGCGGTACATTAGCTTTTTCAGCGGCCCCTCCGAAGCCGTGTTGCCGAGGGCACTGGAGCGGGTTAGTGAAAAGCATGGCGTCGGCGGGTTGTGCAAAGCGACGACGATGACTTACCTCCGAACGCCTCCTAGGCTTCTATCGAGGTCAGTAAAGGCCCCCAGTGTGCACGAAACACCGTCGAAGTGCGGCCACTCCGCGCAGAGTCCGAGCACGGGCCCCGCCGACGCGCTGGGGACCGGTTGCGAGCGCGCCTCAATCCGAAAAAGTGCGCAGACGCTCCACGCAGCGATCTATCTGCACCTGCTCAGTCGGGTCGCTTTAAAAATGGTTTCTGTTTGGGCATCTTGCGCCTCTTCCGCCGCCTCTGCTCGGGCTCGGCGGGGCCGCCGCTTCGTCCGCGTCTTAAATCACAGGAATCGGACGGGCCGCGGTTGCGTTGCGGGGATGTATGAGGCCTGGAGTGGATAAAAAAATGCGGCTGGCCGCCGCCGCCATGAAGTTCGTCTTCTCCGCCGTGGTGGATCGGATGCGGAGGATGCATGGCGCTTGGGAGAAGGCATCTCGGATAAAGTTGTTTTTTCTTTTTAAAGCTTGCCTTCTGCGGTGCAACCTTCTTCGAAACCTGTCGCAGTTTGGCAAATCTGAGCGAGAAATGCGATTTTTCTCCGCAAAAGTTCTGCTGTGCGTGCGCGGATTTCGCCCCGGCAATGATCTCGCCAAATGTCTAGTACGCAGGCGGCTGGCTGCCCCACCAAACATCTGCTTGCGGACGACTTTGTTCGTACGAACACCGGTTTCTACTCTTTCCCTTTTTGGGACGATCAACTTCCGTGTGCTTTTGCAAGGCCCGCCAATTGAAATTTGTTTCCGCCTTCGTGGCATGCAAAATTCTGATTCTCTCTCTCTCTCTTCTAGAAACTGTGATTACTGTTTAAATAAGCGCGCAGTAATTTCTGAAGACCCCGAGAATAGCTGGGAATCTTTCTCTTATCCTGATAATGTAATACCGTAACACACTCAAACATCAATTACTGAGCAAGTGCCTAAAGTGATTAACTCGAAGTACGCGCACAGAACGAACAATACCCAATTGCAATAATATATGAGTTGGGAAAACATTTGCCTATTTATTATTAGTGACAGGATAAGAGTTTAGGGGAAGCTCCACTCGCCCCTCTCCACTTCAGCAGAGGGAATGCTGAAGAAGAGGCAACCACCACTCCAGCGTTTGCTCTGCTGAAAAGGTTCGAAGGAGTTTCCCCTGAACTCTTCACGTGTCACTGACTAATGCGGAGTGCAAGTTCGTCTGCTCCTTGCACAGGGGTTGCGATGCTACCAGAACACCGAGCTCTTATTGGCTGATTGAGGAAAACAGTGGGTAGAGCTTAAGACTTCTGGCATTGAAGTCTACCCACTATCCTTTCAATCAAAGTTAGTCGGATCTCCACGTTCTTCTGACGTCACCGCAACTCCTGCGCAAGAAGCGGACGACTTGTTCTCCGCATAGGGTGACCACAATGAATCATACCATCACTTAATTCATGTACATCTGGTGAAAGTTCTTATGCAGGTGCCGATTTTTCCGACTCGTTTTGCAGTCTAATTTTCACTGTGGCATCGAGATAGAAACACCACAGACTCTGGAAATGTCAGGACCAGGGATGGACGCATGTATCTCCAGAGGGGGGGGAGGGGGGCGAGAGGTCAGCGTATCATATGTATGAGAACCTCCCCCACCCACCCACATGCGGGATTCAAGAGGGGGGTCAGGACATCCAGACCCTCCTCTGAATCCGCCACTAGTGAGGGCCCTTTCAATCTTAGTGTTAAATTTATAAAAATAACTGAAATATTTAGCTTTTAGCCGTCTTTCACGGCTGGCTAGCTCCTTCAGAGAAAGATGAGACTAAAATCAGGAGGTTGATTGAGGGAATGCAAATGATGAGGAACCAGTCTAGAAATGGGTGTGTTGACGTGGCAAACAAGTTCATCCGCTTGCGCAGAGGGTACAAGGACATTACGGCGCCGAGCTTCGTTTGGAAAATTTAGTAGGTATAATGCCTTTCCTGCGGCTATCAGAAATCCACCGGTTTTTCAGAAACGATAACTCGGCGTGCGAAAAAGTAAAAAATAGAATACCTCAAAGGCTGCTCTTTTTTGTTTATTTAGCAACTACCAGTAATGTTAGAAACGAAACAAAAAAAAAGGGGGGCTCATGGTCGAGTTGTTGCTTGCTACCCGCAGAAGAGTAGCGTCTGCTGGGGTCATTGGTCACTCTCACCTTTTTTTGTGGCTTCTCTCTCATGCACCGAGAGACGTGTTTTGATTGACTTCCTGGCCATGTAAAATACCCGTCTAAACATGATCCCCGTGCCAGTTCGTTTTGAAACACCTGTAACTGTCAGCTGCCGAAAGATCTTTGCTAAATTCAAGGTTCACCACACCACTGACATACTCCGTCTCACTCTAACTTGGCAAACAGTGGTCCCAGTGAGCCAATCGGTGCATGGGAGGGAAATATGTGACTACTCTGTTTCACTAGCTGCACGCAGTGCTGCCGAAACCACGGGCAGCAGAGAGGTGGGAGAGCCACTTTTGTACAAAGTTTGGGTGATGCGCTAATCTTCTAGAAGGTAGAAAAGTGGCGTCTGGGATGACAAAAGAGGGTCCAGGTTAAAAGGGGAGTTCCTCCTTCTCCAACCACCTGGGTCACACTCTCGCCCTTGTACCTTTAGTAAAGGCATCACATGCTTTGCCTCTGTCGCTCTGATTGGCTCGAAGGTGTCGCAGCGTTTTCTCTTTGCCAAGTTGCAGTGAGACGAAGTCTAGTGCGGTGGAATGTGCTTTTCACTTTTGACCAAAGAATAAGGAGCACAAAACATACTTTTTTCGGGTTCAGTGCGTCGACCCTTGCTTGGAACGTACACGGCACGGATGAACGCGGTGAATAGATTGCAGGGAGTATTCCCTACGATGCTGCAGGTGGCAAAAGTATCTGTCCTTCGCAAGAAAGGAGATAAAAATGATTTCAGCAATTATCGACCAATTTCAATTCTTCCCTTATTTTCTAAAGGCCTCGAAAACGTAATACAGTCCCGTCTCGTACAATTTGCGAATAAGCACGATTTACTCTCGTCTTCGCAGTTTGGTTTGAGAAAAAATTGTTCCATGGAATTAGCCCTCTTGTCCCAGAAATAATATATATTACACAATTTTGAAGGAAAAAGAATGGTTTCTGGCATGTTCATAGATTTTACTAAAGCCATTGACTTCGTGGATCATAACATTCTGCTTTGTAAACTTAATTACTACGGTATTTGAGGGTTGCCGTTATCACTCCTAGATTCATACTTGAGTCACCGCTTCCAATGTATTAACATTAGTGGTCATTCCTCCGATAGCGCATTATTTCAGGGGTTCCACAAGGAAATATTTTAGGGCCCCTTCTTTTTAACTCGTATATAAACGATATTGTGAACATAAACCCTGTTGCTAAATTTGTAATTTATGCAGACGACACTGGTATATTTATTTCCTCTTTAAATAGCGATGAAATTGTGGATGCTGTTAATTTAACTTTGTCAAGGTTGGCGGCTTGTGCAAAAGAAAATTTACCAAGTATTAACACTGAAAAGACAAACTCTATTTTCTTTCGTCCGACAAATAAACAAATTTTTATGCCAAGGCCTGTAGTATTTAGCTCAAGTCTGATAGAGATTGTGGATAATTTTAAAACACTAGGTGTCCTTTTTTCTGAAAATATATCATGGGATAGCCATGTTAATTATTTGGTTTCCAAATTGTCACGTGTTGGTTTAACATATTGCCACAGCCAAATTCTACCAGTTCGCGCGAAAATAATTATTTACCATGCTCAATTTTACTCACTCACTTGTCTGGCGCACAACCGCGGCATCCAACTTGAACAAAATTTATGTGCATCAAAGAACAAATGTTGAGAGCCATCTTCAACGCACCTTATGACTCACACTGAGATCATGTTTAGTAATCTGCAAATATTAAAAATTCGTAAACTATCTGATTATAGATTTCTAATCACCATTAAGAATGGAAACAAAAAAGAAACTGTTCTTTTAAACAAGATAGTTGCATTCAAAAAAATAATGCGGTTTACTTCCAATAATGAATATTGGAAGGTTCCCATATGCAGGTCAAATTATGGGCAGCAAATGCTTCAGTATTCAATTCCAAAGCTTCTAAACAACTTTGAAGAAAAAAAAAATAGAAATCTAGAAACAATATCTCCTAAAGATTTGCGTAACATATTTTTACATATTTGAGTATTCTGTGTCTTTGTTTCTGTTATTCCATTTGCTAAAGTATAATTTTCTGTATATGATTGTTTTTTTCGCTGCACGAAAACTGTTTGCTCAATGGCTGCCGGTGGGGCTGAGGGCCGGTCAAGCTTCTTGTTGAAGCTTTTTCCCTTTTGCTCCACCATTTCTTTAAGTAGAAATGAAGCTGTTATTATTATTATTACAGACACGACATAGATATTAGTGTGCATGCCGTACATAGCCCAAACACCTAATTAGTGCTATTATGCACATTGCATAATATGCATAATAGTTTTATATGCTACCGTAAAATCCCAAGATGCCCCACCCCCGAAAGATAGCCCACCCCTATTTTTGGCTTGGTTTGCTATATCTTTTTAAACACCGAAAGATAGCCCATTCCTATTAATCGTAGTGCTGGGATCAGTAATGGCCTCGCCGTAAATGTGGATAGTTAGCTATGGCGGGATATACGCGAACATTGCTGACTGGGAAGTACAGATATCTTTGCTTCGTTGCCAGAAGGAACACAACCTTAAAATAGCAATTTTTAAAATTTTTCTTGATTGTACATTGAAAGTTAGCCCACCCCCTATTTCACCCGACTTGCTCTTGATGTTAGGTGGGCTATCTTTAGGGATTTTATGCTAATGCATTTGTGTGTTTTTTCACATTACGTTTGTCTGTCGTTTTTTTTTTAAACCTTGCATGTGTATGTCATAGTCTAAATTCTGTCAAACTCGAACACTGGCAAGTTTGCAACCTCCCTAATGAGGACCAAGGTGTGACATACTTAATGAATAAATAATAGTAATAATGGTGTTGTACGTATGTTTATACAGCTGGAAGTCAGCCGTGGGCATCTTTGTCTCAGACGTAGATGAGAAATTTAGCTGGTGCAATACAACTGCTAGCCTGGGGTCTTCAACATCCATCAGGCAGTAGTGATACACGACGGCATCCCGGTACAATGCTCCTCTAAATCAATATGGGCAGGGGTGGGGTTTGAGCCCAGGATCCCTGGGTTCTGCAGTGTGAGCTTTCGCTACACATGATCCAAGCTGGGGCATGCTAACCAATTCTACCACTGATCTTAGTGAGTATATTAAGTATATTGCTGCGAGTTAGCAAGCTGTACAATTATCCGCTCAATTTAAAGCTAAGTGTTAGAAATCTTGACGTTTAAACACGAATTAATGTGTTAAAAGCCTCAGTATCTCCAGCAAGATTTTATCGGGCAGTTTCAGTGGCACCCTCTTGCCGAAATCGACAAAACCATCTCTTCTCCAATGCTTCCGTGATGAAGAGCGCGTGTTTATGCGCACATTTTCTCATTCATCCGAGTTAGACTGCCCTCCGCACACATCAGCAATGTCAACAGGCTGCAGTGTTCAGACGTGTCTGAACACTGTAAACTGTCATCAGGGTCCAGTTCAAGACCTGTAAAGTGTTTGGTTTTGGTAAAGACCTTTGGATTAGAAAGGGTCATTGTTCTATGGAACGCCTTTATTAGAGTGAAACGATACGACTCGGCTGGCTGCAAGTTTTGCTGAGAAGGGGTAGTAGGGCAGTAGGTTGCAGGGAGAGGAAGGGGACCAAGTTGCTGCAAAATGCTCGTCGGGGGGACTAAAGAGAAAACACGGCAAGAAGCCTTGCATCCCGCTTAAGTATTGTCACTGCTCGTATGACTCGGAAGGCAGTGTTAAAATTGAGAAGCACCGCTCACTTCCCTGTTTCATTTCTTAAAATAAAGTCCAGTGCATGCAAGCAGAGATAGCTTTTTGTTCTCCATTCCGGAAGCAACATAGTAACTCTCAAAGTTACTCGGATGTAATTTGAAAATTGTAGGCAGCACCTAAATGACTCGCTTCTGCTCTGCTTTATCAAGTCCGCTATTGAGTCCTTACCTTTAGCCGACGGTGCTTTGCAACTCGGTCAACGGTGACAACAGCAAAACAAAGATAATGACATGCAGATCTAGACTGGGTCTACTTTCAGGCCCATGGAAACCCACACAACTCAGCACGAGTGTTGGCCGTCCAGATTTGATCTTCGGAATCCCTGCAATTTTGTTCTCCCCTCGTGCCGGTAAAGGAGCAGTGCTCAAAATTTTACGACACGAGACTGACCACTAGACGCACCTTTGCCGAGATGTTCCGCTGCCAGCATAGAGGCACCAGCTTTACCGGTTAAATTTTCGTAGAGTGCAATTGCGGATGCCACGACGCTACGTGTGCGCTTTATGACACATTTGTGTTTGCTGTTCCCCGGCCGTATTGGGAATGTCGGTAGACCCGACGAAATGGCGGCAGGGACCTGAATGTGCTCTCGTTCCAGCCAAAGGAAGTCGAAGATGGATGCAGAACACAGCAGAGCTTAAGCGCTGACATCGGGGATCCCTGTAAAGAGAGTGTCAGAGAAACGGAAAAAGAAAGTAGAAGACAGGATAGGCATGTTCGTATTGTCATGATGAGTTAAAGTTGTTTGAACGCACCGATCGGTACTCGAGTGATTGCGAACTTTATTTCGTTTTACGCGATGTGGGATGCGACGCCTGTCTTTTTTTTGCAAAATAAAGCTGGAAAAAAAACACTAGGTAAAGTCTCAGAAGCGGTAAAAGCAACAGCAAAACATTCATTCGAAGATAAAATTAATCAAATTGAATATCTCTCCGCCACTTTCACGGGCCCACCGGGACCATTGACGTCCACGCCTGTGCCCCGCCGTTTCTAAGTGGCCCTAAGTGCATGGGAAGGCGGTCCTCGCAGGGCACTGCCGTGGGCCAGCCTGGGCCTCCCGCCGGGATGAACTCTTCGGCGGACATGAACTCCACGCTGAACGTGGCGGTGGTGAGCCACTCCATGATGTCGGCGGACGACCTGAGCGATCCCCCATCGAGCCCCGAAAGCCCCTTCGACGACTCGGACCTCCTCTCCTCCTCCACCGTCGCGGACGACGTGACCGCACAGCTCGCCGCCGCGGGTGAGTGTCCCCCGGCCACGCTCCGTGGTGCCCCCGTGGCGCCACTCGATTCAGTTGCTGAACCACGGCTTAAACCTTAGTCGAGAACGGTGGTCTGCCACCTTTGTGTGCTTTCAGTATTGAAAAAAAATCCTTTGCACCTTTATAGCTCATAACCTATAATACCGTGGGAACAAACCATGTGACGTATTATCTGCATTTTTCTCGACAAAGAACTCGCGGGTCTTTTTTATGTGTGGCCACGATTGTCTACCGCACTTCTCCCGTCAAATGGCAATACATGGCGCGGCTCTCTTTCATCCGTCTTCTATCATTTTCTAGTTGACGATATTTTACTTAAATAGATGTCACATGCAGCAGTAACAACATTTTGTTTTATGTGCATAAGATAAGGGAGATTATCTCGAACCTCTTAATGTTGCAAAGCCCACTTATAGAACTACCTGATTTGCTGATTTTTCTTTGTGTGGTATTATAGAATATGGGTCGTATGCTTGCATGTGGTTTTCATTAGCACTGAAAGCAATTGATTCTTACGAGACCTCGAACGAAGGTACCGTCGTGTGTCCTTTGGACGCACACCACTAGCTGGCATTGGCTCACCGATGTTGGTTCCTTCACTACCGGAACGGCATCCAGTGGTGCCCGTGCTGGCTACGCACTTGCACTACCCATTCGGGCCATAGCCACTAAGTAATGAATGTATCGACACTCCGTTCCCGAGTGGTCTCATGGGCGCAGCCATTTTGTTGTCCGTAACAGTGCAGGTGGAATTTTCCAAAGCAATGTTTCGGAAACGCAACTTCCTGGACTTTAGGTACAGGGTCGGGGATCTCGGGCAATATCATTCTGCTCCGTCGCAGACCATTTCGTCATTCCTAAAGGAAAGAAAAGCGCTTCGTGCGATTTCTGATAAAGCTTCAAGTCGCTGACGACGATGGTTTTAAGTTGCCAGACAGCTCGAGCGTCATTCCTCTGAGGCGTAGCTTATTTGATGACTCCACGTGAGACCCGAGTCGGACGAAAGCGCCGACGGCACGACGATCTCGTCTGGACGCAGGACCTGTCGGCGTTGCTGCGGCGGCGGCCATTGCGACGGGCAAGAAGCGCAAGCGACCGCACACCTTCGAGACCAACCCTTCCATCCGCAAGCGCCAGCAGACACGGCTCCTCAGGTCGGTTCCCAGGATTCGGCGTTTCCGGTTCTTTCGTCAACGTTTAGAAGCGGCCCGGCCCGCAAGTTCTGTACCGAGCAGACGGAACGCCGTGCCGCTCGTTCCTCGACAGCTGCTTGCAGTAGCCTCGGCATGACTTGCCTATTACGGAAAGGAATGCCTACGAAAACAAGCTGCCAGATGTTTTATGTAGCTCGTTCGTATATTGACCGAATTCGGTTCCAGATGTTAGACGACAACGTTTCGCAATTCCCTTCTTCGGTTGCTTTCGAGACTTTAGAATCCGGGTGTACATATTGTAGAATGCTTTATCTTTGCAAGTGCTCACTTCTTTTTTTTTTAGTTTCACAAAACTCATTTTGTTTACGGGCACACGGAAATCCTACACACAAATACCGAGTTTGAAGGCCCGTCTATCATGCACCGGTAGAGGCGACCGCAGTAAATGGGGGCTCCTGGAATGAACAGGGCGCCATGGTACGCCGTCCGTTCCGTCAAAGAATTTTCGACTACAAGCTCATGTCGACACGTGTCCCCCAGGAAGCTGAAAGCGACGATCGACGAGTACACGACGCGAGTGGGGCAGCAGGCGGTCGTGCTGGCAGTGACTCCTGGCAAGCCCCAGAATCACTTCAAGGTGAGCACCGGTCGGAGGCAGGACAGCTGATGCACCATTCCTGTCGGTGACTTGAGCCTTTCCACTGCTCCCCCTTCACCACACTAACCGCGACGCCTTGTGTCCGGACAGGCTATTGGATCTGCCAACGAGGTCCTGCGAATAGGATAACAAGCGTGAGAGAGAGAATGAATCAACAGCTGTGCCACCCGGATCTTTAGTGTGAGCTCGCGGGGGAGAGTAAGCGGGCCTTATTGGTATATCTGGGCGATTTTGGCTCTTCCCACGTCGGCTCTTTTTTGGAGACGGCAGCCATTGCGCGGGAAACTTGGGAGAAATGCAGCTTCCCGTGAGCAGAAGTGACGACGACGTGCAAATGCGTCGGCAGAATTGAGTCTCCCGAAGGTGCGCCGAAAAAAAGTCTGGACCGGGCAATGTGGGAGGAGGACCAGCTCATCCCAGTGGGCCTCTGGGCAGCCCTTAAGTCAGACTTATATGTAACAGTCTGCTGAAGTCGCTCTATCGTAAATACTTTTGAGAGTGATGTAGTATCTCACAAATACTTTTAAAAGTTGGTATTTAGTGCTCCAACTCAAATACTTTCTCTGATTAACTTTTATTTCTCGCTTGTTAAATTACTCGTTAGTTAGTCGCGCCATTTTTCAATGCAAGTAAAAATGGTCCGAAAATAACGAGTTGTTTTGGTTACGCGCTCTGTGACTGCATACATTTTGTCTTTATACTCTAGATAGTCCCATGCTTGCATAAAAAGGGCAAGCTTTCTGACATAAATGTCGAGAAACAGCTGTTCTGCAAACAGATGAGGATTTTTGATAACAGTTTTATATTCACTCGTTCCATAGTTCATTGTATGGCTTGATTGTTGAAAAGATCGTAACATGAAAGTAGTAACTTGAAGGCAACGAGTTACTTTTGTTTTGGTATCTAGCACTCTGCTAAAATTTTTTCCGAGTTGAGTAGTTACTATTTTACCTCGTACTCGGTAACTTAACTTACTGTAAACTACCGAGCACTGTACTCAGTTACTTTTTTACCTCGTACTCACTAACTTATCCGTAAACTACCGAGCAAGTGGTCACTCTATATTTGGAGATGACCTTGAAAAACTGGGGTATGGGTGCTTGTTAGCTCCAAATGGAAAAATAAAGGAGGGGCTTTACCACTATGCACCGGTGTGCTTGGAGAAGCGGTTGACGTGGAAGAACCGCTTACCTACACTCCGTCGCACCGTAACTCGGCAAACACCGAAAGCCACGATCCTAGTGAGCTGATGGGTGCGTGGGAGGGAGGCAGGTGACTCACCTCATCTCACCAGTTGCACGCAGTAAGGCACTGGCGGGAGAGAGAGGAAAGCTGCTTTTGTACGAATCTCGACTGACAGGCAAATCTTTTGGGGGGCACAAAAGAGACGTCTGGGACACGCAAAAGAGGGCACGGATGGGACGGGAGTTCCTTCTGCCCCTCTTCTCCAACCGCTTGGTTTACGCTTTTGCCCCTGTACCTCTGGTAAGGGCTGTCACGTGCTTTGCCTCCATCGTTCTGATTGGCTCGAAGGGGCCCATACATTCGCTCTGTGCAAACTTACAATGAAACCAAGTATAGATGTGCTTTGAGGTTTGGGGTGGGTGCTTGATATGTTCTTTGTTTAGTTTTCTTGCATTCTACAAGTGGTGGGTGGGTGCCTACTCTGACGTGCATGTGTGCTCGGTATTGTACGCTAAACAGGTACTTTCTTTAGGTATGTATATGGTACGAGCGTGCCACGAGCGAGCTCCCATTTGTGCTCCCCACGTCTTCCACGTGTGACACGTGCCACGAGCGAGCTACCGTCGGTGCTCCCCGCATCTTCTGCATGTGGGGCGCGCGTCTGCACACGCCGGCGCTTCCTCTCCAACCCTTGTCCCTTTCCCTCGGAGGTGTTTGGGGCACACCCGCTGGAGACGGTGGTGCGCGCCTGTCGCGGGGTGCTGGTCGGGGAGCTGGAGGCGGCCCTGGCCCAGCAGGCACCCCCGCAGGCCCAGGACGACCCCACGCTGCACGAGCTGCCGCCCGTCGTCATGGACGGCATCCCCACCCCCATCGAGAAGATGACCCAGGTGGGCAGCCGCAGGCGGCCATGGTCTCAAAATCTACTTGATCTCGAGGCCCGCTCATGCGCTTGCGTTTGCTTATAACGGAGTTGTTGCAATCTCTTGCAACGAGAGAACATGCTGGCACAGTCTGTGAGGTGGCCCTGGGACCGCATTTCACTAGTGCAAAGGTTTTGTGGTATGTGTAAAACCTTCAAATGGTTTTGCACGTACCGCAAATGTATGTACTATCAAATGTACTTACCACCAAATGTATGTACAATCCACGAGAAATGGTTTATAACATTGTCTAAAGGTTTTCGAACCAAAAAATAATGATGTACGAAAAAAAAAAGAAGATAAATACAGAATTCCTAGGTGTTCCACGGCTCCCCGATAGATGGCTCTAGTGTGTTCTAAGGGATCCCAAGAGGTTCTGGCACATGGATGTAAGCGGTCGCAAGTGTGTGGACCATCCTTGACTCCATAGTAAAGGTTGAGTGCCTCAGCGTTTGGAAACCTACTAGCGTCATACCCCAGGAGATGACCCACCTGAAATCAAGAGCAAATTGGTTGAAAATTAGGAGTGTGCCAACTTTCAAGGTACAATCGAGACAAGTTCTAAAAATGTTCTTTTTAGGTCATGTGTCTATGCCAAACTTGTTTTCGAGGCGAGGGGCAATCAAGCAGAGATAACTGTACTTCCCAGTCAGCAATGTTCACTTATATCCCACCATGGCCAACTAGCCGCACTTACGCCGAGGCCGAGAAGGAAATAATAGCAAATCAAGTCAAAAATAGCAGGCAGATTACCTTTCGGGGGTGTGGAATCTCAGGATATTACAGTACTCTTGTTCAGTACTGCTCTCCCTCCGTTAATGGGTGACACGAACCAGGGGAGCAACTCGGATCTACTCGATTAGGATTTCGAACGAGGCCTATTCGTACTATAGAGTGAACAGCAGGAATGCCTCGGGATGGCAGGTTTCTAACCAACAGTTTTCGTGCCGAGAAAGACCCCGTTTTGAGCCTTGGGCATCTTTTCTCGTTGCACACGAACACCCCGTTGGAGGCCCCCCGACAGGGGGAGTGCGTTCATCACACCCCTCGTCTCCCTCCCTCTCCAGGCGCAGCTGCGTACGTTCATCCCGCTGATGCTCAAGTACTCTACGGGCAGGGGCAAGCCCGGCTGGGGCAAGGAGTCCACCCGCCCCCTCTGGTGGCCCAGCGACCTGCCATGGGCCAACGTCCGCAGCGACGTGCGCTCCGAGGAGGACAAGCAGAAGGTGGGCGGCCATTAGGGCCCCTTGGGGTTCATGCGACGAGTCGAGGGGAAGAGGTCCGCTACGTTCACGTGCGGTTCAGTAGCCTCGGAACAACGGGGCACGGTGGCAGACACGCTTAGTCCCTGTGCCTGGTGTGCCTAGGTTGCTGGTGGAGGATCATCAACAAATGCAAAGAAGCAGTACTATATCTATTGCAAGGGTGGAATGGGCGTACCGAGGCCGACAATTTGCATAAGCCTCGCTTCGTCGTGCAGTGTCTCTCGTAAAACTTTCGTCGTCAACTCTCCTCAAGATTCAGGACACCCCCCGTCGCGCTCGAGCGGAGTGATGGGGACTGGACTCTCGTGACACCCCCTCCAGCTTACGATCGGCACGATGAAACTCCCCTCTTTTCTCCACGGCCCTCTCTCGCAGGTGTCGTGGACGCACGCCCTGCGCCAGATTGTGATCAACTGCTACCGCTACCACGGGCGGGAGGACCTGCTGCCGGCCTTTGAGGAGGACGACAAAGACAAGCTCAAGGGACAGGGCGGTGCCGGCCAGGTCGTCAGCAGCGCCACAGAGACGGCCCTCTCCACCACGCAGGGGGTGGGTGGAACACGTCGGGTCGTGCATTTCTCGACACTGTCAAAAAGACAGTGCAGATGTCCTCCGCATGTCTGCGGAGCGCAACCTTAGGACTAGAGTCACATAGTCGGTTACAGGTTGAGAGTTCAGGGAAGGCTCCTCCCATCTCTTTACAATTTAGCAGAGTGAACACCGGAGAGGGGGTGACCTCCAGCGTCTTCAGCGTTCGCTCTGCTAAGGTCGAAAGAGGTGGGAGGAGCTTCCCATGAACTTTTAACCTGCCACCGACTCCCATTCTTTGGTGCACCACCATCTTGGGTCCGTTTTTTCAGCGGAGTTTGTTTTCAGTCTCTCCGCTCAGAGGGAGCAGATCAAAATTTACGGTGACAGGTTGTCTCGTAAAAACAATTTTTCTTATACCGCCATTTGCTTACCTCATAGTCTAAACCCTGAGATACGAAGGGAATGAAATAATGAACGAGACGACACAAAATCTCCAATGCCGCTGCGTTTGACGTCCGAGATTTTGTGTGGTCTTTTCCGTTATTTTATTTTCGCTGTGTCTCATCGTTTCGAATATGATGTTTCCTATCCGGCTCACCTGCACACTTTCGCTTCTTGCATTTCCTTACGTCTGAAGTTGATCACTGCATTAAAGCAATGATCATTCTTTGCTGATCTCCAACAACAGAACTTAGAAATAAGGTTCTTAGTTTGTTTTTTAAACAGAAGGATGCTTTTTTCGAACAAAAACGAACCACGCAAGCGAGCGCAAAGGTTCGCGGTGCTTCCACAAGATACCGTCCCTCGGCACGCTGAATTTCGGTGGTCGCGGCAGTACCGAAAAGTATTTTTTAAGGTAAGAAAGGAATGAAAGATAGTGTAATTTTTGGAGATCGCTGCAGAATTTAGTCTGCTGGTTCAAGGTGTATACTTGGACGAGTCAGTGCGCAATGATAATAAATAAAACGGCGCAAAAGACACAGAGACCAGTGGAAGACCGAGCGCCGTGTCTGTGCGTGTTTTTCAGTTGTCCTGCGTCTTTTTTCTTTTGCACTGTTTTATTTATTCTTGTCTGCTGGTTGAAGGTAAGAAAGGTTGAGCAGTTGATTGCGGAATCGTTTCGAGGCATGCCCACTGCAGACAGACTCCGTACACGAGCTCCATCGCGCACCACACTCCCATGGCGGTGCCCGACACATTTCAACCAGATACCAAGCTGCAGCACGGCGCGAAAAACAATAATGCACGAAACGTGGCGACTCCCACGACAGACCTACCTTTGCACGTGCCGTTTGAAACTCTGGTCGCGCTGGTTGGCTCTTTGGTGATTCGTGCAGCCGCGAGTTGCCCTAAAACGAGGGGCTTGCAAAGGGAAGCCAGCCCTTTCGGATGTCGCACCACGTTTCCTTCAAATTTGCATAGGCCGGCGTGTCTGACGGTTCATTTCGGGGCCCCTCGCAGACGTTGTACACGAGCCCGATCACACACTACACGCCGACGATGGTGCAGACCATCAACAACCCGGACGGCACGGTGTCCATCATCCACGTGGACCCGGGCAGCGCCCTGCTCACCCTGCCCGACGGCACGCAGGCGCAAGTGCGCACCATCAACGCCGTGAGTACCCCTCCCAAGCCCTCGCGCACCCGCCGTGCAAACCAGAGCTTGTGCCGCGCCGGCAGGTTGGAAGCTCGACGTGCGACTTCTGGAGGCTGGTTCGCACTGTTGCATTTCAGCGTTCTCAACTTCTTTGTATTCCCTTGTAACCGTCTACGACGAAAGAACACGCTGGCACGGTGGCACCGTTTCTCGGGTAGCCCTAAAGTGGTCAAGTACGAATAGTGCTTTTTGAGTTCGAAAGCGAATACAGTGCAATCCACTTATGATGTCCTGCTTATAGCCATCAATTCCTAGGGTTTCTAAACGAGAAACAACCAAATATATTGGTCATCGGTTCTAACGACCAAATTTTCGGGGTTTTTTCATTATCATTAAAAGTAGATTGAACTGCAGTGGTTTAGCTGAACATTTTCAAATTGAATACCCAATAGTTTCTCCAAGCCTTTCAATACTGTTACACCAACCTTAAGCGAAAAAAGAAAACCCAGCCGAACTTTGAAGGGTGTTCCCAAGCTTCCGATTGTCCATTTCTAAGCTCAGTTAATTTTAAAATAACTATATTTATAACATTAAAATATTAGTGCGAAAGACAATTTTGTTTACTATATTTCGTTTCTATATTTTACTATAGTTTGTTACTATATTTATAAACTGGCGTGTAAACGACAAATTTGTCGCAGCTGTCCTAATCAAAGGGATTTCTAAATCTGCTGGCTATATGCAAATATTAATTCTTCAATTTCAAATTTTCCAAAAAAGAAAGAAAAAGAATGAGCACGAACAACGAACATGGGTTGTCAAGACGGGCAGCTTAGCCCCGTCGAGTGCGCTTCTCACCGAGCACGCGTACACCGTAGAGAAGCAAACCCACAAGCCCCACGGGTATCGCTTCCCCACAGTGAACAGGTGCTCTGTGGGAAGCCCACTCAATGGGGCTGACCCATCGCAACTGACACTTTGAAAAGCATGAATGTTGTGGTTCGTCTCAGAAGTGAATGTTGAATAGCATAGTATTCGAAATTATTTGAAAATTCGAATCTTGGCCACAACCTAAAACTCTCTCGATCTGCAGATCACTGTGGTCGGCGACAGGTTAAAAACCTGGTAGGTGCTCCGCCTCCAGCAAGAGCTTTCTGCCCTTGGCAGCACTTTGCCACGCGGAAGGCAACAAGCGCAAGGGCGGAGCATCTACCGGGTCCTTAACCTGTCACCAACTGTAAACTGAAAGTTTTGCAGTATTTGCAAGGTCAAATCTGTGCGCTAGCTACGAAAAATTGTCCCTCATAACATTGTTGGGATTATTTCGAAACCATGACGAAGAAATGATGCATAAAATATATGGAGATTGGAAGTGTTCCAGGGTGCCTGCTTGTTCTCTCGTCATAAGTCATTACGAACTGTTGCAATGCAGTCAGTCGCACTTGTCACAAGTCAAATGCACGAAACAACCTTAAAGGGGAGCTCCGGCAAAATTTTTCTCGCTGCCGATTTGCCTCGAAATCATTTTGACACGTTAATAGACGCATCTGAATTAGTAACCCAAACTACAAGTCACGGTGGTTCTTTTTGCGAAGTTATTGAATTTTCAGAAGCTCTACGGCAACATTGAAAATGCGACGTCGAGTGTCGTATGTGGGGGCAGCTCAGCTCATTCTTAGCGGGTTACAAGAAGTTTGGTGGTGTAAAATGATTGCTGTAAAAACTCATGCCAGCAAAACGAAAGTGTTAAAAAAAAGATGGCATGCAATACCTCGTTTTTCAGGCTGTGCGCCCAACTTGCAAGTTGTACAATGAGAGACTTCACCCCACCGGAGAACGTAGGAAATTTTTTAATATTTGTTTTGGCATCACCTTCATTTGCCATTTTCTCAATAGCTGTGTTGAATTGAGGGATAATAAATAGCGTCCCGGGCAGTGGCGTAGCCGGGAAGTATTCCTTAGGGGGAGGTTGGCATTTCCATGACTGGGGGGTGGAGGGGGCTTTGTCCCATCTTCGCGTATAGTAGTCGATGTACTGTACAATTCACGGGTACGGATACACGGCAGTCACAAACCTCCCGTTAGCTGGAACGATTCGGTAGTCAGTCAATATTTGTCTTCCTTTACTAAAAAAAGGATTTTAGGGGGGGTTTTGACCCCCCAAAACCACCACCCTGCCTACGCCACTGGTGCCGGGAAGAGCAAAGTCTGGTTATTCGGAAAACTTGTCTTGTTTGGGAGGCTCAGAAAACCGCCGGAGCTCCCTTTAAAGTTGCCGCAGTGTGGATTAAAAAGCGGAAGGGGCGGGGCGCCCCCCGCGGGGCCGTGCCGGGCCTGTAAGACGCAACGGTAGTGCGACCAATGGCAGATGGGCCCCGCCGGGGACGGAGACGGCCTGGCGGGCCAGGCGGTCACCCCCATCAGCACGGTCAACATGGAGCTGAACAGCGAGGCCGCCGCGCAGGCCGTGGCCACCCTGGCCGAGGCCACCATCAACCACGACGGCCAGATCATCCTCACGGGAGAGGACGGCACCCAGAGCGGTATGTGGGACGCCCTCGTAGAGGCCGCGCAGTCGTCATCGCCCGTCTGTTTTGCGCACTCGTGAATGGCCAATGGACCTTTTGGAAGCGATGAGCGCTGTCTGGGGAGAGTCGTGGGGCGGTTTAACATGCCCCTGCGTGTCGGAACGCAATGGCATTGTGCCGTTGTATCAGTCTTCATTGCTTTGTGTGCCCCATACTAGGAATGCTCCAAAAAGGAATCGTAAGGAAAGGCTAAATATGCGCAAAGATCAGTGCCGAATGTGTTGGTCGTACGGGACGGTGCCATCTGAAAATGAAAACAGCGGGAAGCAAGGCCAGGGGGGAGGGTGTGCGCATGTGCGTGGACCCTGAATTATGATGCACAGAAAAAGCACTGTACCTTTCGAGACGTCGGCGCGGTATGTGCACGTCGTGAAACTAGCCAGGGCTGTGCGACTACCATAAAATACAGGAGAAGCGCCCGCCCCATTTCCTCTGAAAACCGGGTTGATCTGGACATGGGCACTTGTCTGGTCAAATCGGGCGCTTAACACATAACTTGCAGAATTCCCACATTTGGGAAATGTTAATATTGGGCGCTTGAATGAAGTGGGTGCTTCCGCAGTACTTTTTGGTATCAAAAAACGTTGCAGTAATGTTCAGTTCTAAGCGAGGAATGTAAATACAGAAATATTATAGTAAATCTGGAGGAAACGGTCCGCCACATACACGCGCATTTCGGCCGTTGCAGAACAGCAGAGCATGGACGCGGACGTCTAAGAGTGTGTTCAAAGCGCGTATGCTTCACATATATGTATGCCTTGAACGTGTACACTTTTTGTATGATCGATGTGACAAGAAAGAAAAATGCCTCGGACAGTGTTTGCAGGCTGCATTTTGTACAACCAGGGCGCCTAGCAACCGGGAATTGCCTGGGAAATTTTAATTACCCGGAAAAATCAGGGAATTGTCAGGGATATTGTCAAAAAGAAAGCCCAGTAGAGAAAATGAGCCGGAAACACCATCAAGTGTCCTCAGCAAAGATTTGAGGACTTGTGGGCAGAAAGATAGTTAATAAATTCTGCTTAAAGCAGAGCGCAGGGTCTGCTCACCCAATGTAGAATGTGATACATGATGCAGAGGGAACAGCCGACAAATTCGTTTCAAGCCTTGGATTGGATTGAGGGCACAACACTAGGCTTGAGCAAGTTACAGCTACTAGATTTAGTAACGAATGGGAAAGCTGCAGAGCCCAATCCAATCCAAGCATTAAGCCGAAAGTATCCGGAAGTGTGCAGCTGGCGGCTATGCGCCATGCTGCCATTCGGTTATTGACATGTGTGGTTAAGCGTCATGTTTCATTGTGTATCCGGAAGTGGCCTCTTCATCAACGATGTAGGCGGCAAGAACAAGCTTGTTTAATCCTAACTGCACGAACCCAAATATTTCGGAATATGCAAGTTGATTTAAGCCCGTTCAAAATGATGCTCACAGTGCTCAATACCTTGTGTTGCAATGGTCTTATATATTTAACTGCCTCTCCAGTGGTCAGGGAATTTCACCTGAAATTGTCAGGGAAAACCTGTAAAAGTCAGGGAATTTCAAAATAATAATTTGCTAGACTCCCTGACAACGTATTAGCGGCGGGATTGTGGATTACTAGCGCCCACCCTCCGACACGCGTGTTTTCCTTGCAGCGTTTCCGGTGTCCGGCATGGTGACGATCCCGGTGTCCATGTACCACGGCATGCAAGTGACCATGGCGCCCGTGGTGTCCGCCGAGGCTGCGTCCTCGGACGGCACGGGCGAGACCGTCGAGGTGCTCGCCGTGCCCGTGAGCACGACGCAGCAGCAGGTGGACTGACACGTGACGCAGTCCGTGTAACTCGCGCGACCGGACTGCCGCCCCCGCCCCGCGCTTCGAGAGAGCAAGCGACAAAGACCCTTCGCCTCGTGCCGCGCGTGCAAGACGCTGCGTCGGGTGCATTGCCGTGCCCACTTCCCTCCCACTCGCTTCGAGAGAGAGAGAGCGACGTGGGACCGCCGACCGACTCGAGGAACGCCTCTTCGCTTCGGATCGTGCGTGCAACGTGGCGGAGCAGAACATTGCATCGACCGTGCCACGTCGAAAAGCACTGGCTCATTGTGTGCGGCCTCGCCGGATTCGAGAACGCTTGGTGGGAATCTGTTGCCACATGCCCGCCACTACGAAACGCTGCAGAACTTCGATGGCGGGCACCCTGTCCCATCGCAAAGCAACGCGGGAGTGCGGTGCTGCGCCACGACGTCCGAGGAAAGTGTGCCGTGGCGCGACACATAGACTGTGCTCCTCACGCCCAAAATTCGTCGGGGAACGTTTTTTTTTTTTTTTTTCTTTGCTCCCGTCAATGCGGTGATTGTGGTGTTTCGATTTGTGCATCACTGCGACTGTTGTGCGACGTAACCTAGCACTCGTTGCATCGTGGTCGTTAGAAAGAGGACGATCCTTGCTTTTCTGTTTTCTGCCGGGGGTGAAGGATAAGCTCGATGGATGTAGCCAGCTAGGCTCTTCGTTATACCGGTGTAGCGCTACGAGATCTCGGGTGGAAGAGAGGTTGAGATCGAGAGTAGCTGCGAGCCATCACAGCCATCCGCCGAAAGATCTCGTATGCGAGAATTGTGACTACTTTACAAAACTGAAGCTCGATTTGTAGTGTTTCGGCGTGCGAGGTACAAAAGCCTAAATCGACGTAGCCCAGTCGGCGAAGATTAGATGGGCGCTCTAGCGTTCCCTTTGGAAAATAATGTGGAACGACAGAAAGCTGCAGGAGTTAACAATACAGTGGCATTTTCGGGCGGTGCCGAATTTAAAAGTTGTCAAGCTCCGCACGCGCGGGCAGACGCTTATCTCTGCATTCCCGGCCGCCAGACGCACTTCCGGCCCACCGTCGTCTCATGTGCTCCTCCCCCTAGCCCAAGAACTTGGGTCTCTAGTCCCGTCCCCAAATCGCTTCAGGGAACCGAGATCTCCCAAAACTTGCCAAAGACGCTCCGAGGTTGTGTGAACTTGCACGCTGTGCAACGTACGAAAACAAACCGCTTCCCTCGCCCTTCGAGGTCATTAGGTGCGTGCAATTTTCTAGGAGCCCAGCGCACGTTCGGCGGCATCGCACGTCGACGGAAGCGAGGCTTTTCTCTCGGTGGTTCCGTCGACGCATGTGGCAAATGTAACATAGAAAGTGTGGGGAACGCCTGGTGGCGCCAGCGCGCATTATTTATTGTTGTGAATATCGTGTACGTCTCGAGAAATCGTCGTCGGACAGTGTCCTGCCTCGCGTGCGTGTTTGTGTCTGTTGTACATTCATTCTCGACTGGTCCCTCTTTGTTATGTTGATTTCAGGGGAAGTCGCCTCTTCTGGTATTTCTCATACCTTACGATTCAAGTCTGTGATCCTAGTTTTCTGGAAACGTACAAGAAAGGTGTCTGAAACAAAGAACTGAAAATTCAAACCTGGATAATGTTTTCCCTGCTCTGTTGTAGCTGCCAATGGAATTGCCCCATAATAAAACCATGGTCTTTGTTAGAATCCATTCCTATCTGTGCTCGTCCTCTTGGGAGGCATGACACGCCCGACCCCATCATGGAAGCACCCTGCGTCAAAATTATGGGATTGTGCGAATTTTCTAATAGCTTCGAATAATACGCTCTTGGACGTTTGCACTGGGATTAACTGCGATATGTAATGGGGCCGTCCCATCACAATGAACACTTCGAAATGTACAAATATTGCAGTCACGCATTTAGAAGAAAACCGAAACGGGATGGTGCACTCGCTCGCCTGGTGTATTTAAAAAGAAACAGAAACAATGCGAGTGTTAATATCTACATTGAAAAAAGATATTTGCATATAGCTACATTTATAGGGCCTGCCATAGGGCCTGCCCCCCCCCCCCCACAAAATCTTCCATTTTGCTGGGACCTCTTCTCCCCCCTCCCCCTTATACAGCATTTTGTCATGGGTGGGCACCCCCCCACCCCCCGAACAAAATCCTGGCTACGTGCCTGTCTATACGTTTAATTTTATGTCAAATGCGTCATTTATATGCCATCCCTATGTAGGTGTTAGACTTTCTGAAGCAAGTCCATAAATATGGTCAGGTCAAAATTAGCTTAGAAATGAACAAGTGGAAGCTTAGGAACAACCTTCGCAAGTTCAGCCGAGTTTTTGTTTAAGCCTGATGTATTAGTGAAAGGCTTAATTATATTAATTGCTATTTGATTCGAAAGCATTAAGCCGAAACCACTATTTGATTTGAACCCAAGATCCACTAATTTCAAAATGGCTTTGCTCAGGTTGTAGTAAAACTTTATTTTATAAACACACAACACGTAACATGACCGTAACATTGATGTGCGTTACACTCTTCTACAATGCTTATATATTTCTGTGAACTTACATTCGTTGCTTATTGGATGAAGGAACTTGTCATTACAGCACGTGATGGTTGGAACAAATGCAAATCTACAAGAGCCGCCCAAGTGAACGGGCCCACGGGCTAGGTACATTTCGTATGAAACGCCCCTTGGGTTTCACTTGCAGACTGAATACAATGTGCTGAACAGGCAGCTGGTTATAGGTACTGAATATGCAATCGACGGAATACTTGGGGTAGTCACTTGCAATATTGGTGTTTGTCAGAGACTTTCGGTGCTGTCATAGGAAACATCTTGCACGCACGAATGTTATTTGCAAACTGACTTTTACTCACAAAATTATTATGCACCTGTGGGTAGACATTTGCAAGAAGGCTCACGTTATGGGAACACCGCCTGGAAACAGCTTTTCGTTTCTCCTAAGTCTCTTACCTTCTGCCATTCGCAACATTGCAAAAGTAACACCCAAAGGTACCGCGGAAGTTGGAGAAAGTACCAAAAAAATTGTTACACTGTAGCGCAGTGTGGCCACTTATCTCGTAGTACAAAACAAAATTGCTCTCGTTCGTTGCTCGATAGGGTGCTCGAAGGTCAGCTGTTCTCAGAATCTTGAAGCAGCGCGACCTTCCGGCTAGAAGCCTCCGTGTTCCAAAAGCACTAACCACGGATCCTTGCATGTCCACGTGGCCCTTTGCTCGTGGAATCTCGCATGCGATACTTGTCTCTAGTGCTCGTAAATCTTTTTTCTTTCAGCCATCTGTCTATGCCAGGTTATGAATGGTATGGCACAGACGGGTCCACTCGTTTATCGTTGGCCGCATGACTGAAGGCGTGTGGAAGACGCTGAAGGCGTTTTTTAGGAGAGCCAAGTTAGGAGCAAACATCTAAGTTTTTCTTGTTCTCCGAATTCAATTATTGCGCTCCAAATGGACAGAAGTAAATCTAAACCGCTTTTGTTCCGGAAAAAAGTGTAGCAATTACCGCAGGGCATCTGGCGAGCCTCTGCCGGAGCGACGTCGGCATTTCCAATGCAGTTTAGAGGCGAGCAACTTTAGACAGCATTTTTAAGGTGCCTATACGTTCACAACGTTTGCGTTTTCTTTTTTAATTCATTAACCTCCTTCACTTCCCTTTAGCCCTTTGCATATATTTTGTAGGGCGTCACATTCGGAGCTACTGCTGCTGGAGCTCCCAAATAAGCCACGCTTGGAGAGTTGGCGGCGCCGCCATTTTGTTGCCTAGTACACAGCGGGCACATCTGGCAATAGTTACGATTTAAAAATGCTACTTCCTGAGCTTCGGGTATGACTACAGGAAGTTCAGGCAGTATCGCCTTGCTTTGTCATGGACTGTTGTAACGCTTCTGGGGGACAAAAAAATGTTTTCCATGATTTGCGGCAAAGCCTCGAATAACTGTCAGCAATGATTTTCAGCACCAAGATGGTTGCAGCGTCGTAACTCGGAAGCGTAGCTTATTTGGTGGCCATAGCTTCCGCAGTGCCCGTGAGGAAGAGGCCGCCCGGCACTTCAAGTTAAGCTCTGCTGTTGAGAATGTGGGGGTCCCTCCGGGGGTGAATCGGCTGGGCGGTCATCAGGGCACCATGGTCATCTTGCTCTGGAGATCCTGTGCCAGCCCCGAGATTCCGGCGCTGATCTGACGCAGCTTGGGCTCAAACATCAGCACCTCCTTATGGACCATCTCTGCAAGCAGACAGGCGCGGCAGGCTCCAGCACACGGCCACCAGAATCCAGTTGTGGGTTGCGGCGACAAAAACCCCAAAACTGCTCTACGAATATCTAAGTGCACGTTGCATTTTTTTCGAAACCTTGAAATTAGTTTAGCTTTTAAGAGTAATTGGTGTCAATACTGAAACTGCATTGTGACCCGTCCAACCATTAATGAAAAAAGTAATGAACAAATTTTAGTCGATCACCCGTGACGATTATCGCCCCATCGAGTGTCCATCCAGCCATGTAACCCACTTGCACCGACCGCACCAGCGTAGCCTTCGTGGCTACATTAGTGCGGGCACTTGTGCAGCAGGCAGGGCGATGCGAAACGCGGACGATATTCCTATTCGTGTCCTTGCATCACCAGCCTTGCCTCACAAGTGGCGACTTTAGCGCCAACCCCGCACTTCCCACATAGTTCAAGTTGTCCTAGATTTGACTGATTCGGGGGTTTTCAATGACTCTCGGCAAGTTTTTAGTTGAAACCTTACGTTTCTTTTCACTAATTAAGAAAAGTTAGTTAGTACATTTTAGGTAATTATTTCGCCAATTTGTGTTTTTTGTAATTTTCGACATCCGCCGTGGCTGGTAGTTCCGAAAAGTTTTTTTTCCCAACCACCCTAGTTTCAGGAATTTTCGAAAGTATACACAGAAACACCCGGTATGTACATATATATGGCAAAGGACTGTGTTCTTTGAAAGCAGGAAAAACTTGGGCAAATAACCTCTGGTAAAGTGGTAATTCAAAACGTCGGAGGAACAGAAAGGGACAGTGGAAAAAAAGAGCGCTATATATTAGTTGGGTAAATAAAAATGTTGCCTTTAGGGGTGTACAACTATTTTTTGCTATTTGATTTGATTTCTTGCTATTCGATTTGATTTGCAGCACATTTTTACTAATTAGAGTTTCTCTATTAGCCGAAAAAAATCAGAAATATCCTCAGAATTCACCCCCATTTCTTGTGCCAAGCTTCACCGCTTTGCACTGGTGCACACACGAGTTTCACTGCTTTGCACCGGTGTGCTCAAAGAAACGGCTGACATGGCAGAGCATCTCGGTTAGATAGATAAACCTAAAAATTGCGCTTTTTTTTTTTTTTTTTTTGTTACGATTATTATTTTACCCCTCATTTTGAAGGACAGTGCCAGAGACAAAGGACCTGTGTTCAAATAAACAAGGTAGTCATTGTTAGATTATGCGAGTGTTGGATAAAGTACATCTAGAAAGTACTTAAAGTAAGGTAAAAAGTAAATTAGATGTTATGTACTTCAAGTAAAGTATTAATTTCTAGAGCAGAGTAAACTACTATAAATACAATGTACTTTCAAAGTAAAGTACAAGTATTTTTCAACGCAATCTATCCTGATGTTTTTCTAGGACCCTATGCAGAGCGCAAGTTCATCTGCTTCTTTCACAGGGGGTGCGATGATGTGAGAACGCTGAGCTCTTATTGGCCGATTGAAAAATATAGTGGGTAGACCTCAAGGCATCAAGCATTGAGGTCTACCCATTATCCTCTCAATCGAAACCAATCGGAGCTTGGCTTGGTTCTGACGTCACCGCAACTACGGCACAAGAAGCAGACGACATGCTCTCCGCATAGTTTTTATTGTTTAATTGATATGCATTGTTTTAGGGTTAATGGGGGTGCATCTTGATATGGATTGCCCCCGGGGGGGGGTGTAATGGGGTTGCATCAGTTATTTTAGGAAATGGCAACAAACTTCGGATAAAGTCAAGTGGCCACAGAGTACCGCAAAATACCAAGCATCCTCCCATTCCACAATAAGCACCCATTTCTTAATTTTGTAACATTCAGAAAATACAGAAAGGACATATAACTAACTATTGTTGACCTAAGAAGTGCCTATCCCCCAATTTCACATGATCTCCAAATTCTGAGAGGGCACTTGCTCGGGAAATCACAATAGTTGTTTTACTCTTGCTGACAAACTATTTAACACAATCAACCTGTAAGGCACTTATTTGTAGCGGTCTTATGGCCGCCATTACTTCACTCAGAAAAATGATTGGACGACTTCTCGAAAGACAAATAGTGTGTTTTCACACGACTATATGCTATTTTGTTGTTAGAAGTCGAGATACTAGTCAACCTTAAAAGTTGTGTATGGTACTGGGAAAGGCAAGGACGCGAGCATGTGGTTATTGAAAGTGCTTATTTCACCGAGACCAAATTTGGGGAATGTACTTTGAAGTTGTGAGTTGTACTTTCCTCGGAAAGTACCAGAAAAAAATACTTATACTTTAGGTAAAGTACAAGTACATACTCAGACAATGTACTTCAAGTAAAGTACAAGCTTTATAAACCTACTTGAAGTAGTACTTTAAGTACAATCTTCCCAACACTGGAATATGCTTTATCCTTTTTCTAGTACATGTGAAATGTTTCTAATGGAATATTACTGTTCCTGTTTCATAGGAATGTTTTCTGAAAAAAAAAATTTTCAGCTGCTATTTATTAAAGTATTTGAGCTCTATGTACATTCATTGAAAAACATTGACATATTAGAAGAAACTCAAATTCAATTTGTAGTCGACTTATTTATATTCGATTCTCAGTAAAAAAATAAGATAATTGGACAAACTAATTTCCTGACTAACATTTAGAAAGTTAATTAGTAAACTTTTATTAGATTGCTTATTGCTGCTTTCTATTTTTACTCCGCCATCTGCCACAGTGGACAACATTATTTTCAAGTTTGTTTCTTTTATTTCAGGTCTTCCTTAAAATTGATTGGCTGTAGCAGGTCAAAAACCCTGTCGATGGCACAAACCCAGTTATACCAAACTACCCTTGGAAGAAACGGTTCGTTTTGTCACAGCTTGATGTATATGTTCATTGGTCTGGTTGCAATAAGTGTTTGGGAAAAAAACAGCAGTGTTTTTCTCACCGCAAAAACTAACCATGCATCGCAGAATGCTCGGCCTCCGCCCGAATATGGCGCTAGTGGTCAGGATCGGGTTTCAGAACTAACGGCTATCCAATTCAAAAGTTAACGAGCGATTTCCGGAAATTCTAAATGTGGAAATGGTGACCAAGCGGGCCCGTGAATACGTGGAGATAAATGGTGTCTGCTGCCCGAAACGAGGCCCATTTCCTCATTTAAAATTTTTGAAAGTTGCTTGCAACTTTTGAATCGGGTAAGCAAATACCGAGCGTTTCGCGACACATCGTTCATTTGGGGCAGTGGTTCTCAAGTGGGGTTCCGCGGACCCACTGGGGTCCACTATGCCACTTTTCGGAGCCGCAAAGCCCTCGTCTCAACCTTGTTTACCATGGTTAGGTAGCACAAGCTGTCACCCACTATAAAGGGTGTAGCTGTTGCCATCTATCTATCCATTCATCTTTTTAATTGATGCTTCTCACTTCTCCCATCTATAGCAGTAAAGGATGCCCTTTTCCCACTGCAATTAGTTCCTATTTTACACCCTCCCCGCCTTCCCCTGCTGGCATGGGGTCCCCCATCACTTTGGCAGGTCCACAAGGGATCCCCAACACGTCCATGCTTTAAAACAACCGATTTAGGGGGATAGAAACGCCGTTATTTTTGCTCTCAAAGCCCCGGTACAACAAATCGCAGAGTGGCACAGAGAACATTGTTGCGTGCGGTTTTGACCGTAACATCCGCGCAATTCGGCATCGAAGCACAATGGCAGGTTTTTCTGGCTAGGCCTCATTTTATTAGACAGCTCGTGTAAAAACAAAATCCACTTTTTACAAAACCCAACTCGGGGAACGCAACAAACAAAACTGGAAAAACCTCACTAAAAGCCACAATAACAAACACGTGCACACGGCGTGCACGGTAATGCAGAGGACGACCGAACGACTTCTCCGCAGCGATTCGGCAACCATGTGCAATCGCCACATAAAATTAGGCACGCCTTACGCCGAAAAGGCACCTACTGTAAAGGCAGCCGCAAGAGCGGACACTCTGGAAACGAGGCAAGTTTTCACCCCACACTAAACAAAGCACCTACGTTGGGTAAGTACATTCTGAAAGTGTGCATCCAAATCCCGCGAGCAATTTAGGGTGGCCGAATATTGCTGCCCGCACGATAAAAACCCAAAAATTGTGACACGGCTGCAGAAAGCAGCAGAGCGATTCAACCCTCTAAAAAAACTAAAAGGCCGCTAGGACGTCGAAAGCAGAGGCTTTAGCCCGGCGGCTACAAAGCGAGCACCAAAGACACTAACAAACTCTACTTGCAACAAAGTACGATGGCACAGAACGGTCAACGAGACCCTTGCCAGTTTCAGACACCGTGGTGGAAATAAGCTCTAAGGAACAGTTGCAAGTGCACTTCTCAAGCATGAATCATTCTGCTTGGCAAGCGGAACTCAAAGTCGTCCGCACACCTTAAGCCACAAAGAGATAGTCAGCCTCAACAGAATGAGCGCTCACAGAGCACTTCAAAACGCCGTGACGAGGCTTCCGATAGGACGACAAAACTAAAAGTCTACTAGCCTAGACGCAAGCTTGAAAGACGTTTGACATCGCTGCAGGGTGTAGACACCGACTGTCCGCTCCGACTGACGGGTCTGTCGACAAGCCCGTTAGTCGGCAGACGCATCTGGACGCGTTCGAACGACGCGCGGGTCGTAGGGCCACTTCCGGCGTGAAACTTGGTACACGTTCTGGCCTCGTTCCGAGCATGCACGTGCGAGACACTTGTTCCGCCAGTACGCCCACTGTCCCACACTGGTCGCAAGTCACGGGCCCGCCGGTCGCTGGGCGCGGGCCGGGGATGCCGGACGGACGCCGACCGTCGTTGGACACGGCCCGCCTGGCACACCGGCAGAGTGGCGGTCCCGTCGGCTTCTGGCCGCCGAGGGAGGGTCGTTCGGCAGTGTAAACGCCGGCTTGTCCCGGCCAATCCGCTGCGGCCGCTAACGGGGCACGACCTCGACGCGGCTAGAGGTCCGAGTTGGCGGGGGACGGCACAAAGCTAACGGTCTCCTCATACACCAGCCCTGGAGGAGAGAAAAAGAAGCCCGCTTTGAGCACGTCGGCTGAAAGGACCGTTTCGGCTGGCTCTGGCCGGAACCGGTCAGGTAGGGTAGCTGGCGAAACAGTCATTTTGCCAGTTACCCTGTCTGACTGGAGGGAGTTGGGGAGGGGGAGGCATCTTCTCCCACAAACGACCGCTGGCCGACACTTGAGGGGGGAGGGGGTCTCCTAAAAATTTTGCCTGGTAAAATCTTTGCCGAAATCAGCTGCAATGCGAGATCTCACAGGAATGACGATCCAACTTTTACAGCCTCAATTTACTCCTTTGTAGATCCACTGGTTATCGTTTGGAGTTTTACGTCCAAGAAAATATAAAGCTCAGGTTGTTAGACTTTCTTGTTCTGTCTCTAAGTCTTATAAAAAAAAAATTTCAAAACAATTTACGAGCCTCTAGTTAGTGGACACCGCTGATCCTCCATGAAATCTGAGAAGGGGCAGGCGGACGAATTGGATGCTCGACCGGCAAAGGGAGGACGGCCAATGGCGGGGTTCTCCTCGAGGGCTTGTGTTCGCTAGACCGGGTCTGGTGATCGAAATAACCCTGAACGGGCAAATGGTTTTGCAACAAATGGCCGGCACGTATTCACGCAAAAGTTTTATGGTTCTAATAGGCACCTTTAGCAACTAATTTAGAAGACTGCCGGTTGTACGAGCACATACCCAGAGTCCCAGGATGCCAGCTGCCGACTCGTGCAACACACGCATGGCCACGTTTGCTCTCTTGCAAAGTATTAAAGAGACATGGCATTCACTACATAGTGGGCTTGCCAGCAAACCATTTTTACCACTTTTATGTTACAGAAGTGTTCCATAACCTGCCTCCCCTCCACCTCTTTAGCGTCCTCCACTGCATTATCCATCTTTTGTTTCTGTTACTTTCGGAGCGCAGTGATCCAGCACTCGGCATTGGGTGACCTAGGTATTTGAAGCACGAGCACTTCTCTATCCACCCGCGTTGCTGGTGGATGCAAATAGAGGTTAATTAAATTTGACAGAGAGGGATTAGTTCCGATGCTCCTGCCGCCGATCCCTTTGCACAGTCTCGCATCCAAACATCAGTTTGGCTTCCACGATGGTTCTAGGCACCAGCCCTAAGCTCTTGTGCAACATCCAAAGAGTCAGAAGCATGTGGCCTAGGCCAGCTCGTTTGGCAACGAGCAGCTACATACAAGATGCAAGAAACAAGACGCAGTGCGGGTCGCACGTGGATACATCTGTGTACTAAAATTTTCACAGGCAGTTTCCAAGCAATTTTAGGTCTACGGTCAATGAAATAGCTTTTCATGCACTGCCCCACATACGGTTGCTGTCACACCGCCTTGAGATACACCCCTGTCAGGGTCTTAAAAGTCGTTTAACAAATAGCACTAGCCAAACCCGAAGATCAGCATGATTTCCCACACCTGACGGACGGCTGTCCGTAGACTCTCGGATAATGCAGGGGGGCTGCATACGGGGTTTGTGCAACTGCAGGGAAAAGCGTTTGACCCAGAGCCACCCAACTGGGGATGGAAAACATGGCTGTCTCCAAGGGCACATGTGAGGACGTTTTGTTCCTACCCAACATTTTCCGATGACCTCTTTGTGAAGTGTGAGAGTGGTGGCGTCGTTCCATTTATGCCCCGCTATAAAAGAACTTCCCTTTGTTTTGGAGGGAAGCACAAGTTTAACGAGGGTGCTGCTTCATTAGTGCGGGAAGCTCGACGTTTGTCAAGAGGTCCCAGTTTAAAGGGGCACAGCTGCTTCGGACGAGCCTCTGCGACTCGACAACCTTGCCCACCGGCTCCAGGACTTTTTAGACTTATGCTAGGTGGCGCAAGCTACTGACCGTTACAAAGGGTATAGCCATTAACATTCATCCATCCATCCACGCCCTCGTAAAGCAGTTACGGCACTTACTCGATCCATCGCCCAAAAGTCCCGTACGCAGAACGCACAAGCAATATGTACACGAATCTACTCAGCATGAAATCGTGATGTCACATTGCACCACGATTTGACACCCTTTGTCCCTAGATCTCGTAATGTTGTTGGCAACGTGACACGTGGGATGCCACGACTCCACAACATAAGTCACGTGGTACCACGACGCAACACCGCTATAAATAAATAATGAACGTAGCCGTTCCGTCGCCGTAGTTGTGTTGCACCATCGTCAGCTGGGTTTAAGGGGGAAAACGTTGCGTCGAATTTAGTGCGAGACGACCCACGGTGGTGTCCCGCTAAATTCGACGCAAAGGTTTCCCGCTAAACCCAGCTGACAACGGCGCAATGCAACTAAGGCGACGTAACGGCTACATTCCTCTATTTATTCAAAATGCCCCGCATCGCCTTAAGAAGGCATTATTACAAACCTGCGCTCGTCCGCCGTATATATCCTCTTCTGTCCCCGTTTTTTGTGCGCTCTCTTTTACGACGAATTCATACCAACACGGCCTAGTTCTCAACCTTACAACACAAACCCTAACTTCCCTTCCGTTCTGACGTGTCCTGCGTCTGCAACCGCATAACCGCCGTCCCACACTCCATCTCTTCGCAACTGACTGCAGTGGATGATACAAGCCGTCGGAGCCAGTTCAAGCCCGTGCAATGTTCGCAGAGCTAGATCGGCCGAGATGGCCTGTAGCATCCGCCGCTGTCGGATGCAAGGTGACAAAGAGTATGCGATACGCAAGTTCGTCTGCTTCTTTTGCAGAGGTTGTGGTGTTGCCAGAATGCCGAGCTCCGATTGGCTGATTGAAGAATAGTGGGTAGACCTCGAGGCAGCTTGCTTTGACGTTTACCCACCATTCTTCAATCCGAGCCAATCGGAGATTGGCGTTCTGGCAACACCACAACCTCTGCAAAAGAAGCAGACGAACTTGCGCTCCACAAATAGAGTTACTATAATGTATGTTAGAGGTTAAACTGGAGCTAGAGTCTAAGCGACTTCCGGGAGGCAAATTGAAGCAGACAGCAAACAGTCTACTTTTGCGGTGCTCCTGTGCACTCCTTCGGGATATTGCGCGTGCGTTTTGTTTCTTCGGCCGGAAATAACACGGAGCACTTTTGTTATTTCGGTCGTACCGAATACAGTCGAGCCCGGTTATATCACACTTGGGAATTCTGAATTACTGCTTATATTACACAGTCCAAACATGCCCTTGAAAATCCCCATGTAATAGTATAGGAGCGTTGTCTTTTAGTGTCCAACTCCCATGACAAGGACACTCAATATAGCGAACGAAGCCCGACCGCCTGTTGCTTTTCCCGCGATGCAACTGCACCAGAGGCGGGCAGATCGAGCACATCGCTTGCATTGTGTGGCTGGCAGATTGCCAAGCGAGCATACACGCGGGAAGATTGGAAGATACGCAGCAAAACAGCACTTGAAAAAAAAAAGAAGAGACAATAAACCAAAAAAAAAAAGTGGAGGATGGCAAAAGCAAGCGGAAGGGCATGCGCGCGACGGCGCACTTAGAAAGAGCAGGGAGTGCCCGCTGTTGGAATGGAAGCCTGTGCCCTTTTCCCGAATACTGCTGATGCTGCGGGACTCCCTAGCCCCAAAATAAAATAAGCAAAACAAAAAGTCTTTGGCAAGTCGAGTATGTCAACAACAACGGTTGAGCAATCGCACTTTGAATGCCTTCTCTTTGCTTACCTTTTTCTTTTGCCAGTATTGCTTTGAGATTTTTTTTTTTCTTTGCCTTTATTTTTTTGTTGTGTGAATTTAGTGAGCATTCTTTTTGTTCCTTGCCTAACTTTCTTTTAAGAATCAAGAAATTTCTTTTATTCGCCTCGCTTTTCCGTTTTTCGTTCTTTTTTTCTTTTTTTTTGTGTGTTTTGTCGCTTATGCTTTGTGGAAGTCCCGGCCAAGCGCGTTGTTTGTTTGGCACGTATATCCCCATGCTGAAAAGCGCCCACGTTGCATTCGTGCTAACAGTGTCTGACGGCGTACATAAATGCATCTACGAAGTCGTTTTAGCGCTATTTTAACGCACTAAATTGGGAAGAAAACGCCGTAATTGATGAATTATTTAGTCTGCCTGACTGAGAAATGTTCAAAGTTCCCTAGTATGTACGAATTATTTTAAATGTTTGCTCTTATAATTGAGTGCAAGGGGAAAATGGACTCACGTTTTCCCATAGAAATGCATTACCACAAGTCAATTTTCGACTGGCTGCTGTCTACTTCAATTTGCCACGGCACACTAGCGCCATTTGAACCTCTAGCATACATAATAACTCTATGGTTCTGCATTGCCAATATCACTTAGAAAACAAGACCTGCACATCTCTCCTCCAAACATCATCACTAGTGAATCGATGCAGCGCCACCTAGCTCGCGTCAGTGTCACCGCCAGAACATCTCGGGGCATCTCTCGACAAACGTGACGCTAGCAGGCGGTGACGCCAAGACGAACGAGTCTCCCGCTTTGCTGCAACCCTCGTCGTGCTTCGGCGCGTTTGCCGCGATCCACTGACGAGGCCGTCCTGTGTAGGCCTCGTCTTCTAGGATGTATTGGCACGCGCATCGCGGGCTGCGGGCGAGTTGCACTTGAGCGCCGGAAGGGTTCAAGGACACTCACGCCTCCACTCGTGCACGCTGAGCTCGCGGTCCTCGAAGGACTGGTCGCAGGGTTCAGCGGTGGGCTCGTCCGTGGGGTCGGCCAGGCTGGCCAGGTACGGGTGAGCCAGGGCCTCCGTGGCCGTGGGGCGCTTGTCCGCGTCCAACTCCAGCATGCGCTCCAGCAGGTCCACCGCTGTGCCGGAGAAACAAAACCAGTCGGACGTTTGTGCATACCGTAGTACACCGAGCCATCGCCCACTCCCCTATTGCCCGAAATTCATTAAAAAGAGGGGACGGCCATGTCTCGGTGGCTAAGTGCAAAAAGTTTAGAAAAAGCAGTGCCCATTTTTCTGTACCTATCTGCCTATTTCTCTGTACCTATCTAGCGCGGCTGCACAACAGATACATTAAACTGGAAGCTCGAATTAGTTTCATTGTTTTACGCAAGAAAGTTCACGAAACAATGTTTCACTGTCGCGAAGTTCGTTACTTGCGTACGCGCAATGAACACCGCCGATCGGCATGCAGTGCAAACGTTTGTTTGAAAGCAAGTTTCTAACACCGCTACGTTCACTTCGTTAGAAAAAATACTTAGGGGACGTTTAAGCTTTGCCTTTAAAAGTGGAACGTGATAACATTATGGGGCCCCGTTTGCAAAGCCTTCTCATATAAACACGTGCTCATAGCCAAGCCGTGCGTGTGTGCATGGGCTAGTCGGTAGCATCATTTGTCGTCAACGTGGCTGTGACGCCATGACCCTATCGACCCGCTAAATTTGGCAGAAAAAGTTTTCGCTAAATTTAGCGCAAAATTTTTCCGCTAAACATGACGGGAAAATTTTCTCGACAAAATTAAGCGTGTAAATCCCATAATGCAGCCACGAGTGGCAGCCACATGTGGCCATGCACGTTGCAGTACAGTCTAAGCTCGTTATAACAGACTTGGTTACAACAGACATTTGGATATAACATACCGATTTTTGAAGTTTGGTTGGTTTTCCTCTATGTACCATTGACTGAACTTCATATCTGCATACAACATACTCCTTTTAGAACAGACCGAAATCTTGGTCAAAATCAAAGTCTGTTATAACGAGCTTAGACTGTATGAGGCTTTTTGGTCCCGCCGACGCCAGATTTTCTGCGACACAAGCTCCTAAACGCTATCGTGCTAAGAAAAAAGAGAAAGAGTCAACAAAAAAATAGAGTAACTGACCAGGCATAACGAGCGAGCGAGGGTGAAAAAAGCAACGAAGAGCAATGGTGCTGAAACGGGAAAGCCGGCAATCGCGTTGGCAAATACTTTTCCAGCCAAGTTGGACACCTTGTCAATCACAAGGAGCAAGGTCTTGTGCAACTTTCTTGTTTGGTGCATACGTGCGTGCGTCCACGCTATCAACGTGGGTTGAGGTGGCGCCACGAATATGGGCCTCGAAATGGGGTGCTTTACAAATATCTGTGTCTGGCGTTCCAGCAAATGCTTATTTATCGGCTGGCTTTGTCTCAAACATTGCACGACCTTACCAACCGTGGTCGCGACTTCCTGGGAGAAGAAGCCGGTTCGCGGTGACCTTTCTTCATGGAAACGGTCTTTGACCTTACGCTCCGCGGTTACATTCCATGATATGGGGCGTTTGCTGAACTTGCAATGCCTGAATAAGTCACTGCTTGCGTTATCTTTCAGACTTCCTTATTGTCCGAATTAACTTTTTTGTAAGCAAAACACAGTTTAATTTTGTTCTGCAGCAGAGCGAGCTTTCGCTCCATGTGCTTTGAGCTGCGGTGCTCTAACGCACGCAAGAAAAGGGGAGGGGTTAAACCATTAGTCAGCTACGCTTACGATATTGGTACTTTATTCCACGATTATCTTATATATTTTGCCATTTCGGTGCTTAGTTAGCGTTAGTTCAGATTAGAAAACATGACTCTCCGATCTTTAGGTATGTCGGAAGCTTGGGCAATATCCATGTGCTCCGCCGCAAACTGCTTTAACGTTTCTAGAGGACGGAAAACCGTTTACTGCAGTTTCAGACAAACTTCGAATGACTGACAGCTACGATTTTAAGCACCAAGATGGCCAAGTGACGTTATTCAAAAGCGTAGCTTAATTCGTGGTGCTAGGGGGTGTCCGCGACACCCCCCGGGGCCCCGCCGAAAGGTCGGGACAACCGCAAATACCTTGTTCGAGCAACCTCGGCTCCTCGTGTGCCATGCGCACACGTCGGGAAACGCCACTTCGTACTTCGGCGTTGCGAGCCGAACTGGCCGGCAAAGATGTGTCTCACCCTTGGAGTTGGCCCCCTGGAACACCTCGGAGAAGTTCTTCTTCTTCATGACCGGCAAACTCCGGATGTAGTTACGAGCCTGGCAAAAGAAGACGGAAGTCGAACTCAGAAAAGCAGTCCCGCGAGCGCGGCAAACTCGTGTGCGAGATGGCCAGGCTCGCGTGCATTACGAAGCCCACAAAGGAGGACGGCACAACCCGAAGCCGGGAGATGCGGCCGAGACGGCGGGTCTTTGCGCAACATAAAGGCAAGGTTTCCACGGGCAACTGACGAATTTGGTTGTTCGAAAATTTCGTGCAGGTACTTTCTACGATGCAAAACACTCCCTACCCTCCAAAACTACACACGTGTGACATGCACTAGCTTCGACCGACGACGGTAAGTGGTTGGCATTCGTGCGGGGACTGGGAAACGTTCGGCAAAAGAGCCAGCTGCCCACTGTCGCCGATCAGCGAGCATGCAGGGGCCGGGCAAATGGATTCGTAGTCAACATGCGAGCACGCACCCGTCCAAGGTCGCCAATGGGAAAATTGGTCGTGCACCCTCCACAACGAATCGAGTCAAACAAAACTTCTAACGCTAAAAAAGCACCGTGAAGGAGATCAACGTAAGGGCACGCAAACGGATGCTCCAAGAGGGAGAGAGCGGCGTTCATGCACCCGTACACGAGCGGACCGGCGTTTCGCTCGACCAAATCTCTCGCAATGTAAGAACCGGGGAAAGGGAGGAAGGAACGGAGCCCGGGACTGGCCTGTCGGTCGCTCCACACGCACCTCTTTGCTAGAGATTTTGCCGAGAAGCTCCTCGTCCGGTGTGCCACACAGCGCCATGATCCGGTTCAGCTGGTTTATGTCTTAGCCCAACGCTCGGTCAAGGGCAAACGTCCTCCGGCGTGCCAGTCCTACACCCACAGATTCCCTAGCTCTTGCCGAGTGCAACAAGTGCAATTCGGGGCAGAGCCCGACTAAGCCGCGACCGCGGTGCAAGATGTATATAGGTGCGGACACTGCGCGCAATGCAGCTGCCAGATAAAATTCTCTCCTCGCTTTGGTTGCAAGCAGCGCCACCACGACTCTTCAGTAATCGGCTAGTGGTTGCCTGTGTGGGCCTGGTTTCCTATGCTCCTCTATGGGAGACATGCTTGCGTCTAAAGTCGCATTCTGGGTGTGTAACATCATGTAGAACTTGCCACTCGCACCCATCGTTTGCTTAGACGCAGCTTCGTCCTTAACCCTAGTTTTGTGTCTCAACGGCATCAAGAACAGTTTTATGAATGCGTCCAAGCGGAGAGATCTCTGGTGCAGTGTTCAAAACAGCATTTGTCAAAGTCGGAGCAGACGCGCCGAGCAGAAAGCGCAAGACCCCAAATGCCATGGCAACGTTTTTTTCCCCCCCTTAGTTGCGTTGTTTGGCTGGCGTAGACCCTGTTGACACAGGCTACTCAGGCGCGCGCCAATGGAACTTTATCTGGTCAATCGCGTCGCAGCGTATGCCGTGCCGTGTGTCCTCACCTAAGGAGTATCTTACACCGAGGCCACAACCAATCTACTTTTGTTATCTAAAATCGTGCTCCACATGAAGAAAGTTGGCGCCACCTACTGGCAGTGCACTGCAACTATGCGCACACATAGCCTGGAAAGGAGGGACCTGTACCGTAGTTGTGAAACAACGAGCCTCCGAGAGTAGTAAACGCATTCCTTCCACCTCAGTGTGCCCCGGATGCTTCTTCCCACACAGAAACCGGGCACCGAGTCTGACATGCTGCCCGTTTCAAACGAGGAGTTAGGCACACGGCACACCCTGTAAGTCTACACAGCAACGATGCAGTTTGTCGTGCGAGTTAGCAGAGTCACGCTCCAACGCTGGGCACTACCTCTTCGCTGGTCATTTTCATGAGCAAAAAGTCGTCCGGCGTTCCTGTTACTGCCATGATGTGCATCAGCTGGTCAATGTCTGCCCCGCCACCCAAAAGGTCAAGGTCAAAGCGCCGCGCCTAAGGTGCAGCAGCTCCCGAAAGCAACGACACCGCAGACCTATCTGTGCTCCGCGCAAGTGTTTTATCGGACAGCCTTGCATTCTCGTTCGTTCGCAGCCCCTTACTCAAGGTACCTCTCACCCATCTGCAGAATCCGGAAGCAATTCACGAAACGAAACATCTCCCGTACTTTTGATGTGCTATCTGCAGCAGACACATTAAATGCTAGTTTTCTTCCCTTGCACTGTTGCTACTGCATAAAGTGCACGTGCTACTGCACATGTCTCTTGGGCCATTGGAGGATCTTTTTTATGTCCACTCTCTTCTGTTTACAATGCACAGAAGCCCATGCTACTGCATTAACTTGTCCTACATGTGTCTCAGGCCATTGGAAAATCGTTTTATGTCCACTCTCTTCCGTTTACAATGCACAGAAGTGCAATGAAAGTGGGACCTCACATCACAGTTTGGTAGTCCGTAGTCCGTACTTGCTCTGCTTGTACTTGGGCCGACATCACACAAAGGTGATGTCGGCCCAATGTTGCTGCTTAAAAGTGTGACCGTGTAACTTTTGCCAAAACAAACCTACAGGTTACTTTGGATGTGGTTTTTCTTATTTTCGCGTTACATTTGTAAAACTTCAGCACACATTATTTTAAGGCACGAGTACCACAGATTATTTTTATGATTTTGAAGATTATGTCAGAGTGGCCCTTGAACAGGTGACGGAAGAGACCTATGATGTATGTGGCCAAGCTACTTTGGAACTAAGTGTGCCAGGGTTAAAAGAAGCTATTCTAAGGCCATATTGTACAAGCAAATTCTCACACAAATGTGCACTCAACGTCGCACCAGCATTTCTGTCCGTGACAATTTCTGTGCGGGGCCACACACTCCGTTTCCCAGAGAAAATGTTCCGCGAGGAAATACCTTTAGGCCAAAAAAAAAAAAAGCATTTTACAAAAGCATCTAAGAAAGAGACTCTCATCACAATTTTAGAAGCCCATGGCACATTGTATTACGCTCTATGCCATTTTGTGCCCTTGCTCTTTGTACTTCAGTCCCAGTCTGCTGGATCTAGGACACTTTAGCCAGGTTTTCAAGAGCTTTCAACAGTTGGTGACAAGTTAAGAGTCCAGGGAAAGCTCCTCTCACCTTCTTCCACCTTAGCAAAGCGAACGCTGTAGAGGAGGTGACCTCCTTTCCAGCATTCGCTCTGCTAAAGAGGAAACAGGACGGAGGAGCTTCCCCTGATCTCTTCACCTGTCGCAGACTATAGACGTAATTTTCTGGCACTGTCAAAAATGACCTCATTCGAAAGTACTTGCAGCCTTTTATGTAGCATGGCGAGAAGGACAAAGAACAAAATTTATCGCTTTATAGTGGCAAGCGGTGCTCCTAAATGAAAGGCAGCACTTAAGGTCGGTTCAGACATTTGCACTTGAGTACGACTGACCGCGCCCCCCCCCCGTTTACCAAGGGGTGGTTGCCATGGCAACAGAGGTTCGAGCAACGCGTCATGGCGCAGTCAGTTGCATCCAAATGCAAAACTTTGAGCCTTGAGGTGAGCGGCGCCACGCAAGGCCCCTTGCGCTGCACAAGCCCCGCCCCTCGAGGCACTCACGCTGTGGCTGCTAATTTTCTCGAGGAACTCGTCGGGAGGGGTGCCCAGCAGGCGAATGATCATGTTCAGCAGGTGGATGTCTGCAGCCACAGGCACGCTAAGGCTCCTAACGCGCCGAGGTCGACACTAGACCCCGGCGCATGGACGAGGGCATGGGCAAAGAGGGGACACGGGGAGTCAAAACTGGGGGAATGGTGCCTGAAACGTGTCTTCCACCGGTGTGTCGGCATAGCTTACATTCCCATACTTTGAAAGCAGTCCCCTAGTGGCACCAAGCCGGCGTGTCGTGCTGTCGGACGTCACGATCCTAAAAGATGTCACCGGAAGTTCCGGCAAAAAGACGAGCAAACGATGCTGTACTGCGTTTGCCCCTAAGCAGACGGTGCCGTGGAGGCTGTGAGCGCGTTAACTGGTTGTACGTCGATCCTCATCACATGATTGTGCTCTTGCCAATACCCTCTCACGGAGAGCCGGAGTGACGAAAGGGAGGCGGTCCATTTATCCGGCGAGAGCGCAGCTTCCACTGCACCGTCTGCTTAGGAGTGAACGGAGTGTAGTGCGCCGCTGTCGTCGTGAACCGTCGGGCTGTAGAGCAACCTGCTGCAGAAAGGGCGTCTGCAGCATCCTCCTTTTCTGCCATTGCATCTCCAGAATCGCAACAGGCAAGAGCACGCCGCAAGTGTGACATCACAAGCAGGAAATCAAGGGATCATAAATGAGGACGCGGCAAACACGCAGACGAAAACGCGTTCCAAGCACCAACCGAGAGTAAGGGCAGGCTAACCAAAGGGGTTACGGGAGGGGAGGGGGAGGGGTTAGGTGGCCGAAAGGAGAGCACATCCGAAGAAGGCTTTCTGCCGGTCTGGTCCACTGCCCAGGCACAAAGGCGTCTAACGCTCTTGCCAGCCTAGAGGTTTGACAGGCGCTCTCGCACTCTGGCCCCGCGACAGATTCGTAGTTGAGGCTGTCAAAGCCTGCCCGCGACGACGAAAAAAACCCGGATAGAGTGAGACCGCGGATTGGGCCAGCGTCAAGTGTGGGATAGACGTCTAGGACAGGGGCCTGGTGCCACGCTGGGACGTGCCACAAGAATCCCCAACAGAGAGGGAGAGACGGGCGGAAAATGGGCGAAGGGTCGCGCAGTGCCCGCCGGAGCAGACGGCTCTATGTTTCCGCCGCAAAGGATACGGTCGTTTCCAGGGAACAGGGTCTTGGACGTGATGAGCTCAGCCATGATGCAGCCCACCGACCAGATGTCCACTGGAGAAAGAGCAGGACGTCATCGTCACAGAGATTGCAAGGAGTACGTACAGAAGGGCGGGACCCTGTCACTACGCTCCAGCTGCACCTGTCCAATGCCACCTAGAGCTCGAAGCTACCGAATGGACGGATGGTATTGGCCGGTGGTTGCTTGTGCCACTAAGCCCAGACAAATTCACGCCCCTACCTCCTTAAATTTTCTTCTACAATCCATCTCTCGTTATATCGTCTAACCGCCGATTTGGGCAATATCACTCCTTTCTAGACCTTTTCCACCAATCCTCTACTTTCCTCATTCTGATTGTAATCCTTTCTTCCTCCATTCTTCCACCCTCAACGTGTGGAAAGACGCTGCCAACATCGCGATGTGGCAGGCAAATCCCAGGAGGTGGGCTTCCCCAACTATGTCCCCACCATGGGTAGAGCGCGAATTTTTGGGCTATGCATACCCAATCCGCTTATCTCAATGAACCTTTCCGAAAGGTGACTTTGAAATGAGCGGAGAGGTCTACGTTCCTGGCTCGTTTCCACGGAGGGTGCGGCGCACAAATTTTCTATCCTTGCGGTTCGCAAACGGGGGTCTCCACGATTATAAAATAATGTGGAACCTCAAACGAATTCGCACGAGACGTTTGTGAACCACTTGACCGGAATGCTAAAGCTTGAAGAGAGGAAGCAGAGTCTGAATTCTGGACAGTGTGAATACTGGATTATTGTCCCCAGCTTTGCAAGAAGTCACTTACTATACCAAGAAAACTCGCAAGAACAATTAAATCATGGAAGCGCCGTTTGGTAACCGTATATAAAATTACCCCGCAAAACAATTTGCAAAAACATATGCCTACAAGTTTCAGTTAACCGGAGAAAGGGGAAAAAAGAGGCACTTTTGGGGGCTGGCTACGGCGGCAAATCGCCAAATCCACCTGTGCTTACACGACTCGGCTCGACTCGATGCCCCATTTCCGGCCGAGCCAACACCACCTGAAAGTCAAGGCCCGCACGTGATGTCGTCGTTAGTGGATGCCGGACCCGCCCCAAGGGGCAAACAAGCCGAAGCCGCGTGCTAGCATCACGCTCGTGAGATACTGCGAGGCACACCGGCAGCGATGCCGACGCAAGCTAGACGACGGTCCGTGGACCCACCATTGACGACGTTTGGGGGGGCAGTGGAAAAGCGCAGGCATTGTCTTCTAGGCGGCATCGGCCGAGCAGACGGAGCTTACTCACCCGTCTGGTTGTAGTGCATCCAGTTGAGCATGATCTCGGGTGCCCTGTACCAGCGCGTCGCCACGTAGCCAGTCATCTCCACCTCGGCATGGCGTGCCAGGCCAAAGTCCAGGATCTGTGCCGACGTTCATCGCTACGGTCAACCGCTCTCATAGGAAGCCGACGGCAGGCTTGCGATCTTCAGTCACGAGATAGCAGACGACGCCCCTCGCAGCACACATTCCCGTGCAAAGCTTAAGGCCTGTTCGTACCCTCGCATTTGCTCGCGATCTCGTACGACGAGAGGACACGCCGGCACGCCGGCACCATGAATGAGCTGACCCTGGAGCTGCATTTCACTAGAGCGAAGGTTTTTGCGATATTCGAGAGATCAAATGTATATGCTATTAAGGAAAAAGGTAGTTCATAACACTGTCAAAAGTTTTTCGACCTAAAAATAAAAGAATGATGCAATGGGTGAGGCCTTCCCTCACCCATTGCGTCCATTGGCGATTTTGTCCTCTTTAAAGAAGCTTTAACAAGTTACTATTCATGATCTGTGCCGGACTAACCATTTTCAGCGTTTTTTGTACTTCCGTTGCCCACCCCCTCTGTAATGCTTCGGCCCTGAGGGTATAATAAATAAATAAATAAATAAATAAATAAAAGAAACTTGAGATGTACAGAACTGCAGCCGTTATACGTCTACCCGACAGATGGCGCCAGTGTATTTTCTCATCGAAAAAGAGTTTAAGAGGTTCTGGGGCACCAGTTTTAATACTAAAAAATGCAGATAAGTGTGGATTTATGAACTCTACTCCCCAAGGAAGCCAAGGACGCACCTTGAGTTCGCAGTCCTCGTTCACTGCAATGTTGCTAGGCTTGAGATCCTGTATCCAAGAGAGGATGTGTTAACAGTGGGCACGCGCTGGAGCGAGCTGCGTTGGCTCAAATTTTTCCCGACGATCGCACGGATGAATTTTTTTGTTAAAAACATTTTTGGTAAAAACACCGAAAGGTAACCCCCTTCTAGTAGGTAAATGCAGTGCTGGGGCCCATGGTGCCCTCGGCCAAAATGGTGTTGTAGTTAGCTACGACGGTACATAAGCGAACACTGTTGACTGGGGCAAACAGTCCTCTATGCTTCATCACCTGCCATTGTGATACCAAGTGTGACAGATCCCAAAAAAGCAAAAAAAAAAACATTTTTCTCTCCTTTTTTTTTTTTTTTTTTTTTGAACCACTTACAGCTAAGTTTACTCTTTATTTTCAACCAGTTTTCTCCCGATTTCAGGTGGGCTATCTCTCGGAATATTACAGCACGCGCGCAAATGCTTTACGGTAGATGCGGAGAAGGAAAGCCACCACAGGCATGCATCCGCTTCGTCGACCGCACGGGACAACATTACCCACGAACATTTGTCCACCGTAACGGAAGAACCGATCGAAGGACGAAGAAGGTACAATTTACCCTGTGAATGATTCCCGCCGAGTGGATGTACTGCAAAGAAATGTAAAAAAGTACCGAGTCACTCCTAGTCCACTGTCAAGAACAAGTTGCAAACGTGCACTCCGCAAATGTGCCACCACCGAACATCAATTTCACATAATAAATCTCGAGGAAAAAACCTGCCATCTTTTCGCATTTTTGGCCGCCCCGGAGGGGCTTGGCATAGAAGCGGACGACGAATTGTTTTAGCGAAACGATTCGACACCTCCGATGACGACGCCCGCCGGCACTTCTGCGCACGCGTCAGAGTTTCGTCGGGTATCGTCTTCGGAACACAAAAACAACCTACTAAGAGACTAATCAAAGGAACCGGCGTGTTTTCTACCTTGAGTCCCCTGAGGATCTGGTAGACGAGGAACTGGACATGGTCGTCGCTCAGGCGTTGGGTCCGGATTATGTTGTTCAGGTCGGAGCCCATCAGGTGGTTCACGAGGTACCTGCGGACGCAGTCAGACTCGTCACGTCGTTTGGCGTTACTCAAAAGCTTGAGCGCACCGTTGCCCAATTCGATTGTTTACGTTTTCGTTTGAGGAAATGCAAGCCACGCATTCGTTGGCGGCAGTTCCAACTTTGACAGAACAGAACGAAACGTTTAAAACATTTGGGTGCTGCTTCTGCTGACGGGGCTACACAACCTTTGCGAACCGGTCGGCCAAGCGGTTAGACAAATTCCGGTGACCAAAATATATGGTGTCGTCTCGTCACGACGTTTGGGGTATGTGGATGGCAGGAGTTGACAGTACGAGTATTTACAACGGGTGACTTTCGTACAAAAGGGTCAACTTAACCGAGTAAATTAAAGTTCGAGCCCGTTTGCCGCAATAGCAATGTGCCTCTTTTATCACTATGACAAACTCGCATTTACCGAGTCGAATTTATAGCCACTAGGCGTAGGATCCACGTTTGCGAGGTACAAAGTAATGCTAAGCGCAAGTTTGTCCGCTTCTTGCAGGGAAGTTGCGACGACGTCGGAATGCAGAGCTCTTATTCGCCGACTGAAAAAAACATAGCGGGTAGACCTCGAGGCATCTAGCATTGAGGTCTACCCACTATCCTTCCAATCAAAGCCAATGAGAACTTGGCGTCGTTCTGACGTCGCCGAAACCTCTGTGCAAGAAGATCAATTTAGAAACTTGCTCTCCGAATTGATTTCACGCGGACGTAACAAAGATTTTTCCCAAGAAAGAATGACCACACTATAGAGAGCTTTTATAGTGCTATCAGTTTACAAGAGAAAAAAATTTGAACAAACTAAAACAGTGTGCTGAAAGTATACGCCAGTGCGGAGTCAATGCAAACTGTTACGAGGAAACGTTGGCAGTTACGAGGGCTCTAGAGAGAAACTGCGACATCCTCGCTCAGCATCGAATGGAGCAATGGGAAGCAGTGCACCACTTGCAACAAAGTCTCCCCTACTAGAAAGCCATGAGCCCACTACATAAATGAAGCGTAGCAGTCTTTGCGGCCACATTAAGAAGGGGTGAAAGTCTCTAAATCTCAAACATTTACAAAAGTGCTCATTTTTCAGAAATCATAATCTTGAAATCTACACAGCCCAGAATATCTGCCCACAAAATATTATTGTTCAATTCAATCTCTGGCTATTCTAAAAACAGCAAGTTCCAAATCTTAAGCAGCTGTACGCCCCTGAAAACAAAAAAAAAAAGGTTTTTTTTTTAAACAATCTGGTTGGACATGATTGTAAACCTGAGACTGGGGCAGAAAAGAGAACACAACAGAAGGTAGAAAAAGAGGAGGCAACGTCTCAAAATTTGAGACATTGCCTCCTCTTTTTCTACCTTCTGTTCTGTTCTCTTTTCTGCCCCAGTCTCAGGTTTACAATCATGTTCGACTTACACCAGCTCGCCTGCACTCTGACTATTTTTTCGTTAATCTGGTTGGGACACGCATGTCAAAAAATTCATTTTTACAGCAGAGCTGCTACGGGCGAGTTTCCCCGTTATCGTGTCCGCCAGCAAACAAATGATGACACAATACTCTGGACAGCTACCGCCATCTATGAGCAACAACGGCAACCAGACAACCCGCTTGTCTGGTTGCCGCCATCGCTCATAGATGGCGGTAGCTGTCCAGAGTTTCCACCCTGGCTTGCCAACTTGCGGCCGGCCATTACTTCATTCCCATGATAGTACAGGTTTGCTGGTCTTCCTTCTTCACCAGAGTGGAAAGGCCGAAAATCTTTCTTCCGCTCTCCTCTGCTCCGCACGCCCAAAATGCCGAGAGAGAAAACAAGTGGAAAGGAGGTGACTCCCAACTAAATTGCGTCCCGTGCCAACAAATATTGCTCTAAAAATTTTTTTTTCCGCATAAAATTATTTTTTAGACATGCGTGAAGCAACCAGATAGTTTAAAAAAAAAACTTTTTTTTTCTTTTCAGGGGCCCTTTAATGCACACAAGAAACTTTGAAGGCGATTTTCTCGGCTTTGCCCTTTTATAAATAAAGAGTAATTCGCTATAACTTGAAGTAATTATTCTCCCATTTATTCCCCTTTCACAACTGTGATTTACTTATAATAAAAAAATATTGCTTTATACATTGTATTTGCATTAGGATATATCATGAACCTTGGGAAATCAATGTATGTTGTTAGAAGGAAAGATTTTAGCGAGGAATTATCTTAACGACCTATAAGAAATGACATACTTAGGATTATTTATTCTGCAATATTTTTCATTTGAAAAGATACTGTAAATCTAATTGCAAATTTAATCCGCAATCTCCATACTTTTTTGAGCCTATTTGAATTCATACTTTATTTCAGCGAGATAAGTTAGTAAATCAAATTAAAATTTTTTAAGAACATTCTTCCCCTTAGAGAAAGGATCAGTTAATGAATATGCACAGTCGGGCAAAGAAGGCTCCCCGTGCGGAGAAGGGAACTCACACGTCCTGAAAGTCCTCCAGAGTTGTCGATGGTGTGAACACGTCCAGTAGGCCAATCACCTGCAAGAATGAGGTGGGCAACCGTCAAGTCCCAGGACGCCACTCCCAGATGCCTCGCCCTCCTGGTGCCAGCAACGCAACAACGGACGCCGAAACAAAGGCACCACACTTCTCGCCGACACGTAGGGGTTCACAAATGCAACGATGCCATAGCCAGCAACCCCTTGGAACCGGCGCAACTTTGACACTGCGTCTCTTTATGACGCAGTCGTACAGAGCAAGGCGCAAAGCAGCTCAGAAATCCCAAGATTACAATCGTGCGTTGCCTTTTTCTCTAATTGACGTGCCATCAAACATTGTGACAAGCCCCTTTTTTGTGAGACAGAAGTCGGAAAAAGGAGCTTGTTGCGACGTTTGGTTGTGTTTTCAATAGAGGAAAAGGCCACGCACGATTGATGTTTTGGATTTTGTCAGATGCTTAGGGCAAAGGAACGTGCCACTATTAAGTCACATTGCGATTGGGGAAAAGGCCACGCACGATTGCACTTTGGCATCTACTGGGATACTTGGGGAAAATGGGGCATGACACAATGTTTGGTCTAGCTTTCTAATTGGGGAAAAAAGGCCATGCATGATGGTTATTTTTTATTTTCTTGGGTGCTTAGAGTGTGTAGGTTGAGTTTGGATTGTAGAAAGGCAAGAGCCACCCTGGAGGTATGGATTCATGTCGGAGCCAGCCAATGATTAGGCCCTTGATGGAGCCACTTTCAGTACAGCACCTGGAACTCGTACCTGACCAAGGCGTTCACTGAGTCTTAAAATGAAGTCCCTCGATTTCCACCCGACGACGTCACAGAAAAGCTGGTGGACGTAGCGGATGCCTGTTTTGCTGCAGGTCGCTCTCCAGTTTGACAGTCCACGGAAGTTTCTCCGGCAACAAGTTGGGACGCCACGACGACAGCAATGCTCATATTCTCTCGTGCTTTTTTCCCCGGAACTTCTACGCCCAATCACCAGGATTGTGACATCTAATAACATGACGCCTGCCTTTGTGACATCACCTGTTGCCGCTTGGAGACCACGTTTGATCACAGGCGGAAGAGGATGCAAACACACCAGTCGGAGTCGCGTTCCTTGTACTTCCGGAAATTCCACAAAAAGTACAAGCTCGAGAGACGGAAGGGGGACTCACGTTTTCGTGGTCCATGTGCTTGAGGAGGCGGAGCTCTCGGTATGTGCGCTTGGCATGGATGGCAGACTGGAACGGCCGTGACAGCTTCTTGATGGCCACCTTCTGCTTGAGCTCCTTGTCCAGTGCCGAGCTAGAAGGAGCGAGCAAAGACGTCTCGGAAACTGGACAGCCCTCCCGCAGGTGGCCCCGCATCAAGTGCAGTTGCACAAAGAGGATGTGCGGTATTTCAATGGGACACAAATGTCGCTCGTGCAACACGAGTATGTTCAAGATAGAGGCAGGCTTGCTAGAGACAATGTCTTAGCTAAGACCACATGCTAAGATTGTGCCACCGCTAAGACCCTGCCACTCCTCCGCTTGTGAAAAGATTGTGAGTGCTCACCCAGATGCAGATCCCATGATGTCCTTGATGATAAGGGCATCGTATTGTGGGTTTAATCGCATAGTCTCTTTTATATGTGCTCTGTATTTGAAAATTATCTTTGTGTAGAAGGAGGCTGACAATGATGGTATTGTGGATTTGACTGCCTGGTCTCTTGTGAATGTGTATTGTCTTTGTATTTAAAAATGCTGTCACCAAAGAACATCTCTGTGTGGTGAATGAGAGTGGCTGTGTGGGTAATTATAGGTTGCTTGAAAAATAATCCAGTTACCGAGTTTGAGGCGTGCCCTTCTATGTCTGTTCCTTCGACTGAAAGTTCTTCATTTTCTTCCACAGTCTCAGGTATTAAACAACATGATCTGCTTCTGCTTTACCTTTGACAGTACTCTCTTCGTAGAAGAGACAGAAAATAGACAGGAGCACGTCTCAATTGAGACGTTATCCTGTCTATTTTTTGTCTCTTCTACTTTTTGGTGTTTCTTCTCTACCCCAGTCTCAGGTTAATTTAGCATGGTTAAGATCTCTACCCCAGTCTCAGGTTAATTCAGCATGGTTAAGAGTTTTATAATTTAGAAAAAAGCTCACAGTCTTGGCTGCAGCCTTGTACTACACTAGGCACATACATACAGCTAGACTGCTTTTTGACACACAGATGTGTCCAGTGACTCTGTTTCCTTTATTCTTCTAGAAAGAATTTCTAACCGTATACGGATCATGGGCCTCAGGGGCAGTGGCTGGCTAGCAAGCCATGCATTCATTTTTGCTTACCGGTTGAAGAGACATTCTGCTGCCTCGTGTTATTTGTTGTAGTCAACACTTACACTTGTCCCCTTTGAAAAGGACCCCCCCCCCACCCCACCCTTTTTTTTTTTCTTCCCTGCGGCTCTGAACTTTTGTAATTTTATATGCGGCTCTAACCCCATGTCACTCTGGCAACCCCTGCTCTAGAATTAGACATTTGTAAGGATTCAAGCTCAAATGACTGTGCTCCAACAACTTTTCAAGAGCAACTCTTTTACAAGTGTGACATTGGTTCGCTGCAAGTCGAGCATCAAAACGTAAGATAGTCTTCTTTCCCGAGATCGGGAAGAGTATGAAAGGAGCCACGCCTACTGCGAAGTTTTTCCTGCGTCTACCCTCTCGTTTGGTCACTTGTAGGCTTTCTTTCGAGCCCCGTAAGCCGGCTTTGAGATGAGACCATTGTGCATTGTCTAGCCCACGGGAAAGTAATTTAGGACCAGTGTTAAAAGCCGCTCAAGGACTTGGCATAATCGCTGTGCCCGCGAACCACCTCGCTTCCGCCAAAAGCGTCGGAAAGACGTCGGTGTAACGCGAAAGAGAGGAGAGAGCTCGACACGTTCGTAGGAAGCGGAGAGGCGGTCGACTTCAAACTCCTACACATTTTACTGCCTTTTCCGTTTTGCCGCTTTATGGGTTCATAACCCCGCGAGACGGGACGGAAAAGCACACCGCCCAATGGTACGACACAGAGCCCCCAACTACAGCCACGCACTTTTCCACCAGAAGACACTGCTCTAACAAAAATGAGTTACGTTAGCAATGTAGCCACTGCGCCGCCGGCGAGAAAGCAAAACAGAAAAGAAAGCCTGTACAAGCGCGCTCTGGGAGCTTGTCAAGGGGAGGCATGCAGCGGTAGTAGTAAACAAGCTACGACATCGCCCACTTAACGTGGCCTCTCCCTTTCTCAAAGCTCGCGGTCCTTCGGGACAAGGTTAAATATCGGGACCGATTAATCGAAACGAGCCCGAGTGGAAACGAGGCCGCGGTTCGTAATCCGACACCGACGCCGTAGGCCTAGGCGCGCAACCCACCAGACTTGCCCGTAGGCTCCAACGCCGATGGGAGACAGATTGGTGTACCGGGCTGGCACCTCCCAGACAGTCTTGTTGAGTTCCACTTTGTGAAAGCCGCTCTTCATCGTGACGGCGGACGGTGAAGTTACACAACACGGATTCCCCACAAGACCGCACCTACAGAGACATCACGAGACACAACAAATACGGCTGCTCGCTCGTCAGGCTGTCCGCGCGTCGTCGTTGCTTCGTGCGGTTCTCCGTCCCGTACGCCCGTACCCCCGTACCACAGACCACAGTCCCACAGTACCCACAGTACGCCGTACAGTGTACAGCGTGTACCCGGTGTACCAACAGGATCCTCCGTCCGTGCTGTGGCAGCTGCGACCGCTGCGGCGCTGCTGGCGCTCCGTCCATCCGGATGGATAAATGCTGCAGAGCTCATAGGCAGAGCTCTGAACGGCTGTACCAGCTGTACTTTTAATAGCGGGCGGTAGCATGCACTAAAGCACTGAATAATATTTCTCATCCAGTGCTTTAGCATGCACAGGTAACCTGTAACCACTGATCTCTGATCAGTGCCTGTAACTATGGTTCTTGGAGCGCGGATCTCTATGGTGTTTAGCGTCCTATCTCACCCATACATCAAAAAGTGGTACCGGAGTGGCAACAAATGACGTCACAAACGCCAGAGTGTCATGCTGTTGCCTGTCGCGATTCTGGCGGTTGGTCATAGAAATGCTGGCGAAAAGCACGCGCGAACCCCTGGCGAACCCGAGTTGCCCGAGTGTCGCTGTCGTTACTTCGTCTCAGGCGTCCCAACTTCCCGTCATTTATCTTCCGTGGACGGTCACACTGGGTCACACCGGTCACATCTAGAGGAAAAGGTCCGCCATTTTCCCATACATTCTGGCTGCCGCAAGCGGCGGACCGCGGCGGACCATGCAGGCAGACCCTCTGGGTCCCAAACACGGTTACATCTAGAGCACTATATAGCTCCTTCGGAGCAGAGTAGCGCAATCTAGAACGCCGTCTCTCGGCGACTAGCGGCGAACGCCCGGAGGTTCCAACTGCGGTCAGAAATGCATGGAGAACGTGAGAAAATCGCTGTTTCTTCAGTTTTGTGGGGATGTGCGGAATGGAAATCATTTTTGACATAATAATGAAACATTTTAGAATAATATGCGATAAGTTTTGTGCCATACAAGGACGTAACTTTTTTTTAAAAATTGCCTGAGCGGCATTATGCAGCAGACGACACGGCGACGTCACACCATTCACGTGACCCGCTCCGGCCAACCCGAAAAGCCCATCTCCGCTGCGAGCAAAAATCGTCTGCTTCAAACGCCATTGCCTTGGAAATTGCCTTCTCAAAATTTGCACACGCATCCGATATTATTAAAACTTTGATAAAGTGTTTAGTGCTTTACTAACTTCACGACAGACTAGTTTTGAAAAGTGTGAACTCGCCGTTCATTTTTTAATTAGCCGTGTTGTATCGATCTCCATGTATTCTCCCATAGGGCGGGCCGCCTCTTGGAACCCTGAGTACCACGTGACTCGCGCCGAGCCGCTCTGTCGGCCATCTTGTCGGCAAAACACGAGGTTCAAAGGATTGCGCTACTCTGCTCCGTAGGAGCTATATAGTGCTCTAGTTACATCATCAGAGCAGTTTCGTGAACTTCAACAATCCACGAACTTACCGGTGGAAAAATACTCGCGTTCCTTTCGAAGGTTTCTTTTTGCATAGCGCGCAGATGTACGGCCTCGCGTTAACGCTAAACTGGCTAGGGCGCGGCTGGGCGCGGTTGAGGAATACGAAACTGCGCAACCACCAGATTTCCGAGATTTCGACAGAAGGGAAGTTAATGCAGCGTAATGACTTTATTGCTTTTTATAAGCGTTAGAATAGCTCAGAATTTAGTTTACAACGTTAAATTATCACTGTTTATATTGCTGAGAGTTTACACTCTTCGCGTTTACCGCGTTTACCATGGCAACGTTGCTTTCTTTCTCTCGTGTTCTGTCGCTCTCTTTCGCTATCGTTCACTCGGGACCCAGGATGTCGGCGCACGGGATTTGCCACTCCTCCTCACCCACCTTTACCCCCCTGGGTCACACAGAGCAACACAGAGCCTGCGGTCTAGGGGTGTCGCGAACCGGCCGCGGTTCGAGTTCGACCAGGTTCGACTTTTTCGAACTTTTAGTGGAGAGTTCGACGAACCTTGTATTGAGGTTCGACTGGTGTGCGCATGCGCGTCAGGCTGGCTCATTGGCTTCGGATTGGATGGTAATGGCTAAGAGATGAATTAAGTGCAGCGCTGATTGGCTATTTTAGTTAATACAGTACTAAAAATTAAGTTATTAACTTCTTCAGTGATTAGATTTAGTTTATTTTAATTGCAGCTGTTCACAAAATAAAATAACCCTTTGCATAAAAAAAAATTCTCTAAACCTAGACATGCTTGTATCAAGGGCTGGCCACACTGTCCACAAAGTCGAACCGGTCGAATCTGGCGAAAAGTTCGAAGGTTCGTCGAACCGGTTCGACCCAGTCGAACCCCGAAAGTTCGACCAAAAAATCTGGTTCGACAAAAGTTCGCGACACCCCTACTGCGGTCACACTGAAGAGCGCATAGAGATCGTACATACTAACTGAAGAGCGACCTGCAGCAGAACAGGCGTCTGCTACATCCACCACAGCTGCTGGAACGCCGCCAGGGTCGTGACCGGTGACAGCATGACACTTTTATGACGTCATAAGGCGGAAATCGAGGGACCACTTTTTTGGACGGGGTAAACACACCAGTCGGAGACGCGTTCCAGCGGTTCCAGGCACCGTACCTGTAACCCCTGTAACCTCTCTTGGCTGGGCGAGAGCATAATCATGTTGCAAAGGTTGGGAAGAGGGGTCAAAATTGTTACGAACGGGGAAGAACCATAGGGAAGAACCGAAGAACTCTAGAAACAACGGAGGAAAGAAACGAAGGTGGGAGAGGGAGTCAAAATCGGAAAGGGGCACAAAATACAGATAAAAATAAGCAATGGAACAATGGAAACGCTTTAAAAGAGGAGAGGGGGGGAAAGAGAGGGTTGTGTTAGGACAAAATTTATACGAATTTTAAAATAAAAGGGATGACAAAATGTTAGGCTAGGTGGCGCAGGATGCCGCCCGTTAGAATATCCATTCAACAACAAAAAAGTCAAAAAGTGCGACTGAACCATTAACAAATTAAACAGTCAAAAGGACAGGTCAAGTATGTTAATTCCATTTAGCCTTTGAATAAATAAATGTTATCGCAGTATCCTTCATAACGGGCGGTAGCTTGCGCCATCCAGCCTAAAAAAGAACTGATACAAAAGGTTTTGGTGCTACTGTCCTACCAGTCCTACCGGTCCTACTGTCACTACTGTGCTCTTGTGCTACTGAAACATAACATAGTTTTATTTTTGCGTTATCTTTGAAAAAAGATAACTGCACAACACGCCGAGCACGCTGATAACAAAGCCAACGCAGGCCAACGTTGAAAGCGTGAACACTGAACGACTGAACAGCGTGAATGTATCAACCCGCCTACCGCGCCAGCCGGCCAGCTTTTGAAGACGCGTCTGAGCGCACGCAACTGCGTGACTGCGTCCCTAACCTGCCGTGAAACACCTTCGACTCCATCGGTGACCGCGAAGACCTCTTGACAACGGACGGGGGTGCTTCGGTGGCAGGCGTGCAGATAACGCGTGACGGCCTAGAGGATCCAAGGAGATGACACGGCTCGCCCTGGCTGTTTCTCTCGTGCTGCTTTGCGCGGGAGGAACGGCCGCTGGGCCAGCCGACGGCAGCACGCTCCTTCTCGAAGACCACGTCTACGAGTCGAGGACCTTCGATGGCGCTAGCGGCGCTTTGGTCATCTACTGCAACCCCGGCGAGTCTCCGAGTTACTTGGCCCTCTTCAAGTCCCTCTACATCGAGTTCAGGCTGGTGCCCGAGCACTACAGCCTGTTCGAAGGCGCCGACGCTGACGAGGTCCGTAGCCAGCACACGTCTCGCCTAGCCAGCTGGATGCCGCTGCTGCCTTGGAGACAGTCTACCATCGGCTTCCCGACGTTCCGGCCTCACTGCGTGGGACTGGTGTCCGACGACGAGTTCCGCTTCGAGTTTGTGGTCCGCCAGGCCAACTACTGGAAGATCTTCCAGCTCTGCCTCGGGGTCGTGCTCTTCTTCACCGTCCCGTCGCTATGCCGGAACGTGCTCGTATTCTACTCCGCGGGCGTTACGTTCGGCGTCCTGGCTTCGCTCCTCCTAGCGGTCTTCATCCTGAGCCGCCTGCTGCCGCGCAGGTCGACCGCTTACGGCGTCCTCTTCTTCGGGTGGTCGCTCGTGCTCTACGTCCTCCAGTTGCTCTGGTCCAACTTGTACGACGTGCTCGAGCAGTACAAGCATCTCCTGGCGGGCTACGTGGCCGTGTCCGCTCTAGTCAGCTTCGGCGTCTGCTACAGGCTGGGACCGCCCAGTCACCCGAGGACGCTGGACCTGCTTCAGTGGTCCCTACAGTTGCTGTCCCTCGGCCTGATCTTCCTGTCCTCCGAGCTGCGGGAGGTGACCGGCGCCGTGGTGCTTGTCCTGCTGGCCGCGTACAACTTCCCGGCGGCCTGGTCTGCCAAACTGAGGACACACTGGAAACGACGGTTCCCGCCAGAGGTTAAGCTGCTCACGGAGGACGAGTACCTGCAGCAGGCAGACGTGGAGACAAGGAAGGAGCTGGCACGGCTACGCGAGTTCTGCGCCAGTCCCGACTGCAAGACGTGGACGGTGGTCACTAAGCTCAAGGACCCTGTCCGCTTTGCTCTCTTTGTGCAGGGACAGTCTCACCTGGCAGACGATGAGGTGCTGCAGTACGAACTGGACTCTGCAGACAACCCAGCAGAGATGGATGAGATGACGTCGGATGACAGCGAAAATTTGTCCTTCACCGAGCTCGAGGACTAGAGCTCGCAGACTAGACCTGCCCAAGGGCACCCTTGCCCGTTCTGCGGAAGCATTGCTGCACTTTTGAATGCGTTTTTAATTTTAATGAGTGCCACGAGCCGTCACTTTTTGTGCAGACTCATTACTGCTAACTTGACGTAAAGTAGCACCGACTTTACACTATTTTTGTAAACTTTTTGGCGTTACGACAGACGACGTGTGTGAGCGTTTCTTACATGTTTTTAACTAAATGCCCAGAAAACTTTTGCATTTGGTGACCTTGTTTTGGCAATGCCTAGGTACATAAGGTCTCCAAAATATTTGTCAAGGTGAATGGAACTTTTATGAGGCAGCTAAATCTGCCCCTGCATCTGAGCTTGCAGAAGTTTGTTCCACTTAAAGGGGCCCTGCAACCACTTTTTTACTGGTTTTTAATTTGCACCGAACCTGAGCGTACTGAACGTAGTAACTTAAAGAAACTTTTCTTTTCTCAAATTTCGCTTTATTTTAAAAGTTATAGGCAAATTAGAATTACAAAAACAAGCAAAAAATAAGCTCCTTCATGACGTCGTAGGTCCTGGCTTGAGTGGCCGTGAACTAGAAGACAAGTAGTGAGCTCATCGAGCGCTCACGGCTGCCGCACTCCGTGTCGACGGCTCGAGAGGGCGCCACTAAAGCACGTGTTGGATAGGCTGTATGAAGCGGGCGGCCAGGGTGGCTCGCATTGCATTTGCTGCGCGATTAAGGACTAATTTGGCATAACACTTCATTGGCCACAAACGACAGCAAACACGGTGTAAAGATCAGTTCAGAACGGTAGCCACTTCGCGCTGCCATGCCGCCAAATGGCCCAATTGCCAGCCAAGCCTGCGCTGAAAGCCTTCGGAATGCTCGGAACCAGTCGGATCCTCGAGCCGGTATACGACCGCAGCGCCGCCGCATACATCCGGGACCTTTCTACGCTCTCTGTTCGTCGGAGCCTCATCCCACTAGCCTTTTCTAGTATGCGCCGTTTTTCCGCCGCTTGGTGGCGGGTTTGTCGACGAGTCTTTTCTTGTTTCCGTACTTTATAAACTGGATTCGTTTGTTTTCTGATCTAAAATACCGAACAAAAACTACTTTCATACATAACTGAAACGGTTTGCGATACTTATATTTTGTATTTCGATTAAAAAAAAAAAAAAAAAAAGCTTTTAGCGGCTCTGACCAGTAGGAAGCCCAGGACCAAAGACGTCACATGTTGCGCGCTTTCGGCAACGCGGGTCGCCCTCGTCGGTGGAGGAGGTTTCCGCGCCTTCTGGTTAAAATATGACGCACTGATATTTAGTTACTTTCTTCGTGCCCGCTGGCTTGCCTAAACCCCAAGACGTGGAAACCGCAAAAAAGGTAGATGCATAAATATGATTGCAGGGCCCCTTTAATGTGCGAGAAAAGTCGAAACTGCAAGCACAAGCATCTTGCTCTGACCAGTGCATGTACTGCAGGGGGGCTATGCAAGACTGCGGGATGAGGCAGGACCTGGACATCACTGCCTGCTGAGATTCGCAGCAGGCAGTGATGCCCAGGTCCCTCATCCCGCCGTCTTGCATAGCCCACCAGGAGTGCACGAGCAGAAACAATGAAAGCGTGGAGATCGCTCTTGTAGCTTCACGCTCACACTCGAGGCGTTTTCATTTGCATGCCATGAACATTATTTGAAACTTGCAAAAAGAAAACCGACTGCCTTTTGAAGGTGGCTATGGAGAAAGCCTGCGCATCAGATGTGAGCCGAGATCCCTAGTTGTACAGGGATCTATAGTCGATGACAGGTTATAAAAGTTAGTCTTTTCAAAGCGTGCACATACCACCTTCCCAGCCGACATATGCGAGAAATGCAACTTTATTCCAGTCTTCTTTGCGTTACTCACTGCAGTCATACCAAGCTCTCTGTGAAATAACATGCGAGAATCATTCCTAAAAATGTACATCATTCGCAAGCAAGGAAAGTATCGGAACAACCCGTTACCTCATTCAAAAGGCGATTACATAAAAATTTTAATGGGAAATTACTGCCCTTCTCTGGTAACGGGCACTATTTAGCTCCATGTATTTCAAGCTGTGTCGGCCACCGTTTTCCCATTAAAAGTTTCAAAAATTCAGTTTTAACCAACGTTGCTAGAACCACTCAGTTGGGAAACTGCCATAGAGCCTGCTCCGAAAAAGTGGCAATGATCCACACTCGAGAATCGAGCTAATGGCGATCGCAACGCCGCCATTTCCTCCACAATAGCCTCTCGGGGGAACTGGACGGAGATAGAGTCCGCTGCGACTTCCGTTTTGGCTTTAATCGGCCATTTTGGCACCGAAACATGGGGATTCAGGGGTGCCACCCCGGATTCCCAAGCGGACGTGCCGCGGTTTACCGTCCAAGTAAAGATGCGCTTAGGTCGGTAAGTGCTACCCGAGATCACCGCTAAGACATGTTTGTGAAAAAATATTGTGCCGCAAAACCATGCCAACTAAAGATTTTAGAAAACATCACGCGCCCGTCATTTTGTACTATACTCCAATAAAAGTTACTACGTACAAAGAGTTTGGTCCATTTGTTTTTAATGCAAAACCATGCTTCCTAAAAGCTCAAGGTGACCACAGTAAACAAAAAAGATTAAGAGTGGCGCTGTCAATGTATTAAAGGGGTTATGACACGAAAATTAAACGGATAGATTATTTTTGAAATGTAATGCTCATAGGCTACTTAGTATATACACCAAGTTACGCGATTTTTAGAGCTCTGATAATTGCAATATTCAATTTACGAATTTTTATAATTTTCATCTGGCGACCAGGCAACACTGCTCAAGTTAGTCACACCATGGTGTCCATAAACCACGTGACCATGAACACTCTCTCATTCTAGGCGCCCCCATCATCGCCCAAGCTCTTCTCGTTGCGGTACGAACAAAACCGCTCAAACAGCTCGGTAAACTGAAAGCTATTCTCGCTCTCGCCCAACGGCCAGTTGACCGTCCAGCCTGCATGCGCCTGCGAGACATTCCCGGACGACGGTGACCACGGCGAACTCGTCGTCGCTGGAGCTCGTCGCCAGCGGGTCGCAGTCAAAATGAACAGCTTCCAATATCTCTTGATAGCAATCATTCTCATCGCTGTTGCGATCAATGTCGAACACTTCGACAAGGCGATCGATGCCATAAACGTAATCGTCACAGACCGGATGCTGGAAACGTGGAAGGTAAACGAGGAAGCTGAGGCTCGATACGCCAAGAGAGCCAAGTCTGTGAGTGCGTGCAATTAGACACCACGCTGGAGGCTGGCTACGTCATCAGCCTCCTGGTCCGCCCGGATCTGCCCCTCCGAGGGGCCCGCATATAAATCGATTTATCCACGAAATTATCGCGCCTTTTTCAAAACAAATTTAGCAGGATTATAGGAACATACAATGGGTCCTAGCAGTATAGTTATGTAGTATTTTATTTTTGGCGTGTCATAACCCCTTTAAGCTCGGTCTCGGTGGATGCCAGTAGCCCAGGTTTCGATGGAGTTTCCCAAACGTGTGTTTTAGTAAGGGTGGTTTGTAACATCTTAATAAGACAGCAGTTAATTACGAAACTCTGGCATCCGATTTGCATTGCTAGCACCACATTTGGACAACCATGAGCGTTCTATGCACAATTTACCTTTGTGGTGAAAAGGTTCTTTGGAGGGGGACACCCTTTACACAGCGTTATCACACAAACAAGAAACAAACAGACCACCATCCGATTCACACCACCTTTCTTTTCCTCAGCACAAAAAAAAAACTTGTTTTCATAAATATTCGCCTCGTAGCAATTGATTCATCTTTTTGCAGTGAAGTTTCAGTTCTCCCTTGCCTCCCTTGCGAGAGAGCCACAGCGAAACGCACAACTCTCAGCGTGCACCGGATGCTAGAGACGAAGCCGTCTCACTTTTGTCAAAGAGTTTATTCGCTTTCCCAAGAATGCAAAACTAGCGCAATGCACATACAGCGACAACTACAAAGGGCTCCGGCAAGGTGGACCCAGGCTCCAGCACCATTTGCAGCTGGGACACCCACGGAAACTCGTGCCAACTCTCAGCAGACGCAAGAGCTACGGACACACCACGAATGGAGAGTGACCCCCCAACCAAAGTCTGCAGGGTGCAGTCTCACTAGGAGCTCGAGCACAGCAAACCCCATATTCCCCTTCAGTGTCCTCATTCAGAGCACTGTACTGTACTCGGTTCACAGCTAAGCTGACAAGGCAGTGGAAGCTACATGCTCATTGGACCACTCGACATACGTCAACCTTTCAAGACGTGATCATGACCTTATTCACTCATGATGGGAGCAGGCAACGAAAGTCAGGTTGTTGATTGGCTGGGCGAGCAAGCAACTTCCGGCACTTGATCGTCCTAGCAGCAGAATCGATTTCCACGCAATATCTTAAACCTACACTGCTGGTGGGCTAGTCTTCTGCAGATTCAGTGGTGCCAGTTGCTCCAAATACCACCTCGTTTTTCACCGACGACAGAGGACTATAGGTTTCCGCTGACATTTTTGGCCGCATGAAGTTGGGCCACGGAAAGAAGAGGCATGGTCGGATGAAATATTTTAATCAGCCCCAGAAGGTAGAAAGACAGTCCAATCTGGAAACAAAGATGGTTGTTTTTTTAAACAGTACCCGACGGCAACAAACCATAAGCGACGTGCATCCACGCAGAAAGTGTGCATAGTGCTTTTAATGTTTAAGAACAAATGGAAAAGGAATGTGTTCGCAGTAAAGAGAAAAAGAGACGGCGACGAGCTAGAGCAAATAACGGCAGAGAACTGTCCGCCACGCGGCATCGACGACGAAACAAACCGAAGCAAACAATAGACTGTTTTATTCTGTCGCGAGCAGAATTTGATCGACATATCCCATTGACGCGAGCTATCGAGATGACATCTATGTCCCTCTGCATGTTCAGGCAATTTTCAGAATGAATATACAACTTCAATGAGGCATACAACAAAAGTGCCTTAACTTACGAGGTAACTCCCCCAACACAAAACAGCATGCACAGCAAACAACTGCCCGGCGCACAAAAAAAAAGAGAGAAACGTCAAGTTTCTTGATAAAGCAACGAGTTTTATGCAGCGTCACAATTTCTAGCCACGGCACCGTCACTATCTGGCTACGCAACGGCGGCCGTTCCAATCCACCGCGTAGCTTGAACCTCTAACCCTATCAACCTTTGCACCGACCTTGGCACCCAAAGCGGGTAACACTCAATAACGTCCGTCGTTGCGGTCGAGCACTTCTAATTTAGCGGGCGCCTCAAAGCCCTCTCCATTGCTGGCGCATACTTTCCGAAAAAGGAGAAAGAGAAGGGCCGTGTCCGTGGCACGAACGTCCGGAAGCAGACAACTCGCAAAACGTGGGCACTGCCTGCAGTCGTCCAGGTCAGAAGTAGAGAAGAATTGCACCACACCGCCGGCTGCTTGAAGCACGCACTAGGCACCGCCTGGAGAGATGACGTTCATCGGCGTGTCGTCTGCCGCCGACGGGACGCTGTTGGCCGGCTCGTTCCGGCGAGACGGAGTGACGTGCGACGCTAGCTGGAGGCGGGGTTGGCCGAGCATGAGGCTGGAGACGCGCGACAGTCCGGCACGTCCCCGGCCGGAGAGGAGGAGGCCGAGGAGTTGCCGGAAGCACGTTTGAGGGAGTCCAGGTACTCCTGCTGGGACTGGGCCAGCACCCTGGCAATGATGTCCGAGTCCTCCCAGTCCGTCAGGCCTACGAGTGGAGAGCACGTCGCACGGTGAGCACTTGCGCTTGCCAAAACCGTTCCCCCCCAACTGATGCGTTTACCACATCATCATCTGAGGCCACTCGGTTTATGCCTGGCAGCAATATAGTGATGCTGCCTGCCTTGATCCTGGTGGTGGCACTACAGTGGAGGCAAGTACAGCAGGTGGCTGGTCTGCTGTAGTAGTCCTCCAGCATGACTGTATAATCATGCTGTGACTCCTGGCGCCTCAGCAGCCAGGAGTTTGGATGCCGTGGCATTGGCAACACTTACGAGGGTAGATTGAAAAATTTTCAGAATGAAAATGAAAACAATATAAACCCGACTTAAGTTATACTTTATTTTTTTACGCAATTCCCCAGAAGCTCGACACACTTGGTCCAACGTTTCTCCAGCTTTTCGATTCCCTACTGGAAGTGATTTTTTTTTAGATCCCCAAAACAACTGTTCACAGCCTCCATCACCTCTTCATTCGATAGAAATTTCTTTCCAGCCAGGAATATTTTGAGCTTCGGGAGTAGGTGGAAGTCTGAGGAAGCCAAATCAAATTAATACAGTGGATGCGGAAGGATTTGGAGTTGCAGTTCTGTCAGTTTTTGCTGAGCGACTGCATTTGAATGGGTGCATGCTCTGTCGTGGTGATACAACACCTGTTTCAGCTTGTCCCTAAGTGTTATGTAGTATTGGCCAGTGACAGTTTCTCCATTTTGAATATAATTTGAGCAAAATTCCTTTGTTGTCCCAAAAACCTGACGCAATCACATTGCCCGCCGACTGAATGGTCTTCGCCTTCTTTGTAGCTGATTCACCATGCCCAATACACTGTTTCGATTTAAATTTTGTTTCTGGCGTGTAATGGTGCGCCCAATTCTCGTCCACGGTTACAAATGATTGCATTAAATTCGTTGGACTTGCCTGAAACACTCGCAAACTGTCGGCTGATGTTCGGGCTCGAATGCGCTTTTGCTCCAGATTGAGCAAGTGCGACACCCATTTTGTGGAAAGTGTCTTTAATCTCAATCATTTTGTAAAATATGAACAACACATTCAGAAGAGATTCCTACTGCTCCCTCAATTTCACACACTTGTATGAGGCAGTCTTCCAAAACCAAGTGATGAATTCCATCCACAATTTCTGGTGTGGGTAGCTGTTTCTGGACGTCTGGAACGTCCAAAAATGAATTTGTAAACCCAAAAACCCACGGTGGAAAACGAAGGTGACGATTCCCGAAAAAAATCCTCCAACCTGTATTTGTTGTCGATCAGTTTTTCCCCTCCAAATAAAGGTATCTGATGACTGCTGGTAGATTTTCGTTTTTATCCATCAGCGAAAATGTTCACTATTGCTCGATTAGAATGCCTCTCAAAGCCAGACTTTTCGAGATATCAATCTGACATTTGCGGTCATTTCATACGAAAGGGTTGCCAACACAATGACATAAAAATATTCTGCAATAAAAAGCCCCGTAGCCGAGATTCCGGAAACTTTTCAATCTAACCTCGTACACTCGTTCGTCTCTCGATAAAACTGCTGCGACAAACTGCTAGGATCGTGCCTGCACCTGTGGCATGATTTCTTGCCGCTTGGGGGGCCAGTCTGTATGCACACACTCCCGACATCACAGCGCTGTCGCATAGCAAGCACTCCTCTCCTGGCCAAGCGTGACAACAGAGGACCTGGCGAAGGGTTCGTTAATCCCCCACCGACGAAGTCGTAGCCCGAACGACACAGAAGCCGACCGGAGACCGGCCATTGCAAACAACCGAGCGTGCACGAAGCAGCCCGAGCAAAGAGCTCAGACGGCAGAACTCACCAAACATAGAGGGAGGTAGGTGGTTGAGGAAAGAGGCGGTCTCGACCAGGGAAAACCCCTCCTCCTGGGCGGAGCACGACGAAGTCCCGCCCACGTCCTGCAGCACTGCGCCAGAGAGGCCCGAACTGCCGGCCTTGGGACTGAATCCTGCTCGGAGGGCACGCAAGAGCGAGACGGATGGTTTAGCAAGAACTCTTTTCACCCCGCACCCACCAGTGAGCCAGGCGGCTGACTGGGGGCATGGTGGGCGTCACTCGCAAGGTGAGAACAAGCAGGGAGGAGCCTCGGTCGTCCCGCCTCCAGCATGAGCTATCTGCCTCTGACAATGCTTCGGCGTCTCTTGCACTTCCAACGTGCGCATGGAGCCAAAGCAGGGCGGAAAGCATGGAAGCGTGAGCTGGAGGCCGGGTGTTCTAAAGGCATGCCCCACTGTTCTTATTATGACCGACTATGGAAGGGACGTGGAGGCGAGACAATCACACGAGGGAGAACAGTCTCGCGGTTTAGGCCCACAAAGCGCGGCATAATCAGGACGTTAAAAGTGGCATCACCTTGGATTCTGGAGCTATGAGAAGATGCTAACAATAACAAAAAAATGGCAGATTGTGCATGTTATTCTAATCTGTAGGAGCATTTTTTGGCTGTGAATGGATATGTGACCCCTTACAATTTTTTGCAACTTTCGTCTGCTCTGCCTTACTTGGGACCCAATTTCCAAAGAATTAATTGGCTTTTGCCATTGTGGCATTGCTACCACGATACAGATATAGTACCAGGGTGATAGAGACACGGGAGGCTCGAAGTGCGGGATCACTTTCGGCCGCCGAGAGAAGCGAGCAATTGCCACACCTACCCTTCTAGCCCACTGTACCGGGGGTGAGACGGGACCACTCGATCGATTCGCACTGTACCGGCCAGTTGAGCACGCCCACAACAAACCCTCGTCGGCCATCGCATGAGCCTATGCCAACAGTGCAACGTCAAAAAGCGACCTGGTGAGCAGACCTTTCTCGGAAGGCGTTTTGGTGCTTGGTAGCGTTGCCTCCTGTTGAGAGGCATGGCTACTCGACCTTGGGCTTGCCCTTGAGCGGGGGGAGGACCTTCCCATGGCTATGCCCCCTGCAGTCCCACCTCGGGGGGAGGAGGAAGCACTGGCTCCGCCCCCTTCCACGAGAGGTGATAGGCTCGAGCTGGAGGTCGCCGTGGCGGTACGCGTCTGCACAAGATGGGAGTTATATTAGTTGACTGCAAAGTAGTCAACCAGATTAGATTATACTCCGTTTCAGCTTAGGATGAACCGCAGTAGACACTAGGAGCCAGCGGAGCCAATTCAACGCATTGCGACTGTCACGTGACTGACAACTCCGCAATGGCGCTCGGAGTTGTCGGATAGGTTCACAGTGCTGGATTGGCTGGGATGGGCGTGTAGACTCCGTTTTGGTCCAACGTAAGTTGAAACGGAGCTTAGTAGTCAACCACATTAGTTACAAGTAGATCTGCCACAAGAAATGCGTCTAAAAAAAAATAATGGATGTTTAATTTTTTTAATATGAAGAACTGCTAATTTAAGGTTACTGCTACACAAACCTGCAAGCAGACAAAAAAAAATCTCAATGCCCCAGCAGAGCAATAGCCACTAAAATTTAGACACCTTCTGTTGTACGGCACCCAAGGAGACGTTCCACAAACAACATCTCTGCTGGCTTCCACCGCCACGGGCAATGAAGGACACGCCGTAAAATACCGAACATCCGCCCTTTCTACAATAAGAGCCCACCCCTCAATTCTGTAGCAATCGGAAAATACACGAAGGACAATCATCTGAAATGCCTTTGAGGTATAATAAACTGAACTGAACTGAACATACTGTTGACCCAAAAAGTGCCCCATCCACAGTTTTCCATAACCATCTCCTAATCCTGAGTGGGCGCTTGCTTGGGATTTTGCGGTACATGGGACATGTGCGTCCTATTCAGGCACTTCAGAAAAAGTGTACCGTAAAATCCCGAAAGGGCGCCCCTGCCCAAAATAGATATAAATGGTGAAAAACTTGAGATGAGGCTATTTTTGGAAATGAGACAGCAATACTTTATCAAGAAGTAATTATAAACACAGGAGCCCCTTCTATATACCACGTGACACGCAGACTGATACCGCACATTGCGGACACGGCGAATTCGCTTTTCACAACACGATAAGCATAAGCACGCGGAAATTCTCTACGAACTCCTGTGTCACGGGAAAGGACACCACAAACGTGACAGATTCGTGTTCCACGGTGCAATAAACACACGGAAACCAGCTACAAACTGCTATCAATGCCCGATATCTCGGGCATAGATAGCAGACAAAAAACGAGGAACCTCGGTCAAGTGCCGTAAACCGATATTACGCGCACAGACTTCGGACAAAAACGCAGGAACCAGCTGCAAACTCGCTTGTAACACGTACCGGCGCCGCAGCTTGTGCAATTGATGCGATTCCCGTCGGACATCACATGATGTTTGACGGGAATAAGGGGAGAGGGGGGAATATAACAATGTTTCGTTGTTTTTATGTTATGGGTATTTAGCCAGAAAAACATTTTGGTCAATCTTTTTGGTGGGAAGGACACCCTTACGGGATTCTACCATAAGTAAGGGGAGGGGGAAGCTTCAGAGTTTCTATTGCCGGCACACAAGGGCACCATTGGGGGAAGGGACCACCCACCTTCTTGCGCGAGCGCATCTCATTGTCACGCAGCCAGTGCAGGTAGGACTCTCGGGCCACTTGCTCCTCAATGGCCTCGCTCGTCGCCTCCCAGTCGGTGGCACGCAGCTTGTCCTCCAGCATCGCCTGCTCCAGCTCCAGCTCCTCCGAGGCTCGCAGGGCCTCCTTCACCAGAGTCTTGTCCGCATGCTGCAAGCACACACCGGGGGGGAAAGGGGCCACTCAGGGAAGCCCACCAACCGAGCCCTGACTGGCATCTTTTGCAACATGCACTTTTTGCACCGCAGGGGGGGGGAGAGCCCAGCAGACGGCCCAAACCGTGCCGAGACTCGACAACCCGCCCCCATATTGCATTCGAACGGATGGCAGAGTCTTGGTCCAGACGCGTTCCCTCTTTCAACGTTGGATTGGGCGTCCGGCATTTGACGAGCCCAACGCCCCAAGACGCCACCAGTATCATGAAAGCATTGGGCCCCACCATCGTTCATTGCAGGCCAGCTCTCGACACTGTTTCGCACTGTTAGGGTGGCGGCTCGCGTCACAAAAATTTAGCAAGGAGGCCCATAAAGTTAATACCACTAGAGTCTTTTTCAAAAGCGACGAAATTCACTGCTCAAAAAGTCACATGTGGGAACCATTTTCAAGACGGTCACCAAAGTACATTTCGGTGGCCGTTTCCGTCATCCACGTGTGGTTGTAAGGGGACATTTACAAGAGGTTAGAATCGTCCCTAGAAAATGACTACCTGCACCGCCGGTCAAAAAAACAACCGCATCTCCACGTGGTCAATGATGATTGGGGCGAAGCTCTGGTGGTGCTGGTCTGCGTAGACGCTGAGCCGCAGCATGCCGAGCCTTTCGTTCGTTTTCATCCATGTCACGCTGCGCACAAATGCTCAAATGCGTATATAACCACGTTCCATACCACACATTCTCTTTCTGACATGGATGAAAACGAACGAAAGGCTCGGCATGCTGCGGCTCACCGTCTACGCAGACAAGCACCACCAGAGCTTCGCCCCAATCAACATCATTCACCACGTGGTGATGTGGTTGTTCTTTTTTTGCCCTACACGAGCACGTGCTCATGTGCACGTGAGCTCACGAGCAGGAGCACGAGCCCCCACGCCGGACATCGGACATGGCTAGCCTCTAAGGAGCTTTGCCCCTAAAAACCGTCTCAAGGTAACGATCGTACGGGAAGGACACCATAAAGCGCACACCCCCACTCACCCCAGGCTTGAAGGCGGGTAGTCCCAGGCCCACCCCGACGGTGGCCTTGTACGGGTCGATGATGGAGTTGTAGTGCACGTTGCGGTGGTAGCTCAGCCGGATGGGCTCGTTGTCCGTCTGCTGCATCCCATGGAAGATGTTGATGGGCTCTGCGAAACGACCGGAAAGCACCGTCGAAACCGGCACCAGATCCCGGTTCAAAGAAGTCTTCCCGGCGTCTTGGGCACTACTGTTGGGTGGTCTTAGAAACATCCACTGCGCTTATTCACTTACTTCACGGATCACTGGTGGCAGTCGTCAGTGGCATCTAAGATGTTAACCACAATGGCTATGAGAATGAACCATGTCGCATCTCTGTCCTTGGGTATATGACAGCACCATTCCACCCGCATTCTGCAACCGTGTTGCAGCTATCGCTTTCGTTTCTTCACATTCAAAGCGAAAAATACCACTTTTTCTTTACAAACTGCCTTTTAATCAACAAATTTTCTATTGGTCTTAAGCGTGTTTTTTTCTATTCATTTGAATTAAAGGGCTGTTGCAACAATTTTTGTACTTTGCGCAAATACCGCTCAGAGCGAATCCCTGATGTCAATGACCCGTGAAACACGCGTTCGTTTTTCACCGAACGCAATAAAAGTCAAAAAGAAAAAAAAAGAGCAGCATTGACCTTTTGAATTTGCAACCTGAACAAGCTGCCACGTGATCTGGAGTAGTTTATATTCCGCGAATGTTGATCATAGCCACGTGCTTGGGTTGGCAAGGCACAGGCCACGCGCTAAGTTCCAGACATTGTTATGGTTCGGCTGTTGTCATTATTGCAGCGATTGGACATGGGCCACTACTCGAACGCTTTTCGAGCTATTGATTATCACGAGCCCAAGTCAAGTGTCAAGCAATGCTCAGGTCCGATCTATGAGCCGCATCCAAATATCGTCACTGGGGAGGAGATTGAAAAAAAACGCTTGCTTTATCCTCGAAATTACACCACAACAAAGCATTCTTGGTCAGTGGCGTTGCCTGCGAGTATACTTGGGTCCCACCAGTGCCAGTAAGCTTGTGCAAAGTGAAAAACATTCCAAGCAAATATTGGTGCACAGCCCCTTCAAGTCTGCAATGCTAATGCAGAAGTAGATGAGGCACTTAATTTTACCTTCCTTTTCCTGCCTCAGCTCAATTATCATACACCAGTACCCGATAAAGGGACAAACAGACAATTCAGATGGTTGTCCTACCTCCCGGTCAACCCTGGGAATCTCATCAAGGGAGATTCCCAATGTTGGCTCTTTGTGACTGTAAAAGGATTAGAGTCAGAAAGAGGAGGTTAGAAGATTGAGTGAAGTAAAACTAACCAGCACAGCTGGAGGACAGGCGAGACAAAAGAAAATTGGGACTCCCTCCAGCATGGCTCCGGCCCAAAGTCTCAACCCTGTCTCCCAGTGGGCCCGGTGTTGGGGCAATGCCGGCAAAGTTTGGCCAGAGGAAAATTGGCAACTCCCTCAGCAGTGGAAGGAGGCGGGGGGTGATGTTTATAGTTTCCTTGCCCGATCCCTCAAAGGTCATCCTGTCAGTATCCCACACTGCCTGGTGGACTTAGAAGACTTAGAAATCGACTTAGAAGGGCAAGGAAGGGAATCACACTTTTGGTTCTTTTTGACTTCTAGGCTAGGTGGCGCAAGCTACCACTTGTCCTAAAGGATACAGCCGTTAGCATGCATGCATGCATCCATTTATCTACTGCCAAAAACACGATGACAAGACCCAAGACTGAATCTCATTGTCATATGACGTCCGCACCCATTTCCGCTGTCTCTACCACTCCGTATTTCAGTTTACACTTTGAGTGATTGTTCAAAAATGTTTGTGCATCCGTAACCCGAGAACCGAGGCGTTCATTGGTCAAAAGTATCCTTTGGATTAGACATTCCATCAAATGCAAACAAAGGTGCGATAACGGTTGGAGATGTTAAGCAGCAGCACTCGCCGTCGGAACGATACGCAACATGACACGTGGCGAAGGATTTGCGAATGCACAAGAGACCTTTTTTCTTCATTCACGCACCTCCTTTTTAGGGGCAGTGCATCATTCTCTCTGCAATGCCACTGCACATACAATCTGATCTGGTCTCTGACCCACCCAATTATTCTACTAATATACAGGTCCTCCATTATTCTACCAATATGCAGCCCACAAGTGCACCGCTTACTCCCCCCAACACACACAAACCCAGCTTTACCATTGGTTGTGTGCGATGCAACATCACAAAAACAACTGCCATGCTCAGTTGCTAACACTCCCACCTAAGGCCTCACTACGGTGCAACCAACACGAGCAAACAAGGTTCACGCAGGATTCTCCTATAACGCTATTGTCCTAAAACCTCAATCAGAAAGTCACATTCGCCGCGACGGAGCAGCCAACTTCGACCGAGAAAGGCACGGCTAGGTGCGGCACCGACAACGACCGCCGCCCTCGCTGACGACGCACAAGGACAGGTGCGGGCCGCGTGCCCTCACCGGAGCTGTAGTGGTACACCTCGATGGGGCGGTTGAACATCTCCGAAAGTGCCTGCATCTCGATGTGGTTCCCGTGGATGTGGTCACTGCGCTTACGCTCCACATACTTCTCGAAGTCCTCGGTCACGTACTGGGAGTAGTAGTCCGAGTTCTTCGCCTGGGGGAGAGAACCCAAAGTCCGTAAACGAGCGCTCGCCGAACTCTGGTCTAAAGGCCGGCTTCAACATTTGCCTTTGAGCGCGACCGACTGCATTCCCTCGCGATTGTTTACGACGAGGGATCACACTGGGGCCATCTATAGAGGGTATTCACTGGACGCCATATTTGAGGGCGCTGTTTAATGTGCACGGTCGGGTCGAATTCACATTCAGAGGATGCTAAGACCGGCAATCTTGATGGTGTGGAATGTACGTAGCAAAAGAACTGTGGAAGCTCGCCATCAACGTGCGCTAAGCAGTCACGCACACGGCTGTGGCTGCCAGTGAATGCTTCCTATTAGGCAGACAAGGCCCTTTTCCAGTGTGGATATATTTCCTCATTTTTTGTAAGCGTCATTCTTTCGCCATGGGCTTGCAAACTATCTCTCAGAGATAGTGCAGTTCATCTGAAAAATCAACATGCCGTCTATGAGAAGTAGGCTGCAAAACTTTCAGTTGAACTCAGGACCGGAAGCATCCAAGGGTTATTTGCACAGTTTCAAATCCACGTGATGCGGCATAGCGTAATGCGAGTAGTTGTAATGCAGCTGTTCGCACTCGCACGCAAAAGTCTAGACCGGACTTGATGCGCCATATTGGGAGTCAACTTTGTTGACACCCACGTTGTGGTCGACTTTCAGAAAAGTCGCCCCTTTCGACTGTCGAACACACCCAAATTTTTTGTTTATTTTCTTCTAAGTGCTTTTTACGTTCTCAAAAAGCATCTGACCAAACCACTGAGGTGGCCAGTTGCCTCGGTGGTTGGTCGACCAAACCGAACTTGCTAAGAGAGTGATAGGTAATCCATAAATGCACCCTACTAAATCTTGTTGTCGGAGATAATACAGTCTAAGGTGTAAAACAGGAGCTTTCTACCAAGCCGACCAGAGTGCAAGACCGTTCCTGGGAAGGACGGAGGAAAGCTACGCAAGGTTGACAGAAACTTGGGTTCACCGTCGAAATCATATCCAGATGAAAACTTTCTTAAGCTTTGAGGATTGAAAGGCTTTTGAACTCAAAGCAAAGGGCAAGATGTGCACAAGTGACACATCAATAATCGTATTTACAAAAGAATTTGATTTTCTAGAAACGGGTCTACACCGTGCCTAGTCGTGACGAAAAGTTTTTCAAGGCTATATAAGGGATTTGCTTTTTCAATAAATGTTAGCTGCGAGTGCGCCAGCGTTTATGTCTCTTCTCGTCCTTGTTATTTTTCGGCGTCTATCTTCTAACTTTGAGCATTGAGCCCAATTTTGGACTCAATGCTCATTAAGCCAACAAAACCAGTGCCCAAGGAGGAGAGAAAATTAACCAAAGCCAAAGGAGCAAAGAATTACCATGTAGTCCATACAGAGTTTGCGCAGCACCTTGTGCATTTCTTGGTCTCCATAGACTTGGTCCGCTGCAACGGTGCAAACACAGCCATCACTCCCTCCCCAATGCCGCGAGCGTATGGAACTCTACAATCCATCCCTAGAGGAGTTGCAAGAAGCCGTTGGCTAAAAATAGATGTACAAAAGAACAGTAAAGCCAACAGAAGTGGCTTAAGCAGCTATTGTTTTAAATGAAGGCCAACACTCGACATGGCTCCATTGGTCGACGGGGCATTACAGCGTGCATAGGTACTCGCTGGCAGCTGAAGCATCTGTAAAGGGACAAAATCAACATGCAAGAGTGCCCAAGACAATGCTCTCTCTCTGAATGCTGAGGAAAATCCAAATGAAAGACACCGACTTTCTTCCCAGGGCTGCGCAAAGTCGTTCGGATTGTTCTATCCTCTGTAGCTATAGTCGCACTGTAAGTGCCACTGCTAACCTATTGTCTAGTTAAGCCTCAAGCTGCAAGGTAGATGAATTATATCACTTTCATAACATATTTCCCACTAACCCATCACTCTGTCAATGACTTCTCACGTGACATTTTACCGTTTCACCCCACCTCAATTATTCCCATGAAGTAGGAATACCAATATGCAATGCTAACGCATTCCACCAGTCGTTCATCCCCAAAATTTCCCTTCGGAGTGGAACTGCCTTCCACCTGTCGCCCTTTGATCTAGACCAATAATGTGATCAGAACCTATTTCGCTAATCTTCGGTATACAGTGCCACAACCAAACTGTGTTTCTGCCTCAAAAAGGCAGAAGCACAGTTTCGTAACCTCCTTCCGAATGGGTTACGAAATAAATAAATGTATGGACACATCTAGCAAAGGACTTCAAGACAAGCCTATTACAACTAGCAGTGACATCATAGACTGGACATTTGCCAGTTTTGGCACCTGCGATCATCGAATTAGACTTTTTTTGACAGTGTAGTCTCCTAAAGTGCATTTTCGGCACCATGAGTCCCTCAGATTCTCCCCCATAAAGCAAACAAGGGAGTACTATAGTTTGTTGCAACTCAAGAAGGTAGGGCAAGGGTAAGACTGGCCAGGGAGGAGGAAACAGAGGGAACGCTGGAGAAGAGAGGGGGAAACCTCCTTCTCTTCTCCAGCGTTCCGTCTGCTTCCTCCTCCCCGGCCCATCTTTCCCTCGCCCTACCTTCCTGAGTTGCAGCAGACTATAGACGCCACCCTATACTTAGTGTCTACTATTTGTAGCTTTCGCAGTGCTCCAACACTGCCAAAGCTATTTGCACGAGTGCATAGCTTCGTTTGGCATCTCCTTCAAACGAGAGTGCATGCAAATGACACGCAAAACAAAGCCACACCTTTACACGGCAGTGCAAGGCTGCAGCACCGTAAAAGCTACACTAGCCTCGTCAACGTAGCACAACATAGTCGACGCCGAGTAGAGGCAGACCTGGCAACGGTACAACCTAATGCCAAAGTAGGGTCACTTCGGGGGTAGTGTGCGTCCAGTTGGCGACACTAAAATAAAATCTGACTGCAACCGGAACATCACTGGAGGCCCGCAGCTTTACACCTGGTCACTGCTAGAGCCACTAAATCAGCTTGGAAGATCGGCACCCCGATTCTCTTGTGGGCGCCGCCATTCTGATGCTTAATGCGGAGTAAGTGCAAACAGCAACAATGAAAAAATGCAGGTTCCTCAGCTTAAAGGGGCACTAAACCCCTTTCTGCAAGAGTCTATTCATGGTTATAACCCAATCTATGGGCAATAAGCATTCTAAGAAACCAAACATTACATTCATGCGTGGCAGATTTTTCTATTAAAATCAGCATCACTCGAATTTAATGTTTGGTGTTCTAGGATGCTTAGAGTTATGCCCATAGACAATCACAGAAAATGGTTTAGGGCAGCAATTTTCTTTGTATTGGACAGCTTCAGTTTTTCAGGAAAAAAGAAAAGCCATTTCTACCCTTTTAGATAAAGGTCCAGACAACTGGTAACAATGATTTGAGGCACCAAAGTGGCTGAGGTGCCGTTAGTCAGAACCTTAGCCTATCCAGGGGCTCTAGGCACTGCCACTGTGGCCGACACAGACCCGGGTCGGCGCCGGCGGGACCGACCGGCGTGCCACGCCCAAGCAGGCGGTTGCGTTAGCAGACGACGTGCAGAGGAGGCTGGCGGTGGCACTGACCCACGGCCCGGAAGAGGCAGGCTCCGTCCTCCCCCATGCTCTTGATCATGAGCCCCTTTTTCCGAAGCTTCTTCTCGAAATGATATTCCCTCTGCGGGCAAACGGGCAGGGGTCAGCCAGTCCCTGCACTTGCCCCACCTGCTAAGAGAAATACTAGACCGCACCAGATGGGAGTATGGAACAAAGAGCGGGGCTTCCAAAATCGGGTCGTCCAGCTGACCCCTACACAGCGTGCTGTGCCATCAAATCCTCTCAAGAGGCAAAAAAATAAATTGCTTCGAAGTAGACATTACCGGACAGAAAGGAAGACTATGGCCTGTTGCCTCCAACGAGCAAACGAGTTTTCTTTTATAATGCTGCATCATACGACTTTGGTGGTGGGACTTCAGCAACGAGAGTGAGCTTAATGCCGTGTTTTGTCGTCGTGCCAACACGCAACACCAGTGACTGACCCATTGGAAGTAGCTTCTACACACAAACAAATACAAAAACTTCCCACGGGGTTAAGGGTAAGCTGCCCAAAATGCAAGTGGTCTGCTGTAGGAAAATGCTTGCTTTGGAAGACTAGCACAGAGCATCTGGAGTTTCCTGATAGGTAGATGCCGAATGCACACAGAAGGCCCATTCACAGGGTACAGTTTGCTTACATTGTGTCATGTTACATTGCATCATGTTACGTATGAGCCATGGCAACTAATCCAAGAAGCATTCTTACAAGTGATACACAAAGCACAAGTGTACAAGTGACTTGCAATTGTATCATACTGTGATATGTAAGAAAACATAAGCAAACACTCCAGAGTGAATTATCGTTAGGACCTGACTTACATCGTAATTTAGCACAATTAAGTCAACTGGTGTTCTCCGATAATATGACATTTATTTATTAAAAGGACACGGGAAGATGGACTTGAGCTGCGACCGAAAATAACATTCGTTAAAAGCAGTCTTTTTTTTTTTCGCCTTATTCGAGTTTTAGAAATTAATGCACTTTAATGTAATTTTTCAGGAAGAGTCTCGTGCATGGAGTGGGGCAATGCAAGTGGTGGTCATTTCTACCTGTTCTTCCCAAGAAAAGGCGAATTCGGCGGTGAGAAATGCATGCTACGCGCGCACCAACAAGGCCGCCACAATGGCAGCTGACGTGACGTCAATGCAAGCTATGCTTTGTGTTCCCGAGAACGCACGGTAGGAGACGTCTGATCGGTCGGAAATGTAGACAAGACGCTACGAGCAAGAACGAGCCATCTACTTTGCAAAAATAAATAAAAGAAAGTGCAACCAAAGGGTACACAGTGTGCGAGATTTGGTCAGAACGGACTCCGACTGCGCGTTTTCCTCCTTGGGCTACAAAGCCTGTAGGCCCAGCGACTATGTCCGTCCGACGACAGGCCAAAATAAACAAAGGAGTCGCATCAAAGGGGCATAGCGAAGTCGTCTGGACAGAGAGCTCGACGTGAGATTCCTCGGAATACGCAAAGCATAATGAGACGAGTGTTACCTCTTTGAACTCTTCGGCCGTCCACAGCTCGGGAGGCTTGTCGTACTCGTCGCCGCTATTGTATCCGCTCGGATCGGAGTCTTCCTGCGCTGACACAGCGTCTTCGGCGGCTGAGCTGTTGCTCCCGCCTTGCGAGGTGCCCGCCTTGCCGAAGTTGGTCACCACCACCCCCGTCGCCCTGTGTCCGAGCATCGAGTGCGAGTGGCCGTGAGCCTTGCGCAGGCTGCGATGAGGCGAGGCCCGATGCCTGCGCTTCGAGTGGCTCGGCCCTCCGTCGACGCCGTCGAACTCATCGAAGGTCGCACTGGAACCGTGCGCCGGTCTCTTCTCATCCCTCGACGCGGCGGGCCACCGGGGCGGCGGAGAAGTCCGACTCTGGAAGTTGTAGCCCTCGGTCGCGTGGCCCGAGTGACGGTCGCCATGGAACGAACTCGACTCAGCGCCGTCCCCTTCGCTGCTCTTCTGCTGCGAGGCCTTCTTGGTCGGGAGGATGGTCATCGTGGGGCGCCCTGTGCCTGCCTGTCGGACCCGGGCTACGAACGCATCGGGCCCTCGTCCTGTTTTGCGACACAGTCGGGGAGAAGACCGAAGCGTCGAGCTCTACCCCGTGAGACGGACCAGCTGCACCAACTTTCCAATCTCGACCAAAGATGGCGACTGCTAATGTCCCGTGACGTCACGGTGTCGCCTCAAGGGACTGGATTGGACTAGCTTCGGCTGATTGAAAGTGAAACTGAAACTAATGTAGTAATTAAAAACTAAAACTAAAACTACAAAAAAAAAATGACGCAAATAGTATTTTGAAGTTTTTAAAATACGCAAACGACCTTACCTCAGTCAAACGTTAGGAAGCAGTTTTTAGACTCCGTCCAAACTGCTGGGAACATGGTGCCTTACGTCCTTGAGCATGTCTTGATATTGCCGATGCACCTAAGGTCACGCAGGTGGCGTATTTAAAGGAGTACGGATACTAAATTTACCCAGTGCTTTAAGTACGGAGACGAAATGACACGGCCGCGAGCTCTCTTCCTCTCGCTTCAAGATCGGCCAGCAGAAGCGCAATGCGTATCGCGCTCGTGACGTCAAAGGCTCCTGCACAGCCAAGGGTACTGTAGTTGCGAGCATTGCCGCTCGGTGGCGTCAACGTGTGACAGTCTCCAAAGCCCATCTATCCTGGGAACTTTAAAACATGAAGGGGCTTTAACAATCTCACCTTGTGGTAATATCCCAGGATTTTACGCCCTATGGCCTGCAGACCAACACGCGGCTCTGACGTCATGCCTCTGCGATGGCGCTGTTGTCGCTACGGCGCATGTGCAGCAGAAGCTTCACCTCACGCGAATCTGGTTTCTGCACTCGCACAGTGCCCACATGTGGGCAAACATGTGCTTGTTTGTAAACAGTGTGTCAGTCTATATAGCTTGTCTGTAACGTCTTCGCGGTCATGCCAGTATTTTATGTGCCACAAGCGTTCGGTTCACCCTGTTAGTTTCACACTGCAGCTTGAGGGAATCAGTACGTTGGAAGAACCGCCAGTACCCAGCCATTGCGACACCTGCAAGCTATGTATATAACTATTCACTGGGTGTCATATTTGAGCCCATTGTTCCCAGTGCATCCCCCAAGGGGGAAGTGGGGGGGGGGGGGAGTGGTATGGTTGGCCTGGCAGAGATTCTCGCATCCTCAGATCAAGCTCCTACCCAACGTCTGCAAAGAGTGGCGATCTTGATGGTGTGGAATGCAAGTTGCGGAAGCACTGTGGAAGTTAACACATACAATGTAGTAGACTCGTTAGCGTTCTTCGCCAAGTCACATTCAGGACAAAGTAACTCCACAACAGCCATACTGCTACAGACTGGCGCTGCTTCTTAAAGGGATGCTGAACCGGAATCTGGATTCCACAAAACACGGCGGCAAAAGTGTGCAACGGAATGCTACAAACACCAAAACATCACTCATACAGCCATATCTCGAACGGATGAGCATATTTCTCAAAAAAAGGAGGCGCTTTTGACAGATATGTTTACGTCTGTCTCTCCGAGAAGGAGAGGGAACGGCCTTGCGTCTTTTCCACCTCGCCGCCTTGAGGGGGCGAAACGAAGAGAGGAGGAAACAATATATCTTGACGTCACTCGCCTCGTCGGCCTCGTTCAATCTCGACCTCTTTTTCCAAAAATATGGCCATCCATTCAAGATATCGCCTTACGAAATGTGTTGTAGGGATTGTAGCGTCCCGCCTACATCTTCTGCATCGTTTTTTTTTAAATTCAAATTTCGGTTCACCATCTCTTTAAAGGCCGATGACGTAACGGCAATCCAACAGAGCTTCACAGACCGCCACCAGGCACCATCTTGAAATCTGTTCATTTGTTTTAAAATTAGTTGTTTTTTTACTTTTTGGTTGGCATTCCAAAAACGATAGACTAGTGTTTCTGGGCTGCCGACACAACATAAACCGTATCTAAACAAGGAAATAAGAGCAAAATTTTCGTTCCGGACCTGGACGTGGGTTGTGTTTCAGAGACATATGAGGAGTTGACGGAGTCATGTAAAACCGTGACAAAGTCTGTTGCCTGCCTTTGCCCAGACACAGGCTAAGGAACTGCAATTATCTGCCCAAATTTTGGGGTAAACAGTGTCATTGCAAGCCGAACAGTTTAACTCTATTGAGGCAACAGTCAAGGCCTTCCATAAACATTTTGGCAAATCGTGTTAGTTTAAGCAGACTGAATAGCTTCAATTAGTTGGTGCCCACAGTGCTGTGAATAGATATACAGTAGTGGACAAACCTAATCAAGTAACGGTGACCTCATCCAAGATGCCTTCTCTCTTCCCTCTTCACCTCTCTAATCTTTTCTCTTGATCCCCTCTTTCCCCATCCCCAGCCTGGAACTGGCTTGCCCCCAATCGACGGTGTGGTTAATAAGTTCCAGGCTTCCTTTCTCTTCAACACTTCTCTCTCTCTCTCCAATTAGTTGGGGGAAAAAATACAGGGGCAGTAAAACTGGCTACCATTGGTGGTGTGGGCCTACATTTGAAGGAAACTAATCTTCCCCCAGTTCACCAAGACCAGCAGTTCTATTGTCTCGTAAATATTGGGGGTTTGCATGCTAATCCAAAGAGAAGCATCTGGTACATCCCAGCAAAGTACCGATAATTACTTCAAACCATTTAGGGGTTTCCTAACGTGAATCTTTGACTGAAATTTGAACCCCCAAACTGCGGAAATGCAGTCCAGCAGAAACATACTAGGCAGTACCTAGTATGTTTCTGCAAAGAGCTGGCAAAAACGGGATAGTCCATGTTAAACGTTGCTTGATGGTATGCCTGCCTAATAAAGAAAAAAACACAGATAAGCCAGCCTTCAACCTAATGGCCCGATTTGACTAAATGCCTAGTTCCACTCAATCAGAGTGAATTAATATTAGAAACTTGTCACAACCCCAGGCTAGTTTAACGGTACACAGCACATTCTAGTAAACAGACTACCATAAAAATCTGACAGATGCCCCACCACCGAAAAATAACCCACCCCAATTGTTGGCTGGATTTGCTATTTTCTTTTGAACACAGAAAAGGTAGCCTGATCCATATTTTCACCCAATTTTTTCTCAATTTTAGGTGGGCTATTTCCCGGAATATTACGGTAGTATATCATGTGGCAGGGACAACGGACACTCCAGTTCAGTGTACATATTGCAGATTTATTCATAAAAAAAGGTTTACAATCATACAATCGTACTCTCAAGAACGAAAGAATTACACGCACAAAAAAACGAGGCAATCATTCTAGCAGTAGTGTGGTAACCAGAATTAGGCAGCTCTAATCTCATACACAGAAAACAGGAGGGTTAAAACGAAAGGACTTCCACAAATAACCATCTCAATTTCTTCCTGAACAAAAAAAAATGTGCTGCAACATTTTTTTTAAATTTTTATTTAAAACCGTTTAGGCCAACTTTGTGGCTTTCTTTCGCCAAACGACCTCTCCGAGCCAAGTGTAGTGAACTACTCTGGCCGTCGGCTAAGCTAAAAAAAAGAAAAAAAAGAACAATCAACAGCTTCCTACAAAATAACCTCCGACAGTTTTGACTGGTTCCAGTAGAGATACAAGCGGAAAAGTTCCACAATAAACCGAAATACAAAAAGAAAGAAGCTTATAGCTACCGGCGCCAGTCAAATGGTCTGTATGTACATGAGGGAGGGAACAAAAAAAAAAAAAAAACATGGGGTCCCTCCTCCACTTTTTTCCCCACAAAAAAATTTAAAAATGTGGCATTAAAAAAAACAACAAAGAAAAACGCCACTGAAGCAACCTAACAGTCTCGTCAGTCCGTCGCACGTGCCACGCCGCTGCACTTGGGTGCTACCACCGCGCGGAACCGAGGCGTGCCCCGAGAATGAGAAGCGTGCGACAGGGCCGCTCCTGCCGAAGAAACAACGAGGAAGCAGACAGCGCCCGCGTGCCCTAGCAGCAGCCCTGGGACCGAGGCTTCTGCTCCCCGGTGAGCTTGATCTGGTCCGGGAACTCGTTGTAGAGCTCCACCTCGGTCTCCTGGGCCAGGGCGTTCTTGGCCACCGTCTGGAACGCCTGCTCCACGTTCAGGGCCTCCTTGGCGCTTGTCTCGAAGTACGGGATGCCGTTCTTGGACTGACACCAGCCCTGGGCCCGCTTGGTCGACACCTGCGCGACGGGGGGCGCACCTTGGGATTGCCGCGTCCGAGGGTACTTCAACTCCCGAGGACGGTTCGCACGCTCTCGACCACTTACGATCGAGCGCATCGAAACTTCTTGGGGCCTCTTACGACAAAAGGACATGCTGGTGCCATCTATCGGTTAGCCGTAGAACACTTGCCATTGCTGTACATTCCCCCTTTTTTTTTTCTTGCGCAATATTCTTCCCTTTTTGACTCAAAAACCTTTTGACAAAGTCGAACAACCATTTCTCATACAGTAGGTTTGAGCGATCTCGCAAATACCGCAAAACCTTCGCTTCGGCAAAATATAGTTCCAGGGTCACCTCATAGACGGCACCAACGAGTCCTTCTCGTCGCAAAAAACTGCGAGAACTCTGTCGTAAGTCAATGCAAGTGTGTGAACGCACCTTTGAAGTTTAAATAAAAAAATCTAGAGTGCAGGTTCAGTAGTGCATACCTGCCAACCTGTGGACTTTCAAATTCGTAAAAGTTCCGCGGCCGCGGTGGGGGGGGGGGGGGGGGGGGTTACGCGCAGCGATGTGCAGCTTAATGTCAGCCTGGCCAGCGTGCGAAACGCTTGCATCACACGTGCACGTGCTACAGAATCCAAACTTCTCGCTTTTTGGGCGGCACGAAGCACGGAAATTTCGACGTGTAGGACTTCAGGAACACCTCAAAGTACCTCATTTGAGGTTTGGAGCTCGGCATTGCGCCGCGAAGCCACAATGACCAGGAGAATGCTAGTTACACGTGCAACAAACACAGACGCCGTACTTCTTGCCTCGAAACTGGCCGAAACGACGAGGCCAACAACGTCTGAACACGCCAAACCAACGTGCACCTGCACACCGCCGAACACACAAAGGCTTTGAGCTTTGGATTAGTTTTCGATCCGTGGCCACCGGATAGACGGATAGTAAAAACCACGACGCTGCTGTGGACGGTACCTATCGTCCTCTTGTGGCGGTGCAAGATACCGCCAACAACGGAGTTAAAAAAAAGAAAAAAAATTTGAAAAATATGTTTTTCGGAAGATTTGAAGCAAGATTCGTAAAATTGTAAAATTAGTCCCAATTCATACATTTTACGAAAAATTCGGAAGAGTTGGCAGGTATGTAACTAGGTTCCTAGGAAATTGGGGTTCCCCAGGGTTCCCTCAAATTCCCTCAACCATCCCTACCTCCAGTAAAGTGTTTTATAGTTCGAGCACAGCAGCTGGAGACTCCCTATTTTGCGAGCTATTTAAGATGTCCGTAGGCTTCTGGGCTAGTTTACTGCATCAAAGCCTGGACCAGGATGCGTTGCTTGGCGGTAAGTCTAGCAACATGGGGGTTCCTCGAGATCCAAAAATTTGAAGAACTCCCGATCTAGGAAAAATGGGTTATCTTCCCGAGCGTTTCGGAATGGTGGGCCAGAGGGACGGGCTATCGGCGACGCTTTAATGTATGCGGGACAGCTGCGAAATCACTCACAAAGTCAGTATCTGGTCTGGTTTCTGGTGTACAAGCAGGTTCAGCACCAGAAATGGGAGATCCCTTCCTTCCGACCTTTCCGAGTCGCACAGCCCCATTTTTACGTCCTTTCCGGTCTAACCAGTCTAACCAAATGGGGGGCCCTTCTCCCCACCACCCATCGTTGGGAGTGAGTGGCAGTACGCCGATTCGCTCCATAAAAACGTGCTTCCGCAACTCGAAATCATCCCGTCGCACCCTCATTTCTGGAATGTATTCAACTGCACTACAACTGGTTTTTAAGCCACTTATGACTGCTCACATCCGGCTGCGTTTCAAGAGTCTCAAGCTGCTCAAAAACCAGTTGCAACGCAGTCGCAGTCAAACCAATTATTTGAAGTAGCCTCGAGATTTATTTTAGCTTGCCTGATTGCCATTATTTTATCTTACATGCCTCTTTGCTCATTGATTGGCATACAGCAACAGAACGGCATCTTCCTAGCAACGCTTGGGCACAGACAGGAACAGTGTTGCCGAATCGTGGGAAATTTCTAACCTTGTGTAGGAAGCTTGACACTAAGGGGTAAAGATAAACTTAATTTGAACGCATGTAAAATATAAATTTTTAGACCCAAACATCTCTCATTTTACATGCGTTCGAGTTTAGTTCCGCGTTGTCCCGTGAAGCTATGTTTGTGAGAAATTCCCCACGATACGGCAACACTGGACAGGAACGCGAGTGATAAAAACTAGGGGTGTCGCGAACTTTTGTCGAACCAGTTCGACAAAAGTTCGGGGTTCGACGAACCTTCGAACTTTTCACCAAATTCGACCGGTTCGACTTTGTGGACAGTGTGGCCAGACCTTGATACAAGCATGTCTAGGTTTGGAGAATTTTTTTTTTAAGAAAAGGGTTATTTTATTTTATAAACAGTTGCAATTTAAAGAAACTAATTCTAATCACTGAAGAGGTTAATAACTTAATTGTTTTGTACTGTATTAAGTGAAATAACCAATCAGCGCTGCCCTTAATTTATTTCTTAGCCATCACCATTCAATCCGAAGCCAACTGGCCAGCCTGTCGCGCATGCGCACATGAGTCGAACCTTAATACAAGGTTCGTCGAATATTCTACTAAAAGTTCGAAAAAGTCGAACCTGGTCGAACTCGAACCTCGGCCGGTTCGCGACACCCCCAATAAAAACTGTTGGCACGATGGCGGCCAACAGCAGGCCGATCCGATGTACCCGCACGTCCCGCATCGGGTGCGCATTGCTGCACTGAATTTACGAGGGCAGCTTATCTGAAAACAAAACCTGAAGTACACTTCCCTGCACTGCACCACCCTTTTCAACCCAACGCGGGCTGGTACGGGTAAACCGAATGAGCTCAAGGTTTGCCACCAGAACGTGCCAGACCGGCCGAGAATGTCGGGCACACCCCAGCAAAGGACAAACTACGGAGAGGACCACCCACCCCCCGGTTGTCCAGGTCCACCTTGTTGCCAATGACGACGAAGGGGAAGTTTTCGGGGTCCCTGGGAGATGCCTGAATGAGGAACTCGTCCCGCCACGACTCCAGGGCCTTGAAGCTGGCCGGCACCGTCACGTCGAAGACCAGCACGCAGCAGTCAGCGCCCCGGTAGAAGGCCACGCCCAGCGACTGGAACCGCTCCTGGCCCGCAGTGTCCCAGATCTGCAGCAACGGGCAGTCCCTTACAGACAATTGCAAGAATGGCACCCCACTGGTGCCCCATGCCTGCAAGCATGTGCAGTGTGTGCATGAACGCAGCATTGGCAAACTTTAAAGGGAAGCAACAACACTTCTGAAAAAAACAAGATAGAGGTTGATTCTAGTGCAGTTTATTCCAGTGAAAAAAAAAATTTTTTTTTTCACTTTTGTTGATATGAACATAAGAACTGACCAGTACAAGACGGCGACCCACAAGCCCCTCGATTGAATTTCCACAATCAGAAGGCTTTAGGGCAAAACGCGTGCCAAGGGATTGATTGGACCAGATTCCGAAACAAATGCTTACACAGCCGCAGTATCTAATTTGCGCATGGTGTTCTATCCCCATCTCAAACGTACAGGCCCCGCATATCCTCCACTAGGTAGCACCTTCAACTTCATCCGGCTTAAAAAGGTAGTCAGTTGCTTGGTATAGATGCCATACACAGAGACAATGGTTCTCAAAGATGCCAGACTGAATTTCGAAAAGGATCTATTGGCCGGGAGTGCCCCTCGTCAGCAGACACATACTCCTAGAGCAAACCGAGCCGCCCATGCCTCACAAGCAGTTCGAAAGTGGTTCACGGTTCTTAGCACTATTACAAAGAAAGTTTCCCTGGCACGGCTTGCAAAGCAATCTAGTGACATGCCTCTGCCACTGAACGACATCGAAACAAACCCTGCCGAGTGCAGAAAGCCTCTCGGTCGCCACGTCGGCTGCTTGGCGGGAATGCCTACATCGCTTGGTGGGACTCCTCTGTCTTTGCGAATGTTCTGACAGCTCAAACCAACTCCACATATTCGCGTTATCTCTCCTTTCGCTGGAGTAGTCTTCTACACCATCAAACAAAGACTTGGCACTCTTTCAAGTCATTTTCTGTCCCCCCCTCTCATATTGTCGCAATGTATTCCCGCTTCAAAACTCTAGCGAAAGTCGTGCGACTGGTCTCGTGTTGGGAAAGAAGCAGCAGTGGGAGAATCCTAACTCGCACGACACGAGTGACTAGGGATGGAGCCCCGCCAAAATGAGCCCATGTTCAATCGTGGCAAACTTCTCCCAATCGCTTAACATGCTCCGTCACTTCGAGCGGGTCAAGTCACGTGGCTCTGCAGGCAGCAGGCCGACTAGGGGTCCACCAGCGGCGCACAATTTTGAATATATACCCGCGAGCGCATGAAGCGCTTCAAATCCGTGAGGGGAACAAACTGCTAAACCCATACTCAGCTCCTTCAAACTGTATCCCATTGCAGGTTAAGTAAGGTGGGACCAAGCTCCCCCTGAAAAGCCCCCTACTCTTTGCACTTCGAAAATGTTTTGAACGGTCTTTGTTTTTTGTTTTTCTTACTTTTATCCACATTTCTCACAGGAAAAACTAATCACTGCATGCACAAACACTCGGCCGTGGAAATGACAGATTGATTAGCAGTGTCTTCAATTCGCTTTAGGGGGAAATGCACAAATGAGCGTGCGAGGGTCGTGATTATCTCATGAACTCCATAAATGTAATTCGCCTCACACTGTAACTTTATCAGCACGGCCCATTACAACGAGATTATCTCGCTCGGCTTAAATCTATGTTGAGGCTACGTCGGACTTTGAGGTCATTTGCACCGCCGGTGAACAGACTGCTCCCAAAAACCCACGGCGCCCGGAACTAACTCAACTACCCGAGCTGGTACGAACTGTGCACGGCAAACGCAGAGCCACCTGGGTCTTGCGCAAGGAACCGTGCCGAAGGCACGCCACCGCCCCGTGCTCACCTGCATGGTGACCAGCCGGTCCTCCACCATCACCTCCTTGGTGAGGAAGTCTGCTCCAATGGTCGCCTTGTACTGGTTGCTGAACTTCTTGTTCACATACTGGTTCATCAGGGATGTCTTGCCCACCCTGGGGATGTGGAAAGGCAGGTTGCAACGGCGTCGGCACCCGAACAAAGAACGGAGCTCGTAGTGCCCCCGGGACGTCGCCAAAATCTTCAGTGCCCGGCTAAACGACGCTTTGGCACCTTCAACCGGTGCGTCTGTCGTGTCCCCCATTTCTGGTCCCTAGAGATCCACTCAATGTCACATTTGGGTCATGCTTCTGTTTGCCGCGATCCAGACGGTCGCGCGGCAGACGATATGGATGCAGCAGACACCCGTTCTGCTGTACCGACATTTGCGCTTGTCTGTACCCTTTGCCGCAATTTCTGCCATCAATCAACTGCCAGGATCGCAACATCAGACGGCACGACACGCCGGCTGCTGAGACGTAATTTGACGACGCCTTCGGATTGCTTTCGACGCACGGAGAGTATTGGACACCAAAATGTACCAGTCGGAGATGCATCACACACGCCGCAACAACGCCCCTTGGGGTGGATTGACACTCACCCACTCTCCCCGAGGATGATCACCTTGAGTAGCACCTTCTTCCTAGACGACATGGTGCCGCTCTCGACCTGCACACAACGGGCCGGGGCGTCACCGCATGCAAGGAGGCCACCCACAGACGCACGCGGCATCCGTGTCGCGACGGACCGAACGAAGAACTCGTTACGGGCCGTCCGTCGACACTAAGCTAAACAACGCTCGTTCAAACGTCACCGAAGAAAACTGCAGAAGGCATTCTCAAAATTAGATGCAAAATTAAAAGAAGGCTTTACGAGATTTCCTTCAAGAGTGCTTTTAGAACATTGCTTTCAATTGGGATAAAAAAATAAAATAGACCTAAAAAACAAACTTTGATCACACCTCAAGCGAGGACAGCCAGTTACGCTTTTCCGTTCATATCAAAGCCAAAGAATAGAACCACTAGTGAGACAGAGAGGCCTACGTGGATTGACCATTGACCTTTTAGAAAATTTGAAGGTTTTACGTGCCAAACCAACGGCGGGCATCTGGCACGCCCCAGCGGAGGACTGAGGATTAATTTCGACCACCTGGGGATCTTTTGACGTGCAACCGAAAGCTCGGTTACACGGCGTCTTCTCCGCAATAAGCCTCCGTCATATTGCGGGCACCTCGGCCGGGATTCGAACCCGCCACATGGGGATCCGTAGGCCGACGCTCTCGCCTCGGAGCCACCGAGGTGGCTTTGACCTTTTAGAAATATTTAAACCGGGAAAGAAGGGCGGATCAATTGGAACAGTTTGCACGGGCCCTCTATGCTATCATTTCTTTTCCACCGAATTCAAAAGGCCTAAAACTTTGTCATGAGAAGTGCACACTGACGAGGTCTGCTGGCGACCTCATCAGTGTGCACACCCCCACTAACTTTGAAAAGCTTAAATTTAAAGGGGAGGGATGTAAATGCTTCTGGGCTAGGTGGCACAAGCTACCACACAACAGAAAGGGTGTAGCCACAACCAACCATCTATCCCCGAAAATGTCGAGGGACTACGTAAGGCCCCTCAACATGTTTAGACAAGGGACCGCATTGCTGTCCGCTTTTGTAAACTGAAGTTTTGCCAGTGACGTCTTCAGCCTCTATTTGTTTGTAGGACTTCTTAAGGCCCTCACCTGATATGACAACAAGAATAAAAAATGGCACCGCCACCACCATGTGCTGGCATTTTCTTAATACAGCAAGAGAGCAAGCACGCCGTCGTTCCCGTTGCTCGATTCACTCAAAAATAAACCAAACTCAACATGTCTAAGAAAAAAATTCTTAATAGGACATTTTTGGCTTTCCTGGCGATTTTTTTACAGCAGCAGCCTGAGAAAATACTTGTATTTCAATGGTGACACTTCCCAAATGTGACAATCCCGAGCTCATGGCTTTATCATTAGTAGAAGCTCCTGCTCAGCAAGAGTTCTGCAGCCGAGATGCGTCCTTAAACGAAGAGATCACACTTGCAGCGTAGTAGCAGGATTGTCATACAGGTGATTAAGATGACAAGAAGCTGGGAAGCAAAAATTGAAACAAACCACTAGGCAAATTAATACAGAACAGTATAAGCCATGTCAATGAGTTATACAGGCAGAGCTATGTTTCTGGCAGAAATGAAGCAGCGGCACGAGATCATTATGGTGCATGCCGTTTCTAGTGCTCGAGACATGGAGACTGCGACTCAGCCGGTCGCCTGCGGGCTGCGTGTTTGAAACCTACCAGTCGTAGCACAGCCCAACTACAATACGCGAGCCCAGAAATAATGCAGAATCAAATAAGTGAGCTCAGCTTCACTGCTCCTTTCCAAACAACGGTCTACCGTGGAAGATCTCCAACTAACTTAGCCCCATCCTCTCAGTTACTGCATGGCACTTGTTTTAAATGAAGGTGCTATAACAAGCATGTTTTGTTCACGTCCAAAGCTTCAATTCGAAAAACATTCAATGGGCATATTGAAAGAAAACACTCCGTAATGTAATTCAAACCGACTACCAGAATATATGAGACCTTGTATTTCTGCATTATATTGTTGCTGGAGCTACAGATGGTCTGTTTAGTGCCCTTCATGTTCTGGATATTTCGGGCAAAAAGTTACTTTGTTTCTAGCCGTAGGTCAGAGGGTGGCCTCCCATGGCAACCCTTTGACAGAATCACTGTATTCCACACTTCAAACAGACTCAATAATCTCATTGCACATCAACGCTTATAGTGATCACCGTTTTGCACTTGGCATTGGTTTACATCACGAGGCATGTGCTTCAAAGCACCCTTATAACCTATAAGACAAGGCTAGTCTTAGAGAATGTGTCCAACGGTATCGAAGACGAACCTTGCTGGTCAGGACACGTTGTGTCTGAACTCGGGGCCGACGGGGGGCGTCGTTTAACGCTGATCTGGAGAGTGGACCAACCAGGCAAACAAGAAGAGTTGCTCAATCGTGCCCAATCAACTCAACGAGAGCGGAAACCAGGCTTCTGTGCTCCTTACGAGTCCGAAACGACCAACAAAACCGGGCACCGCAATCCAACGAATCTCACACACCCCGACCTCGGCGCGTATCGCGATGCGCGAACACCGCTGACTAAACTCGGTCAGCAGCGAGCGTTGATCAGCTCAATACTAGCCAACGGAACCGAGCTAGGGTCGAAGTCCGCACGGCGAACCGCTTCAACTAATCGCCGAGACAAAGAACAAAGACTCCAAGGCGCACGCAACACACGCTAGTCACTCGTCCCGAAGTGACGCAAGGTCTCTGTCCGCCACCCCCTTTCCAGCTCACAGCTGACAAACTATCACCACCCTTGCTAGGGGGGAGGGTGACTTCATAGTGGGGGGAGGCGTCAATCACTTCCGCCGCACGCGAACGGACCTCGGTGTGACCGGCGGGACAAAGGAAAGCATCTTCCGAGGGATTTGAGGATACCACTGGCTGTCTCCAGTGGCGCAGTTCCTCTAGGGTCTGGACAGCTGATTATGGTCCGTCACCGAGACTGGCAAACGTCCTCGCTTTCTTGATTACGCGGGCTATAGACAACCGACGCTGCTCCTCGCTAGAAGGCGACGGATTTCGCGAGCTTCTCGACAACGCAGCGCATCACAAACACGAAGTGTGCGGCCAAAGTCCAGCATGTTGACGCGGAAAACTCGCCAGCAGTTGTGGGCAGCATTTTGTTTTTTTTTTTTCTTTTTTTTTCTTTAGGCTTAAAGGGTCTAAGGAATGAGTGGGAATGCCCCTTACCTTGACGCCGTTTAAATAAATAAAAGGCGAGCGAGCTGGAGATACAGCGCAACGACTGGTCTGACTCAAATCCCAGCGAGAAACTGCGGTTTCAGCTCCGCAAAAGAACTAGCCACACGCACGACTACGCTCGCGAAAGGCAACACGGACTTGGACAAGATGGTGGCGAAGATTTTCGATCACGGGATCAGGGACGTAATAATCACGTGACTTCCAATTGACAACTGATTACGTCACGGGCGACAGTAGTTGCAGTACTCAACGTTATAAAAATCTGCTTAAAAATTAAAAAAACAAATTAAAAAAAGTTATAGCTTCTCGCAGTTGTTCGTAGAAGCTTTAATAAAAACGAAAACATGCAGGTGTCGCTAACGGGGACCAACTTGGTCAACCTGGTGACTAAAAATGTCTTGTGACTGGTTGATTGCAGAGCCAGAGCCTGAGCGGAACAAAACGAACGTTGCAGCGAAACAGGCACCTGCCATACATTCATTTATGGAAGGCCTTCATTTATTCATGTGCCACCGCCAGAATCGCGGTAATTTGCTTGAACGTTTGTTTTTTGTGAAAACCATACAAATGCAATAATGTACTCATCAATTAAAAGCACTGACAATGTGAAACAACCTCCAACCATTCCAAAGTGTTTAGTTGTACATCTTTAGTTTGTCTGAAATTGGACGTACCTGTAAACTGGGCTGCTAACATTGTTATCGCGTCTGCTGCACAGAAATGACGGCAGAGCAAACTCTTCAGGGAAAAAAATCGATATTTTCTCGTTTTTTCATTCTTTTGCCCGTCTGAGTCGTCGCTTGCTGCTGCCCAAGCTTGTCGACAGTACACGCCTGTGCCTTGAAGACATCCCCGTAACAATCATCAGAAAAAAAGAAAAAAACTTGTCGATGAACGTGAGCGTTGATCGATCCTCAAATCACTTTTCGCGATGATCTGCGCGTCGGATCAGTCACCGAGCTGGGCAAACGCAGGCTTTCGACGTAAACGCACGCGGGCGTCGATAGACATGTCCTTTACGGCGTGCCGAGTTTGAAGCTCGCTTGGACGGCCCGTCAAGATGTACCCGTTGTTCGAGACGGCCAGGTTGTTTTCCCTGGGCCCTACGCGGCGAGATCGCCGTCCCACCATCGTACTGTCGGCGTTCGGCGAAAACGCTCGTGGATACGTCCTGGTACTGTCCTGCAGCAACGGTAAGAGCCCCGGTTGCACGCGTGTTCAGGAACGGCGTGCCTGCACTCGGCCGATGAGCCAGAACAACCCGTCGAGTGTTTTATGAGCCAATCCTAAACCAAACCAAATTAGACGTCCGTTCTTGTGCCTTCGAGGTATGGTGACACTGGTTTACAGTGCAGACGATAAATTTATCCGGTGCAGTACCAGTAATCTAACGTGCACCGCGCAGTAGTGAAACACGACCGCGTCTGCTTCTTTTCCAGGGGTTGTGGTGACGTCAAAACGCCCTAGCTCTGATTGGCTGTGGTTTAAGGATAGTGGGTAGACCTCAAGGCAGCTAGCTTTGAGGTCTACCCACTATCCTTCGATTGGAGCCAAACAGAGCTCTACGTTTTTTTGAGGTCACCGGAACTCTTGCGCAAGAAGTAGACGACTGGCTCTCTGCATTAGATTGAGACGAAAAGTGGGATTGAGCCCAGGATCCCTGGGTTCTGCAGCAAAGTTAACTTTCATTCCACATGGGCTGCGGCACATTAACACACTCGGCCACCGACCACCTCCCAATGAGCCAACTTCTGCTTGGCACGACTAAGTTAATCTTTCATTCCCCGTGTATTACCTGGATGTACACGGGAAATAAAGTGGTTGTACATCCTAGGATGTACAGCCATCCTACTGAGGACAATTAATTGCCGTAATCATGCATCGTGCGTTTTTTACCACTGACAACTAGTATTGTGCTACTGTGTTGATATATATATATAATTTCTTTTGCTGGTCCTGCTTTTTTTAATGCCTTCGGGCCTTCAGGGTACACTAAATAAAGGAATAAATAAACTTGTTGAGTGTAATCATCATCATACGCACATTGAACCGACACATTAAATGTACGCATTTTGAGTCTACCCTCTCCTAGCTGTATTTACACTTCCCTCTCTCATGCCACAGTGCAAGTCTTAGTTATGAGGCCGTACCCTAAAGGTTGGTTCACACAGAACCTTTTTCTTACGTTACAAAGCTTACGTACACTTGCATTCAGGTACAATCTCGAGCCACCTACCACATCCGTGCTTCCTACGAAACATCGCAAGCAGTTAAAAACGTGGTGCAACGATATTCAGTCAGAATGTTTTTCACTTTACACGAGCTTACTGGCACTAGTGGGACTCAAGGATACTCACACGCAATGCCACTGGCCAAGAAACTTCTTTGTTGCGGTGTAATTTTAAGGACAACAGCAAACGTTTTCATTCAGTCTCTTCTTCGCAAAATTTGATGGCGTAGCTGGGCGTTCGCAGTATCGCCCAGTGACGATATTGAATGTAGCTCGTAGAGTAAACCCCAGCATTGCATGAGCACTCAATTTTGGCTCGTGATAATCAATAGCTCGACAAGCTTTCGGGTAGTGGCCCGTGTTCAATTGCTGCAAGGACGACAGTAACCGAACCATAACAGTGTCTGGAACTCGGCACGTGTCCTGTGCCTTGCCAACCCCGAGCGCATGGCTATGATCAACATTTACCGCATATAGTCGGCTCCAGCTCATGTGGCCGCTTGTTCTGGCCGTGAAATGAGGGGGTGAACGCTGCTCATTTAGAGCGCAGCTCTTAGGCACTCGTTCCCGTGTTTCGCGGCGTCGCCGTCAGCATAACCGCGCTCGTTGGATTATGAGATGTCACGGACCTATACACCAAATCAATTCCTTGCTAAATTTAGCAAAGAAACTGAATTGGTGTGTAGGTCTGTGACGTCCCATAATGAAACACTGCACATTCAGTTTCCCCCCTATATTTAGCGGTAAAACTGACATCACATGACCTCAACAACAATTCAGTTTCCCCACTAAATTTAGCAGGGAATTGAATCGGTGTTGAGGTCACGTGACATACATTTTCCCGCTAAATCTAGCGGAGAAACTGAATTTGTTTCATAGGTGACGTGGCACGAAGTCATGCGACGTCATTTTCCCCGCTAAATTTCGCGGGGAAACTGCATTGGTGTTGAGGTCACGTGGCGTCAATTTTCCAGCTAAATTTCGCAGGGAAACTGTGGGAGGAGGGGAGGGTCGTTCATACCCTCCCCTCCTCCTCCTGATGTAAATAATATTATAGTAAATAATTAAAGGAGCTGTGCAACAGTTTCAGTGCCTTGCTTAAATAATTTGGTGTCTCAAACTTTCTGAAGTAAAGAACAAAAAAACGCTTTTGCCTGCATGTCCTAGTTTTTATTTTAAAAATGGACTAAGATTGAGGTTTTCGGCACATCTCAACTCCTTCACCTTCTTCCGAGTCACGTGCGCTGTAACGTCAATGAGGGTTGTGCGGGGTTCCGGTGAAGCTCTCTCTTTCGAGCCATCAGTGAGCAGCGAGAACTCATCCACTCGCGACCGCGTGACCACGTGCTGCTGGGCGCAGCGCGAACAATATGGTGAAAGGAGGAAAGTCTCATCCGGGTCCGCCTTGGTCCGGCCCAGGGTGTAAGATAGACAGGTGGGGAAACGGCCCATAGAAGCCTACCGCAGCGCCGTGACCGGATTGTGTACTCGTCTGCTTGCGGGTACCCCAGATTTGCGACAGATGGCGCTGCGGCGAGAGGAAAAATGTTGGAATTGGATTTGCATGGAACTCTATGGGAGAATGCGCAAAATAAACCGAGAGCGCGACAGTCCTCCATTGAAAATCTACGAGAAATCATCTCCGTCAGTTTAGCCGATCGCCACCGGTAGCACCACCCGGAGTGAGAGTTCGTGGTGCTCCACATAGATGGCGCCACAGAAAAAGAGAAAACCTAGGGGGACACAATCCGGTCGCTCATTTGGCTCTCGTTTCCCCACCTGTCTATCTTTCACCCTGGTCCGGCCATACCCGTCCGACCCTGTCTCCCTCCCCCTCCGGCTTCTGGCGGCTGTTCGCGGTAGCAGATAGAGCTGACGGTTTTGTGGACCTAGGATAGATGGCGCCACTAAAACTTTGTATAATAAAAGTTTTGTCGATGATACTAGGTTTTTGATGCATTTATATTTATATTGCATTGACAAGATTAATAGAAAAGTTACCTTTTATCGAGCAGGTATTCGCACAACTTGCTATGTTTCTACAAGACCCCCATTGACGTCATGCGACGTTTCTCATGGCCGTTGCTCACGGCTGCAGGTAGGGGAATATTCTAATCTTTGCCTCGATATTACGCGGCGGAATTGCAACAGTTCGAAGGAAGGAGGTGTGTTTTCTGTCCTTTGTGACAAGATAAACAATGTCAAAAGTAGAAGATGCCAATTCTTTCAACGTTAAAATCGTTGCGCAGCTCCTCTACTATGTATATATATATATATATATGTATATATATACTATTTTTTATTATTTATTTATTTATTTCACAATACTGCCAGCCCCTTCAAGGGCCAAGGCAGGAGGGGGTAATACAAACACGGAAATGAAATACAACACTGCTTTCAAATATCAACATTTAGAGCAATCTCCAGGATCCGCACCACAAAAATATACACCTCAAGCACCGCTTTCAAGATCAACCTTTGGGAACCTCACCCCAAAAATATACACTCACAGATACACCCACAAGAAGGGTCACACTTACAGGTCAAACAATACGTTTATGGCATTCTTGAATTCAGAAGGGGATTCCAGTGCAACGACACTAGCAGGAAGTTTATTCCACAACTCTACCGCCTGAACAAAAAATGACTGTTTAAAAATATTTATACGGGCATCAATGGCGGTTAAAACTTTCTGGTGGTGCAAGCGATCTAGCCGGTAGCTTTTCGGCTTCACATATTTGGATTTATCAATTCTAATAATGTTGTTGGATATTTGAAAAAACAATCTCAGGCGCTGAAACATTCTTCGGTTTTTTAGTGGCTGCAAACCAGCCTGTCGTTTCAGCGTCGTAACAGATGGAGTACTCCTAAAGTCAGAAAAGATTGAGCGCACTGCCAGTGACTGTACGTTTTCAAGCTCCCTTGAAAGTGTGACCTGCCAGGGATCCCAGACTTCGGATGCGTACTCTAGGGTCGGTCTTACTAGAGCTTTATACGCAAGAGTCTTAACCGCAGGAGGTGTCCTAAACAGCCTTCTTTGCAGATACCAGAGTTTTTTTATTGCCTTGTTTTTTATATAGTCCACATGTTTGTTCCATTTTAGGTCACTCGTGATAATCACGCCCAAGTACTTGTAGCTATCAACTTTGGAAAGTTTAACTGCATCAAGCTCATAATCAAAACACAATGCATTCTTTTTTGTTGTAATATGCATGTATTTAGTTTTTCCGGTATTGATTTTCATGTTATTTTCGCTGCACCATGCCGAAATATCGGATAAGGTATTATTCAGTTTAATTTGGTCATCCACGGAGGTTATAGGAGTGTATATTATGCAGTCATCAGCAAACATTCTTATTTTTACTGGCCCGTTGCTGTTAATAGTAAACAGGCTGTTAACGTATATCAAGAAAAGCAATGGCCCCAACACAGAACCTTGTGGAACCCCTGAATATACACTTAACAAATCGGAAGGAGTACCACCGATATCTACGAACTGCTGCCGATTTGTAAGTTACGCTCTTATCCATTTTATTAATAATGAAGGAACACCGAGGACAATTAGTACATTAATTAACTTGTGATGAGGTACGCGATCAAACGCTTTTGATAGATCGATAAAAATGGCGTCCACTTGTAAACGATCATTTACGTGACGGGATATTTCATGGTAACATTCAATTAGTTGCGTTGTTGTAGATAACCCTCTACGGAAACCGTGTTGATTTCCATTTAGTATGTTATGTTCATCAAGAAAAGATGTTAACTGTTTGTTTACAATGTGCTCCAATAATTTACAAAACGTGCAAGTCAAAGAAATGGGGCAATAATTTTCAATTGAGTCCCGTTTACCATCTTTTTTAACTGGTACAACTCTTGCTATTAACCAGTCGTCTGGTATTGCAGATTCTTTGAATGACCTCGAAAAGATACACGTAAAATATTTAGCAACCCATTCGGCATATCTCCTAAAAAACATGTTTGGTAGGCCATCTGGGCCAGTTGATTTTTTTACGTTAAGTGATAACAGCAGTGATACAATACCCTGTTCTGATGGGAAGCTGTACGCGTCAGATCTTTCATCGCTGGGAATGGTGTTCGATTTGCTTATTTCAGTTGAAAAAACGGACTGAAAATAGCGATTAAACTCAAAAGAGATTTTGCTCCTGTCACTCACGACGTTGTCATCAATGCGTATCTGCGTAATGTTAGACCTTGGAGGGGACAGATAACACCAAAATTTTTCAGGAGACGATGTAATGAAATCAGGCAATGACTTCGTAAAATATGCTTCTTTAGCTAGCTTTAGCTAGTAAAATATGCTTCTTTAGCTATTATGTATGCAGGAGTGTGAGGTCCATGTTTGTACATATAGATATTTCTTCCTCAAATTCTTTAGCACAGTATATCACAAAATCAAAATACCTCAAAAGCTGCACTTTAATTTTGCATTACAGAGATTTGGGAACGTCTTTAAATTTTTTTAAATTTTTTCTGCTACTTCGATTGCGTGTGGTGAAAAACAACAGGCATTTCACAGGTCATTATTGTCAGGGATCCGTTCTAAGCAGTATTTGTGCAAAGTACAAAAATCATTGCACCGCCCCTTTAAAGGAGTAGCTTGGCACACAATACGAGGCACGGATGTGCCAGTGACTTGTGTTGGCGTCTCAACGCAAGCGTATGTAAGCTCCGTAACACAAAAAAAACAATGCTGTGTGAACCAATCTTAAAGCTTATTAATAGAGACGACGTTCATGATCATTTTGGAGTGTGCACTCAAAGAAGAAACGACCGTTCAGCTCACTTTTCGTAGTCTTTTGCAGGTTAAGACTAGCAGGACTAGCCCCTCATAAAAAAGCCCTCTGCTTGCCATGCTTGGAGGCTGTCCCTTCTCCACTTGCATTCTTTCTAGCGCTTTTTGCTTTGCTAGAGTGGAAAGCTCTGTGAGAGAGTCTTGTCCTGCTATTCTTAACCTGAAACAGACTATTGAGTTCAAGAGCTTAACTAGTCACCTCTAGTCAGTAGGAAGTTTTAGAATAATGTGTGCAACCCTAGCGCACATTGGCGCTAATTTAAGCGTTTGCGTTAGTGCACGCTGCGCTACAGAGTTTTAGAATAGCGTTTCCCCATCGCGACGCAAAATCCAAGCACCTCACGCTTGCAATGCCACCAAGACGCAGTAACAGTTCTTATTTCACACACAAAATGCTGTAAGATGAGAAAAAAAAAAAAAATATTGGCTCCAGAGTAAAATTTTAAACTCGTATAAATATGAGAACACGACGCGAGCGGTCGACCGGTGGTGTCTGCTCACGTCGCCTCAGCAGGAGAAGTCCTGTGTCTTCGCCAAGGAGCGTCCAGGCGTCACAAGCAACAAGTTGCCGGTGATCGTCGCCCACAGTGCCAAGTCTTCCAACCTGTTTGTGATGTGCACCTTCCGTAGGAGTGCAATGTCGTCCCGTATTGAAATTTGCAGTTGTGAAGATGCCGTCGACGTTGCGCTCACGACGACCGCCAAAGTGGCCGCAGCCGCGGTCCTGGGAGCCGCCATTTCCTGACTGCGCTCATCATGGCTTTAGCCAACTTCTCGTGCATCACGAATACAGACATTCAAGGACTCTTTGTGTACGCAAGCGCAATTTCCAAAAGATAGCGCCCGCAAAGACCAAGACGCGGCAGTGGCAACAATGCTAATCTTTGCATTCGCTATTCTAAGACACTTTGACGTCGAGGGGCATCTTGCGCGCCAACCAAGCCGAGCACTCTCCTTCGCCGAGGCAGAAGAATCTCGTCTCTAACCACGGCGCCTTCGCCCTTTGTTTCCAGGCCACCTGGTGTTCTACTCCCGCCGCCCCTCAGAGCCCCAGCCCCGCGTCTGGAGCCTGCCCTGGTCCCCCACGGGGCGCCCCCACCGCGACGGTGATGTGGCCGCCCTCTGCCTCGCACCCTGTGGCATGCAGCTGGTCTTGATCACCACCAGCTCCACCCTGCACACGTTTTGCCTCGCTGCTCTGCTGGTGAGGCACAACTCGGAAACGGTTATTAGTGCTACGGGGGTCTGGAAACGGATCAGTTTGGTACCAGACTAATAGAGGTAAAAACTGAGAGAGAAAAGAGGAAAGCGCGCTGGGATGTTTATGCATCGAGTTCTACTCGTTTGAACAGCAAGTAGAGGCAAAGGCAGCTAACTTTAGGTCTACCCACTAATCATTCCAACCAGAGCTCAGTGCTCCGACATCCCTGCACACTCTCGTCTCCTCCTCTCCCTCAGTTACTACCCATTAACCAAAGTCAAAAGCAAATATTGGTTACCACATTGATGTCTCGTTGACGTGGACACCTCCATTCCCCCCAAGAATGATTTATAATGGGAGTTGTCCATAATAACGAGACAAAAACGCGTGTCTTTACCCGGTTCGTTTGCCAAAATGTGGTCTATATAGCGAGGCATGCATGTTAACGGGGTCTGTATTAAAGTTACACGACTAGTTGTTTTTGCTCTGCCAAATGGTAATATTTTCATCCCTCACAAATGCTGGCACCTTTTAAGCTTTGAGTTTAGCTGGGACAAGGAATGTCGCAAACTTTTTCGCTTGGTTTGATGTTGATTTTTGAGGTCTTCTAATGTTTAGCAACATTCAACGAAGGTTGGATGAATGGATGCTAACGGCTGTACCTTTTGTAACGGACGGTAGCTTCAACCACCCAGCCTAGAAAGTTTGACCTCTTGAACAGGGTTGCCCGACTCCTACACAGAAATTTTGAATTTGGGGATGAAACTGTAGTTTTTTTTATATTTCGGGGAAAAATTACCGATGTTTGTACAATGTAATAACAGACATATAAGCTTTCAATGATTTACTAGCTTTGTAACTGAAACAATATTCCAGAGCGCTCCACTGGAAATGGAGAGGTTCCTGGTTCGATACCAGGACCAGGCGGATTTTTTCCGTCACGCACCAGTCACCTAGCTGTGTATAGAGACTTCTGTTTGTCCTCTGTCTCCCTTGTTCCACTTCTTCAAAGATTATTTTCGTCACCCTTTAGATGTTGCACTCTCCTTCGTGATTTCATTGTGGCTTCTTCAGATGTAGACGCGAGGCTTTTTATCCAACCCTGGTATGTTATGTACATTGCTCGCACACGTGCGTGCCCTCCAAACTGTTTTCTGAAAGCCTGTGGTGGGCAACCAGCAGGAATTGGGACGAGCAGATTGTGGTCAGACGTAGCTGACGCTTAGGGCAAAACGGGGAATTGTATTTTCAGGAAACCGGGGGGCAGAGGTCGTGGAGTGCCGACGACACTGTAGGCATTCGTCTCCAAGGTAACAGAGGTATGTCGCCCGTTTAATTATCTCCTAGGAAATGCCAGTTTAGTCTCGTAATATATGAAATTCAGTTGCTCGTTGACTCGTCGGCTTGGCTGAGCACCCAATCTGCAGTTTCAATTGACGGAATTTATTTTTTCTTACTCGAAGGAAAGCCGACGTGCATCTGCTCATGGCAAACACTGAAGGGGACGCTCGTCGTCATCGTAGGCACAGAGGTGAGTGCTGTCATTCATTCTTTTTGGAATACCCTCTTGAGGAACATGGGCGGACAACCGTTTGCCATTGGCCTAACGTGCCCATTTCATTCCAATCGTGAAATGTTGGTGTGGGGTGCCTGAATGATTTCAAAATTTCTGGCTCATTTATACTATTTCGACGTGACACACACGCGCGCGTGCCTGTGGCACGGCAACGTTATGTTGGCGAAGATCAGATCCCTCCACAAGCTTAAAGGGGCACTGACAGGGTATTTATGCTCGCCAAGAGTTTTATTTGTACATGACATAGACGAGCCCAACAACCCAGAACACAACTTGCGGCTCGAAATTCATTTTCTTTCCACCCGAAAATGGCGGATCGAGAATGGGCCGGTTCGAGTTGCGCTCACTGTCTTCTCTGTGGTCACGTGCTGTTTTCTATGGTTTAGACACAACGACCAAAGATAATCAAAGTCGTGGGCATCAAAGGCACACACTCAATATTAAAAATAGAAAAGAAATATGATACCCATTTTTGCGGCTTCTAAAAAAGTGCAAATACTTAGACTGAAAAAAAAAAAAAAAAAATTCACATCTACGTGACTTTTGCCAACTCTCTCCTCCTTTATATTGCTTCTTCCTTCCAATACAGTTTTGGTTTCGGCTTCGAGCAGTTGCGTTTTTTGACTCAAAAATATATGTGACGCTGTCGCAAAATATTGATTGGGTAGTATTTTGACACCATAATAAATCACATGGCAAAAAAAAAAAAAAATGTAAGGGTTTGGGGGGGGGGGAGGGGTGTCAATGTCCTTTTAATGCGATGCCCAGAGCCTCTACTGTGTATTGGTGCCAACGCCGAGGCACCTTCTGCCACTGTGGCATGTTCACAGTCCAGCACGGCATCGCTCGTGAAGTTCTCACCCATGCCTACAATGCTTGAAACGCATCTCCGACTGACGTGTTTAGCGTCCCATTCCAACCTCGCATCGAAAGCAGTCCCGAAGTTGCAGCAAATGACGTCGCAAAAGCCGGGGTGTCACGTTCCCCGTGCCCTCTTTTCCAGCACGGGGAAGTGTGCCTGGTGGACCTGGCTGCCAGACGACAGGTCGGAGCAGTAGGTGTCGGGCATGCGGTCACCGGGATGGAAGTGGTATCGAGCGCGGTGCGGCACGCCACCCAGCTGCTGGTAAGCTCCCGGCATTCGTTTTCTGTGCCTTGTCCGGTCCCTCGGGGGGAGGGGTGGGGAGCCGCACGTCGGGAATCTGCTCTGCTGACTTTCAAACCATTCAAACATCTTGCACCCTGGGCACTTGAGAAGTACACAGGTGTCATTGGGTAAGAATGTCTTTTTTAGTGGTCTTTTACCTGTGCACAAGAAAAAAATACCTGGGGCTTCCGTTTGTTAGCCTATTGGTAGAGGCGTGTGCGAACATTTAGAACTTTGAAAAGATTTCGAATAGTGTTTGCTCTTTGATTCAATTTGCAGCACATTTTTACTGCTTGAAGTATTTGAGTTCTTGAAATATTAGAAAATTATCAATAGTGTCTTCAGAATTTTCCAGTATCATGCATCAATCTTCACTGTTTCGCACCACGGTGTTTGCAATTCAATTTAATTCACAGCACATTTTTACTGTTCAAAGTATTTGAATTTTTAGAATATTACAAAGTATATCTTCAGATTTCTTCAATAGCATGCATCAAGCTTCACTGTTTTCCACCACCACTCTGGCATTGAGCTTCACCGTTTTGCACCTGCGTGCTAGGAGAAACGGTTGACAAGTCATAATATCTCTGTTGGCTGGAAGGTCTCAGAAATTGTGTTCACTATTCTAGGTCAGCCTTCTTTGTTTTTAATTATAGTATGACCCATAATTTTAGAGAACAGTGCTGGAAGAGGAAACCTCAAGAGCATAGCAATAAATGAGTTGTCATTACTTTTCTTGCCATTTTACATTTTGTTTTATTCAAAGGCCTTTTTTTCTGCTAAAGTGTGTACTAAAAGGTTTCTCGTGTAATAAAACTGTTCCTTTTCATAGGTATGCTTTCTAGAAAAAATTTCCAGCCTTGAATTTTTAATGTGACATTGACATGAAATGTAAAATATATGTTCCAAAATATTTAAATTCGATTCACAGTCAAATTTCGATTTTCATGTTCAATTTGCAATTAGAAATTTGATACTTGCATACATCTACTTAATAGCTTTTATATCTTTCTTTCTTTCTTTATAATACTGCTAATCTCTTTGAAGATAGTTACAAGATTGGAATCAAAACATTGTTACACAGGCTGCACTTGCCGCGATAATGTAGAAAAGACTAGAAAATTTTCAGTATATTCAACAACATCACAACATCCATTCCAATCAATAATTGTTAGAAGGAAGAGCCACCAAAAATTATGGTTCCCTTGAAGGTGACCGACGCCGCACATCACCACTGGCACCTGCTGCTGGAGGACAAGAGCAGTGGCCACGACTGGCTGAGTCACCATTCACCGGCGCCAGGTGCCACTTCCGGTGGAGCATCCGAGTGGCGGCTCTGGGCGTCTCCGGATCGGGAGGAGTCTGCAACGCTCCTGGGTGAGTTTCTGTGCTTCTTTCTCACCTCCTTCCTTTCTATTTACTATTACTGCGACGCGGGTGTTGCGCCATCTGCACCAAATTGTGACCAAGTGCATGATCCGTTGCATCCCGCTACTTTTCACCAAAATGTGAGGATTTTGTGCCAACATTTCCCCGGAACTTTATTTCTCTTTGTCGACACCAAAACTGGTAGCCGAAACCGCACCGCACTGCCGTATCGAACACCGACGGCCCCCGAAAGCTCCGCGATATTTTTGTGATCCGTTCGCGACAGTTTTAGCTCGAACGTTTCGTTCTTTCCCTTTTTGTCAGAGAGGTCACAGCCGCAGCAGCCGAGACGTATTTCCAAGCTTGGCAAGGACGTCGTTCTTGGCCGGCAAGTGGTGCAGGGGCGTCAGTGCCTCACGGCCAACGACACCAGCACTTGCCAGCTTGAGGTCAGTTCCAAGAAATAATGAGTGCGGGGTAATGCGCTCAATATAATGCGCTCATAAACGGCACGACCGCTTATGCCAAAACGGTTACGCTGTGCTCTGTTTCAAGTTACGGTTGACCGCAGCAAATGCCAGAAGCCATGAGAGCCAATTCAATGCCGCGCGAGTGTCGCATGATCTTGAAGAAGGGAATACACTGACGCGCGCAGTGATGTGATTGCTGCGCCAATTGCGCCAAACTGCGCCAAGGGACTAACCCCGCTACATCCTGCTACATTGTGCCAGAATAAGAGTAATCTGTGCCAAGCCTGTGCCAAAGGACCAATTTTGGTCGCTTTTCGAAACCGAAACTAAACTGAGTATCATAATTGAGCATGTGTGGGCTAGGTGGCGCAAGCGTCCGCCCCACACCAGATACGGCTCTGCCTGACACAAAGTATCCTGCATCAGTGGTCCTTTCGGTCCTTGCATGGTTTTTCCCGCCGTCTCTCGTTTCGCGCTCTTGTCGTCTCGTAAGTCTGGTCTCGCGTCTTTTTACAGCTATTTCAACGATAGACGCGGGCATGTCTGGATGCTCCGACGGTAGCGTAGCGGGTACCAGGCCAGCCATGCCGTCATAATGTGAAACGAAATCGCATTTTTGCGAGGCGGAAGTTACCTTGTGAGCTGAAGCACTCGCTCCTGAAAGCAACGGCTATGAAAAACTATATTTGGTCTCTGCCTGCCAGTCACCGTGGTCGCGCAACGTCGGGCGTTGCCGTCCCCATGTCACTGCAGATGTGGCGCTTTTTAAACTAAAATGTAAGGACTGCTGCATGTTCATCAACATTCCTGTTCTTTTTTGAATTGTACACTATTACAAGAATCCCTCTTTAACTCAGTTTGCTGTGTCGAAGTATTGATTACCTAGGTTTCTCTCGGTAGATTTGTTTTCGAGAGGGACCCCGGTATGTGAAAAATCTCCCGCGGAAGAAAGTGAGTGGAAAGAAGTGAGCTAAAACAAAGAAGGCAATGTATGCACGCTGAACCCTCACAGCGCGCTTGTTTGTCTCGAGTTCAGTCGTTGCGCAAAGCGCTCCAAGAGCTTTTTGACCCTGACTCGCGATGCCTTGCATCGATGCGCTCAGGTTCTGTTTTTTTTGTGTGTGTTTAGCATGTACCTTGTTTGCCCGCCTATCAAGCACGTGCCGCTAGACGTTTTTGTCGTGTACTGGACAGTTACATTTTGCATACAGTTTTGGGAACCAATGGACCTTTTGGCGAATATGTGCTGCCACCTAGACACGTGACTGGGTTCGAGACTAAGTGGATAGAAAAGAACGCGCGCGCAAGGCCTCTCCCACTTGTTCGACACCCAAAGCGTGAGCCACATCCTGTTCACCCATTGAGGCGCTGTGACCTAGATGAGGCTCCCCCAAACTCGCCTTCTTCCCCATCGTGCGTAATCTTCTGCCTTGAAGTCGACACAAAGAAACCATCTTCCCTCTCTGCTCCACCAGAAGGAAGAGAGAGAGGGTGCTAGAACCATTTAGTACTCTCGAACCGATGTTTCTACAAAAGGTCCATTGGCAACGGAGCGGAGTGGCATGGTTTCGGTCAAACAGCCATCTCCGCTCACGCGACGAAGCCCGTGCAACTGCAAGCCTGCCGAGGTTGCCCTCATGTGCACGCGAATATGATTGCACGACAGAGGCACCAGCTGGGACGCTTGCAATCTATTGTTTTACGTTTGCTTACTTTTGACGAAAATCTGGCATGTCCAGAACCAGTAAAACGGCGGCAAGCGGTTTTTCGGAATCGCTCGGCAACGCCTACAGCACTGTACACTTATGGGATGTCTCAATGTCTCTTTGGAGACAATGAAAGTTGACATTCATTACTAGCTGAAGGCTAAGCGAGGCTTGGAGCAGCCTTTCAGAATGTTTTGAAAAGCGAAAAGAAAAGCACCCGTTAAGACTCGTAATGCACCTTTGTCTTGTGTACAATTTCGCATTGCTCTGCAGTAGTGACATGTTTTGTCAGTCGGAGACTGCTTTCATTTATTATATTATATAACTAGTCAACCTACTGCTGGGATACTTACTACTAAGCTGATCATTTTCAAATAAATTTTAATATGTGCAGTTTGGTTCTTATGTATTTATCTGTAACGGGTACATATATATGTATAATTTAACTGAAGCACTGCAAAATGTGTCATGTCATTGGAGTTTCAGTTACACGTTGAAAGGCTCCCAGGTGGTCTAGCTTGACCATAATTTGTTTATTGTGGCGAGCAAAGTGCCCTTCGTTTGTCCAGCACTTAAAACAAATATTTTTATTTTTCTAAGAATATCTGCTCCAAAAGCCACTTTTGCTGCTCCGAAACACTGTTTTGGCTGCTCCAAAAACCACTTTTGCTGCTCCAAAACACTGTTTTGGCTGCTCCAAAAGCCACTTTTGCTGCTCCAAAACACTGTTTTGGCTGCTCCGAAAGGTGCTCCAAAACGGGTTAGGCCAATCACGTCACTGCGCGCGGAAAGTTTACTCATGTGCTAGCTCGTAGAGCTGAGATCGGTTGGGACGGCTCGTAGCGTCTGCTGCGGTTGGTCCTAAGGCGTAACGGAGTATAGTGTCACTGACCGGCAGATCTGCTTTGGCTCAGTGCAGCCGTGCTGTGTGGAGTAGCTCGTGGTGAGCGGTGGAGATGGTCTCCCCTGTTTCCAAACCCAAGGATCCAAGATCGAACCAAAAACCTCAAAGGCTTAAAATGTCCACATTTTTTAATGTGTTACGTCAATATGTTGGACTGTCTCTGATCTTTCTAGTCTATTTTATTAATAAAATGATTTTATGTACATATCTTGAAGTTAAAATTTTTTTTACTGGCAGAATCGTCCAGTTTTGCGTGCGATATCTTGCGTCGCGTGACACGAGGTAACGCGACACCACGACATGGTGCCGTGCAGTCAAGTGGCCACACGACCAAGACATAGAGGCACCAACCATATAACCATCGCACAAATTATTAGTATGGCGAGCTCAGAAAAACTAATAAATAAACATTCCGCGCATCGTTAAACACATTGCCCCATGTTATATCTCCCCACTTCATGTCGAGAATTAAGATGCATTAATTATTTTATTTATAGTGGCCCCATGAAAGCATGTCAGCTCAACCAGTTGACTCGTGTAGGCGCTTTATTTTGCACACCAAGGTAACAACTGCTACCAAAGTAACTCGGTGAATGAATGAAGGTTTATTTTTTAACAACTGTTCTGGAGTGGGGAGCAAAAGGCTGCTAACCTTTCGAAGCTCCTTCCCCCCTTATACCCAATGCATAATAAGGTTCTGCATTGTCACAGAACCCTCAGCAGTAAAAATATTGTGGATTCATATTTGTCCGAAATACTCCGACTTTCGAGTCCCAAAGTCAGTCAGAGAGAGAACATAATCTGTAATTCATAAAATTCATTTTGTCTCCTCGTGATGAATAATCTTTAAAAGAAAAAAACATCTTTCTATAGCCATTGCCTGTAGAGTATCCGCACCGTGTGAAATTTACACTTTTAGACATGTAGAGTTTGTGTACTAAACATGACTAAAAGACATGTATAATATGTGAACTATACGTTTGGAAAATACGGTACTTAAACAGGTGTACATGATCAAACAAAAAATAAAGCATTGGGTTGCTGGCGTGGCCCGGCACTGTTCCAATGTGGCCCAGCACTGTGCCAACATAGCCCGACATTGGGTCGACAAAGCCCGACACTGTGCCGGCATAGCCAGACGCTGTACCTGCGGGTCCCGTCACTGGGCCAGCAAAGCCCGGTTTCAACAGCAGAGGGTCGTTCTCAGGTGTACGACGGTGGCGACGTGGCCCGGCGCGCGTCGTGCGTGTTTGCGGTTCCCCTGGCCAATGCCAGACACGTGGCGCTGACGGACCAGCTGCTCTTTGTCGTGGCACCCCAGGCAGCGGGCTGTTCCGACACCCAGGTGCACCTCTTCTCCAAGGCAGCCCTGGACCTCACCACAAGCTCCAAAAAGGTAGGCTGTGAAAGGGCATATATTTTCCCGAGAAAGAAAAGGTTCTTGCTGGGACAGTGCAGGAAGCATGGGCACCGTGGCTGAGTGCATCTCTGAATGGTTTGTCCAGCACCGTATACAGTTATATTTCATAGTAGTAGTCAGTAATAAGTAGTCAGTAATAAGGAATAAAAAAATGCACGTATTTACTAACAGCTTGTTGTCGCAGGAGGCATCGGCACGACACGAGTGTGGTGTCATTGGGGGGAAATCGAGGGACCGCAAATGTGGACGCGACAGACGCACCCGTCAGAAACGCCTTCCCGACATCGTGGCGTGACGCCCTGTCTTGCAGAAGGAGTGCACAGACCCCAGCCTGCAGAGGTTTACCCTACCGGAAGCGGTCCTGGCCCTCTACCGCTGCCCACAGTTGCCTCTCTCAGGTAAGAAAACTTTGCTGGCTTTTGGCCGGCATCGTGCCGCAGAACTTCTGTAGTTGCTCATTGTCTGCTCTAATCGTTCTCTGTCGACCTTGTTCAGGCTCGGTCAATTTGCTCGTACCTTCTGCACCGTGCAGAAAGGTGTAAGGCAGTGTATTTCTGGTATGTGTATTGAGATACGACCGGAAGTACACCACTCTACACTTTTCTGCACCGGCGCAGGTAAATCGAACGAGCCCCTTATGTGGCTGAAATTGTACCGGGTTGGATTGAGAAAATGAAACCTGACTTTTTGGAACACGTACAGGAAGCTGAAACTCTGAGAGAATGTAATGCTAGCAGTGGAGATAAAAATGTGACAGTTTGAGCGCATGACATTACCTAGATCAGAAAATTAAAAATAAAATTGTCTACGAGTTGACGTCCAGCTAAGCCTAATAATTATCAAGCCAGAATTTGAGATTGTGGGCATCTGTAGCATTCATTTCAGTAAGAAAGGCGATCTTGCTTTTTTTCTTGCTGACAAGTTTTTCACCGAGATAAATGCTGCAAGCACCTACAATCTCAAACTTCTAGTCATGTGCAGATAGTATGTTATGAGCGAAATTGTGCTTTTTTCGTATGTACGCAACTGCAATATTTGTACTTCAGGAAATGTTGATTTCGGCAGGTTGGCCCCATTGAGCGCCCTTCTTACCGAACATCGGTGCATTGCAAAGAAACACCACCTGCAGAGCTTGCTTCCACAGGTGTTGCTTCTTAGCAGGGCACCAGTGCTCGGTAAGAAGCATGCTCAACGGGGCTACCCGCCTCGATCAACACTTCGAAAAATATTAAGATCACAATTCGTCTCGAAGAAAATATTGAACAGCGTATTATTTCAAGATGCTATAAGAAAATGCAAATACTTGCAGAACACGATACCCATTTTCACCGAAAGAAAAAAGCAAGTTTTGTGCATTGTTCATACGCAGCGCGAAGTAGTTTTTACGTGATTCGGTTGTCGGAGGAAAAAGCAATGCTTTTGGCATTTGGAACATGTACGTCTTAATGGGATAACTTATATCTAATCTAAAATTCAGCTACATATATCTTAATGATCAGCATAAAGGGGGAAATTAGTAATGCTCCGCGAGGTGCCATACTTTTTTTACAACGGTTCTTGAGGTGAGAATGAGTATAGTACAGTAGACTCATTAATTCAAATTCCAGGAAGCCACAAATTTTTTTAATTATTAAAAATTCAATTAAATATGATGCAAAATAAAATTATGATTTTCAATATAAATGGGCATACAAAACAGAAATTTGGTGATTTTCTCTACATAGACCTACTGATCATAAGCAGTTATGCCACACATGTAACATTAGAACATTCAATAGTATAAAATAGTATAAAATATACGAGTTTGAATTATCGGTAGCTTACTGTATTAACCCTTTCTTTATGCTATTCCTTTGGAAACAAAACCCGACCGCTAGGAAACATCTCTTGGGAAAAAAGAAACAGTGGCTTAGCTTGGCTATGCCAGGATATACATAGCATAAGCTTAAGTTCAGCTGGTTATTCCTAGCTTTCCTGGTTGTCTAGGATTAGCTTGATTATCATGCTTACTGCTGCTTCAATGACACACACACGGTTACGCATTATGTGACTACTTCGGGATCCGATGATCCGCGAACCACTCCTGACACCATGTAGAGACCGGGACCAGACAGAGTCAACTGGGCCGGATGGGCAAAGACCCACGGCAGTCTTTATTCATGGAATATATACAAACGTAACAGTGAGGCGGCGCCCTCTATGATAGTATGTTAGAATAGTGTTAGTCGTGTTAAGAGCGACACCTGACGGTAACAAACAACACTACACTGTGCGCCGTGTTGTTATGTATCAAGCAACCAAGCTGCCGCCCAGAACAACCGGACAGCGCGAGCCATGATCTCGAGAGTGTGCATGCGCGCGGCGCGTGCATCGGGGACTGACACGTGTGACGTCACTGCTCCTCGTGCACGCGCAGCACGGCTGTAAGAGTCGCGCGAAAATGCTCAGCTTTGGCCAGTGTAGCTTACACTACGAAACTTGCCCACCGAAGGCTCAAACTTCTGGTCCCGCGGTATGCCAGACAGAAAGTCCTTGGAAGGTCGACCGGTCCGACTGAAAACTCCCCAGTCTGATGCAAAAACTAGCTAAATGTGCTGCGCTGCGAAGCTCTACAGAACAATGCGCGTGACCAGAAAATGAAAGGAAAACAATGAGCTACATGGAGATGAGGAGAGACACAACAGTGTATCTCAATGTTTTCCTTCCATTTTCTGGTCACGCATATGTTCTGTAGAACTTCGCAGCGCAGCAGATTTAGCTATGTACAGCCAACTAGCCCAAATCCAAATCCATGCTTTATTATTGATGCGAAAATTCAACAATTTGTTGGCCATTCCAGGCGAAAATTAGTCCACTTCCAGCTGGATTATGGAACTGGTCCCAGCTGGAAATGAGGCAGTCCAGTTGGGACCAGTTCCACAATCCAGCTAGAAGTGGGCTGATTTTTGCCCGGGGGTCGTAGTCACTGGGGAAGTCTAGTCGCCAGATTTAGGCAGGAAATCCAATTGTGCGCACTGCGACGGAACGGCTTCCGTCCGGCATAATGCTTCGAATTCCCACATTGCACATTCCAGCAGGGAGCGCAGCCAAGGCCGATCCCAGCGACGTCGAGTCGGCCCCACTGCCGTCGGAAACATTCCTTGAGGGCTGCCTATTGGTCACTCCTCGTAGCATCTACCACTGCAGGCCCAGGCAGGTTCACCTCGCATGCCTAGCTTGCCTCGCGGGATTTCCACCTCTCTTCGGCCGAACGTGTCCGCTTAAACCCGGTTCATACACTTGTGACCGCTTACGGCCGAGTGCATTACGACCTTTCGTGATATCTTACGACGTGAGAACACGGCTCGCCCCTGAACACTTCTTATCCAACTATATTTTCTCATTTTTTTTAGGCATTATTTGCTTTCAATTGGTTCGACATAATTTTGACAATGTTATAGGTGACCGTTTCTCGTAAGCAGTGCATAGATTACGATTTCGCAAATATTGCAAAACCCTCGGTCTAGTTGTGCGGAGACCAGAAGTGTTACGAGGCAACACGATAGATGGCGCCAACCTGCCGGCATCCACTCTCACCGTAAGCAGTTAGGAGCGAGCAAAGCGCGCTTTTTCACGCTCGTATGCAAATCTGTGGCCCGGCCTTAATTCTTTTCTTTTCCATCGGACTATGGTGCCTGAAACGTGTCTCTGACTAGTGCCTTTACCACGTTGCAAAAAGTGGTCCCTCGGTTTTCGTCTGACGACGCCGTAGTGGAGTCGCGTCGTCGCCGGCAGCAATCCCGGCGGTGCCGCGGCGGCAACGGTATGCGGAGAGCAAGTGGTCTGCTTCTTGCGCATGAGTTGCGGCGACGACAGAATGACGTTGAGTTCTGACTGGCTTTGATTGAAAGGATAGCGGGTAGACCTCATTTCTATATACCTCGAGGTCTACCCACTATTTTCTTTTCGATCAGCCAACAAGAGCTCGACGTTCCGACATCATTGAACCCCCTGCGCAATAAGCAGACAGACGTGCGCTCTGCATTGTGGCAGATGCCCGTTCCGCCGCAGGTTCTCCTGCAGCTTGACAGGCACAAACGCTCCGGCAGCTCCGGAGTTGGGGCGCTGCGAAGACGGTGACGCTTGCTCTCGCTCATACTTCTTTTCGGGACACCTATGCCCAACCGCCAGGCTCGCGACATCCGACGACATGAAATTCCGGCTTCTGCGATGTCATTGGTTGCCAGTACGGGACCGCTTTTGATGGACTTACAGGCAAAATGGGACGCCAAACACACTGGTCGAAGACACGTTCCGAGCACCGTAGCGGGACTGCCCGTCTCACCACCCACTTTGCGGACCGCTCGCCAAACCGAGTTCCGCGTCGGCCGCAGGTGTTCGGCGGAGCGCCTGTTCCTCCGCTTCACGGCGTCCCCCGCGTCACTTCCCTCCGCGGAGCACCTGGGGGCGCTCCTGGGCCTGGACATCTTCTCGCTGTACGAGGTGGCCGCGGAAGTCCAGCTACTCCGCGGACAGTTTCCCCAGGCCGTCAGGCTCTACCAGTTGTCCAAGGTGAGCCACGTCGCACTTGCTAGCGTAGATGCGACGCGTCGACCTGGAGCATTTGATAAAAAATTGGCGGTGTCCTTTAGCCCTGAAAGGCTTGTTGTCACACTTGCGTTTCGTTGCTACCAAGTGCTTTGCAACCTCATGTGAGCTTTAGCAATAGCGGAATGTGTTTATTAAGAAGAACTGAGGTGACTGAAGTCTTCTTATCATGCGGGGATGGGAGATTGGAGGTTGGACGGGGTGCTGGGATGAGATTATATATGCTGTATCAAGTCTGCTGACCCGACGCAGTCGATGAGCAAGTCCACGATCAGCTTTCTTTGTTGTTGTGTTTGATGGGGGAGGTCACCTAGCCTTCATAACGTAGAGGTCGTAAATCTTGCTTTCTTACGACGAGAAAGCACACTGGTGCCATCTGGCGGGTAGCCTCGGAACACTTGCGATTTCCTTATAATTGAGTCATTTGCGTTTTTTCGCGCTTCATTTTTCCGCTATAGGCTCGAAGAGCTTTTGGCAATTTTGTAGACAATGAATTCTCATAGGTAGTATTGTCACAAATGAAGAGGTGAGGAAACAAAGAATAACTGAGGAAACTGAAACGTTTAATGGGGTGATCTTGTGCCCAAAACAAAAAGGGAACAGAAGATAACAACAGAACGTCGCGGGTGTCGAAGTCAGCGTAGCAGCAGAATCGGACGTTGGGTCGAGACTGACTCTGCTCGCCTTGCGGAGTCCTTTATCTACCCTCGTGGATTTCTGGAACATTCGGCAAAAATTTTCAAAGCGTAGAACATTTGGAACTTGATTAGACGAGAATGTTCTCAAACTTATGAGAACGCCAAGTTGAAAGAATAAATAAAAGGACATTCCGCTGGCTGGAATCTAACTTAGACCTTCCGCGTGACAGTCAGGCGCACTAACCATTCGGCCACGCACACGCTCGCTTGTCGAAACGCGTGGCAATATGTACATTACACAAATACTGCAAAACCTTTGCTCTAGTATAATGCAAATTCAGGGACGCTCATAGATGGCTCCAGCGTGTTCTTTCGTCGTAAGATATCACAAGAGGTCATAATGCGCTCGATCTTAAAGGGGTACTCTGGTGATTTTTTGAGCTGCATCAACTAACTATATTTTCTGAATTCCAGGCGTTTGCCCTTTCTAGTATGCTATTTATCATACCAAAATTCATAATAAGGTATTGTGAAACCAGCAAACGAAAATGATGCAAAACTCAACATTCAAACATATTCACACTTTTCAGTGCCGTGAAAGCCAGTGGAAGGCAGGCTCGCCAGTCGAGCGAGTAGTCTAGAAAATAGACTTTGCCGAGCATTTGTTTCATGACGGAGGGCGGGTACTTGAGCGAGCTTCCAAAGCACTCATTTGACGCCATGAAACTGGTTGTAATCAGTTGGAAATTAGTGCTGCAGTCCAAAGAGTGAACCGAAGCCTTCCACCGGCGTCGCTTTTTCGTTGTTGCCAGTAGAGACTTTCACTTTGAAAAACATGATGAGGACCGAAATTGGAAATTCGATGATGTCTCAAAAAACAAATATTGTGACCTAATATTGGGGATATTATTTCAGCAATATTCGTTGGTGTGTTTAGCAAATTTTCAGGCAAATTGGGGACTACGAAGAAATTGTCGGAGTGCCCCCTTAAACATTCGCAAGTGTGTGAACCAGCCAGTTGTCACCCGATCCGTCCTTCCTCGCGTGCAGTGTCCTCAGCTGAAAAGGGTGGCCCACTTTGTGAGCCGGGGCTACCTGTCGGAGCTGCTGGCGTACGTGCAAGTGCTGTTCGGCACGAGGGCGGCCGAGATCCCCTCCCAGGACCGGGTGCACTTTGCCAACGTGGCCGCCCTCTGCTTCGTGCAGCAGGTGCTTGCCAAGCGCAGGGCCCCGGAGAGGGACGCCGTCGCACAGGCCTTCAGGTCGGTCCCCTGCGCCGTCCCCTTTGAAGTTGGACAGAGGGGACGTACCTGCTTTATTCTCACGGTTGGATAGTCACTATGAGTCTAAGAAATGCGCGCCATGGCAAGTCGGAAGTCGGGCCAACGAGATTGCCGCATTAGCCAAAAAGAACACCGTAGAACAAATCACGAAGCAAAAAGTATGAAGATGATAAGCCATGTGCTGCACTTCTTTAAGGGACACTGAAATCTGAAAAACAGTTAGCAGACCTGCGTGAATTTGCGGTAGTCACAACGAGAGCTGCGACACCTTGTTGGATCCTTATGCATCCTGCGCTTGCATATTTTTCCTTTTACATGGAGGAGCCATCGCTAAGGTGTGCTCAAAGAGTGACGCCCTTACTCGCACAGAAGTCCTCCGACGGATGCGGTGCGAGTCTGGGGTGGCAAGATACAATGTTGCCGCGACTGCGGCCACCTAGCGGGTGCTGCGAGAGCGCACCCGCTAGGGCGCATGTATCACAGAACTAACTTTCCACGAAGAACAACGTTGCTAGCTTAATACTTACGTCGCGAGACCTATTAAAGCGACTCAGAGTCGTGCTTCTATTTCGGGGACGACGTCCGAAATGGAGGCGTGTCTTTGAATTACTTCTAACTCAAAACGAGTCTCGTCTCTGTAGAGTTTGCTTAATTCAACAGTTTGGTAGTGCACAGCATCCGAGCGAAGGTTGCCACACGCACTTTCTCCACCTTCCAGGGATTTCCTCCAGGAGAACCTGTACTACGACGCTTCGGTGGTCATGCGGATGCTCTCGGAGCAGCGCCTGTACCAACTGCTCTACCACTGCGCCCTGGTAAGCCGCAGCCACCGTGCTCGCCCGCCCTCCGCGAGCGTCCCTAAACCGCCGGGCCCGTCTGTTGCAGTTGCGGGGCCAGCGCCGGCTGATGGTGGAGCAGCTCCTTCACTTCGACCCCAGCCTGGCATTGGACTCCGCCACGTGCTCCGCTCTTGCCAGCCGAGGATACGGATCCCTCCTGGTCCAGTCTGCACACGGTTCGCACTCCACCCTCCTCTCTCTCGCGAGTCCGGGGGGGCCGCACGTTGCAACAAGAGACCTGCTTGTCGGCGGAGCACGTGTTAGAGTCCTCCGCAAGTAGCTCTCGCCGTGTTCCCCATTCTCTTAGCCCGGCTTCCTCGAGTGGGTCCCCGTGTCCCCTCCCCCCCCCCCCTTTCCATATCGCTCAGACCAACCTTCAAGGTCGCCATGTGAATTGCAAGTGGAGGCCGCGTGCGTTAGAGGCTCTGAAAGAGTGCCCAATTGGATACTCCCTATCTCCGTTGTGCGTCACTATGCACGGCACGTGACTGGGAAGAAGGTGTAAGAGGTGAGGGGAGTTTGGAGGCACTCAAGACATTGTTTGACATTTTCTTTTCTAAAGAACTAACGCGTGTAGGCATACATTTTTCAGTTCTTTAATTTAGACGTGACAGGGAACAGCTACCACAATTATTTGACTGAAGTCCAAACATAGTTGCACGGCCTCTTTAATCTTGCCATCTGAGCCTTGGTCACTTTGCAGTGGCACTCGTCGAACTTACAGTTCCTGCGATGCATTTTCGACCAATCTGTTTGGTGTCCTATACCGCGCATGCATCGAAAGTGGTCTTAAAGTGCCAACAAATCACGTCGCAGGAGCTGACGTGTTATGCCCTTGGATGCCACAATCCTTGAGGTTGGTTGTAGAAGTTTCGGCAAAAGTTACAAGCAAACACAAGTGTCGCCATCCTTGTGGTATCCCAACTGGCTCTTGAAACTTCTGTGGTCTGCCAACCTGCAGAGTGATCTGCAACAGAACGGGCATCTGTCACATTCACCACGGCCGCCATGCCGCTGCCGGGATCGTGGCAGGCAACAGCGTGACACTCGTGTGATGTTGTTAGCCAGATATCGAAGGACCATAAATAAGGATGCAGTAAACACGCCAGTCGCACATTTCAGGCACCATAGTGAAGCTTTTTCGGTCTTCCTGCCACGCGGCACTTCCTCGGCTGCGGCCTTACACTCAATCTCTTTCTGTCGATGGCAGACCAGTTTGCTGTGTGCGTGACCGACCCCGACCTGCTGCTGCCGCTGTGCTGCGACTCAGCCCTGTTGGGCAATCACCTGCGGCTTCTTGCCGACCTGCTGCCGACGCTGGGTTTGGCCCTCGTTGGGAGGGTCGCCCGCATGTACGACGCCTCTCGACCCGCTGTCGCACTCGCGGTGCGGCGCGTGCTCGCGGCCTCATCCAAGCAGGGAAGGTGAGGCTCTGTGTCCGGCGGTGCTGCTCCTGTTTCTTGGCGCCAGGTGGCAGAGAGTGTGGCGTGAACAATAATATCTACTGGCGATTTTCATCGCTTGTTTTCTAGCCTACTTTCAACGACTTCCTCTTTTGAACACTGGGCGCTGTGAATATCCGATTCGCTCGAGAAAAGCTGGCGAGCGAACCTTCTCTGGCGGTTTTTTTTTTTAGCTGCTAGGTGCCGTTGATTTTGTGGAAGTAGGCTGTACTCAGCACGACAACTTGACATTTTGATTCCGATGATTGCACAATTATTCCTTTCTACCTCTTGTTTCTTTAAGATGCAAAAAAGCTACAAGTGCTTTTTGTTGAGCATGTATAAACATTTCTATTGTTTCTTTTTAGAGAAGTGTGTATATATGAAGTAGTGTTGGGTGAATATTCAAATTTTCTAATAGCAGTTTTGAATAATATGCTATTTGATATTTGCTTTCGAATCGACTGCAATATTCATACTTTCCACAGTGTTGATCGCGGCAAGCTAGCCCCTTTGAGTGTGCTTTTCACCGAGCACCTGTGCACTGCTGGGAAGCAATGCTCGTGGGCTCTGTGGGTTTTGCTTCCCCGTAGTGCATGGGTGCTCAGTGAGAAGTCCACTCAACGGGGTTAACTCGCCACGATTATGTTACAGTATGTGTTAGACAGCAATGTCGTGACAACCTGTGCTCATCATTTATGCTTGTTTCGTTTTTTTTTATCAAACTTGAAATTAAAAAAAAAGATATTTGCATATAGCGAGCAAATTTATAAATCCCCTCGATTGGGACAGCTGCAACGTCATTTACGTGCCACGATTCACAAATATAGCTTTATTAAAAAGATTAACTGAGCTTGGAGGTGGACAAGAGGAAGGTTGAGAAGAAGCTTCATGAGTTCAGCTAATGTTTGTTTCAGCGTGGTGCATGGTAGTGAAAGGCTCATAGAAACTATACGATATTCGATTAGAAAATGTTTGGCCAAAACCACTAGTAACACTTGGGCTGTGACACAATGATTTCATACACCTATTCTGTTTTCGTTGAAGACCTTATTTGTTAAAGGCCCCATTTTTTGATTCAATGCGGTAGTTTCAGGATGCTGTTTTGATTGAACCGAGTCTTTGCCCCTCATGTATGGGCACGTCGGCTTCCCGGGCGCTCCATGGAAAACAAAGTGTTTTAATGCTGACTCGGATTTAGTCTTATTCGTATGCAGTAGTTATGTCGTAATGACTTGAGGCTCGAAATTCAAATACTTTTCTTCGAGTCGTGAAATGAGTGGCACCATATATATCTCCTCGGCACTAGCCTGGGGGGATTTGCCTGAAACTCGAAATGTTGGCACGGAAGTTAAATATAAAAGCCATCGTAAAAACCCAGGAAGGACCTTTGAGGAGCGAACCTAACTTGGAAATGCGTTTTCGAGGCATTTTACCAAGGTGCATAAGATAAAATACAGTCGGAAAAGCATACTTCTTGCTGGCTTTCCAGGTGCATTTCTTTTGTTTGAGGGCCTCGGTCCGGGCTCGTTTATATTAAACGAAGCACGATAGCGAGATCTTGGAAATCCAAGAGGTGGCAGTTCTCGTGGGTAACAAGGACCTTGAGGTGACGAGGCCTCTCGTTTAAGCTACTGAGGTCCAACTGTAATCGTATCTTTCTACAGATATCCTGGATCTTCGTCGTCGCTGTCAACGGACTCCCTGGATTTGACGCAATCGGTGAGTTCTTGCCGAGAACCGTAAGCTTTGGCACGTGCATTACCGGCTGCACTTCTTGCGATTACAGTTTGAAGCGTGTCAGGTGGAGCACCCAGTTCCACAAAAAAAGCATCAAATAAGGACTGATCTCTCATCCAATGGGAAGAAGGCTGTCCGAAGTTGGGATGCCTTTGATGCTTTCATGTTTAAGGAGGGTCATGACACGTAGTGTGGGCATCTCAGAGAATATATCGTTATGACCTAGGCAAATGATATCTTTGCCACAGAGATGGATTGAGTGTTACTGGCGGGTGTTTATTAATCCATCTCTGCGGATATAAAGTGCAACGTGCAACTCCAGACCTAATTGAGATTATTTACAACCATAATCTTGTCAGTGTCAACGTCGCGCATCGAAGAACCGCGTACGTCGTCTGAGATAAGGAATGTCACATTTTGAAGTTGTATTGAAAGATGCGAAGAATGTGGATAGCACAGCACGTGCGGGATATGTAGCTACGGTCAATGACAGAGTGAGAACATCGGGGCATGTCGTTCAAATGCCCATCCTCCGGCAAGGGCCCCGTATGTTCCGCCGCAATCTGAATGCGCGTGCGCGCTCAAGGTGCATGAGACTCGGAAGCATTGTCGAAGGTAGGAAGCTCGCGGTGGGGACGGGACAGCCAAAGCTCCTTCCTGTTGTTCCGCTCAATCAGAGACTGAACATGCTCCTTGCTGCTCGAGGAAATTAGCAAAAGGTCTGTCGCTATGGCCTGGGAAGGCCACAAGCGTTGTTCGATCCACGTCATGTTTCAATTGTTGTAAAGAAACCGGATGTCTATACCAGCTATAGCTTTTAGCCTCGGTTTGATTTTCTTTTGAATCAACTTGAAATATGTTACGCTTGGCCCACCACAGCCTTCGTTGCCACTGCGCCACTAAGCTCCTACTAATTGTCGTCGTCGTCGTTTTCCGGTCGTCGGCACGCCTCTGCAGGAGGACGACAGTGTGGCCGAGGAGGACGTGGTCAAGTTTCTATTGTTTGTCCTGCTGACGCTGAACCGGAGGCGAGGTGGGACCAAGAGGTATGCGTCGGAGCTGCTCCGGTGCGACCCCGGCGTAGCTCCGAGCTCGGAGCGTACGACGAGGCGGTCCGGATCATCCGAGCCGGAGCGCTCCGTCGCCTGCGGCCAGTCGCACTGCACCCTGGTGGTCCGGGGCAAGGCCTACACGTGGGGCAGGGCCCAGTTCGGAAGGTAACAGTCCAAGTACGAAGCCTAGATCGCGTCTTCGACTATATGGTCGCTCGAGGGACGAGAACGGCGTCTTTTTTCGATGCCCGACCTCCGGTACGCGCTCTCTACCTTCTGTCGGCTTTGGTTGCGCGTGCACGTCCGAAGCTCACGGGATGCCGAAGCGTCGTCGAAAATAGGAACCAGTCGCACTGGAGGCGGGACAACTGAAGGACCTCCCTGCCATTCTCGTCGTGTAAGTTACTATAGTGCGTTCAGCTTCCCATACCACTTACACATTAAAAGCGATCCCGAAGTTGCAAGGAGTCTTGTCGTGGAAACAGGCACGTGACTTTGTTGGATGTCGCAATCCTGGTTGAAGGGTCGTAAAAATGGCGGCGAAAAGGGAGAGCGTAGGCAAGTGTCTCCGCGTCCCAACTCGTGACTGCCAAAGTTTCCCTGAGCTTTCAAGCTCAAGAGTGACCTACAGCAGAGTAGGCAGTTGGCACATCCATCTCCGCCACTCTGCCATTGTGACGATTCTGGCAGACAATGGCATGACACGAATGCAACGTCGTAGGACGGAAATCGAGAGTCCGTATTTGAGGATGCGGTAAACGCGCGAGGTGGAGTTGCGTTCCGGCCACCGTGGCGAGGGTTCTTGGTTAGTGCCGGAGCCGACGTGGCGCCTCTTGCAGGCTGGGACATCGGGAGGGCCACCGGGACGTCCTCGGTGCCACGTGCGTGGAGACGCTGGACGCCCTTCGGCTGAGGGTGGGCCAGGTGGACTGTGGCACCCATCACACCCTGTTCAACACCGACGCGGGGGTGAGTGCCGCTTCTTTTTGTCACTGCCCGACACCTGTGCTGCCGTGACTGCTGCACGTCACTGAAGGGCTAAGTGCAGCAGGTAGTGCTAGATTTTTTGTTTTAAATATTATCAGTTCATTTTGTGATAGAAGAGGGGTGGGCTCCCATCTCTTGGGGGCCTTCTTGTTTTTTTATGTTTTCCTGGATTTTACATTCTTTTCCCGCGATTTCCGGAGAAGCATATCATTGAGGTTCTACTGTACATGGTATGGAAATATAAAAAAAAAAGAAAAGCTGTGCACACTTGAACAGGAAAAAGCAATAAAATTTTATAACATAATTTTTTCAGATAGGTTGGCCGAACTGCTGAACAAAAGGACACAACAGAGCAAGCAAAATGATACTCAGCAATAGGCTATAATTGCCCAAATGCCAGAGCAAGCCCTTACGGCACTCAAACTTTAAAGATAAAAAATGCAGTTGTGTTTCGCAGCTTAAAGGGCAACTCCACTCAAAAAGTCGACCCTATTGAAATGACAGATATCGCTTTAGGAGGCCAAAATACGGTCATACCCAAAATATCACGTCAAACCGACGCCGCGTTACCGATTAAAACCAATATTAAAAATGTTCTCCCGGCTCGGTTAGCGGCCCGAAAGCGGGTGAGCAACGCTGGCACCGGGTGAGCTAGTGATGCAACACTGGGCAATGACGTAGGTCTAGTCCTACGCTCTCGTACGGACGCCGCGAACGCTTCGTTTCCCGTGGCATTCTGCGATTCTGCTGACGGCACGAGGTGTTTACCACATTATTCTGTGTTTCCCTATTTTTATTAGCGTCCAGGCAGTTCCTTTAATTCCAGCATTGCTTCCGCGACAGCGCGGAAGAGAGCGAAGCGGTGCTGCTCGCTCACGCGCGCGTCGTGGAGCCGGAGAGATTTGCCGGTCTCGCGTTGGGCAATGTCGAGCAGGATTTGTAGTGCTGTGGGTTGCACCAACAACCCGGTGCGCAACCCGGAGCTGCGGTTCCACCAGCTCCCAAGAGACCGGAAGAGGCACAAGGTGTGGGTCGGTGCCGTTCGCCGGATAGACTTCGGAAGACCGTTGACTCCGAGCTCCAACGCGAAGCTCTGCTCCCAGCACTTTACGTCAGACACCTACACACGGGATCTGCGGCATCTGACTGTTGCGGGTTTCACCACGAAACAGGCATCTTTGAAGAACGATGCGGTGCCGTCGCTGTTCGCGTACCGTCCGCCGGCTGCTCCAGCACGATCGGCCGGACGCAGCAGGTCGCGGCTGATCTAACGTGCAGATAAAGGCAGCTTGGCTTTAACAACTTAGACCACTTGTGGATAGATCTGTCCATCTATCTCCCATTATTTCGTTTTCTCGGTCCGCGCGCAAGAAACAAATACAGTCACGCTGCGCCGGCACCGACCGCGTCATATTTATAGCAGCCGGATTCGCTTTTCGGCCGGCAAATTTATAAATACACACTAAAAATTGCTACATTTGGTGCATATTAACAAAGTGAAGCGGTAAAAAAAGAAAATGTGCATCTAACCTTCTGTTTTGAAACTCCACGTGCGACTGAGCCGACTTTGTCGGCGCGTCGGCTCAGAAGCGCGGGACTAGAACTAGGTCATGCCGACGACGCGCCACTAGTATCAGTGTTGCCAAGCTGCTTCAACCGGTAGTTTCGGTTTCGCCGTGCCGCCAAACCGATTCTTGCATTCGCGATATCTACAAAACTATACACACTACCGAAAAACAAATTATATCTCGTGATTCAGGGTCACCGGTTTTGACTAAACAGATCATAACCCAAAAATGGTAAAAATGGAGTGGAGTTGCCCTTTAATCGGCCAACAAGAATAAAAAAAAGCTGTGAATACATGAATGTTTTTCTACCAGTCTTTATGTTTTTCCGACCGCTGGTGCGAAGTGCGCACACGCTACCCCCTGTCCACGTCGGGATGTTTGAAACCTCGACGATCGATTCAACTCTCGGTGTATTACAAAAAATGCTAGAATTTATACTTTTTAAAACTTCGGGCAGTTTGTTTAACTTTCCTAACTAAAACTAAAAAAACATTGGAAACTAAAAAAAAAAAAAAAAAAACATTATCCAAGGGGAAAGCTCGTTTTACAATCCGAGTGGGAACTGCACTTGAGGATACAGGTCCAAATTTTGCACAGCTCATTTCATTCAAGAAACCTCCTGTAGGGTGGAACGCACCCACAGATCCATTCTTCTCATGAAAATAAAAGAGATGGCTCGAGGCGCAGCACGCGCACGCGCCTCGGAGAGCGCGTGCAAGAGAATGCTCTGAAGCCGCCATCACAGGCAGACACGTCGTTCGCTTGTCTCGTTCTATGTCCTCACTTTAAATAACGTGGCAGGGCCTCGCGGCCCCCCACATATTTGGTGACCCGGTCGAGGACCATGGACAACGGCGAACCCCAAAGAGCAGCGGCCGGATCCCCGGCTTCCATCTCATCGGTTGCAGTCCGACTTCCGCCGTACTATGACAGAAACCCGAGGGTCTGGTTCCTGCAGGCTGAGTCCCAGTTTCATCTCAGCGGTGTGACGAGCCAGGAGAGCAAGTATCATGTCGTCTCGGCGCTGTCGCTGGCAGCAGCCGACGAAGTATACGACATCATTGCGCAACCGTCGGCCACAGCTTCCTACGACCAGCTGAAGGCGGCTCTCCTGCAGAGAACCGAGGCATCAGATCGCTCCCGCCTTCAAGAACTTCTTTCGGCGGAAGAACTCGGCGATCGACGTCCTTCTCAGCTGCTAAGGCGGATGACTCAGCTCCTTGGAGATCGCGCCAACACGATCGGCGACGCTCTGCTGCGGGAGCTATTTATTCAGCGCCTCCCAACCAACGTCCAGATGGTGTTGGCCACCGCTACGGCTCTCGACCTCACAGGCCTCGCAGCCCTGGCAGACGCCGTTATCGAAGTTGCCACTCCACCCGTCGCCAGCGTTACATCGGCGGCAGAAGACGGAAGTGAAGCTATGCCTGCCCCGCCAGGCACTCCATCGTTTGACGGCAACCTCGAGCGGCTTTGCCAGCGGTTGGAAGAGAGTGTTACCACGGCAACTCACCAGGGAGATCGTCCACGCACTCAACAACAACGTGGACGTTCAACATCTCGTTGCAGAAATGCTGACCGTTCCCGCTCCGCAAGTTCAGCGGACGTCTGCGTATACCATCGTCGCTTTGGCTCCGACGCCCGGCACTGCCTTCGTCCCTGCTCCTGGAGCAAACCGATAGAGGCAACGAGTAGTCAGGACCTCCCAGGAAGTCGCCTATTTTACATCGCCGACAGGACTACGGGAACCCGTTATCTCGTCGATACCGGGGCCGAGGTAAGCGCTGTTCCTGCAAAACGCGCGGATCGATCACAGACGCCCATCTACTACCTTCGGGCTGTGAACAACTCGTCGATCCCCGTCTACAAGGAACGGTCCATCACCATAAATCTTGGCCTCAGACGAGTCTACCGATGGGTATTCCTGGTCGCAGACGTAGGCAACGCGATCATCGGCGCTGACTTCCTACAACACCACAGCCTCCTTGTAGACGTCAAGGAGAGACGTCTGCTCGACTCCCCAACGCGACTCTCCGTGCAAGGCGTCTCAACAACTGACACCGCAGGATTCGCGTCAGTCTGCTCTAACATCGACGGGCCATTCCGACCTCCTCTCCAGGATTTTCCAAGCCTCACGCGAGCTCCTGACTGGACCAGACCGGTTTCGCACAATGTCCACCATCACATCGAAACAACGGGCGCACCGGTTCACTTCCGACCCCGTCGTCTGGCTCCAGAGAAACTCCGCATCGCTCGCGAAGAATTTGAGCACATGCTCGAGCTTGGAATTATCCGACCTTCGTCAAGCAGCTGGGCGTCTCCCTTACACATGGTGTCCAAGAAGAACGGAGATTGGAGACCGTGTGGCGACTATCGCGCACTGAACAAGAGCACAGTGCCCGTTAGATATCCCCTACCAAACATTCAGGACTTTACTGTCAACCTCCAAGGCGCGACCATTTTTTCGAAGGTTGACCTTACCCGCGCGTACCACCAGATCCCCGTCGCTGACGAAGACATCCCAAAGACAGCTATTACAACTCCGTTTGGTCTGTTTGAGTTTCTCCGCATGCCCTTTGGCCTCAGTAATGCGGCTCAAACATTCCAGAGATTCATCGACGCTGTCACGCGCGGGCTTCCCTTCGTATTTGCCTACGTTGACGACTTGTTGGTCGCTAGCTCGACAAAGGAGGAGCACACCAACCACCTCCGTCTTCTTTTCCAAAGACTCTCAGACCACGGCATCATCATCAACGCCGCAAAAAGTGAGTTTGGGAGATCAGAACTCGAGTTTCTGGGACATCGACTGGACCGACACGGCATCAGACCTTTGCCGTCGAAAGTGCAAGTGATCAGGGACTTTCCAAGACCTAGGTCGATCACAAAGCTTCGCCAGTTCCTCGGCCTGGTAAATTTTTACCGCCGGTTCATTCTGAACTGCGCGAGGCTACTCCAGCCTCTTGATTTTCTACTAGCAAAGACTGCACGTGCCACTACCAACCTGCCTTGGAGTGAAGACGCGGAGCAAGCCTTCTGCGAAGTAAAGACTGTACTTGCAGACGCTGTACTTCTGCGACATCCACAACACGATGCCAGAACCTCGATCATGACAGATGCTTCAGCTACGGCTGTTGGGGCGGTCCTACAACAACAGGTGGACGGTGAATGGCAGCCCCTAGCTTTCTTTTCCAAGAAGTTAAAGCCCGCCCAGACCCGCTACAGCGTCTTTGGAAGAGAACTGCTCGCAGCGTACTTGGCCGTCCGGCACTTTCGACACTTTGTCGAAGGTCGCCCCTTCGTCATCTGGACGGACCATAAACCACTCACCTACGCCATCCGCAACTCAAGCTCTGTCTATACCCCTCGAGAGATCCGACAGCTGGCCTTCTTGTCGGAGTTTACGACGGACATCCGGCATATCAAAGGGAAATCAAACGTCCCCGCTGATGTACTGAGCCGAATTGACGCCGTACCTTCGCCTGCTCCGCAACTCGACATCACGTTGCTGGCTCGTCATCAGACATCCGACGAGGAGCTACAGCAGCTCCGCACATCAAACAACTCTCCCCAGCTAGAGGATGTTGAGTTCCCAGGAGGCATCACCATCGTCTGCGACACGTCCACAGGAACGCATCGCCCATTCGTTCCGATGGCGCTACGAAGGCCGCTTTTTGATGCCATTCATTCGTTGTCGCATCCCGGCGTGAAGGCAACACAGAAGCTAGTGGCGAATCGCTACGTTTGGCCTCGGCTGAAGTCCGACGTGCGTGACTGGGTGCGGGCCTGCTTGGCATGTCAACGAGCCAAGGTTCACCGTCATTCCGTGCCTTCATCCACGAGCTTCCTGCCACCAGATGCCCGTTTCGACAAGGTCCACATCAACCTGGTCGGGCCCCTTCCGACATCTCAAGGGCAACGATACATCCTGACCTGTATCGACCGCTTCACAAGGTGGCCGGAAGCTACACCATTGCCCGACATGACTGCAGCCACCGTCGCCGAGGCATTCGTCTCGTCCTGGGTGGCGCGCTTCGGATGCCCATCTGAAATCGTCACCGACAGAGGGCGTCAATTCGAATCCAACTTGTTCACCGAGTTGTCCCGAATCCTAGGCATGACGAGATCTCGGACAACTGCATACCATCCGCAGTCTAACGGCCTGGTGGAACGTTTCCACCGACACCTCAAGTCCGCGCTCATGGCCCACGCGAACTCCAAGGAATGGGTACAACAGCTTCCACTCGTCTTACTCGGAGTTCGAACGGCGTTGAAGCAGGACCTCGGCTGTGCAACCTCTGAACTCGTCTATGGGACGACCCTCCGATTACCATCGGACTTTTTCGAGGTCGACCCGTCTCCAAACACGAGGCCAGAAGACTACGCCACAAAGCTGAAGGAGGTTTTTGCAGACCTACGACCAGTTCCTACGCGCGCCGTATCTGCCAAGACTCCTTACGTCTCTCAGGACTTGTACAGTGCAACGCATGTGTTCGTGCGCCAAACAGCCAGACGGAAACCGCTCCAACCACACTATATGGGACCGTTCCCGGTTCTGGAAAAGAAGCCAAGTGGCTTCGTTGTACAGATCAATGGACGACGAGACACCATCGCTCTCGAGCGTCTAAAGCCAGCCCATCTCGAGCACGCACCCGTGAACCTCATCACATGTGAGACGCGCGAGGAAAGTCCGAAGTCTCGCAGGAAGTCTGCTCAAGTTCATTGGACAAACTCATGGCCAGAGCTAGCGCCCTAATTGTGTGTTGTCGTTGTTCTTTTCGTTTTCTTTAATCACGTCCGGGTCACCAAATAACGTGGCAGGGCCTCGCGGCCCCCCACACTCCTATTCCGAAAAGGCAAAATATGATGGAGAAGACATGCCGGCAGTGTTTTTTTATATTTGGTACGATTCTCTACTCAGAAATCCCCCGTACATAGAAATATAAATTCCTAGAAAGCTATGTGGCTAGTGCGTAGGGTTGCGACGGAGCTCCGTCAGATTTAGGCGTTTTCAGAAAAGTACCGATATATTGTATCAGTGTTTCATATTTCAGCGGGTTACTAGGTGCTAATATTTATTTCACGCGCATAAAACAAAGGGTTCTTGAGGAGGATCGGCTTTGTGCCATGGTCGGTGCAAATCCTCAGTCGTGCGGACCTAAACCGGCCCAGCCGGTTCTTCCGGAAGAGCGTCAAGACGTCCCCCCCTCTCCCGTCAGGTGTTTGCGTGCGGCTCATCCCGCTATGGGCAGCTGGGGCTGGGGCCCCTGCAGAGGACCTGGGTGCCTCACCTGCTGGAGCCCCTGGCGCCCCACCGGGTGGCCCGGGTGGCCTGCGGCACCTACCACTCACTGGCCGTCACCGAGGAGGGGAGGTGAGGGCACCAGGGCTCGGTCTCGCTTGGGGTGACCGTGCGCACTCCGCTTGTGCAGCAGAGTGCCTGAATTGTTTCTATTTTTTTATTCAACCGCTTCAAGTATTGCGGGAAGTGACCGTCGCCGTTGCGGGGGATGCAGTGACGCGTGTCGCTGGTCAGCGTTGGCACGGCAGTGTGGTAGGCCAATACCACCTAGAGTAATTAAGACCTGCAAACAGCCTTCTCTAACTCCCTGAAATGTCGCCACCCTTGGGTGGCACCAACTTGGTGATTGGGCCAACTCGGCGATTGGGCACATTACTCTTGTTCAATCGTTGTCGCTGTGATGAAATCAAAAACCTAGTAGCTCATGAGCTTTGATTATTCTAGGTGGCGTTGGCCAGGTCAACATTACCTTTTTCGAGGTCGGGTTATCGAGAGAAGGCTGCCTCTTCTAAGGGAGAGGTTACCCTCTCTGAGGGGAGTGCACGCGATTGCGCCGTGCGGTCAGGGTCCAATTGCCCGTGACTGCTTTAAAGGGACAATGAAGACGATTTTATTTAATTTTTTAAATGGTGTTTTTATGCTTCTTGGGAACATAGCATGCTGCCCAACTTTTTGTAGACATTTGTGACGCATATTTTTGTGCCTACGAAAGAAGTAAAGAAACCGAAACTGAACTATCTCCGTTCTCGTTTCTGGGCCTCCGAAAACGGAGGTGACGTAGGGAGTGACGTCAGATGTGAATAGTCGGTATCGGTAGTATTTAGGAGATCGAGACTCTGGTTACCACGGTGGGTTATAGCAGCGCGGTGGGGCGGTCGTTTCGCCGAATCTGTCAACATCTACGGCAATGCCGCTTTCGCGAGCGAGTTCGAGCTTCCGTTCAGTGACCAAACACCAACGGAACGGGAGTACGTGTGTGGCGGCCTCTGCCATCACCCGACGGAGACCGCCCAGCCGGCAACCAGTGGCACGCATGCCGAAGGACGGACGCGGGGGAGACGCGGAGGGGAAAGCGGCAGCGATCCGGCCGTTCCGGGATCCGGTTTCTCCGCGGACGTCCTCTTTTCGTCGTCAAAGTACACAAAACTAGCGTCGCCCGAACGAATACTGGTCTTCAGTCGACCGTTGGAACAGCCATTGCAGAATCCTTCCAGTACCGTGTTCTTTTTTATTTTATTTTGTTTGCCCATAGTTGTTCGTTGCCCGCTTCGCGTCCAGCGTAGCAAAGCAAAAAACAATTATGCTGCTTTATTTACGGTTTAGTAATCATTTTCGGTCCGATTTATACTTTTCATGGTTATTCAAGTGGAAATTGGAACAGTATTCCTAAAAATCGCGAACCAAAACGTGACCGAGGGCACATTTCTCGTTTCGACCAATCGCTGACGCGTCTCTTGTGACGTCGCGCTTTTTGGCCCCGCATCGGTCACGTGAGCTCCTCTTCTCCTGGCTTCTCCCGCAACTCTCGGGGCATCGCTCCAGTCGATCCCGGTACGATTATTACTGCGACTGTTTAATTGATTTGTGCGGCATAGAAGCACCGGTTTCGGCTGAAATTTGGGCAGCGTGACATGAGACGTGCCTGGAACCCAGTTCAATCGCCAAAAAGATGTGCGAAATTGCCTTCATTGTCCCTTTAAGCGAATGCTAGCGTTATGAAAAGAACACAATTACACCTTATCTAACTGACGCACGTAACGCTCAACGGTTGAACAAACTTCCTGCTCATTAGACTTCAGTGAAAAATATCAGTTCCCTGAACGCAAGGCAAAAAGTAAGTTCTGCCCAAAACCCTGGTTCTCTTCAAGGCCGCTTTCCTGCTTCGCAAAGTTTTGTGCTTGCGGCTCCTTTTCTGCCAAAGAGGAATTGACGGCGAAAGAGAATAGATCGTAATAAGGTTGATAGGTGGACCAAATGGTAATCGCCGAACATATTGAGGTAAAATATTGCAAACACAAAGTTAGGAAAAAGTAGATAGTAAATAAAAGGAACTAAAAAAAGTAACTTTCCTAGTTGCGAGTTGGCGCTTTGTCCTGTCCCAATCTTCCCGTCTGTGCTTGTTTTACCTCGGTATGTTTGTGGAAAAGTTTGCGAGACTGGCTTCACCGTTGCTGTGACTTGGCTCCTCACCAGGCTGTTCACCTGGGGCTGGGGTGCCCACGGTCAGCTGGGCCACGGCACTTGCGACGACCAGCGGACTCCCAGGCTGGTGGCGGCCCTCGCACACCACAGGGTCACCGACGCCTCTGCTGGCTGTGGCCACACCGTGGCCCTCACCGCGGAGGTGAGACACGTGTCTGTCCGACTCAAGTCCTTTAATGATGATTATTACTTTTTTTGTCACATTCGCAAAATCTTTGGGAGAAAGGCGGGAACTTTAGGAGGTAGCCAGTTTTCTGACAGCGTCTGGCAGCGTGTGTATGGCAACTGAGACCTCGGTTGCATTCGACCAAACTGCAAAGGCTGGCTTACAGATTTGCGATCGAGTTTGACCGTCCGCGTCACAATCGCCACGACCGCTTACGATGAGAGACCAGACTGGCACAGTCTGTCGGGTAGCTCTAAAATACGCCCGAAGGTTTTTAAGTATTTGTGAGATGAAAGCTGCGCGTCAACCGAGAAGTGGTTACTTTGTCAGAGTTATTTCAAGCCCGCGGTGAAAGGAGGATACGTAAAACGTGTGGATCGGAAGTGCTCGAGGGCCACTTGATAGATGGCGCCGGCGTGTTTCCTCGTCATAGGCGATCACAGGCGGTTTCAGCACAGCCGACCGTACTCAAACGCAAATCTGTAGTATTGTGCGAATATTTGAATTTTCGAATAGCAGTTTCGAATAGTACGCTATTCAACTTTCGCTTCGAGGTGAGCTGCGCTGTTCATATTTTTCAAGGTATTGATTGTGGCTACACAGGTGCAGAGCCGGTGGGAAGCACACTCGGTGGTACTAACCTGCCGCAATTATGCAAAAACATGTAAGGCAGTGATGTCTTGACAGCCCGCGTTCGCCACTCGTGATTGCTTTTTTTTAGATTTAAAATAGAAGAAAGAATGTTTGCATACAGCAAACAGATTTATAAATCCCCTCAATTAGGACAGCCGCAACAAATCTGTCGTTTACATGCCACACTTCATAGATACTATAGATACATTAAATTTAACTGAGCTTAGAAGTGGACAAGCGGAAGATTGGAAACAGCCTTTCGAGTTCAGCTAAATTTTCGATTAAGCATGGTGCACGGTAGTGAAAGACTAAACTATTCAATGTTCGATTCAAAAATATTCGGCCAAAACCACTTTTCACTTATAATTCACTTCAAACTCAAAATCCACTATTTGCACATGCCCACAAATGTGAGAACCAGCCTTTACTGCAACAAGCGCCAGTCGAAGTGGTGCAAGCGTGGTAAGAAAGCCACTGAATGCGTTTTGTTCCATTATTGCAATTCACAATGCACAATTTTATGCACAATCATTTATACCACAAACGATAATCGATCAAAATAGCCTGCCAGCACACATTTCCGCCGAAGATGAGGTAAAAATATTTCGTAAACTTGTGTGCAGTGATAACACTTTTTTTTTCTCTCTAGCCTACTTGCACATATCTTACTTATACAGTAAAACCTCGTTATAACAAAATGGGATATAACAAACAAATGGATATAACAAAGCAATCATAATTCCCCTTGCTTGAATAGTTGGAAGAAATGGACATTGGCTATAACAAACTAATGGTTATAACAAAGTAATTACGACCGCTCCTTCAACTTCTTTATAACGAGGTTTTACTGTATTTACCTTATTCAAACTTGTAGCTTGCTATTGTATATTTAGTTTTGCTGTCACGTTTACATTTTCATTATCCTCCCTCGGAGGGCCTTTGGGGGTATTTCGAATAAACCAGTTTAAAAGTGATGTGGAAATGTAGTCCTTCAGGGCGAGAACTCTTGGCAGGGCCTGGTGTTTGGCTTTGGCTGCAACACCTTCGGCCAGCTCGGACTGGGACGGTCGCCCAAGCGCAGCACGCCCCAGCGGATCGACCTGGGAGAACCAGTTCGGATGCTCTCCTCAGGCTTCTTCCAAGTCGTACGTCCAGTCTTCCGTCTTATCCACACGCACGCTTGTCTCTCTGGAGGGTGCCTTAAACTTGGCTGCATGTGCTTGGCCAAGGTGGTGACGAGGCGACCAAAGTAAAAACGATTTGGTCGGGGGATGCCTGCCCTGCCATGCTGGTTTTGCCACGGCACTGGGCTGGACTACGGGAGAGCAGTGGCGCTCGCCCGTGCTGGAAGGCGTCATAACAGCAGCCTCAGTGCTTGTTCGCGACCGATGACGGGAGGCTTCTGACACCGTCGCACGTCGTCAAGGTGTCACATGATGCTGTGGTGCCATGCGATGCTACGTCAGGTGTCACGTTGTGCCCGACGTCACATGTGGCCACATGATGTGACATCGAGTAACATCGCGTGACACATTGTTATGTGACGCTACGGTGCGAGTGACGTCGCAGAGGACCTATAAATGTTGAACGTTCCAAACACTTTTGGGATGACGTCACATGACACTGTTGCATCATCCCAAGAGCGCCCCCCCCCCTTCCCCACACGGATATTGAAGGCTGAGGACTCTGCTCTGCAAGCAGAGCATGCTGTAAATGACTTCATTTCCGCGGGCTGGATATATCACGAATTTGGCGGAGTGTGTATTTCAAGACTTTCGTTAGTTTGACCTCGGTTAATTCAACTTTTCGTTTTATTCGATCCTGTTCAAAAGACCCGGTGAGCACCCATACATCTCTATCGGAGGAAAAGTTTGATAGTTCGAACTCGGGGAAGACTCCACATCGGGTAATTCGTCCCGAGCAAATGAGCGCAGGCTCACATTGTACGACACCACGGCAGAAAAACCACCAACGCATGACGAAACATGGGCCCTTTGCTGCAAAACCGAATGTGCACAAATATGCACCTGCTCCTCTACGCCGTTGAGGCGGACCGTAGCGAATGACACGAGCCAGCGCAACCAATCTGGCGTGGAGTAGCGCGGAGAACATAGAACGCGGTCGGGCACAGGGACAGTGCGCACTCTCAAAGTGCTTTTCTGTAGCATTGCATGCGGTCCATCTTGCGCGCCAAAAAACGCAAGTTCTCTTCTTTTTTTTTTTTCGTTCCTGCCGGTTTGGTTGCTCGGTGCCAAAGTCGGCTCGCAAAGCTTTCTCAGCACGTGCTCTCAAAGCGCTTTTTCGTGGCATCGTGAGCGGTTCATCTTGCGCGTCGGAAAGCGCGGGTTCTCTTTTCCTTTTCTTTTGGTTGTTATTTTTCTCTGTCGCCGACGGTCTGGCTGCTTGGCGCCAAAGTCAACTCATAAAACTTACTTCTTTAATCTTTTTTTTTTTTGTGTGGTGCGCAATTTTTTGGGGACATGACGTTTAGTTACGCTGCCCTCCAGATGGTTTTGGACACGCGTTTTAAGCGCAGACAGCAGCAGACCATCTGTGAGTACTTTGGACAATAAAAGAAAATTTAATTTTAACTGTTTTTCTGTCCTTTTTTAATTCAATCATTTGACCATATTTCAAGGTCCCGTCGAGTTCGAATTAACAAAAGTTTATTGTATATCACGGGTATAAAATTTTGCAATTAGAAGTGGTACGCTAGTTACCGTATATTTGCGGAATCTATTTTTCGCCATATATTTTTGAGTTCAAGAAATTCGTGAAAATTGGGCCTTTGCGAAAATTTGGTCGTTTTCAGAATACATGGCTTGCACTAACATCACATTGCATACTTTTGACCGCCATGTAAGAGAGAGGGAAGCTGGCACTTGTAGGAACATTGAGTGACGGGTTAATCTATAACCTTCTGAGGGAAGAATAGCGATGTCCGGGCAAATCTGGGAGACACAAAGGAGGGTATTGGTAAGAGGGGAGCTCCTCCTTCCCCCCTTCTCTGGTGGCCATCGGAGCGGTCTTTGCATGTTGTCACGTTCAAGCCATGTATACATTTACCCTTTATGGCTCACGTGGAAGTGGCCGTCCCCTGAACGTGCACGTTTCCCTGCCCAGTTTGCACTGCTGGCCGGCGGTAGGCTGCTCACGTGGGGCGCCAACCCCCAGAGCCTGCGGCTGCAGGCACAGTCGTCGCGACGCTCCCGCCTCCAGGCGGTCGTGGCGCAGAACGAGCTGCTCTCCTCCCTGGCGGGAGGGCCCCACGGCGGGAACCTGCGCCACCCAGCGGGACCTGCCCCGAGCACCAGCCCCGCCACACAGGTGGGTGCAGTTTGGATTTCTCGGGGAAATTCTTCAGAAAGTCCTTCGATGTTGCAGCGCACAAATGCAAACGCACAATCTGCTCAGGCACGCAAAGGTGGGCATTTAACCAGCGCTGACTAACAGCTCTGTTTTCTATCTTCGTCGTCACTTGCTCTTTTTTTTTGCGCTTAAAAGAAACAGTTTGCCGTCTTCTTGAACTCGTGGCTGAGTTCAAGTTTAAGAAGTTCAAGTTCAAGGAGGCAGTAGCAGAGATTATGAATTGTTTCTTTTAAGCATCACAAAAGAAGAGCAAATGACGACTAAGATAAAAAACAGAGTTGTTAATCAATGCTGCACGAGTGTTTCCCTTTGTGTGCCCGTGCAGATTGCGTGTCTACTTTTGTCTTCTGTAACATTGTAGGTATGAACAACCAACTTGCCCAAACTGCAGTCTTCATAAAAATCTTCGGGGTATCTTAGGGAAGTCTGGAAGGGCTATGGATAAGGCGAGGTTCTGTTAGGAGGAACTAGGAAACGGAGCTCTGCGAAGTTTTGATCCTCAAGTTTTGTGCAATGCTACGCCCACCTCGGATCGGGCAGTTTTGTTTGCAGCGTCTTGACATCGCTACTCTGCCAACACGGTCTTCACGCGTTCACACGTAGCAACTGCTGACACTAATCGCTGCGTTTTGTTGTCATCATAATTAAAATTGTTATTTTCTTGCATTAGTATTTAGACACAAAGTTATGTGTTAATATCAGGCTTTTATATCTTTAAATGGTGTTTAGAATACTATTTTATCTCCCTGAAATCATTTTGTCATGAAAATTATCTATTGCGAACCAGAACCATGGGTTCAGTTATTATCACCTCTGCATGGACGTCATGCGAAAGTATTACATCCCTGATTGGCTGCTGCCACTTCAAACGTCTCCGAGTTGCTGGAGTGGCTCGCTCGTTTAGAGTGGGACCCGTTCCCAGCGATACTTGTTTGCAGTGCAAGGATCGCGGGAAGAACTTTCTAGCATTCCTAAAATTGCCGAAAAATAGCCCAGTCTGAAGCGGGCCTTAGGAAATTGAGAAAACTGAGCTTCATGAAGTTGCAGCTGCTCAAACCTTGTGTGTTGTTGGGCTATACGTGAGACACGGGGACATATACCTAGTTACGAGCTCGTAGGAAAAAAAATGGGGAACTGTCGGGGAAGTGGGAATGCGGCGTGGGAGAATTTAAAAATTGCCGAACAGCCCGAGAAGTTGTAAGTGTCAGAGAGTTGCCAGAAGTTGTAAGTGTAGGGGAGTTGCCAGAAATCATTGAGCAGTCGTTAGAGTAGTTGGCGTAAAATTGGGAAACTCCTATAAAACAGTGGGAAATTGGACAGTTTGATACTTCAAACCCACGTTCCAGAGAAACAAAAAAAACGATTGCATCTCCACGTGGTGAATGATGTTGATTGGGGCGAAGCTCTGGTGGTGCTTGTCTGCGTAGACGCTGAGCTGCAGCGTGCCGAGCCTTTCGTTCGTTTTCATCCATGTCATGCTGCGGTCAAATGCTCAAATGCGTACATAACCAAGTTCCATACCATATTTTCTTTTTCTGACATGGATGAAAACGAACGAAAGGCTCGGCATGCTGCAGCTCACAGTCTACGCAGACAAGCACCACCAGAGCTTCGCCCCAATCAACATCGTTCACCACGTGGACATGCGGTTGTTTTTTTCTTTTTTCTCTACACGAGCAGGGGAGCACGTGCTCACGTGCTCGTGACCCAATGGCGGACGGACATACGGACATGGCTAGCCCCTAAGGAGCTTCGCCCCTAAAACGGCCGTCAGATTGCCAAGAACACATAGTCTTTGTGTGAGACTTGTCGAAATATTAGGTGCCAGAGAAAATGAATTGTTTACATATGGAGCCCAAATTTCAAACTCTTTGTTCACGTTCAGTCCATTGAAAAGCATGACGAAAGAGTCAAAGCAAATACCCGACATCGCCACTCCTACGTATCCTTCCTCACAATAAAGTTTGCCTGCTATGGTCACCTTGACAACAAAGCATCTGCTGAATGAACGCACACGCGAATGCCAATTTTGACGGCAGCAACAGCCGATGCCATTCACGGCAGCATGGGGCCAAACTACTGAAGTGCTCTGAAATGTTGTGAAATTTTGTCTTCACAAGATTTCCGAACTTCTCGAGACGAGAGTGAAAATTTCTCGATTAAAAGTAACGAGAGCAGTTGGCACATAAAATAGATGGCGCCTTAGCATACATTGCACATGATGTGTTTCCTCAAACATTTTTGGTGGCCGACGGCTTTTTACCTTGTGGCAACAATTCTCTGCTGCGGTATTTGCAGGCTTTGCTGCACGGTCACCAAGGCCACCTTACTCCGACGGAGTTTGACATCTCCGGAGTCCGCGGGACAATAGCGCAGATTGCGTGCGGCTCCAACCACGCGGCCATCGTCACCAAGGAGGGCCAGGTCTACACCTGGGGCCGAAACACCGAGGGCCAGTTGGGCCTGGGTCACCGGAAGGACCAGGTGACGTTCTCGAAGCAGTGGACAATTGTTTCCTGTTTCCTATTGCAGGGGTTCTCAAACTGGGTTCCGGGGAACGCAGGGGTTCCACGAGCTGGTCTCATGGGCTCCGCAAACACCAATATTGCAACCTCCCCGCCCCCATGTCGCAGGCTGCGCGGCAGGACCATGCAAAGCATCTTCATTTCACTTTGTACTGACATCGCGATTGATATGGTGGATATATGGGAAGCAACACAAGCAAAATCGCCTGCAATTGTGCATCTGTTGTTTCTCGGTTGGCAAATATAGAGGTGGGGGGGGGGGAGTGTTCCGCGGCAGTTTTTAAGGCTTCCTGGGGTTCCGCGAGACCAAAAAGTTTGAGAATCACTGTCCTATCGGATGAAAGATGGCCAATGGTCCGGCAGTGGTACAATTGTCTCAATGCAAACTCCCTTCTTGCATGCTTTGCCTCTAATCTTTCCATGTTTCGCAATGTTGCTTAGACTATTTGCAAAAAGATGGCAACTCATGGCACGGGGTGCGGCAAAGGCGTATGCATTAGGTGCAGAGAGCATTTTGTTGCCTGCTGGAATCCTGGTATTTCACTGTTTAGACATTCATACCAAAAAATTCTTTTCCTTTTCACAAAGCTATTTTCCTATATCTGTGGCACCGGTTTGAGTTTCGTAGTTGAAATGTGTCTTGAATCACATGTACAGTATACGACTGGGAGCATGGATTGAACATTAATTTGAAAGAGAAATAGATGTTTGACTGTTTACAGGTCTGTAAGCAAGTATATTCACCTGTATTGCTATTTTCCAGCAATTAGGAATTGAGCATAGGTATCTTGCATGAATAGGTGGACTTGGGATGTTGCCTATATCTGGCAGACTTTGACCATTTATATGTTACTCGTCTCTCAAAATGGGCTGGTTGAGATAAGGGAACCTCCTTACACATTAACATCTGAAGCTGGGTCATACCCTGAGAAAAACAGTGTTCCTAGTTTATCATGGTTTTGGCACATTCGGGCCGAACATACCTCTCTCTGGCAAAACGGAGGTTCAGGCGAGTTGGTTGTTCATGACTGACAAGGAAACGGCGCACCCTCAAAACAAGCACTCTAAGCTTTCATGCACACAAAAGAAAGAGCCACTTGCACAGCGCTGTGTAAGTGGCTCTTTCTTTTGTGTGCATGAAAGCTTAGAGTGCTTGTTTTGAGGGTGCGCTGTTTCCTTGTCAGTCACTCTCTCTGGCGCATTTGACTAAGTCTGTAAGCTTCTGAACAGTTTGTATGCGTGTCCAGAGTACCTTAGCTCACCTGGAATTCCTCATCCCGAGAACTGGAGTTTCCATCGTGCCCTCTTCTTCCCACTGCCCACAGAAGAGTCCCCAGCTCGTGGCTTCTCTGGGCAAAGTGGTGCAGGTGTGCTGCGGGCGGGACTTCACCGTGGCGCTCGACGCTCAGGGCAAGGTCTGGGCCTGGGGTCAGAACGATGCCGGACAGGTGAGCTGCGTCACTTCGGCATCCAACCTCAAGCTTGTTGGTACCACTTGGCAACGCTTACACCCTGTCAATCCTACGTTTGCATTGCACTGGCATAAATACGGCAGTTTTGGAGATATTAACATGGATATGTATGTTATAGAGATCAACATTGCAACATGGAAGCGACATCGTCAGCGTGTCATGACGTGGCACACTGTGTCGCACGAGGCATTACGTGATCATGTCATGCCACGTGGACCACTGACGTGATGCAGAATGAATCTACAGTTCGACGTAAACTGGATTGCACCATCATTAATGACCCCATAACGTAACCTATGTACGAGAAGTTTATAAAGGACGACCAAAACGAGCTGCAAGTTTTCCCTTCTCCATCATTAGCCGGGGAAGGGAGCAAGAGAATGCGGCAATGCAGCCGACGGCCCGGCTTTTTCGCAGCTCGGGGTGAAGGTGTCCGAGGAATGCACCGCGTCCCGCCACTCGAGGGTGCTCCTGAACCGGCTGATCACGATCCGCACGAGCCGCTGCCTGATTACCATCCCCCAGGGCCAGCGCACGGGTGAGCCCAGGCCAGTGGAGGTGGCCCCCCTGCCGCCCGAGATCATCCGACCGCCTCCGGACGACCTTGACCTCCTCGTGAGTCAAGGGCCACCATTTCACATAGCGCTCCTTGGCGGGCGGGATTTTTTTTGCTTTTGTGTTTCAACTACAGTGCCTGGAACGCGTCTCCGACTGGTGCATTAAGCGTCCTTTATCACCCGTGCATCGAAAGTGTCACAAATGGTGTCACTCTCATGACCCAAATGGTGTCACAAGAGCCGGCGTGCCACACTGTTGGACGTCGCGATTCTGCCGGTTGTTCGGAAGAGTTCCGGCAAAGAAGATGAGAAGATGCAAGTGTTGCCGTCGTCGCATCAGCCCAACTCTTGGCTGCTGAAAATTCCGAGGACCAAAAAGCTGAAGAGCGACCTGCAGCTGAACGAGTGTCTTCCGTAACCACCTCCACTGTTCTGCCACTGCCAATATTGCGGCAGGCAACAGCGCGAGATCTCTATAACCTCGTCGACAAGAAAAATAGAACGACCAGAAATGAGGACGCTGTGAATGTAAGAGTCGGAGACTCAATCCAAGTACTGCGGTGGTTACAGACAGTGTTCCTTTCGAAATGCCCGCCGTTGTCGCTCATAAGGTCCGTCCCGTCTTTTCCGACAACAGCTCCGGCAGAAAGCGTGCCACAATGCCCACGCCTCTCGCTGCTTCCCTGGCTTTGACCTGAGCTCTCTGGACGACCCGCCTTATGGGCCCAAGGCACTGCACGCCGCACTCGAGGTGGGTGACGCAACTCCGCCCGGGCCGGCCTTGTGACACCGGTGCCAAGCAAAAACATTCTGCGACTCACTTTTTTGAGTGCGCCAGTGCTTTTTAAAGCATGGAATGCTTCCTTACTATGGTTGCCTCGGCCTTTGGCATCTCAAAAGTGCTAGAAAGAAGCACTAAAAATTTACAGCCCCTTAAGCATTCCAAGAATGGCAGCTATTATTACAGAGCTGGCTAGCAGCCAAGTTGGTTTCACCTAGTTACTTTGTTAATCAGATAATTTCTATTATCTCCATGACCGGCATACTACACTTGTACAGTAGACTCTTATTAATTCAATCTCCAGGAAGTAGTCTTGTGCGAATAGTGGATTTTGAGTTCGAAGCGAATTCGAAGCGAATAGTGGTTTTGGCCGAATATTTTTTAATCGAATATCGAATAGTTTTTCCACGCCTTTCACTATCATAACATAATGCTTAGACAAAACCCCCTGTTCCACCTGTTCATTTATAAGCCAAGTTTAATCTATCTATATTTATGAACTGTGACCTCAGAAGGTCTGATGTCTTGGGGTGGTAAGTAAACAACAAGTTTGACATAAAATGAATCCAATGGAAATGGCCTACTACTATACCCAATTGAGTGAATTTACAAATCTTAAATATTCTCTCTTTAATTTCGAGTTAAAAAAGAATGACTTGCGCATGATGAACGCAGGTTTTAAGGGCATCTCTGCCCAACGTATACTCTTGCAAAACAGTCAGTTTAATTTTAAAACTTTTACTACAATGTAGATACTGTAAAACCCTTAATGTTCACGAGCCCTTAATTTTCGCGAATATCGCGAGTTGAAAATTTTGTGAAACTCAAAAGGCACGCGAAAATTTCGGTCTTCAAGAATTTCGATGCAGGTCTCTGGAATTCGCGAACTTTAGTGGCCGCGATATGTCCCCTGTGACCGATTCGCGAAAAATAGGGGCCCCGAAAACAAAGGGTTTCACAGTATACACATTCACAAAGTTTCCATTTATTTTCACATACAGCTGGCACGCGTGCACCATCCCGCTTTGAATGTATGGTTTTTGTCCAAGCACGCAATTGCGATATTCATACTGTTCCAAATGTTTATCGCGGCGGGTTACTTCGTTGAGTGCGCTTCTTACCGAGCACCGATGTGATGCGGAGAAGCAACACCCGCGGAGCTTGCTTCCGCGGGTATTGCTTCTCTGCAATGCACCGGTGCTCGGTAAGAAGCGCACTCAACGGGGCTAACCCACCGCTATAAACACTTCAAAAAACGCGAATAGCGAAGTTCTTCTCGAAGCGAATATCAAATAGTGTATTATTTGGAACCACTAGTCGAAATTTCGAATATTCGCACAACCCTACCAGGAAGCCACAAATTGATCAGAAACCCATCTAAATATGATGCAAGATAAAATTATTATTTGCCCCCTGAATGGCTACATATACAAGGCAGATATTAGGTGGTTTCCTCTACTAAACCTACTAATCATAAGCAAGTATGCCACACGTAAAATATTTGTGAATCGTATGACAAGTTTTTTCTCTTAGAAATGTTGTTTTTTGAGGACTGTTTGACAGTACATGACAACTCAAAACAGAATTAAGTTTGTTCGTCAGGCCAAGAAGTTGTCTAATGTGGACTAGTAAGTTGGGGACACATGAGTAGCAAAAAGGGGCACCGCTAGGGCAGTTTTCATAACAACTTGCGCGGACCCGGTGAGGTGGACCTATGCCATGCCACCATCTCACAGCTTTCGTGCAGGTTGCTATGGACGTGTGGTGCCTGTTTTCATAGCTGATGTGTGCCCTGCTTCGGAGCCCTGCTTTAGCCCCTTTGAGTGCGCTTCTCGCTGAGCACCGGTGCACTGCGGAGAAGCAACACCCGCGAAAGCAAGCTCCACAGGCGTTGCCTCTCTGCAGTGCACCAGTGCTCGGAAAGAAGCACACTCTACGGGGCCGCGAGAACAAAAAGTATGAATTACACGAAAATGCTGTTCAAAATAAGCGGCTTATGAATACATTAAACCCATAGCAAGACAACTAAAATTTTGAAATGTGTTTGAAATCAAAGTATGAAATATCGGAGTTAGAATTATCACGAGCCTACTATATAACACACTCGGTGCAGCAGATATTGATGTTCCTAACAAAGTGTTTAGCATTGAAGTTGTTTCTCACCAATTTGTGTATTTCACTGCTTGTGCATGAGCTGTTCATGAGCCCAGAAAATAAACAAATGAAGGATTTAATGAAAATGAATGAATTGCCAGAAATGCTTCCACGACATCTTTAGTGAGAGCATTTCACACCTTTTGCCTAACTCGATGACCGAAAAAGAGTCGCACCTTTCTTGAAGCCCATTTCAGAGTAGGCACGTCGATTTCTAGTTTTGCGCGTCTAGTTTTGAGGTGTCCTTTGAAGAATAAAACACTAGAAACATAGGGAGCCGATCGAGTTTGAGCAGGTCATGAAACTGCCCACCTCTGGTCGTCGTGGCAGCACAGTAGGGATATCCAGAGGATTACAACTCTGACGGACATTTGAAAATGCAACTGACCAATTTTCACCTTACTTTTGCAGTTTCTCAGAGGTAACCAACGCGGGTCATATGTGAAATTCTCGGCGTGCCCAGATTATTATTTTATAAGGATCTGCAAATATTTGAATAGTAGTTTTAAATAATACAACATTTGATATTCATACTTTTCTAAGCGTTGATCGCGATGTTTCTGTCCCTAATAAGCGCGCTTCTTACCGAACACTGGTGCACTGCAGAGAAGCAACACCTGCGGAGTTTGCTTTTGCGGGGGTTGCTTCTCCGCGGTGTACCGATGCTCGGTATGAAGCCTACCCAAGGGGACTAACTTGCCACGATTATTGGTGCATTCACACAACAGATCTTTACCTCCGGAGTAAACCGAGTATGTCACAGGTCTGCGAGGAGAAAAGGCTGCGAGAAAGGTGGTGCAGAAAATCCGGACAGGCATCCGCACGACGGGACTCGCAAGTCGGCGGATTTTGAAGTAACTCTAGGTGGAGCCTTTCTTTTTGTGACTGTGTTTGCGATCTTCAAGCGCTCATGAACAAAAGGCATATAAAAACGGAAAAGAAAAAAAGGCACTCGACAGCTCAATACTGTTGACAGTGATTTTTTCTCAAAAGGAGGTGGACTGCTCTTTCCGACGGAATGAGGGATATTCTCTAGGTCGGTCGCAAATTCTCCGCAGCTCCCCGGGGGCTCGTGGAATTAGCAAACATCCGTGATGGGACGCACGTGACCCGAAAACTCAATGACGTTTAATCCACTCCACGGGGAGAAGCTCTGTCATACGACTACACTATAACACTTTGAAAAGTATGTAGTTTGGTTGTATGCAACAGTCGTCTAGTTGTTCCGCTGCGTGCAAAGTGAGCTCTCACCTGTCACCTGTATGGCACATTGCACTTGTTTCCTCGCAGGCATTCCGGGGCAGCTACGATCCGACGGCGGTCATCAACCACTGTGTCGGGTTTTCCGACTTTCAGGCCGCAGCCAAGATATCGCTGCTCGAGGGGCAGTTTGCTCAGGTGGGCACAGTCCACCCCTGGCAGATTTACATGGCACGGTTCGAAGTGTGCCCGCGGCAGCCGCTGTCAAGTTTTCGTGACCGCACTTTTGCTCGCAGGCGGTGCAGTACCAGTTTCAAGCGCAACTGGCCGACGTCAAGGCGGACGCCTCGGTCCTCTCAGGGAGGGCACTCGAAGCGGTGAACTACTATACCGGGTAACCGCTTTGCTACGATGAAGGGTTGTACACCTGCATAGCAGTGCTACTTGCTGGGCAACTTTGAAATAATGAAAACATGTTTATCGTGAAAGTATGCAGTGACAGTCTTGCTAGCAAGCATTGAGTCGGGGGGTTTGGTTAAATGGTAATGCCGGCGGTATTATTTATGTAGGTGCTAATAAAGTAGTTGCCGTACTTCGAGATGTGGCTTATGTGCACTCCTGGAGACCTGCATTGAAATATTGTTTTTATCGGAACCATCTACCGTTAGTTTGTGGGCAGGTGGGAACTGACATGGGCGCCAATAATACTGCCGATTCCGCTTTCACACCTCTTTATTTGAGCCAAGCCGGGGGAATCGCATAGAGAAGAATGTTACTTGTACATGATAATGAAAGAAGGATTTACACGGCAGGTTGAATTTTGGACTTGCAGAAATTATGCTCAAATTATTCGGAGCTCGTTAACAAGTGGTACATGTGCGTACGACACCATACTCGAAGAGGGCGCTAATTGCTCTTGTCGAAATAACGAGGCAGCGACGTAACTGGCACTTCACATCATATTCTTTGCAGACTCATAGACAAGGAGAGCAGCGAAGTGAGTGGAGCCTTCTTCGAGAATGTAAGTACCAAAGGGGTGTCTTGAAGGGGGCACCACCAACTGGCGACCTCTGATGCTAGGAAAGGTCGTAGGGTACAGAATCAACTTGTTTCTTGGGCGTTCCGGTGGCCAATCTCGCTCGGTCCTTTACGTAGGGTCCTGGGCAAGCTGGTCGACGGGATCGCCGTGAACGGTCATAGAAAGGGCAGTCTTGGGTAGTAACGCGTTACTGTAACTTTGTTACTTTTTTGGTAACTTGTAACTGTAACGAGTTACTTTTTAAAAATGTAACTTGTAACTGTAGTTCTATTACTTTTTTCTGAGGTAACGATGAGAGTAACGACGTTACTTTTGTCGTTACTTTCTAGTGTTTTATGAATAATATATCACTGAACGATACAATTTAGCCATTCCTTGCACTTTCCAAATCGCCTACTCGGACATTTCAAGTGTCAAGTTGCCCTTGCATAAAGTAGTGAATACGTTCTTTCTCGCGAGTCACGACCCGAATATAGCCACATGTGGATTTTATGAAAAAATATCTAGTTATCTTTGCGCATGCGCGTGTACTTTGTGACTGAACACTTACATCTTAATGTCTTGAAGCACTATCTATGTTGTGTTTTTTTTTTTTTTCTGTGCACACGCTTTTTAATCGGGTGAATCAACCGTGAAACAACAATACATGTGGAGGGCACTGCGCATGTCTCGTATTTTGATTAGCGCCACTACTCCGCACTGCGCATGTTTCGTATTTTGATTTGCGCCACTACTCTGGCGGGGAAAACTTTCTAACACTAACTTCGAGAAGCAACTGCTGCTAAGTTACAATATGAAGTAAAAAGCATACTTTTTAATTTTATGCAATAAAACGTTGTGAGGGGCGTTTTCTAGTTTTTTCTATGTCTGTGTTATAGAAAAGTAACGTCGTTACTTTTTAAAAGTAACTAACTGTAACGAGTTACTCTTTTGTTGCGGTAACTGTAATGGTAACTTCGCTACTTTTTGTGAAAGTAACTAACTGTAACGAATTACTTTTTAAAAGTAACTTACCCAAGACTGAGAAAGGGTGCACATTTCTCAAGGTTTTTACTAAACAGAGGAATATGCTAGTACTAAAACTATTCCCCTAAAAAAACGAAAAAACAAACAAACTGCAAACAGTGTAAAAGTGCATGTTTGACTCGGTACTGCACGGCTCCCTACTTGCACTGCCCATCTCGCTGGCTCTCCCGCAACCAATGTTGTCTCGCGACGCAAAGCCCCAATACCTTTTGGTTTTGATGATATGGGCCCGAGAAAAAAACTTTCAGATCGTCCCCACCTTCAGATTGTCCGCTTCTGGGAGGAGCGAAACCTGCCCGTGGAGCCCCTGGAGGAGCTGTTCCGCGCCTACCTGCCCGGAATTGGATACTCCCTGGGCCTGGTGCTCTTCTGGTGAGACTGCCGCCCGGCTCATAATTGGAGCTTGCCGATGCGTCGGCCATTTTAGTTGCACGTTTTCTCAGCACAAGGCAACGCACACTGGATGTCGTTTGTTGCGAGCGACGCCGGAAGATCCGTCGGTTTTGCACACCAACTACTTCAGGTACCGGGCAGCAGCCTGTTTCACCTTTTTCCCAGGCTTTCAAGCATCACTTTCGAGGGATTTTCGGATCGATATCTCGACACGCAGCTAGAGCTAAAACAATCCCGCACACCTTTCTTGATCGTTTGTGTCCGCCGTACATGAACGGTTGGAGAAGCGTCGTGCGACCGGCGAGAACCTGAAAATCGGGGCTCCCAGCTGCATGTGTGGCTCATAGCAGCTCAAATCTGCACGAACCGAAAGCATCTATAAAGAATTGTGGCCTACGTATAGTACCGTATTTTACGCTATGTATAAGTTGTACCTCTGTATAAGTTGCACCCCTCTCTAAATGGCCGTTTCCGCAAAAATTGTTGTTACATAGGTTGCACCTCTGTACAAGTCGCAGTTTTATATTTGTAAGATTGGTGCAGGGAAACTGCATCGATAAGCCCGCATATGTACACTATGATGTCGATGTGTGCGCAGGTGGGAGTTACTTTAAATACTCTTGCCGACGAATCGAATGAGAAATATGCCATAACCTTGTGGCAAGCTTATGCAGCTGACGTCCATACTAATAGAAAAAAAAAATGCAATAAGATGCACCGCCGGAAAATTTTTTAAAGTTTGGTATTTGATGATGATTGTGACTAGAATGGTATAGCGAACCTTACGGCTTGTAAACTTGTCGCGCAAAACGATTCTGACTATTCAAAGATTATTCTAAAAATATTTTGAAATTTTATATAATTACTAGGGCATTCGATTCGGATAAATCTAATATAGGGCGATACTCGATTTGCTATTCAAAAATTATGAATATTCGCGCAACTCTACCAACAGGCACCGTGCAACGTCTCCGATGGACTACTCCGTAAACATGCGATGCCTCCCATCGCCTTTTCTACGCACTACAGCAATGCAATGTTCGACGCTTGAAGGAGTGCCCATGAATAGAAGGAACAGTTTGTGTTGGTTTAGCGTTTCACGATTTCAGAATTCAAAAAGGAAAGGACGATGAAAAAGCAGGCTACGTGTCGGCTTCGAGATATGTTCGTTTCGTTTGCCTTGTGTTTTAAACTCACAGTGGTAAGAAAAAAGGGACTGCGATGCTTCCAGGCTGGCCCGAGCATACATTGGAGCGGCCCCACAATTTCCCGCGCCACGCGGTGCAATGTGGAATCGACGAGAGGTGGCAACTTTGATGACTATCATTATGCACGTGTATGGCATCTGTCCACGCTAATGGAGGCCTTTTGGTTGCCGCCCAAGGAGTAAGTTGCAAACAAGCCCCGAAGAGGAAGACACGATGGCTGGGCAGTCAAGACACTCCGTCATTTTGTTGTTCGACGTCAGCGTGACGAGACCTATAGGATCGTAGCTCGTTTTGAGCAGCGCTCCAGAAGAGCAAAATAGATTTCGAACATGCGTCATTACGCTTCTCCACTAGTTTCTTTTACACTCCGTTCCATTGCAAGTGCCAGCATAGCAGAGGCTAGAAGAGCAACCTTCGAGCTTGCAGTGTCCCTGCCAAGCATGCGTGCTCGTGCAGTGCGACCATCGTTCAAGGGAACATGCTGTTGCATGTAGTTTCGGTTCCGCTATCACGGAAAGTGAATCATATGTGTCGACGGAGGCTATGAAAGAAAACGGTATGGAGTATTCACTGGCGGCCATAGCTGTGTGCACGATTGCTGAACACGTGCTGACAGCGAGGTTCCACAGTTCTTTTACATTTTGCACACCATCAAGATTGCCCATCTTCGCAGCCTAACTCTGAGCTCATTCTGAGCATGCGCTCTAAACAGTGCCCTCAAATATGGCGTCCACTGAATACCTCCTGTACATTTAATAAAGCTGAAAGGAATGTTTGATGAAACGCGAAAGCCACAAACTGCATTTTTATTTATGTTTCTTTTATTGCATATGAACGGATGCTGACAGACACTTGTATTCGAAGATGGCTTGTGCATAACTTGAACGTTACAGCGCTGCTTTTATGGTCGTATCGCGTGGATGGTACAGCCAGCATAACATGGTCGCGTCTTTTGTAATCTTTTGTACACGCTCGTGCCCCCTGCCCGAGAGCAACGAGCCTATAAGCTTCTGTACACCACAGATTTGGGGGTGTTTGTAAATCCTTACTCATAACAGCAAAATAGCAAACATAATTTTGTCAGTGAATGCCTCCCATTTGGTAATTAGCACTGTGTCGGCGTTCCTTTCTAACTTGCGTTTAATAAATTCATTGGCACAGACTCGGCCCCCCCCAAGCCCTTTGATGTGGCGAATATGATCAAGTTTTGCTCTTGTGTCACATACTGAGGGTAGCCTAGTTTCTTGTCATCATTGAAATTGAAACAAATAGAAAAAGTAAGGTATGTCAAAAAGCACCATCGCTTTCGTACATCTGCCATTGATGCACAAACTGCGATTACCGTACGAAAAGTTGGGCCAATATTTTGGGCCACTAGGTGGCACCGAATTTCCGATAGGGTCTATCGGGCATCGGCAGAGAGTGAGGGGAAGGCCGTCTCGTGCAGTGCACCGCAGGAGGCGGCCTCTCGGTTTGCATCGCGCCTGTCGACGAACCTGTGCCTGTCGCTGGCGGCGGCCATGCGGGAGCGGGTGACGTCGGGGCGCCCCCACGGGGAGTTGATCGGGGCGCTGCTGGAGCGCTCCGCCACGGGGGCCCTGGTGGGTCAGATTCGGCTGGTGGACGAGAGCGCGGGCTGGGAGGCCGCCGTGCCCCCCCACCGCCTCTGGGACCAGCTGCTCAGGAGCCTCAGGCAGGGCCTGGCCCGCAAGACCGCCCTCGAGGTGAGCCGGCCTCGGCCGAGACTAGATAGCCCTATGCCGATCTCCCAAAAAACAATTTTCAAAGCGGAAGCTCGATACGGGAACCCTGATGTCACACTGCTTACATCCTACGAGTGTTCGCTGCAGACACTATGAAGGTACTATCTGTGGACATGCCTCAAGCGTATGTTCGAAGCATGTTTGCTTCACACTCTTTGAACATGTCCGCAAAGTTTTCGTACAACCATTGCGAGTGTCGTACCAGGAAGAAGCACACCTTGGACGGTGTCTGTAGGCTCTCTTTTGTATGGTGTATTCGCACACTTGGAACTGCTCGCAACTGTGTGCTCCAAAACCTCTATATATATTACGACGAGGGAACACACTGGGCACATTCAGTAGCAGCTCCAGGAGTCGAGGAGCCTGCGCTCCTTCCACTAGATGGCAAAAAACCACTTTCAATGTATGCAACTCCCAGTTTAAAAAAAAAACAGAATGGCAGGAGAAGCTGCGTCGTCTGTGGTATGGGTCAGCAGCTTGCTCGCTTTTGCCAATGAAAAGTTCTCGAAATAAGACTAATAACGCATTTGGATTTCGTTACCAGTTCGGGCTCTTTCCGAAAAATCTCTCGCAGCGTATTTCGTTTGTTGCGAATATGCTAATAAACTGCTTAAACGTTCCTTTGGCACCGTGTTTTGACTGCCATGATCACGGAAACTCTGTGGCTATCGACGATAGTCCTGTCCGTGTTCACTCGCGCGGAACGTGATCCCAATTAATGTTTTGTTTGCATAGCTAAATAAAGGTGTACACCTGCTCCTGCCGACAGAACCTCGATTGCCAAGTGTGGTCGACTTCCGACATGTATACAAATGCATTTTCTAGGGAGTTCGTAAAGTGCAAAACAAACGTACGACCGTATAAAAGTATCGTGACCGGCAAAGTGGATGCACCGAGCTCCATTTTTAGCACATGTTGACGACGTTTTGGTCGGTTTTTGTAACAGTAGCACCCTTCTCACTGCATTGCGAAAGACTCGATCGCTTTGAATCGCTGGGAACAGCGGCACTAAAGTCTACAGTCACCCTTTTTTCTCCAACGACCTTGTCGAGACTTCAATATCGGTATCAAAATAAAAACGAGTATGCTCGGCGGCATCTGCGTCTGCCACAGGGGAGGAAGCGAAAACTGCGTCTGCCACAGGGGAGGAAGCGAAAACTGCGTAGAGGCAGCTGAAGAGCCGCTCTTTTTTTTGCTGTTCAGAAGACTCTCAACTGGTGGAACATTCACGATTTCCATACATTTTAAATTTCTTCTGCGCATCATTCTATCGTTATTGGCTTGAAAAACTTTTCACAACATTATAAATGACCATTTCTCGTAGATAGTATGTATATTTTATCCCACAAAGAATGCAAAACCTTCGCTCTATTGAAATGCAGTTCCAGGGCTACCTTATTGAGGGCACCAGCGTGCCAGCACGTTTTCTCGTCGTAGGTGGTCGCGAAAACTCATTCGTAAGCAAACGCACGTGTGTGAATGGGCTTTTACACATTTAAAAGTAATTTTCCTGAAATCGGCGCACTTTGTTACGCGACGCCTCTTGGCACGTTCCAGGTGTCTCCGTCGGAAGTGGAGCAGCTGACGCAGGCGCTGCTGGCGGAGCGGGCCAGCCGGGCGGCTGGCTCCCCCTGCGACGCGCTCTCGGAGTGTGCCTTGGTCTTCTCGTGCGGCCACCACAGTACCGCCACCTCCCTCCACCAGGGGGCACTGCCTCAGCTCCAGGACTGGCTGCTGCGCAAGCTGCCACGACCCCTCCCGCTCACGGCCAAGCTGCTCTCTGGGGGCTACGCCGCTCCCGGCATTCTACCCCTGGCCTGCCCGCGTTGCGTCGTGGCCGAAGTGCGCAACAACTGGTGATCCCCAGCTGCCTTCGCCGCTAAACCGGATTGCATCCCCCCACGTGTGTTCCCATCGCCTTGCCGGATGGCCGCCGAACTCTCGAAGCCACCCGTGGCCGGCACCTTGCCGGGTAGTTGCCAAGCCCCGAACTCCACCGGCAGCCGGCACTTCGTCGGGTAATTTCCGAACTCTACACTACCGGCAGCCAACGCATTGCCAGGTAGATGCCGAATCCTCAACGTCACCAGCTGCAACTGCTTTGACAAGTAGTTGCCAAACTTCCGATACCGCCGGCAAACATCTCCTTGGCGCTAGTCAGTGTGCAAACGAGCCAGTCAAACTGTCTTCTTCCCAGCCGGCCCATGACCGTGTTTTGGCCCGTTGTGCGGCCAGCTTGGGAAGAACCATTCGCCGGCTTCTCCAAACCCACTCGTGAATGACGACCAAGGCTCGAGCGAGAGTCGTTTGTGGCCTAGCGAGTCGTTTGTCGTTGCTCGAAACTGATCTCAGACTTGCGACTCTGCCATTCAACTTAGAAAATCTAGCCAGGTACTCATTTTAGATTTTTAATTTGTGACTGAATGACTGGCGTAGTACTGCTAGAGAGTGATGCGATTTTATTTTGAGGAGACGGTGATATCAGTGACTGGCAGCTCAGTTCTAACTGCCTCACCAATGGCTCTCTTGGAAGACTCGCTGGCATCCGGTTTAGGTTTCTCGTGGCCTGTCGACTGAGTGTGGAGAGCCAAACTAGTCATCCGACTCTCCGAGGCTTGAAAGAGCTCAAACCAGTTGTCGGGCTCTTTGAGGCTTCATCGCAATTGGCGCAGGTCTGTGGACTACAGCACACTGAAAGTAACTTTATATAGTAATAACCGCGATTGAAAGTGGTCAAGCCTGCAGCAATGCACAGGGGATTGACAGAAACCACATTGGTTGTATGGGCAATACAGGTTTGCTGTGAGACGCTTTTTAGCATCATTTCACCGGCTGTTTCTTCAGCACTCACTGAGTCGCAAACTTACAGACTTAAACCATTTGCAGTGCAAAAGTACTAGACCCGGTGCATTAAAAAATTTTCACCATTTATTTGAGCGTTATAGTCTACGCCTAGAACCCCTCAACATACCAAGTCGCGTCATTTGTTTGATATATCGCGAGTGTGTTAGGTCGACTTTAGTCTTCTAGAATCTAGGAAAGAGACGAAACAGATGTGTACATAGCCCGTGTACGAACCTCAGGAAGTTTCTCACAAAGGCAAAGAGCACTTTAGTTTTAATCATGCTCCATGTAGATATAGTCTCCCAAGGGTTGGGTTGCTGGGAAGAAAAAAAAAACTAAATTTGTCGGCAGAGGAGGGGACAACGGTTCGGTAGTTCCGTAAACCCGAAGATAGTAGTTGGATCTAAAATGGTAAATCGTGTCGAGCGGACGTGTCATCCGTGTCATCACGATAACACTCCTCGGCTCTTCCTTATTGCCGAGATGAATGGCTACAGAGAATACGAGCTACTCTAAAGAGCCATATTTCACGCCAATAAAGATTACCCAAACAAGTTACTGGTCAGTATTGGTTCTTTCTATCACTTCAAAAAGTATTTCAAGTTTCTAACCAGTCACAATGTAATCATTGACCGTCAATATGGCTTTTAACCTTTTGGGGTCATGTAATTTTTCATCTTGCTGGTCCCTTGACTCAAAATTATTTGATACCAAAAACAACACAATCACTTGGGGTCCTAAAGAAAAATCAACATTAAAACATCCATGGAAACAATAGCTGTGGCAATGTTTGTGAAAATTGCTATAATTGTTCTCCGAGGATTCATCACCGGCACTTCTAGAGCCCCCATCAGGATTGTCTCGCCCGCTAAAATCAGCTTCATCATCACTTAAATCGCTAACATGTTTTCAGTAAAAAGCGAACGGCGAGAAAGTTACCATAATAAGTAAAGAGTGAATGTTTGTGCAAAATTACGCTTGTCCAGAAAAAGAAAAGCTAAAGAAAGCGTAATTACTTACGCCGTCTTGCTAAATAATTAAAAGCATCGTGATTAGGCACGCTCCCGATGACTGAAAAAGTAAAAAATTGGCAAAGCGCACAGGACAATGAACAACAAAAGCAGAAATGAAACTGGAGGGAACAAAACACAAATAGATTGAATCAGCACTGGCGGATAAAAGGGACAAAATTGTAACCACCGTGAAAAAAATGTTCAGGCTGGGGGTTAGGCCTTCAATTTCAGTACAACATGATATTCTACTCCTAAAACTAGTCTCATGAAATGTGCAGTTGTATCAATTCACACCTGCAAAACCATTAAGAGTGTGTATCAGTGAAATCGGTTCCAATCAAATGGAAATTAAACGAAATTTTTGTACTAGGACTTTAGGCTCATTACCGTTTCTTGGGTAAAAGCATCCCTACAACAAACAGAAAACGATTATCTTCTTAGTTTTTTGCAATGACTGGGAAGCAGTCAACTTAAACTTAATCTGGTCAAGACAAAGTATACTGTAAATGCAAATTTTATGACTTCAAAAATATTGTGAAAAATTGTTCATGCGAATGTATCGCCCTATGATAATGGATACATGGAATACTAGTATTGGGTTCAATTGAAAAAATTAAACCTGGTTCTTGGGCCCACATAAATGAACTACCCATTGCAGAAGGCTAGTGAGATCAAGACACTAGCGGTGGTGCTAAAATGCGAGTCTGAGCACATAACGTTGCTTGGAACAAGGTACAAAAGAAAAACAAAATTTCTCTACGAGACAACGTCCACCAAAGCCCAATATTCATCAAACCGAAATTCAAGATTGCGGAAGTTTGCAGCTTTCAGTGAAAAACAAATTGTCAGCAAAATAAATGCTATTGGCTCCTACAATCTCGGTGCTTGTAGAGAAATTTTGTTTTCTTTTCCTTTTGTATCTTTATCCAGGCAACAACATGTGCCCCAACTTTCGCATTTTATCATTGCTAGAGTTATTGTCACGGAACTTCAGCTTTCTGCGATGCATACCTAGTTTATTATGCAGGCCGAAAAGCTAGGTTTAATTTTCTCAATCCAACCCAGTACCCCTCATATAAGCATGTGACGCACAGGCTCGCATATCTCATAGTTTTCTTTATTTTGGCGATATGTACAACAGCTTTTTTTGAAGCGCAGAGTATTTCTAACTGTATGGCACTTAGCCGCTTGCTTCCCCCACTGACAAAGGTCACCGACCTCTTTCGAAGGTTGCCGTCGGCCACAGCTTGGCGGCAGGTCTTGCCGCTTGTGCTTCGCCAGTCATTGCTTCCACAATAGTACAACTTTTGCGGGCCACAAAACTCGCTGTCAGTAGTACACAACCTTTTCTAAGAGAATGTCTGCAAAGTTGGCACATTTGATGCGCGAGCGAGCGAACGCTAAAACTGTTTCCACTGGAGCCGAGAACGAGGCACAATAAAATTCTTTTTTCTAGAAGCTCTACATGGCAATGTGGAAACAAGACACAAAAGTGGTCAACGCTCTGCCAAGAGACTTGGGTCCTTCTGGGCACCAGATCGTCGTCTGTCGCAGGTACGCACGAGAGAGGTGGGACGAGTGGCAGACTCAATGGGCGGGGACAACACCGCAGCCTGTGGTTGACGCTATAATCATGTCCTCTTTACAGTTGTTTCTATGAGGTGTCTTCTCGAGGCTTTATACTTGCGACGACGGAGGCATCGCCGTTTAGAAGCTCGCACAATCGTACTGCCATCAACGGCACGAAGAGACGGTGAAAGCAAAAGGAAGTAGTTGGCCTTGGCTGTGCGGTCCAGTCTGTCACTCCAACAGCGTCGGATGGAAGTTTTTGGATGCGGCACCTGGAAGGCAAACTTTGGCATGCTCTACTCACTTTTTTTAGGCTAAATCAGAGTTAGCTTCAGTAAGAATGCAACTCTCTATTAATAAGAAATTTTAGCAAATCATTGCAACACCTCCGACAACGTTACCCGATAACAATGCGAGGTATGCGCAAGGCGTCGGACCACTACCAGCTATCGTTATCATAACGATCTACAAAAGCTCCCAATTAATGCGGAGTTGATTCCTATTGAAACTAATGATTCAACCTTGAAGAAGTGAGTGAACCGTGCCAAAGTCAAAAAGAACTGGCCCTGGCTGCCAAACACCTGTGCTGTGAGCGCTGCCAGCCAAGCAGTGAAACTGTGGAAGGAAAAAACAACAACAAAAATAAAATGTTGCAGAGTCCTCTCTTGCTTCAGAAGAGAGGACTCCGAAACATTTTGGCGAAACTTCAACAGCTTGAAGGAAGCTGTTGAAGTTTCGCGTCATATGCCTGGAAGGCTGACATTTTATGTAGTATTTAAAAACGGCTCGCATCCGTTCAAGCATTTCATTCACATAGCCGAGCCACAAAGACAAAACACCGCCAAGCAAGGTTTGCAATAAAAAAAAAAAAAAAAAAACTGTCGCGGGCAGTTGCGTGGAAAACTTATCAAAAACAAACTGACCAAAAAGTAGCACCCGTCTAACAAAGCATTGCTAACCTCGATACCATCCGAACGCCCGCATTTGCTTGTACAGTGAAATCTCGTTAATTCAAACTCGCAGATAATTCAAACTTATGTGCAGGTCCCGTCCTATGTGTTTCTAGAAAGGAAACTATACCGATAATTCAAACTTTGCATTGTGCAACCAAAGTTTTGGTCCCACTCGAGTTCAAATTATGGCGATTCTACTGTATGTACACGTGCCTAGACATGCTGGCTGCTCGTGGTCCCATGTCGTTGTCTGGCACAGACGCATACGACCGACGCCGCTTAGGGGCTCCTAGGTGGTGTCGTCGCCAAAGAACTTTTCGGCGAGCACGCGCAGCAGCCGGTCCCGCATGGCGCGCTTGAAAGACCCGTACCAGGCGACGAGGCGCCGCCTGCGGTCGGCCCTCTCCGCGGGCGCCATGGCCACCTCCCGCTCGAGCAGGGGCATGAGCTCGCTCGTCCAGTTGCGCACGTAGAGCACCGGTGCCCCCTGGGCCTTGAGCAGGCGGAAGCTGCCCCCGTCGGCCGCACGGGCGCAGCCCGGCGACACCGTGCGGTCCTCCAGTACGGGCACCGAGCCGAACTCGAGCGCCTCATAGATGCGGTAGCACTCTGGGTTCATGCCTGCCGGGTTGAGGGTCACGTCGCTCAGCTTCAGGGCCAGCAGGTACGACTCGAGGGAGTCCTTTGTCTCCAGGGGGCGCCACCTGCACATGCAGAACATAGGGAAGAGGTGCCTGGAACGCGTGTTTGACTGGCGCGTTTGCCGCGTCCAAAAAAGCGGTTCCTCGATTTTTGCCTTGCAGCATAGTCGAAGCATTGTGCCGTCACCGGCTGCATTGCTGGCAGTGCTGCAGCAGCAGCGGTGGTGGGTGCGGTACACCCTCGTTTCTATGCGGGTCGCTCTGCAGCTCGGTGGTCTCCGGAAGCTTTGGCAGCAGCGAGTGGGGACGCCTCGACGACGGCAACGGTCGCATTCTTTCGTGTTTTGGTTTTTTTTTCGGAACTTTTACGCCAAACTTCCAGAATCGCGGCATCCGACAGCATGACACTCCGGCTTTTGTGATGTCATTTTTTGCCACTTCGGAACCATTTTCGATGCACGGGCATAACAGGACGCTCTAAATACGCCGGTCAGAAGATGCGTTTTAGGCAGCCCAAAATTGGCAGTGTGTCCAAGTGCACGATTGAGGTCACATAGTTTATGGGCCACGTTTGCGATGCGGGCTACGAGAAGTTACATAAGCATCAATCGTGTGCGACCCATCTCCTCCTCTCTCCATTCCTCCATCCCCGCTGTCCTTGCCACTCAACAATGCGTGCGTGCGCACATGATGGAGCTGTGTCCGAGCAACACGCGTAGCACAAGCGCCGAGTCCTACATGACGTGACATGACATGACACGCCACAGGCTACCACTAGCCACTTATTGAAGAGCCACCTGGTGGCACAACTTGCAGCCAAGGCAAGGAGAGGACATTACCTACCAGCTGCGACGTGCACGGTGCCTGCACCTGTATATACCCACACAGTGGACCTGGTTCACAACTTGACATATACCGTACGCATTACTGAGATAAAAACTAGACATCTTTACTCATTACTCCAAAAAAAACTAAGTATGTTACAGTACTCGTCACTGCGATTTAAAAAGGAATATGTTACTTTTTCCTTACTCCAAATCTATCTTTTTTCTGAAGCAGTAGCTAGCTGCCTTCCAATATTTGGCACCATTCCTCGCCTCGTAACACACTCATTCGGGAATTACTGTAGCTATGCTACGACATACCTTGTGCACACCTTTTTCCTGTCTATCTAGTGTTTTTTACGCCGTGAATATTGCAGGAGTGAACTAGAGTGAGAACTAGACTGGGTACCAGTGTTGCACAAGTTCTCCTCCAGAAGTAATTAAATGCCACTACTCGTTTACTTTATCAAAAAGTAACGAAAATTTGTTACTTGTTCCTTCTCTTGAAAACTAGGTTGCTACTTAGTTACTGGAAAAATTAACTGGGTACAAGTTCCGCGTTCAAGTCTGTCTACGACCATGCTGCAATCCCGGTGTGCCAGTGGACCGGGCACGGGCACTCTGGCTCCGGAACATAGACGCGAGGAGGGACGAACGAGGGCACTCACTCGCTGCGAGCGCGCATGTAGCAGGGAGCACCGCGGTCCCCAAGCAGACGCAGCAGCTCTTCTCGCGACGATTTCGGGTACACGGTACCCACGAAGTTGCAAGGGTAAGGGCGCGGAGAGTCCAGGTCCAGGTCCTTGGGAGCCGCCTTGGGGAAGCCACGGTACCTGGAGAAGAGGCGGCACCAGGTGCAGACTTGTACGGTATTCATTTCAAGTAGTCAAAATAACTTCCGATCGATTACTTTCTAGAATCATTTTGGGATAATTTGATTACAGTTATTAGGAAGTAATCCCAAGAGTAATCTGATGGCTGTTGGAAGTACTACAAATACTTGTAGGGTTGTGCAAATATTAAAATTTTCTAATAGTAGTTTTGAATACTATGCTATTCACATGAACTGTGATATTCGTTTTGTAGGGCATCTCTGTCCAACATTAACTCTCGCATAATACCCACAGTTTAATCTTGAAAATTTTACTGCACTGCAAATACCAACATTCAGAAGGTTTCTGTTTCGTTTTAAATACACCAGGCGCGAGCGTGCACCATCCCGCTTTGAAAGTGCTTTTCTCCTATGCACGCAACTGCAATATTTGTACATTTTGAAATGTTGATCGCGGCGGGTTAGCCCCGTCGAGCATGCTACTTACCGAGCACTGGTCCACTGCGGAAAAGCAACACCTGCGGAGCTTGCTTCCGCGGGAGTTGATTCTCTGCACTGCACCCGTGCTCGGCGAGAAGCGCACTCAACGGGACTAACTCACGGTGGTCGGCACTTTGAAAAATATGAATATTGCAGTTCACCTTGAAGCGAACATCGATAGCGTATCATTCAAAACTACAAGTATTTGAAAATTTGAATATTCACACAACACTATTTGTAACCGGTTCTGTTTTTCCTCTCCCTTTTCTAATGGAACCCTTTGTAAAAGTTTCCTAGCAAAGAATCCTCGAACCAAATCTCCGACAGAATGGTTTACCAAAATTGGTGGCATAAAATATAAGTGATTTATAATTCTGTGATTCTAATCTAATAATGCACAGTACAAAAGACCCGTCTTTAACCAGCAGAAAACATTGTTGTTTTGAAAATTTGTCGTAAATGGAAAAATAACGGCTACTTTTTCAATTAATGGCCAACTGCTTTTTTCTCAAGTAATCTAATTGAATACCTTCTAACCAAAAATAATTGTAACTGTAATCTATTACTTTCTTCGAATAAGTGTACAAGACTGGCCAGGTGTCACATGCCAGCTCGACGATGGCCGTGGGTGGCAAGCGTGCAATTGCTGCTTAATCTAAACTGATATATGGCCTGATAAGCGCCATGAATTGTTTCGAAGCATCTTATTGCCAACAAAAAAAGATCATGTTTACCGCTCGGTAATGAACAAAAGTTTGGGCAACTGCTGCACAAAAAAGACGTTTGGAATGTCCAGGTTGCATACCAATCTGCTGCTGCAGTGCCGACTGGCTGCATGGTATGAGACTTCGGGGCATACGTGTTTCGCCCCCAAGTTCACAAGTGGCTGCACGAAGCGCACGCTTTCCACAGTGAGTGAACTGCTTCGACGGCTGCCTATCCCATTGAAGCATATTGCTCTTAGTATCCAAGGCACTAACTGATGCTTAGCTATGGGCTCCAAACACTCCCATCTTTTCCTCTGGTGCATGTAACAATCTCAACTAGGAACGTAGGCTTCCCTGCCGTTTCACCGCAAGACGGCTGGGAGATTCGAGCTTCCTTGAATTTACTCAAAGTAGCCAAGGGACCCCGGAGATGAAAAAGATATCGGTGCCGGCAGTACAGTGCAATTCACTTATAACGATGAGAAACCCCGAAATTTCAATTGTTATAACCGGTTATTGTTGTAGTATCTGGGCTAGAAACTGATCATTTCCAGCCTTGAAACTCTAGAAACTGATTGTTATAAGCGGTACATTGTTATTTGTGGTATCGTTATAAGTGGGCTGCACCGTACCACCATTTCCTTTATTCTGCATAAAGCCTGTACAGCGATGTCGCGTTAATACAAACACTTCCGTTCCCCCCAAAAAAGCATTCATAACTGACGAGACAAAAATGCATATATTTAAGTAATTCATCCCCCAAAATGTAGTCTATATAGTAGTGTGGTATTCATACTAAAGGAGTCCACATCAAAGACTGTAGGCACTGACAACTTAAGTAATGTAAAGTATGGCGAGTCCTGCACAATTATTATCGCTCCAAACCAAATGAGAATGCGGTGTTGACCGACAAGAACGCTCGAGCGAGAAGTGCGACCCTCCGTTCCTTAAGCAGACGTGCTTTTCGCTGTGTAGTGGGACACGTCGGTCCTTAGTAGCACCTCACAGAACCGGTTTATAAAGCTCAAATTTTGCCTGCGGTCCTTCTAGACGATTACTGCCCTAACATACCCTGCAAACTTCATTCAGATTGAATAGGTAGTCAAAAAGTACACCCTTCCAGGTAGTATCCCCCTTGTCAGTAACTACAGCAGCTGCGAAAGGTGGCTCAGAGACACCAGCCTAGACCCCGCTTGCAAGACGTGAAGCAGCAAAACTCGAAGCCATTTATGGTGTCAACAAAACCGTACCGTGCCCACAGTTCGTCGTCTCCAGCTGCTCGATCTGGGTCATATGATTCACGGGCAGCATTTACAATACGAGCTGTGAGGTGACGGAAGCATCCACAGGTGCCTCTGCCCGCTTTCCTCCTTTCTACGCGACAACAGAGTGCACGCACGACCTATCTGCCTGGAAGGCGTCCGCCGTTAAACTGGAAATGCCCCCACAGTTTAAGTTGCTCCCTATTTGATCTACAAAAACTTAGAGAGCCTGAATTTAACGGAGGGAGCAACTTAAACCACGGAGAGCATTTGCAATCTGATGGCAAACGCCTCCTAGGCGGATCGATTGCAAGTGCGCACGCACTGCGTCGACGCGTGGAAAGGAAGAAGGTGGTGTGGACGCTTGCAGACGACCGACGCTTTCGTCGCAGCTCGTGTTGCGAACGGTCCCGCGAATGACACGACCCCTATCGGGCAGTTAGAAACGCCGAAATCTAGGCACGCCACAAACACGGACACTCACGTGGCGACTCCCAGGGGCCACTGAAACACCTCCGCGTCGTCAACGAGCGCAGTGTCGTACACGATGAACGCGGCGGCAACGGGTCCGCCGCGGGACCTGAGGTAGGGCAGGAGCCAGGAGTTCCCCGAGCACGCCTCACTCCCGAGAAGCACCACGGCCACGCCCCGCAGCTTGCGGAACCCCGGCAGCGCGTCGAGCCAGGTGCGGGCGGCCGCCACCTTCTCCGGCGCACGTCCGTTGAGGACCAGCACCACGTGGGTGGCATCCTGGGGCACTGTGGAGGGCACTATGCCGGGGCCCGTCCGGAACCTGCGCGGGAACGCTGCGTCCGTCTTGCCACCACTCCCAAAGGTCCGTTCGCACGCTGGTGTCTGCTTACGACCGAGTTCTTGCAATCTCTTACGACGAGAGAACACGCTGGTGCCGTCGACCTGATAGCCGTGGAGCTCCTGTATTTCCGCATATTTCCCGTTTTTTCTCGAACATACAGGCATGATGCCTGCACTTTTGAAACGTCTGTACATTGCAACGCACAAATTTGATGCAACGGCTGCACAGGTGTTTATTCTGGAGTGTGGTCCAATCAATTTCTTGGGACAAGTTTGGCTCTAGATTCTTTTAATGGCAGAAATTTAATCGAGGGACTTATGGGTTGCCACTTTGTACTGGTTAGTTCCGATTCCCTAACTGGGGACTTCCATGACCAAGAAATATTGGCGAAATGGGGACTTCTCTGGTCCCCATTTCACCAATATTTTGCGGCACCACACATATCTCAACAAACTTTTTTTGTGTTCCCATCTATGCATTGGTTTCTAAAGCATAATTATTTTTGATGTTGGGGGATAGATGGCGCTTCCTCCCGTGCAATAAAAAAAGTGAGTGTTTAAAGACGTGCCCCCCAAGACAAACTGAAGAATGGTGAGTCTATAGACGTGCTTTCCAAGCTGTGGTCAAAATTGCTCTGCATCTGAAGATACGCTCCCCAGTTATGGGGTTTAAGTTTACACCATTGAGGCTGAAGCAAATCAAGAAAGAATTATGAGGTGATCCAAAAACCAATTCTCATCTGCCACTGATGTGAGAATGAAATACAGCTTCATGACCGCCATTAGTTTGTTGAAAGTGAAACTGCTTATTGAGCCGCCAGGCAGCACTGGATATTGAAAAGGGTCTACTGACTTCTACCCAAGATGGAGTGCCACTCGCAAACTCTACGCAACTTGTGTGCCACTTAAAAAAAAATGTCTGCCCACAAACGGACTTACTCACTTGAACTTGATGTCAGCTATCTTGCGGAAGCCGTAGCTCCAGGCCCCTCCCCCTTTTGGCTCCAGGCGTCCGTTCAGGATGTGCTCCCACAGGTAGAGGCCTGCCAACGAAACAAACACTCAGACCGGTTGGAAGGGACACTCCTGTATGCAGAACCATGATACAAAAGGCACCCATAATTTAGGGATGGTTTTCCACCGCTACATTATTTTAATAAAGCACCGCTACAATAGCAAATTTAAAATAGTGGTACAAAAAAGCAAGTGCCTAGGTATGTAGAGTTTCGTTCCTAAAAGAATTGAGGTAGTGCTATGTGCCATTTCATTTCAAACCACGTCTGGAAAGGCTTCATGACAAGAATTCATAAAACAATTACAAACTGAGAGAATGATGCCTTCAATTTGTTATGTATTTGGATCTACACTACCCCTTTGTTCGGCTGATATTGGTCTCCTCTTCTTGTTTTTTTAAATTTTTTATTTATAGTTATGTGCTAGTAAGGCATACTTCCTTCATATCCTATAAGCAGTCTGTTAGATGCCCGGTGCCACATATAAGTAAATGCATGCTGTCGCGGGCTTGCACGTGTTCAGTTTACGACTGCAATCAAATATGTATTACTCTTAAAAGATGAAATTCAGTTCCCTTAATTATGGTAGTTGTGCACTACAGCCTGTTGCAGGTTAAAAAAAGTAGGACAAGATCCTCCAACAAAGCCTTCTACTCTTTTTAATTCAGCAGAGTGAATGCTGGATAGGGGGCAAGAGAGGGGGCGGGTCCACATGCCTCCTCTCCAGCATTTGCTCTGCTATGAACTGAAAGAATGCCTTCAATTTGACATGCATTTGGATCTACACTATCCCTTTGTTCAGCGATCTTCCATTCTTCGACAAATATCTTAAATCGATTACGAGCGCAGCTTTACCGATTACTTTTCTTGGAACTGGTTTCTTCGATGAGCTTACAGTGCTGTCTCACCCACATAATGAAACAGAAGCACACGCTTCCTGCACCACCAAAGCGTGCACTGCGCCGACTTTGCATTTTGGGGGCTCCTTTGTTGAAACACCCTCTATGTCGGTGCAGTCGTGGTTCGAGGCATGCACCAAACATTACCTGTCTGCATTTTTTTCCAGTGGAGAGTGGAGAGTGGTACCACCCAAATTTCTTTCTCGAGGCTGGTACACACTTGCGTTTGCTTACGATAGAGTTTTTGCAATCCCTTACAACGAGAGAACAAGTTGGCATGTGGGAACCATCTATGAAGTAGCCTAGCTAAAACCGCCTTTCACTAGAGCGAAGGTTTTGCAAGATTTGTGCAATCAAATGTATGTACCATCTGATAAAGAAAGAATAATGTGCGAAGAAAATAGGAAATATATGGAAGTAAGATGGCATCAATGTTTGTTCTCTCGTTATAAGAAATCACAAGGCACTTGGTCGTAAGCAGTCACAAGTGTGTGAACCAGCATTTACACCGTGGCTTTGCAGACCCACCGTTTTCCTTCCAAAATTGATGCCACAATGGTGCGGGTGTTCGGCAAAGCAGAGATAGGTATAACTGGGTTTAATTAAATGCCACACCTAAGGAAATCCCTTTCGTCCATCGAACCAGGGCAGTTTTGACAACCTCGTAAGAAAAAAAGTTTAAAACTCCGGTTTCGAACTCGCATTCATCGCCTGCCTGCTTCGAGGGAAGTCACAAAGATGGATTTATACATCACGGTGTCCGGCAGGCGAACAGAAGCCGCGCCTCCTGAAGCCGCATTCCAGAAGCATCGCAGTAGGCATACCTATGGCAGCCTTGCTCCAGATCTCCACCGTGCGAGCTTGACGGGAGGCATTGCTTCGCATCAGTTCTTCGCCCCATGGGTTCCAGTCTGACGAGTCTTCGCCTGCTCCGGGTGGTTGGAGGCACATGCAAAGTGAGACAACGTAAATATGGTGCCCGGAATGTATCCCCGATTGGTGCTTTTGGCGTCCTATTGCGCCCATACGTCGCAAATGGTCCCAATGTGGCGTCAAAGACGCCGCACAAGACCGAGTGTTGTGCCGTCGGATGTCGCAATATTGGAGGTTGGTCGTAGAAGTTCTTGCAAAAAGCACGAGAAAAAGCTGTCGCTGTCATTGCAGCGTCCCAACTGCTAGCTGCCGAAGCATGCCTGTGTACTGTCAAGCTCGAGAGCAGCAGAGCAGGCCACACCTACCAGTCAAAGATGCATTCCAGGCACCATAGGCACGAGGGAACTCTTCTATCAACTCGTTATACTGTTTCACCCAGGGGGATAAAGACACGAGCAGAATTCGTCTATTAAAAGTGCTGATATCGCCGGTCCCGAGACGAAGAACAAGAAAGAGAGCGACTGAAGACCGGAGTAAGAAACCAGACGATTGGTTAGGTGTGTTCGTTTTGCCGCGACGAATTGAAATTGTTCAACTCGTCGCGGAAAACTTTTTTTCTTTTTTGCAACGCGCGTTGGTGTTTTTATGCAAAATAAAGTTAGCCAACAACTAGGCGCAGGTCTTGCAAAAGGTGCTTCGCCGCTTCTTTGTGTATATTAAAGCGATCGTCAGCAATATGGGTCCACTGGGACCATCGACTACGCCCCTATTTTTCGAAGGGACCGAAATGCATGGGAAGCTGCGCAGACCTTCTCCACTCGATTATTACATGACAATGGACCGCACCAGATGCAACGAGCCGTCGGAGCCAATGCAATGCCTCGGTAATCGGGAGGGACGCGCGAGGCCACGGGATGCTTTCACAGCGTTGGACTGGCTGGTGTGGCTCGTAGCGTAAGGTCCTCTCGGCATCGGAGAGCTACAGACGAGGTAAGTAGTCAAGGGCGACCCGTTCTGTTGGGAATGGGGTATTTATTGTTAAACGCTGATTTTGAGCACGGCGGAACTTATCCGACCATGCTGTTGCACGCCACAGCACGGTGACCCAAATACGGGTGCTCTAAACGCACGTTTTTTTACGTCACGTGAGCCGATACAATGTGCAAAATTACACTTTGTTTTCACGTTTCCTGCGTTCGGATTTTAACTTGAGCGTGCTATCAAAGTGAGTATAATCTCTTGCGGTCTATTAGAGCGCGCATAACGAATAAGCTAGCGACTTCGCACGCAGTCGGTTTTCTGTTATCGGGAAATAAACGTTGACGCTTACCGGAAAAACGGGATAGTTTGTGTTGGCGCTGTTCTTTAGACTTGGTATAACTTTTGGACAAAAGCACGTAAGCCGTGTAGCACGTTAAAGCTAAATAGACGAGAAAAACGGCGACTGTTACCCGTTTCAAAGTGACACTCATAGCACCATTGCGACCATAACACCGCCCGCACTGAATCCCAACGCTGGACCAACTGAATCCCACCACTGGACTGCAGCACCCGTTTTCAGTTTATATTAGTCCGCTCAGCTGGCAGGCTCAGCCAGCTCAGCCGTGCGGCCGTGCAGCCGAACTACATTACAGGCGCGAAATTGGAAGGAACGGTACTTGAATCAAGATTACCTGTTGGGCTAGCTGGCTATACATTAGTAAAAATCAAAAGCGCTTTTGATTTTTACTAATGGTAGGGACGGTCAGGTAGTTCTCGAATCTCGGCTGCAGCCTTAAAGGGGCACTGACACATCAAAATCATATTTTTTTTTATTACCCGAAACGATTGAAAACGATGCCGGGACATTACCCTCAAAATTTGAGATTTGGGAATTCAGTATTCGTGAAGTAAAAAAACAATTTCCAAATGCCGAATTCGAAGTTCCCGCGCGATCGGCGCCGGTGCCTTGACGTCAAAAATCGCGGAGACCTGAGAGTCGACTTCCTTTCACCACTCCCTGCTGTTGCCATGGCGACCCAAAGCGAGGAGGAAATGAGCGAGCGCCCGGCGTTGCGGCGGACCGGTTTTGAGAGACGGCACCACAACGAACTCCCGATTTTTGGTATTTCAAAAAGAAGGGCCGTAGTGCGTTCGCAATTGCGTTAAAAAACATGTTTTAGGATTGCCGTAATTAAATGTTATAGAGATGTCGCCTACAAAGCTTCTAAATTTCCTGATTTTTGACGTCACCGATCAAAAGAAGCGAGGAGGCGAGACGCGGGAAAATCAAACGCCAAAAATAAAAAGGCGCGCGCGCGCGCGGGAAAATTTTTTTTCGCGATGCGGTTTTTTTTTTTTGCGTGTCTATGACTGCAACTTGCATCGTTTTAGACAATAAAAATAAATACGACCTTTGGGGTGTCAGTGCCCCTTTAAGATTTTAATTCATGAAAAAAAAAAAAAAAAATCTGATTCACCTATCACATGCTATGTTTTTGTTTCCATTTTTCGGTTGTTTCAGCAAGGGAGTTCGCGCAGGCACCCAGAACGCTTGATGGTGTAGGGCCAGTGTTTGCGGCCCATTGTGATTTGCACCAGCTGTACCCCATACTAACAGACAAAAATAAATGCAGTCTTGAAGGGACAAACGGGCGATTTCCGTGCGCCGTCGTTGCTACTGACGAACTACATCTCACCACTGACACAGGTAGTGTCCTGGTGTGCCCATACCAGCCATCTTCGACGTCCAGTTCCGAAAATGCCAAGAACCACTCGCCAACAGCCGTTGGAGTGGTGCTTGCAGCTACTGTTTGTAAAGTTCAGACACTTTTTTTTTTTTTTAATTTGGCGTTTTATACATTTTTTTGTTTTGTTTCCAAGGTACAAGAACCGCCAAGCTCTGTAACGTCGATACAGTCCAAACTCATGGTATAAATACCACTCTGTTACTTGAAAAGGACTCAATTTCCTCAACCTTTGCTCCCAGTCATTTGCCTTGTTTTCAAGGGTCCTCGATCAACGAGCTACGTCTTCACACTCGCGCTTCTCTATTACAATCCACAACCCCTCCCCTCAAAAAAAAAGAAAAAGAGGTTTATCAATAAATACAACGGCACCAAGAACTTTCAGCCTTTCCAGTCTGGTGAAGAAAGAAGACCAGCGAAGCTGTACTATGGTCAGACGACCTCAAGGACGACTTCTTGGACGACCTCAAGGACATCTAGGACGACTTCTAAGACGACCTTGAGGACAACCTCAGGGACGACATCTAGACGACCTCAAGGATGACACCTAGGACGACGTCTAGGACGGCCTCAAAAATGACTTCAAGGATGATTTTGAAGACATCTGGGACGACCTCAAGGATGACTTCCGTGACAACCTTGAGGACGAGTTCGAGGACAACGTCTAGGACGATTTCGAGGACAACCTCGAGGACGACCTCAAGGAAGACGTTTAGGACGACCTCAGGACAACTTCTAGGACGACCTCAAGGACGACATTTAGGACGACCTCCAGGACGACCTCGAGGACGACGCCTAGAGAAATTCAGCCTCTCCACTCTGGTGAAAACCAGAGTGGAAAGGCTGGAAAGGTTGTCGCCATCTCTGAGCAAGGCCGGCAAGCCGATTGTCTGGTTGCCGCCGTCGCTCATAGATGGCGGTAGCTGTCCAGTGTTTTATTTTCTTTGCAGGGGACACGATCCTGGGGAAACTAGCCCCTAACAGCCTCTGCTGTAAAGACAAACTGAATATGACCCGGCAAAGTATGGTTGTACGAGTTCCGTAATCACAAGGCAGAAAAAAGGGTAGGATTTCTGTTTATTGTTCTTATCATAGGACCAGACCAGTGGCATAGCCAAGGAAAAGGCTTATAGAACTTCAGCATCTACCCCCCTCCCTCCCTCGCTCCCCCTCCTCCTCCGTCCTCCCCCCCCCCCCCCCCCCCCCCCCCAAAAAAAAACAAAAACACAAAAGACTGCGACGTTACAGGATTAGATAGACCGATTCTCAAGTTGGTGTACCACAATAAAAATAAAAATTAATGAAAAACTTCGGAGCTCAGAGGGAGACCTTTCCTCAAAGAGAAAGGACAGTGGCTACTCCAAATTGTTTTTCTTTTCATCGGCCTTGAGCAACTATACATGCAAGGCGCAGCCATGCATGTGTGTCAACAGGAACGTAAACTTTTGCAAAACAATGTAACAAAGAATACAGTATCTGAATTATATAGCCTCCCACATCAAAAGAACAGACTATCGATTTTACATGCAAGCATAGAACGTACCTCGTTCGTTGCGAGGCGTGCAACCTACAACAAACTACGGCCAATCGACCCACTTTAATCAATGACGTTTGCAAAAGCTCTCAACTGCCCAAAAAAAAAAAAAAAAAAAAAAAGCGAAAATGAAACGGTGCTTGGAATTGATCAGCCACCAAAGCCGGAAAGGCTTTTTGAAATCCGAATGCTTGAGCATGCCTGAACGCGAGACAAATGTTTTTCTTTATTTACTGGCCACAAGGCACCCTCTTTCCAAAACCTGCACTGCCGCACTTGACATTACTTGTAAGACAACTGCAAACACATCAAGGGGCTTTATACCACACGAGAGAAAACTGTTCTTGGTTAACCGTTTAATAAGAGAACAAAAAAAAAAAAAAAAAGATGCACACACAAAAACTAGAAAATTAGAAGTGCAGGTGCTTCAGTGTCGGGTCCCAGGCCCAGCCAAGCCGGATGTTCCGTACAGCGTCTACGAGAATGTGTGCCCTCGAAAAATGGGTGCACCGGTACATACAGCAAGAGCCAAGTAGATCTAACCCACTAAAACAAAAAATTCCTAAGATCAGTTTTCTGTGCTAAAACGCTGTATTTTGGTGCATTTGTTTTTTTGAATATATCAAATTTGTTTTAATTAAAAGTTATGACTAAAAACACAACTTTCTTCTAGACCAATGTGGAGTGCCAGTGCAAAAAAATAAAAATGCTGCTATGGGTCTTTGATTGACGGAAAACAGGGGAGTAAAAAAAATCATACTGATTTTGCACCTGTTCTCCTAGTCAAAAACTTAAATGGCCCGTAAGAATGTTTTTAAATTTTTTATTTAACAAACTAAGAGGAAAATTTTGGGTTTTATTTTCAACATTCGGCTGACAAGAGCGTTTCCTTCCGTACTTTCATCGAATAAACCCCTTCATCTGGATTCCCTTTCAGGTTCAATGACGGTCGGGTAGCACGTAAACATGACTTATGCGACTTGCAGCGTGTCCCAAACAACAATTTAGAGGTTTTCTGTTTTTTTTTACCGCAAAAACAAACGACGCATTGCCGAATGCTCAGCTCCCGCCCAAATTTAGCGCTCTCGGTTTGAATCGGATGCCAAAGTTTCAGAGCTAACCGTTAACTTACTCAAAAGTTACGTCGTTTTCTGAAAATTATAATGAAAAAATGAAGCCTGCTCTCGGTAAAACCGGCGCCGTTCAGCTCCGCGTATTTGAGGGCTCCGTCAACCGCCATTTTTCCATCGAAAATTTCAAAAAATTGCTCGTAACTTTTAAACAAAATAACGGCTACTTCTGAAACTTTAGCATCTGGTCCAGACTGCCGGAGCTGCATTTAGGCGAAGAATGGGCGTTCGGCAATGCGTAGCTTAATTTTGCGATGAAAAACGACGACCTCGTAAATGTCTTCATGGGAAACCCTGCACACGAAGCGGGTTAACTCCGCCTGGCCCACGTGGTACCGACTTCGCGCCGGGGTCTCTGCCCCGCGAGGGCCCCTCTGCCGGGGGGCCTCAGTGCCTCCTGGCCTCGCCCACGATGCGCAGAATGTGGAGGAACAGGTTGACGACGTCCAGGTAGAGCTCGATGGTCGCCAGGATGTACTCCTCGGGCGACACCCTGTGCATGATCATGTGCGTGTCGAAGATGAGGAAGAAGGAGAAGAGGGCTGCCCCGGCCAGGGACAGCACCAGCTCCAGGTGGCTGCTGGCCACCACAAATTGCAGCAGGCCTCCCACCACCAGCACCATGAGGAAGGCGTACAGCCTGCAACAGCCCCAGACAGGAGTCCTTCACCACGACGTGTCCTACGTGCCGTCGTCACACCAAGCGAGATTTCACATGCTTTTTGTAGAAGCTACTTTTTGACGGCATATTGTTTGTTGGGCTTTAGTCGATAAAAATAACCAGTTCTAGATGGCAATAGACCGATCTCACGAGGAGTTGCGCGACGCCACCGCTGCCGCGGTGCATTCTGGTACCTGTAGTTCTCCCCAGTTTTCCGGCGGCGTCGGCGCGCATTGTACGCCCGGCGTTTGGAAATTTTCGGGTTAGCACGAGACTTTTAGCCAGGTGTTGACTCATGGTTTTCAATCGGTGGCTTCACATGTTGTATGCCACGGAACTATAATAACAGCACCAGGCAAAAAGGCCTCGGATATTATGTCGTTTCGCAAGAAAGAAGCATGGCAAAGAAAGGTCGACAGAGCCAGACAGAGCGGCAGGAAAAATAGCGTTTTACGATTTTTTTCGCGATTTGCTTCATAATTTATATCCAATTATTGCACGTTAGCTAAAATATGTAAGATTACAGGGCACGAGACATAGAGCGTGCCGAGGTGTTCCGTAAGCTGGAATCTCTCTGACCATTTGCTCCGTAGCGGCCTATTAGTTGGTCTATTTCAAACAGGACCTCCGCACTGCTTTGCGAAGCCGTTTTTAATACACTTCTTACTCGGTGTATTATGGTGGTTATAACTGTTATTGCGACGACATGTTTCAAGCACAACTGTGCTTCAAAAGATCAGGACAATCACTAAAAAAGAGCAGCGACTCCCGATATGCACCACTTGATATAAAACAACTTTTTTTTCGGAAACAGCCTTCATTTTTTTTTTTCATACCAACGCAAAAAGATTATATAATGAAATTTAGAAGTGCAACACGTACTTACCACCAAAAATGTAACAAACGAACCTCATCCATTGTGTGGTGGTCTATTAGGCTGGTGTTACTGATCCATTCTGCACTAGCACCAGTCGAGACCGCAGAAAAAAGCTTCCCCCGTCGGGAGACTGTTAGCGTTCGGATCTTGCGCAAACAAAATAGAACTGAATAGAAACTGTGCACGAAAAATCATCTCCACCCCAAGCTTTCAGGTATCTGGCATGGTTGCTTCTTTTTGATAGATGCCAATCATTACGGCGCGTCAGGCATGGCCTTTCTGTAGATCAGTTCTTTGTATGCAGGCTTCTCCCGTTGTTCATCTGTACTCTGTCGCACGGGCTGTCAACCAGAATGAAACAACTTTAAGAAAACTATTGCTGACCGAGGAAGTCTATTTAGTTCCTCTTACTTGATGGCTGATTAAACGTTATGCACAAGACTGAGCACCACCAAGCTCAGTTTTTCATCACATTTGATGCTGTTCCGTGGTGCTACACCGAGCCAATGGTCCATCGAATTTTCTTGGTCTTTGCTAATGCACTAGATGTTCACTTGTTTGCAAGGTAATTGAGACGTCCGAGGAGTCGGAATGCTCGAGTACGGTGGCGCCGTTGTTTTGTTTTGTTTTTTCCGCGGCCGCAGTGGGATTACCCCGTGAACGGCAGTGGGCTCACGCGTTCACGAAGACGAAGAAGCAGACGACAAAGCGATTCTAAAGCGATAAGACGACTGAAACTGCTTTTCTGCACTTGCTGAGAAAAGTAAGGCATCACAAACAACACAATCTTATGAAATAAAAAACATGCAAGAGATTCAAGGTGGTACCGGGGCGTGCCAAATGATAATTTATGATGATGTACGTACGCGCAGCTGTATGTAGCCGGGGAACCGGGAAGGGATGACTACAAGTAGCATGGCGGCGGCACCACTTCCGGAATGCGCGCGCCTGCGCAGTTCGCTTGGTGACATCGGTCTATTGGGTGTCTAGCAAACTTCCAGCAACGAAAATACAAAAATATAACAAAAAAATCGGTGGAGATTCGCAGTTGCTCTCCAATTTGACCGAGCACGGTGTAAAAAAAGTGCCGGGACTCAGAATGCCAAGCGGCCAGTGTGGCTCACCCTGCTCCCCACGTGGAGAAGTCACGCTTGCTCTGGAAGGTGTACAGCGTGAGCCCCACAGTCACACCCAGCGTTAGCAGGAACGCCTGGAGCACCGCCATCTGGTCGTAGAAGGACACTGCAACGAAGAAGGGGCGACGTCATCTTCCAAAGACGCCTGGTAGCCCCCGGGAGAACAGGGGAGTAATAATCCGCTCTAGTGGACTGTTCCGTGATGGCGCCACTGCCCTGGCACGCGCATGAAGCGTGCATGTGACATCATCCAAGAATAAAAGCAGCAGCATGCACTGCTCGCTCAGTTGTCTATCTTAATTTTAAGCTGTCAGAGTCGGATGTCTCACTACTTCGTCCTGGTGCGGCCTTTTGCGGCCCCCGTTGGTTCCTCTCACTGGGTCGTCGCCTACCCTGCGACTTAGGTACTCGGCCGTCCGTCAACAGCCCATCACGTAACACAGACTACAACAACGAGGCTCCGGGTTGTTTCTCAAACTTTCGCCAATAATATGGTCGGAACATTCAGGCCCACTGCCAAGTCCACGTAGGGCCTCCCTTTACCGGTCCCAACCACTAATTTGAAGACTTTGTGAAGATTTGATCCACTGAACCCTGCAAGGCACATTTCTCGGGTTAGCCTTGCTGACTCGAGCGTCTCCTCAGATGCTCGCTTGTTCCGAAGTACGGGCTTGCGGCCAGGGCGTGCAGTTTATTCTGGGATAAACCTCTTGAAATTGTCTCAAAGTATGAAAAAGGTGGACAATAGACCTTTTCAGAAATATGTGGCACTCCCACTGTCTGACGTTCCAATGCAGAGCACATGAAATTATCCAGGAATCAAAGACGAAGTGGGCGCTGGTTTAACATTTTGTAATTTCAAAAGGCAGAGGGCAAGCAAAAAGAAAATATGTGATGACCTCCTTTTGTGATTGCTTTTTCTTTTATGCCTTTTGAGCTCCTAATGATAAGAGAGAAATGATCGAGCTGTTTCTAGGATATGAGGCATTCGAGCAATCATAGGCATACATCAGAACAAGCCCACAATTCCCCTCTCTGCGAGTAACCCTGGGATTTTTCGAAAAGGTCTAGTTGCATCACTTCATCTTTACTCAATTCAGTGTGCTGCCAACATCCACAAACCTTATGCCGCCTAAAGCCAAAAATTGGACTACAAATCAAACCATGCATTCTTCTTTAGACTTCTCTTTCCAATCAATCATGGGCAAATATTGTCACCCAAATCATTCCATTCCTTCGTTGTCCTAACCAGAAAAATTATTTAAAGGAGCTGTGCAACAATTTTTGTACTGTGCACAAATACCGCTTAAAACGGATCCCTAACGTTAATGACCTATGAAACACGCGTTCGTTTTTCACCCCACGCAATAGAAGTCCCAGAAAAAAATTTAAGAAAAACGAGCAGCGTTCACCCCCTCAACTCGCAGCCAGAACAGGCGGCCACGTGATCTGGAGCCGATTATATGCCGCCAGTGTGGATCATAGCCACGCGCTGGGGTTGGCAAAGCGCAGGACACGCGCTGAGTTCCAGACATTGTTATGGCTCGGCTGTTGTCGTCGTTGCAGCGATTGGACACGGGTCACAACCCGAATGCTCCTCGAGCTAGCAATTGTCCCGAGCCCAAGTCGAGTGCCCACGTAATGCTCGGGTCCAATCTATGAACTGCATTCAGATATCGTCACTTGGGTGTACTGCGATCCCCGAGTTACGTCATCAAATTTTGCAAAGGAGAGATTGAATGAAAATGATCGCTTTTGTCCTTGAAATTACACCGCAACAAAGGAGTTTCTTGGCCAATGGCGTTGCGTGTGAGTATCCTTGAGTCCCAGGTGTGCCGGTAAGCTCGTCTAGAGAGAAAAACATTCCAATTTAATATCGTTGCACAGCTCCTTTAAAGACTACTAAAAGATTTTACTTAAGACAATGTTAACCCTGAAAAACCTTCGTCCAAGAAGTTGTATGCAGTCACTCAAATTGATATTAGAATTTCCATTATTAGTTTGCAAAAATCAAAATCAATGTTTCAAATTTTCTCTGCAGCACCAAGATTGGTAGCTTGGCTTCCGTCAATAATTCTTTTACATACTCAACTTTATGAATGCGTGTCCTGTGTTCTTCTATGGCCTTTTGACCCGTCTTTTTTGCACTATTTTTTTCATTGAATAAGCCCAAGTTGATTCGTTTGGTACGGAACATATAAATGTCAGATGACAGATGCATATTCCAGAGATGAGCAAAACTGTTGCCTTACAAGCACATAATTCAATTGCACATTGAATTATGCGCCCTCCTACAAACATTATTAATGTGCACCTTTTAACTTAAATCAATAGAAATTGTTTGCGCAAATTTATGGTACGTTTTTACAAATTGCAAAAAAAAAAAAGGTGACTCTCTAAGGGAAATAGCCTGTTTGAACACCAAAGGCAAGTTCAAACACTTGCGTCTGTTTATGACCCAGTTCTAGCGGTCTCTTACAACGAGAGAACACACTGGCACCATCTGTGAGGTGGCCCTGGAACTGCATTTCCCAAGAGTGAAAGCTTTTCAGTTTTTATGGGACTATATATATATATATATATATATATATATATATATATATATATATATATATATATATATATACACAACCTAAGACAATGGGTTGTACATTGTGAAAAAATTTTCATACAAAAAAAAGAAACAAAATAAAACATATAAGAGGAACCGTAAGTACTCCCACGACTACCCGATAGAAGGTGTCAGTGCGTTCTCTCGTCCCAAGAGATCACGAGAAATTATAAGGCAATAAGTCGTGAGCTGCCACAAGTGTCCAAGGGCAGAGAAGAAAGGATGCAAAAACCACTCACCCACAACTGCCACGGTGTAAGACTGTACAAAGGTCTGGAACGAAAGAAAGACGAGATCAAACAACTCCGAAACTGACATTAAACCAAGCGTGGCGGGGCCATCGTAATTTCATGCAGCAAGAGCCCAAGCTACGCCACAGTGCAAACGAAAGACGTCTTCGACCATTTCTCGTGTTGTGGCTGCCCAACCTACGCAACCACGGCACGAGTTCCTGCCCACTGCTCAATGTGGCGAGCCAGAACGAATCGCCAATCTGGTCCTTCTGCTCATTCTCACGTGGACAGAGTTTTCTTCTTCTCTCGACGGGATAGCTTAACGTCGACGCACGAGCGGCATGCAGTTTCCAAAGACTGAGAAACCTTGGCAACGTTGAGGAGGGCTCTCCCCGGAGCAAGACGCCCGCTAGGGCCACTTTAGATGGAACCGAAAGCCGAGTGCTACCACGGAGTCGTCACTGCATGAGAGACTCGGCAGCTCCGTGGCATTGTGCGATCCAATCCGCTCGTGTTTGTTCAAGTAAATATTATGAAACGTAAGCAAAGGCTGCTTTGTGTCAGCAGCGGGGGCCAATGGACCTATCTCGAGTAACGAGCGCCTTCTGGGAAGTTGCTGCAAACTACGTATGAAGGACAGCCCAAGATGCCTCCGCCCATCAAAACACATGGGCATCGTGGCATTGTATACTGGTTTTCGTTGCTTTTTTATGCGGAATACTACGGATGCTCGAAAAAGAATCGTCAAAAAAGACAAAACACACAAAAAGATAGAAGCCGAACATGTTGGTCGTACGGCACAGAGAACTCCAAAACTGGCGAAGGCGGGAAGTGTGGCCGGGGGAGAGGGAGTATGCGTGCACGGAAGCTCGCTGGAAAACGTCCATTCACAGATTTATCGAGCCCGAGAACTATTCCTTGGCCCCTCCGGTGAGCATGGACCGTTCCCTCGAGCCGGGAACGAGAGGTGATTGCAAACAGTGCAAAGACGATGGCGAACGTGACTCACGAAGGCTGTGAGGAGGATGTAGTTGGTCGGTGTCTGCCTCCTCTTCACCATGAGTAGGACCAGCAGGATCAGGGACATGAAGAATGCCCCGGTCACCATCCAGTGGCTGCAGAAAGGCAGCCTTTGGTCACCGTCGGCACCGCGTGGCGTTGAGGAAATTCAAAAACAATGATTCGAGACCCAAAAATCGCACAAAGTAGAGCATTGTGCTCCATTTTTCACGTCGACAACTATTATGCCCGTCAAGGAAGATGCTGGGCTATGTGGAGCACAAGTTCAACAAAGTGCCACCCTCAAAGAGCATTCTCTGGATGCCACATTTGAGTGCAATAGTCGCGGTGTACGCTCAGAACGTGCTCACACTTATAGGCTGCTACGACTGGTAATCTCGATGGCAAGGTATACCTTATTTATTCGAATATAAGGCGACGCTTTTTTCCCAAATCCGTAGTCTCAAAGTCAAAGCCCTTATATTCGAAGCTCAGTATCGCAATATGACGATTTTTTTCCTTTTTCTTGGGTCCTTCAACTGCCCCCCTCGCCTTATATTGAAATAAATATGGTACACGTTGCTAAAGCATCGTGGAAACTCTTCTTAGCATATGTGCTCAGCAGCCGCCAACTCAGCTAAGACTGCCAGTGAATGCCCACTATACTTCTTCCTCTCCTTGCCAAGTTAATACAGTTGGCAAGTCAGGGTTGCCAAACACTGTGATAGGGCAATTTATTTGTAACTAAAATAATCATATATGCTCCGCTTGAGACCGTATCACAATAGTCTCAGAATTTTTACTCAAGTACCGCGGTAGGTGCGACAACACGAGGTGGCGGTTCATTGTGCATGCGCAGTCATGCATATCCCAAGTCCTTGGAAGCGCCCAGGCTTGTGCGATTCGTCATCGGTTGAGTAGCGTGTTTGTACACAGCTGCCTTCAAACGGCACTTACGTCATAAAAAGAATTTAATCATGCATTTAAGTGACGCACATGATATCCGAAGGTCCGAGAAGCTCCCCGCTCGTCGGACGTCAGTGTAAAATTTATGTTTCGTGAACGCAGAGCGAAAGAGAAGGCCCGTCCCCAACCCGACGCTCCGCAAGGACACTTTCCCGCGAGCGCTGTAGTAAAATTTGGTGCATGTGACTCCTTCTCCACCAATGAGGAGTTGGCGGTAAAAAGGAATGGAAGGCCATAGCTCTGGCTCTACCATAGTTGCTCCAGTCATAACTACAGTGAGTAATGCGTGGAAACAATGTCGGCCGAACCCACTTTTGGCTGATGTAGAGCTTTGCTGCCGGAGTGAACATGGTGATGGCCGTGATCACCGTGGTCAGGAAGAACTGCACACTCAGGATGCCGTACACCTTGCGCAGGAATCCTGCAGAGGCAGACGGCCAGAGTGAGACACGGCCGGTGATCCGGGGCAAGCACGGCATGCAACAGTGTCGTACGGCTGAGCCAAAGCCAAGTCTCTCTTGGCCACTGCTTGGCATCTGTCACCACTTATGTCACATCCCATTTGAGAACCGGCAGTGTTCCCCCCCCAAACATGGGGCCATTGAAGGATCAGACAAAAATAAGAAGATGCGAAAAAAATTGTTGTACACTATTCTCAATATTATAAGTGTATTTATTGCGCACAAACTTAAATTATCATGTCGTTCGAAGCATAGTTCTGACTTTCAACACTAAAGACTGAAACATGTGTGTGAGAATTATCTCAAAATCAAACCATGCAAAGGTTGTTTCACGCTACTGTTGAAATTTACCGTAAAATCCTGAGCAAGTGCCCACTGAAAATTTGGAGATAATCATGTAAAAATGGAGGATGGGCTCTTGGGCAATTTTCGAATGTTACAAAATTAAGGGGTGGGCACTTATTGTGGAAAGAGCCGATGCTCTGTATTTTAGGGTATGTGTATTTATTGCGTGCAAACTGAAGACACAATCTCAATAAAAGCATATCCGTGATTTTCGTGCAACAAATTTCCAGGTGTGCTAGTTTTTCGATAAATGGTGTGGTACTACATTTTTCAGTTCTGACGTTCGCGCACTTACGGTTGATTTTGCGCACATGTGTCCTAGACTTTTACCTTGTACTCTGGTTATTAAAACATCTGTCATCATTTTGCTTTCTTCTTTGTATATTTTTTTTTAAATTTAGTTCATGTCTCGCAGGTCTGTGCTGCATTCTGTCCCTCCGATATCGATTGAGGAAGTATGTCACAGGTAGCAGCTAAACACCGAAGAAAAAAAATGACCGCATCTCCACGTGGTGAATGATGTTGATTGGGGCGAAGCTCTGGTGGTGCTGATGATACTGATTTGTTCATAGGTAGTGCTGATGGTGCTGATTATTTTTTTTTTATTGCTCATAGGTAGTGCTGAGTTCCGGGTTGCATTTCGACTTAATTATTACTGCTTTATGGTCGGTGAAATGCAGAGCCAGCGGTTCTTCTAGCGGATCAGCTTGGATCCGCTAGAAGCCGTGGGAACGCATCTCCACCGCTTAAGCCAACGGTCCATGTCAGACAGAGAATGTGCGCTATGGAAAATGGTTATATACGCATTTGAGCATTTGACCGCTGCGCCTTCTTGTCTACAAACGTTGAGCCAACGCATGCAAAGTTTAACACGATTATATACGCATTTGGCCGCAGCGCCCTCCCCTGCATAGACGCTGAGCGGCTACATGCGTTTCATCCATGACATCCCCAGCTCTTGAGTTACTACCACATCTCAGAGCCCCATACTCGTCCCGCAGTTGTGGCCGAGTGGTTAAGGCGATGGACTAGAAATCCATTGGGGTCTCCCCGCACAGGTTCGAATCCTGTCGACAGCACAAACATTTTTTCTTTTTTTAAGAAGACAGATGGGATGGCAATTGATGTGAGCATGGATGCCGGACGGACAAGGCTAAGGAGCTTCGCCCTTAAAAAAGTACTGTTACCGTTACTCTTCTGGTCAACAAATAATTAAAGCAGGCTGCTAAGGTCAACCTTCAACAAACTGCGCGTGTTCCGACGAAGGTACACAGCAGGGTTAACAAACATAGTTTCCGGGGCTCAGACAGACGTGCGGGGTGACAGAACACAGCATGGACAAGAACCCATATTCAGATTGACGACTAAAAATGACCCGCAGGCAAAATGTTGCACACAATTCGCACTGCACCAGAAATTTTCATGACTTCTTTTATGAGGACGGAAATTATAGCCACTTATAGTCTGTCGCAGGTTAAGAATAGTGAGACAAAGTCCTCCCACAATGTCTTTCACTCTTTCCACTTTAGCAGAGCAAACGCTGGAGGAGGCAAATGGAGAGGAGGAATCTACCAATCAAATGGCAATCACAGAGCATTCAACGCCGACCAGCCAACCAGCCTTCCCGCCCGCCCCCCTCCGTCCCGCCCCCCCCCCCCCCCCCCCCCCCCCCTCCGCGAATTTCTGCGACTTTAACCCTCAACACTTTACAACACTACATGACAAGGGCTTAAAGGGGCCCTGGGAAGAACTTTTGTACTGGTTTTTAGTTTGCACCGAACCTGAGCGCACTGAACGTAGTAACTTAATGAAACTTTTCTTTTCTCAAATTTTGCTTTATTTTAAAAGTTATAGGCAAATTAAAATTACAAAGACAAGCAAAAATAACCTCCTTCATGACGTCCTTGGTTGCTTGAGTGGCCGTGAACAAGAGGAGAGGCAGTGAGTTCAGCGAGCGCTCACAGCTGCCGCACTCCGTGTTGACGGCTCGAGAGGGCGCCACTAAAGCACGTTCTGACTTTTGGAAACGCAGTGCTATGCATGAAATCCGAAGTGCATGCGAGACTAGAAATAAAACAGTGCGGCCAGTTCAGAACGGGAGCCCAGCTTTGCACTGCCATACTGCCAAAGGGCCAAACCACAAGCTAAAGCTGCTTGCCGAAGGCCTTGGAAACACTCGGCACCGGTCGGATCCTCCAATCCATATGACCGCAGAGCCGCCGCATACATCTGGGACCTTTCTACGCTCGTTGGTGCCTGATCCCACTACACCTTTCTAGTATGCGCCGCCTTTTCCACCACTTGGTGGCGGGTATGTCGATGGGTCATTTCTTCTTTCCGTACCTTCTAAACTGCATTTGTTTCTTTTCTGATATAAAATACTGAACAAATACTACTTTTATGAATAACTGAAACGGTTCGCGCCACTTATATTTTGTATTTCGACTAAAAAGAAGCTTTTAGTGGCTCTGACCAGTAGTAAGCCCAGGACCAAAGACGTCACATATCGCGCGCTTCCAGCACCGCGGGTCGCCCCCGTAGGTTGAGGAGGTTTCCGTGTCGACCAGTTAAAATATGACGCACTGATACTTAGTTACTCTCTGTGCCCGCTGGGTTGCCCGAACCCCAAGAGACGTGGAGACTGCAAAAAAGGTAGACGCTTAAATATGATTGCAGGGCCCCTATAACGTGCGTCAAGCAACTACTGCACACATTTTCAGCCTGCGATATATACCAAACAAACTCCGCGCTTCGGAAAATTCGACCAAACTGCAGGTTTTCAACTTCCGAAAAGAAAAATTAGCTGGCACTCCAGTGCAGCGCTGTCGTGTCGTCGCGGTGTTCGATGGCAGACAGCGGGGCTGGATTAGGCAACGTAGGCCGCGGTCCCGGATTAAAAAGAGGGCAGGCATTAGGCTACGGACTGGTATGAGCCGACAGATGAAGACTCGTTCAGGATAGTGCGACGGACGCGTATGTGTGCGTACTCGCCTAGTCTGACGTAAACATTGGATTTGGAGACGTTGTTGTTGTAGCAGAAGTCGTCCATGATCGAGTTCTTGCTGGAGTGGTCGTCGACGTTAATCTTCACGTCCGCCATTGAGGATTGCTTGGGAATGGGCTTCTCGGGTTAGCTGCACTAGGTTGTTACACAGACGGCACAAACCAACACGAACGAAGCGAGAGAACTGGGCAAATACTGCAAAGCCAGCGAAATAGCGCAGCTGCCGCAGCTTAACGGAAAACTGGAAAACGGAACCTTTAGCCTTCGCCACCTCCGCAACTATTTGACTATTCTAGGTACACTAGGTACTGTAGCGCTGCCATCCGGTAAAATAATTTACTAAAAAAACAAATTATTACCTTATTTACAAATAATAACTTACAGAAACACTTATTTTAACTCTAATTATTTATTTAATTTTTATTAAAAACTTGTTAAAACTTAGAACGTCGGCGTGACGTCACGGACGTGAAAATAAGGACGATAAGGACCATAAGGACTTCAGCCAACGCGGCCGATTCGAACTGTCCGGCGCCAGTCTTTACATATAGTGCTCTAGTCTTTACCAGTGTATTTGACGGCACCAAGCCAGTGTTGCCAACCGTAGGGTAATTACCCTACTTGTAGGGTATTTTAGGCATTTATGGTATATTGTAGGGCTGTAGGGCCGTCCGGCCATTTCCCCGCCAAAAGTAGGGTAATGTCAGACGTTGCTTCTTCAACGGCGAGTACGGCGAGCATAAAAAAAAAAAAAAAAAGAAAGCTGCCGCGCAAGTTTTGCATATTTTTACAACCCGTGTGCTGCCACACCACAACATCATGCAAAACGAAAGAATCCAAGTTGCAAGACGTGCTAATTGAGAGCACCACACACCAAGTTGGAGTATGTAGGCTCCCTAAGTTGGAGAGGATTGGAGAGCTGGAGCAAGTGGGAGAGGTGGGAGGAGGTGGAGTTGCGCTTAGGAACTTTGGAGCCAAAAGAGGTATCTTCCCAGTGGAAATGGTCCCGCCAATTTTTTTTTTCTGATGACTGGTCCATCCGGCGGTCCTTGTTACACCTGCGAAACACGTGGCACCGCGGGCGGAACCATCCCGAGCCCACCAGGACGGGTCCATATCGCTTGAGCGAATGATGTTTTAGCGAACAGCGACATCTGAGCGAATCGACGTTGTAGCGAAGAACGGGGGCCGCGCTGCGCTTACGCCGTTTCGCGGCGACAGTCTGCTGCGGCTCATTACAAAAATGCTAACCCATTTGGCCCACCCGAAAACGCCACTTCGCGGCGTCCGACCTTTCGCTAAAGTGTCATTCGGTGAAACGTGGGCGTTCGCTAAAACGTCATTTGATTAAGTGAGTGCATCCCGGGGACTGGAGGCATTCACTTGAGCGAACGACGTTTTAGCGAACGAAGCCGAAACAATGACGTTTCCTCGAATGACATTTTAGCGAATACGGAGGGGTCGCCGGTTTCCTATCCTCCCCTGGTGTAAAAGCCTAGTTTGTCCAAATAGTACCTTAGTTTGACGAATCCCTAGGCGGTACACCCAAAGAAGCTAATATACCGTTCGGATTAGCCTCCTTTTGTAATGAGCCGCCTTGTCTGACGCCGCGAGTGCTCGTTCCGCGTAGCCCAGTTTTTAATTTCACGGCAAATCAACTAAACATGTTGGTTGGGGATGTCTGTGCGCTCGCTACATCACTGTGGTGCTGATGCTACACAGCGCACATGCAAGATGCAAGCAATGTCAACATGGTGTTCTAGAATAACGCAGGTATGCGCGTGTATGCGTGCCCTGTCGCTTTGTACTGTATTAATATTAACCTGTATCATCATAATCCATGCAACAGTATTATTTGAACAAAGATTTGCCTCGTAGGGTAAAACGTAGGGTAATAAGAAATATTCGTAGGGTAATGTAGGGTTTTCTGGACGCTGCCGTGGGGTATTTTCGAAAAATAGGTTGGCAACACTGCACCAAGCTCGTGCTTGATGAACTGGCTGAACCAGCTGAACCAGCTGAACCAGCACCGCCCTTTTACATCGTAACCACCACCACCCCGTGGTCGTAACGGTTACGGCGTCAAAACCTCGTCAGATATGCATCAGCGAAGGCGGCGATGACCCGAGAGGTCTCCCGTCGTCATGGTTCCAGATGAATGACAAAGGTGGCGTTTTCGGGGCACCTTCCGATTAGGCATTGATCGGTTCCGAGGGTCGGCGGGGACCTTCTATTTGTGTGGATCCTGAGACTCGCGTGGCTCGCACGCCACGGGTACCTGGCAGAATGGACTGAAGCGGAGCCCGGAGCACTCGGCTGCGTCAAATCGCGAAAGCTCAAGGCACATTTCCGACTAGTTGCCAAGAAAAGGCAAGTCCCGGACCTTCGCTGTAGTGTCACCAGTCAAAACTGTGCGTCAAATGGGCCAAATATGGGCCCCATGAAGCAGAGGCAGAGCTGTGTTTAGGCTGCGTCTACAAGAGGATCGAGGGAAGGAAAGTAGCCTTTGCTACCCCATTCCCTCCTCTTCTTGAGGGGGGTTGTGGCAGTGGGTGGTGCCCTCACCTGTCCCAAACCAAGGGCTGCTCGATCCTGCATGTTGAACGGCACCCTGGCAGCACACGTATATAGTGTAGTACTTCCACCCTTAAGATATGTTCTAATGTGCCATGGACGTCCTGGGGACATTCGTAGTGAAGTCACTGGCTGCCTCGGGCACTTGTGGGGGACGGTGGTCTCTGAGCATGCATCCTCTCTCTCGAACCCAACCTGCTGCTTTGGATCACTGAGAAGAGAGGGGTTCTTTCTCATGAGATGCATTCACTCTCTTGAGTGTTTGAGCATCCTAAGTGAACCACACATATAGAAAACGCAAACACAACTAAAAATCGGCAATGAGACAAAGTTAAAAAATATTGAGCAAACAAGTCTTCACTGGTTTGGAGGTTTTTCTCACTCACGCCCTGACCAATGGTGATGGCACAGTGCCCGAGTGGAGGTGGTGCACACCCTGGCCATGCAGTGAAGCATCCAGTGCTCAGAACTGCAAGCCCCTTTTGAAGGCTGTGTGCACTTATAATATGTATCCGTCTTTTTTTTTTTTTTTTCAGGCCCTGCAGCATGGTATGGAAATTGACATTCTGGTTGCCCTTCCTGGTTTTGCTGCCACCGTGCGGTATGCTGGCTTTTTTTTTTTATGTTTCTTTTCTACTTTTTGGGAGACTTTTCCCCCCCAGGCTTTTATTGAGTAATGTCACTTACAGGCTCGACAGCTAAGGAGTGGCGGAAATAATCCCTGGAGAAGGGGAACAAGGGGGACAAAAGACAACGGTCATTCTTGGCCAGCTCTGTTGCACCTTTGCATGAATCGCATTATCATCATAACCTAAGGAGTGCTTTGCAGAACATCATAATAGGTTTTCAACCTGGGGTTTCCTAGAGTGGGCACTTGATATGTTCATTGCTTATGTTTCGGATGTTTTAAAAATAGGGGGTGTGTTCTTAATGCAATACAAGTTCATGCTCGGTATATTACGGTAGTTGCTTTTGCACCAGTAAACCCAGGATGATCACCACCGCAGTTTTAGCATAGTCATTATTAATAATCTAGAGGAAACAATTTCATGCATTTTGGTTGCTTAGGAACGCTCAGGCATAGACACAGACAGTGGTGGTCCCCTACCATTAACAATACCTTACAAAGGAGCAGCAAAACATCACCTGTAAGGCTTGTACCTGCCTGGTTCTTTTTTAACTCTTTCACGAGGAAAACACCGGCATCGTGCACTGCATAAAAATAATTAAAGTTGACAGGCACTCCAACAGCTTCAACTCATTTCAGCAGAACGAACACACCTGGCATATTGTCTGTTTTTTTCTTTTGCTTTTTTGTCACTTTCTAATTCTTCCTCTCGGTACCAGCAATGTCGGCACCTACGATTTGGCACATTTTATCCGCCCCTCCCCCTTCTCCCTGGTTTTGATCGGGCGAGGGTAAAAGCGTGTCTAGCCTGGCCATGTCGTGGAAGTGAAATTGGGGGCTCTCGGTCGATCGGAGACGTAACGCTCGACATTGCGTCGCATTTTGGCCACCAGCCGGAGACTGTGACCCGGAGAACCTGACGGACTCGAGGCTGAACCAGATGCCGGAACACACCACACAGAAGTCGTTTCCGAACGGGGCGGTGCACACTTACAAGTGCATGCATGGCTACCGGCCCTTCAACGATCGCCGCAACGCCACCTGCCGCGGTACTGTCTGGGAGCTGGACAACGCACGACCCCTCGGCTGTCACGGTGGGTGGCGCCGCCTACTGTGCTTCGATTGGATCACCGACACAGTCTCGTTTCGCCGTAACCTGGCAAAAAGCGAATGCTACGGCCCCTTCGTGCCAATATGAGCGATGGAGGCAAAGTACATGGCAGCTTTTACCGTAGGGGTAAGAGCCAAGAGCGTAACCCAAACATTTGGAGAAGAGGGGGAAGGAGAAACACTTCTTTTAAGCCGAACCTTCTTATTGTCCCAGAAGTTGCTTTCATCCCACTGAGAGATTAGCCCGTCACTAAAAAATTCATACAAAAACGGCTTTCCTTTTTTTACTGCCTTTATCTTCCACCACACTTCACGCAACTAGTGAGGTGGAGTATACGGAGGGAAAGCCGTCTGCTCTTTCGCGCAGGCCGGTGGCGTGACGTCACCTCGCCGCGCTCTGATTGGAGGATGGCTCCGGGCGGGAGCTCGGGGGTAAACAAAGCGGTGTCGTCTTTTCTCCGCAGCCATTGCGGAAGGCCTTTTCTGTGGCTCTCGGAAATCCACTGCTAGTGCTTGAACGAAGACGCGGCATACGGAAAAAAGAGACCGGAAATACCTCGAAATGTACGTTACTTCGTTTGACGCGAAAGAATTTACCCTGGGAGCATACGAAGCATCAATATGCGTCCCGGTCTTCGGCGGTGAGATGTTGATGTGAGCCCCCCCAACGTCAGCACGGTGATGTGCGACGCGAGTGAGCCTTTCTACTTTTTGGCGGAGACCCCTTTTCGCCAGCAAGTGTCTCGGTGTCTCCGTGAAGCACCGAAGTGTAGCTACAGCCCTCTTCGGCGAGCTGAACGGGCTGCTGAGCTTTCGAAGGGCGATCTCCCGCAGCGCTGGAACCCGGAGAACCGCGCCATGGCGCTCGCTGAGGTGAGTTACGTCGTTTCTGTACAGTTCGCATCATTCACAAACAGTTGCACGTGAAAGGAGTATAGCAAAGTAAAACGGAATGTTACGAAAAAGCAGCGGATTAGGCGATCGGTGTGGTACGACCGAGCCGAGTGCGCAGTTGTCTGTTCTTAGTCTTTCCCCCCAGCGACAGATTGTATGCCACTTGTCCAAACAGATAGTGTGGTAGGATATCTGTATGTGGGTCATTAACTTCGCAGTCACGACTCGGTGTTCGATGGTAGTCTATTTTAGCAGTGATAGCGCCGTGTCTAAGTGACATCCGATGTCACTTCTTGCCAGTGGCGTAGCCAGGGAGGGGGTGTTCAGTACTTCGCACCCGAAATCCCCCCCGGCCCCGAGAAAACCTGGCTACGCCAATGCTTTACGCGCGCGATAAAGCGCCGTCCTAGGGTGTTAAACTCAAGACGAACTGTTCTTCTGACGCGTGTTCCATCAGTCGCTCGCTGCTGATTTGTTTCACCATAAAGTGCCAGTGAGGCAAACGCTGCGGGGGCGAGTAGCATGTTTTCGTACCTGCCTACTAGTTTTCTTAGGTCCGTTAACCTGCAAATGCTTGTGTTCCCCCTACCCTATCATTCCAACAGAATCCACCGGCTGCCGGGCTACTGAAAGGGCCCTCTGCTCGGAGGACATGTTGCGGGCCCTGTGTAATGCCCTCGGCGCCTGTGCGACTTCAGGGGGTCTGCGTTTCACGGCCCCGTTACCAGCTGGGAAATTCTCCATGGAGGTAAGATTATGAAAGAAACCACTCTATGCACTCAGAGGTAGCTTTCAGAAGTTGTGGAAGCCAAATACAGATGCTGATGTCTTTAGTAAAAACAAAATCAAATTATTACTTGCTTTATGACTTATGCATCTCTATTTTGCAAGCCACATATGGCAGGAAAGTGTCACGTGATCTCAACCTGGTTTCTCAAGGCACTGAAAAGCTACCTGTTGCAGACCACTGTACCATTGTCATTTATTGTATGTTATTCCCTGGCACTGCGGGATTGGTGGCCGAGGGGGCTTGCACGCACCAGCTCGGAGAATGTGGAGTGAAAGCTCGCGCTGCAGAACCCAGAATCGTGTGTTCAATCCCCACATTTGCCCGTTTCGATCTGGATGAGCACTGAATTGGCGTGCGGTCGTGTATCACTGCTACGTGATGCACGTTAAGGGCCCCAGGCTAGCGGTCATCTACAGCTGGGAGACTCATCGCCCGTTGAGGCAGATCAAGTTTGAGACTGTATAAACATAAACACAACCCGATTCCTTGGCTCGCTGCTGTTATTGCTGTGCTGATGTTTGGATGTATTTTTCTTGGTCGTTGAAATGACTACTGTGATGCTTGGGTGAAATAACCTGGTCAATTACCTCCTTGGCCATAGAGTGTTGTTCACTTGTTACTCTCTCTTCTCCTCTGGTTAATGTAGCTCAGATAACAGTCATGCAGTCAGCCCGTTTCAAGTTCTCTCGACGCCACATTCTCACATCTCTGGCCGATCGTCCTGCTTTCGCGCAAAACTCGCACACCTCGTCTTCTTTGATACTCCCGAATGCGCCTCGGTCGCTCACTCCGCCGCTAATTTCAGTCCCGTGCCCACTGTTTTATGACAACCTCCTTGACATGACAAATCTAGCTTCTGTATCCAACCATCAATACGGGTTAGTGTTCAATTTGTAAACTTGATGTTTCAAAGTAACAGTACAAGCTTCCTCCAGCATCTACCAGCAACCAAGCAATGACAAAAACCAAAGCTTTAACTTCCAAGACTAAAAACCCAGGAGTATGAGGACACGCTGGCCAACCCTGCTGAGGACAAGCCAGGATGAGGACAAGCCAGGAGTGGGACAAGCATGTAATCTCGGTATATGGAGAGGTGTCCTCGAAGTTCCCAGCTTTAAAATTGTGGTAGTGTTTAAGTTGGTTTAAGTTCAAGGAGTCTCAAAAGAGCAAATAATGCAATGTTATTTATTTTTATTTGCATCCCTTGGATGCTGGCAGGTGCTCGGTACAAAGGGAATGGAATAGACATGTTCATTTATGCATTCTGTTGCTTAAAAAAATAGGCTTTGACTGATTATCAGTTGGTAATGGCATGGGAGGACAAATGCGCTGCTCAAGGGTGTAACCGTATCGTTTGACTACTGGGACGACTCTTTTACAGGGGACGACATCCTGTCCAGCACCAGCTTCACCATCTGGGACCAAGTGCACGAGGGGTCGCACTGCAAGCAGATGAAAGGAGGGCACTGCGACCTTGAGGTCAAGCTTGTACATCTACCATTACAGTCCTGAATGGATGCCAATTGGTACTGATGACCTTATGAAGGTGAAACGTCCCTGGATCTAAAGGGAAAATTTGATTGAAGGCGAGCTGAAGTTGTTTCTGACTTTATCCTCTTATGACTTGAAAGTAATCTGCCTACTTCATGAATATTGAAGATGCAGAATTTGTTTCCGTAACTGTCCCACTTCAACGTAATGTGCACATTGAAACCTGTTCCTTTTCTTTTTCTGCTTTCCGGCGAGAAAAAAAAGCCAACGAATCTCCCTTTTCCTTCTCGCAATGGGGAGGTGTGCAAGACTGATTGCATATTTTATATAAGCAATCAGTTTCATAAGTGAATGAAGATAAAAGCAGAATACATGTTCACAGATTATTTGTGAATTCTTAGACTTGCTGAAGTGAGTAGTTTATGTTCGAGTCATGTAATTATGAAGTCAAAACCAGATTTAGTGCATTTTTAAGAAGCCTTTTAGACCTGAGAGTTCTGTTTTGACTCAGCAATACACAACTCACCTTTGTTATTCCTATAGCACAGCCGAAACTATAAACATGAGCATGTTGCCTGACCAATGCTTGAACTGCCGTGAAATCGACGAAGTCCCTATCCTTCGAGAACAAGTGTCAACGGGGAATAGTCGAAAGACCAGGGTCAAGTATGCACACACATACTTGATTTCAAGCTTGCAGATTGAAATAATTGTTTATTGAATCGTATCCATTCTTACACCTGTTTGAGATTGTATTGGTTCATATTCACAGTATATTTATTTTTCATTTCAGCAAGGAATAATTTAGAGACAGACGTTGGTGTTCAGGCGTGATGCTTTTATTTTTGTAACATGCAAGAGGGCAAAAAATTAGATTCGGCTTTGTAAACTGATTTTTTTATGTATTCTTCCAAACAGCATAGCAAAGAATAATATAAGGGCTACAGCTGCGAGAGTTGCTACACCTGGCATCTCATTTGTTTTATAGCGTGTACAAGTGAGACACTATACTCCGTTTCTCGGTAAATTGGCAAACATTGTGACCCAATAAGAGCATCGGAGCCAGGCACGTGACAACACTCCACAGTCGAGTCCTCGTTATTGCCTAGAGTGCCTTCATACACACGCGCGCTTTTGCTTGAGTGGTGACATCTCAGCCATTTTTCCGCCCAATCGTTTTTTTATGCATTTTGAAGCGCGCGCAATCTGATGTCACTCAGCTCGAGCGCGTAGCTTTGGTTAATGCTTAGACGCCATTTTACCGACCTAGTCACGCACCGAGTGTGCGAGAGCGTCACACGCTGGCAGATTCAGGGCAACAATGGATGTCTTCACCCTTAGACAGACAGACATGTAGGCACCCTATTATTGCCACAGCAAGAGCGCCATCTGCGACAAAACATAGTTCTAGGCTTTGTTTTTTCTTCTTCTTTTAGTAGTGTTGCCGTCGGATTCTTCGGACCGCAACACTACACGACACTGAAGAAAGACGAAGACACATGTTACTGATTAGCGACACTTAATATAGATCAACACTTTTTTGAGAAAAACATGGCTTGTGATCGAAGTTCAAACAATCGTAGCCGTGAATCGACCACTTCCGCTCAAAACATCGCCCTAGCATTAGCACCCGCCACAGATTCATGGGCAAATTGAGCATGTGGTTGTAAGACGACAGCCGGTTCTGGCGGGTGGTCCTTGCATTTGGCGCAGTGACACGAACGCTCCTGTGACATGCGTCCATGTGCCTCGCTCCGACATTCTTACTGGGTCGCAGAAGCCGTAGCCTCCACAGTTCACCAAGCTATCGTGAAACAGAATGTAGACTAAGTTGCCTGCGTGCTAATGAAAGTAGCCTTGCCAGCATCATGTATTATGTATGAAACACTGTATACTTCGAGAAAACAAATAAAGCCATTCAACCTTTCCACTGATTGTGTTTGTTCATTAGTAAAACTTGGTTCAGTGAACTTTACATTTCAGCATTAGCATGGACACAACAGGTAAGGTCAATCACAAGTGCTTTAGAGCGGTCCGAACAGTTTCCAAGTGGCTCATGCAAAGCAGCTGACACGGTATTACCCCCAGGAAAGAGACGAGACCTCCTCGACGAATCTACTCAAGGCCCACCAAACTGAATATTGGCGTTTCTAGGAAATTGGAATCAACCAAACAATTCCATGGAAAGGTACACCACAAACAGCATTGGTGTGAGGGTGAGCCCTATCTGCAGCGACAATACTGAAGCCTCGCATGCCACCGTTACTAACACATGCGAGTAGTCACTTGGCGCCTGGCATACTTGGGCATTGATGAAACAAGGAAAGATTATCAATGAGTGGACTAGGAATGTGGATCCAAATGGGAATGTCTTCACAATCGCTGTATGACCACCATCTGTTGGTGTGTTTCTGGATGTCAACAGCCCATCTGGGACCTAGAAATGACAAATGATGTTAGAAAGTTTGTCACTTATACACTGGCTTTTGCTTGACCCAGTCTGCTGAGCGAACAAAAATATGTGCATGTTAGTCATTGTTTACTCCCGTGTCAATTCCATGGGGCGCTCGTTAGCTAGGCTTGGATAGTGCGCGATCTCCGAATTTTTATCTTGGTATGGGAACGAAAAAAGAGACAAGCGACACGCAAAAACACGTCAGACACTGACAGCGTCGATGTGGCTCCAAGATACACTGCGCAACACATTTCGCAGAAAGGCGGCATCGGTACTTCGTCGGCAATTCACTCATACTGGCTAATGTGAAACGGCAAATTTGTGCTGTCCGAGTTGGTTCACTGTATTACACGTAACAGCCATTCATATTTCATTCCTGAAAGAAAAAACGATCGCGTTTTTGCGGCAAGTTTTGAGCTCTGTGCTTTTCTACAGTGCCATGATTACAACCGTAGACTGCAACTACTATACCAAATACGATGTATGACTATACTGCGTCTCACCTAAATGCGAACGAAGCGAAAATTACAAACGCGAGAATCTGATCAGCGCTTGTACTGCAAGATCGCACATGCATGGCAGCTATGATCAAAGCTCGGGATTCGCCCATGTAGATTTAACTTCGACCGCATTTAAAATGAAACGGAACATAGTTTATACGGCCTCCGTGCAGCTTCGAGTCGAAATGACGAGTGTGTATATTCCTAAGTATCACCTGCGAAGATAGGCTTCGGAGGATCGCGAAAACGCTACATTCTCGGCCGTTTTTCGATTAATAGCGCCCATCGACTCCGCCACACAAGATTTATAAAGACCTGCTAGAAGGCAAAATCCGTTGTGTTCGTAAAGGAAGAACAAGATAAAAGGCAACTTACCGGTACAATCGGGCGGCGGTCTCGTAGTGACCGGCGCAACCGGCGTTTCAATCGCGAGGCTAGGCAAGCGCCTTCTCTTTGATGATCTTCGTCGTCTTCATCTTGGAATCTTCGAAATGCCTCTAGCAGACGACGGAGGAATCGTAAGGGGCACAAAGCTGCTCGATCTTGTGGACTCGGCAAATTTTAACCGGGCTACAATAAATAAAAGACTCGCGATCCCCGCTACAACACGGCCGCCATGGCCGACGCCGATGTTTGTTTACCCCCCGGCCTCCCCCGACATGTGCGAGGGCGGAGCTTAGTCGGAATCGTCATCAACCTCCTCTCCCGCCTTCGCGCCTCCTTTCTCATGCGCAGAAGACGAAAATGAGCCCACTTGCGAGGCGTATAGTCGTGTCACGTGTGTCTTCCTCCGATGCACCGATTGGCTCGCCGGGCTGCAGCCTTTGTCATTTGCCAAGTTACGATGCCTGTTGATGGAATGTAACAGCCCGTGGAACATAGCAGTGCACAAAGGGTAAAGACAAAGCAAAGGAACACACACAAGTCCTTTGTGTGCATTTATGTTCCCCACATGTCTTCATACCAACTAGTCCAGCTCACCACCCTTCTAGAGTTGTTCTGGTTCAAATTGTTTTGCCCCGTTTTAACATCTTGAAAAATCCACATGCATTTTAGAAATTCCTTTTTGTTATCACATTCCTTTATTTCTAGAACAGACAAGGTATAAAGGTGACTCCCACGTGCCACCACTTCAGGTATTCTTGAGAAAGTTTGCAATTATTATCAAGAAACGACAAAGTCTGCGAGGATTTTTAAACAAAAAGTTATTGCCGGTTTCCTAGAGACAAGTGCGACAAAGCAAGTTTATTGGGTGACATACGTCACAAATATTAAAGGCTCATGAAAATAGACTTTTCGGGATTTGAGTGTCGCTTTAAGTACTTCGCACTACCATTGCTACTTACACGGTACAACATTTTGTAGTCTGTTGCAGTTTAAGGATAGCGCGACGGGCTCTTAGGAACAACCTCTACTCCATCCACTTGCCGCCTCGGTAGCTCCGAGGCGAGAGCGCTGGCGGTTCCCCATGTGGCGGGTTCGAATCTTGGCCGAGGTGCCCGCAATCTGACGGAGGCTTATTGCGGAAAAGGCGCCGTGTAACCGAGCTTTCAGTTGCACGTCAAAAGATCCCCAGGTGGTCGAAATTAATCCTCAGTCCTTCGCTGGGGCGTGCCAGATGCCCGTCGTTGGTTTGGCACGTAAAACCCCCAAATTTGACTTTTAGAGCGCAGCTCTTAGGGGCCCGTTCCCGGCTTGAGCGGCGTCGGCGTCGCCGTCGCCGTCGGCGTCGGCGTCGGCGTCAGCGTAACCGCAACTCTCGTAACCCTCGTGAGGGTTACGAGGGTTAATCTCATGAGGGTTACCCTCACGAGGATCACGAGGGCCACGAGGGTTACTTACCCTCGTAACCCTCACGAGGGTTACGAGGGTTAGTTACCCTCAAAAGGGTTACCTTCACGAGGGTTACCCTCACGAGGGTTACTTACCCTTGTAACCCTCACGAGGGTTACGAGGGTTACTAACCCTCGTGAGGGTAACCCTCGTGAAGGTAACCCTTTTGAGGGTTACGAGGGTTAGTAACCCTCGTGAGGGTAACCTTCACGAGGGCTACCCTCACGAGGGTCACGAGGGTTATGAGAGTTACCCTCACGAGGGTTACTTACCCTCGTAACCCTCACGAGGGTTACGAGGGTTAGTAACCCTCGTGAGGGTAACCTTCACGAGGGTTACCCTCACGAGGGTTATGAGAGTTACCCTCACGAGGGTCACGAGAGTTACCCTCACGAGGGTCACGAGAGTTGCCCTCACAAGGGTTACTAGGGTTACCTTCACGAGGGTCACGATGGTTACCCAGGTCAAGTGACCCCCCCTGGGGTCACGTGACCTGGGGATACCCCCGAGGTCACGTGACCCCCCATTGACGTCATAGCCACTGATGACGTCATCAGTGACGTCACTGATGATGTCACCGGCATCCGCATCGTCATCGTCATCATCAATGATGACGTCATTAGTGACGTCACCGGCATCCGCATCGTCATCATCATCACTGATGGCGTCATCAGTGACGCTACTGATGACGTCATCGGTATTGTCACGTGGCCCCAGGTCACGTGACCCCCGTGACGTCACGTGACGCCCCAAGTTCACGTGACCCCCAAGGTCACGTGACCCCCCCCCCCCCCCCCCCCCCCCGAGGTCACTTGACCCACCCCCCAGTACCCTTCCCTCCTCCTCCTCAAGAGCTGCGCTCTAATTCGGCGTTACAGGGAGTTGTAAACGGCTTTCATTTTTTTCCATCCACTTCAGCAGAGTGAATGCTCGAGAGGATGCAGGTGGCGAGGAGGGAACCGCCAATCGTAGCCAGCAGAAAGCCTTGTAAGATGGGCTTGTTCGGCTATTCTAAACCTGACACAGACTGTCGGCGATTTTCATCGCACGTTTTCTAACCTGCTTTCACGGGTTCAGGTACTGTGAATATCTGCTTCACAAAGCTGGAGAGTAAACCTGCCTTTACAGCTTTCTGCTCTAGCCACAAGGTGCCACTTGCAATTTCGCGCAAGTCGTCCAATACTGCGGGTAGTATTGCGGCGACCGATCACCGTGAGTCCCAACCTATGATGCAGGCGCCAGTTGCGGAGCCCCCGGTGGGAGGAACGGCATCGACCACGGCACCTTCCGCTCTCACGTCTTCACCTTCCCGAACAAAGTGGCGTTCGACTGCGAGAGAGGCTACCGGCTACACTCGCACGACAATCAGCCCGTCGACTCGGACTACGGCATCTACTGCCAGTCCGACGGATTGTGGAGCGAACCGCCGCCCAAGTGCCTCGGTGCGTACGCCTGAACGCATCGGCGTCCAACATCAAAACGATCGAAGGCGAGGGATCCTATAGGAGCCTGATAAAATTGTGTTTATATTTTTATTTATTTCATAATGTGCAGCCAGCCGTGAGACAAAAGCAGACGGGTAAGCACGTTAAAAGGAGCACTCTCAAGCATCAAAAATAACGTCGAGAAAAAAAGGTGGATTCGCACTACTTGCAGCATTTGTCGACAGACAGTTCCATTTGTTAATACATTTCACGAAAAAAAAAAAAAGGAGTCCCCAAGAGAATTTGTGTTAAAGCGGTAAGGCGTAATAGAGCGCCGCCTTGCCAAGAAGCAGGCTTGGACTGTAGGTCCTGCGTGCTACGGTCGCTGACAGAATAAGAAAGGAGAGTCTTTCGAACACCTGGCTTCCAGCACGTGCTTCGTGCCTTCTGCCATGCTTCGGCTGCACACGTGCACTTGAGGCACACGAGGCGTCGAGCACAATTGAAGCTCCTCTCTGCCCTTCTCACCTTGTAAGTGACAATAGCCTTCTCGTCGTGCCATTGATTGTGCACCGTACCAGCTGTTACTTGATTTAAGTTCTCACTTGAAATCTTGCTGCCGAAAAAGCCAGCGTGCACTATACATGGAACTACAGCGCCAGCCTGTTCTTCAGTGTTTTCCGTCATTTTGCAAAAGCAAGGTCTTAAATGTAAACATTTCGGCGGAACTTTGCCTGGTTAGGTAACGTCGGGCACATGGAAGAAATTGGTTAGAGTCTACTAAGTACCTTTTCTTAAAAGCAAGGTCTATTCCGGCAGTTCTCTGAAGTTGTTACTTCCAGTTTTGTACGAGCTTCGATGCTGCCCAATGTATAATTGTGCAATTCTTGCAAGGAACGTTTTTTTTTTAATGCGCAGCTCTTAGTCTCCAGTTTCGCAGCGTCGCCGTCACGACGGCGTAACTGCCCCACTAAATTTAGCGGGAAATTGAATTGGTGTTTGGGGTCACGTGATGTCAATTTTCCCGCTAAATCTAGCGGAGAAATTGATTTGTCCATGGATGACGTGACGCAGTCATGTGATGTCATTTTCCCCGCTAAATTTAGCGGGAAATTGAATTGGTGTCGAGGTCACATGATGTAGATTGTCCCATTAAATCTAGCAGAGAAACTGAATTTGTTCGTGGGTGATGTGACGTCAGTTTCCCCGCTAAATTTAGCGGGGAAACTGAATTGGTGTTGAAGTCACGTGGCGTCACTTTTCCAGTAGCAGGGAAAGTGTGGGAGGAGTAGAGGGTATGGAGGAGGATGGAGGGGCATAGCCTCCCCTCCTTCTCCTCAAGAGCTGTGCTCTAATTTCACATTACAAAAATTTGTAAACTTCTTTCAATTATTTTTTTTTAAATATGGCCAACCAATTTTTTTGGGGGAAGCAGCAGATGGCGAAGCTTGTAGTGGGAATCCATAAGGGTCGTATGACAAGACACATGGTGTCGCCTTTGGCGCGAGCCGATACAGATGACAGCAACGTTGAGCTTCCGTTCCGCTTTTCTTGTGCCAAGCCACACACAGCAGCAGAAATACCATCGAACGCATCGACCACTCGAGCGATCTGCTGGGCTATGAAGGGCCGATATTGGTGAGAGCTTGGTCGGCGTTACCTCGAATGCCCCTTCTGCCTGTCTCGATTCCTATCAAGTTAAGATCCGAGGGTCACTTCAGAATCCCTCTAACTTTTGTAGATGGCAGACGAACTGCATTCCAAAGTGCTTCTCACATCTCTTTCCGGGTGTGCAGTGGTGGTGTGTCCGCAGCCGGCGCAAGTGGTCCACGGTAACGTGGACACGTCGGAGGGACTTAACTTCCGGGCCGTGGTGCACTACTCGTGCAACCGACTGTACAGGCTGGTGGGACCCCCGTCACGGCAATGCCAGGACAACGCCACCTGGAGCGGTGCCGAACCGACCTGCGAAGGTGGCCAGAAGGATACTTTCGTTGCTTGTCCGGAAGCGCAAATGCTCGCAGTTATGGTTCTGGCCTCGAACAAATCAAACCTACGGCATGTCAATCAATCAATCAGCGTTTATTTCAGCTTGAAATACAAACTGAGGGTGGCAAGAAAAAAGCAGTGTCGTCCACCGCTTGACGGGCCTCGCCACCCTTACAAGTCAGCAGTGTAAATGCGGTAAAAAATAATATATATACAAAATGAACAGTGCAGACAAAATGAGAAGTACAGACAAATTATAGAAAAGCATTCCTAAGGACAGAAGAAGACATATCATTCAAGTGATCACATAGAGGTGTATTAAAAAACTTAGGCAAGATATGTCGCATCATTGTAAAGCCATAGTTCGTTCTACCTCTAGGTAAAACAAAGGTGTCTTTTTCCCCGGTTGCATAAGGCGTATGGTGGGGCACAGTAGAAACAATACGTGAAAGAAAATGATCATCTTTTGCTATTATATTTTTGTAAAAACACGCAAATCTATATTCAAATAAATTATATACACGCACAATTTTAAAGTGCAAGTAAGCCTGCCCGGTTGGGGAGTTACATGTCCCGTCCCAAAGCATTCATGCCATCTTTTTCGTAACAAAAATAAGTGACACATCGCCAAAAGCTGCGTCTTTGCCCAAGTGTAGCACTGGTGATTCAAACCAGATGCCAAAGTTTCGGAACTAACCGCGTTATCTCATTCAAAAGTTATAAGCGAGTTTCTAAAAAGATGTAAATGAAAAAATGGGGCCCATTTTCAGTAACTGGCGCCATTCGATTCTGTGTATTCAAGGGCTCAACCGGCCGCCATTTTTCCATTTGAATTGTCCGGAAAATTGCGTAACTTTTGAAAAAGATACGGGCTTTTTTTTCAACTTTGGCATAGCTGGTTCGAACCACCAGCGCTACATTTGGACTGAGAATGAGCGTTTGACGGTATCCATAGTTTATTTTTGCAATCAAAAGAAATCTGTAAATCATTTTTTGGTACACCCCGAGGCTGCTTCACACAGTTGCAAATTTTCACATAAAAAAATCTCTTAATTTTGACGAGAGAACAAACTGGCGCCATGTAATGGGTAGCCACGACACACTTTAAAGGGAAACTCCGGTCCATACTTTTGATTTTGGGATTATGACTGTTTTTAGTGCAGTCAGCGTCCCTGAATTGTAAGGTGTAATTTTTTGCTCGTTAATGTGCATAGTTTTAGAGATATCGACACCTCAAAGATTGGTTTGGGGCGCGGCCAACAAAACCGAAACTAGCCACTCGAGGCCCCGGCAACACTGGAAATCAGCTGCTATGTTAACGTGACGTCAGGATCGTTCTCGTTCAACGAGTACGCAGGCCGAGCGCCACCTACCTATGCTGCGCTAGCCGTCTAAAGATAGGAGGTAAGCTAATTTTGTTTTAATTCTTTATACGTTGTAGTTATCGAGCATATGCAGCAAGGGTTAGTGCGTATACCCAAAATTTAGCGACTGGAAAACCCGTGAACTCGTACGGTGCCATACTCGGCGACTGTCGCTGTGCGTGCGGTCTTCCGTACTCGTCGCTAGGCCTAAATTGTCATCTGGGCTCCGTGGATGGAGCGGCGTTGCTTTACGCCGCACTGCCAGTGACGTACCAGTACTGGGGGCCCTCTCGTTTTCGCGCTGCGGGTCAGTCCGAGACACGAAGGTTTGAGGCTCTCCGGCGCGGGCCGCGGCACCCGAACACACGTGTGCTGGGCTGTACACGACTGTTTTTTCGTTCTTTTTCCATCAAGCACGTAAAAGCCGAAGTCCAAAGTCCACTCGTCAAACAGCGTTCACCCACACCTTCTCCAATTTCCGGTCCGTCCGACACTTGTGAAAAAGTACCTCCGTGTTGTGGAGCGGGTTGTTTGAGCAGCCCACAGCGCTACAAGTTGCACTCGGCATCTTTCGAGGAAAAGCTGGGTAGTCTTAGGTGCACCGAGTTGCTCGCTAAAACGAGTCTTAAAGTCCTCACAAGCAAATAAACAAAAGGCTATACCGAAGCTACACGGTCTACAGATAAAAGCAACGGCTAAACACGCCAATCACAAGCCGAAATAGCGGTGGTAGCGGCTCAAAGAAGCGCACTCCGCGCAACGCCTGGAACGGAGGAAAAAAAGAGAACAATACGGACGTCACGGCCTAATGTTGCTTTAGCGATCGGCAACCCGCTGGCTGCCCGCTAAGAAGCAGCGGCTCACGGCGGGTCGCATTTTAGAGCGCAGCTCTTAGGGGCCCGTTTCCGGCTTGAGCGGCGTCGCCGTCGGCGTCGGCGTAACCGCGCGGTGCATCATGGGAAATGTCCCATAATGCACCGCGCGAGCCCCCCATTGGGGTCACGTGACCTCGTGGGGGGCACGTGACCCCCCCGAGGTCACGTGACCCCCGCCGATGTCGCGTGACCCCCAATGACGTCATCGTCACTGATGACGTCACCGGCATCCGCATCGTCATCATCACTGATGACGTCATCAGTGACGTCACTGATGTCGTCACCGGCATCCACATCGTCATCGTCACTGATGACGTCACCGGCATCCGCATCGTCATCATCACTGATGACGTCACCGGCATCCGCATCGTCATCGTCATCATCACTGATGACGTTACCGACATCCGCATCGTCATCGTCATCATCACTGATTACGTCATCAGCGACGTCACTGATGACGTCACCGACATTCGCATCGTCATCGTCATCATCACTGGTGAAGTCATCAGTGACGTCACTAATGACGTCATCGGTACCCGCAACGTCATCGTCAATGATGACGTCATGAGTGACCTCAGTGATGACATCATCGGCATTGGGGGTCCCCAAGGTCACGTGACCCCCCCCTGGTTAGTTTAACCCCCCCCCCAGTGCCCTTCCCTCCTCCTCCTCAAGAGCTGCGCTCTAATTCGGCGTTACAGGGAGTTGTAAGCAGCTTTCACTTTTTGTTATCGGCATTAGTTGAGAATGCACGTGACCCCCCCCTGGTTAGTTTAACCCCCCCCCCCCAGTGCCCTTCCCTCCTCCTCCTCAAGAGCTGCGCTCTAATTCGGCGTTACAGGGAGTTGTAAGCAGCTTTCACTTTTTGTTATCGGCATTAGTTGAGAATGCGGCGTCCTACAGACGTAATATTTTGGCTGGGGTCGTATTTTGTGTCACTACAGCGATACCAGTAATTTATTTCATTTTGAGTTTTGGCCGGAGTTGCCCTTTAAAGGGGTACTCCGGCGATTTCCTCATGGTCCCCGATTTGCTTGAAATTTTGGTAAACTCGCCAAACAACATCGCTAAAGTAGTATCCCAAATATTAGGTCAAAATAGTTTTTTTTCACGAAGTTATTGAATTTACAATTTTGGTCCTCACCGTGTTTTTCAAACTGAAAGTCTCTACTGGCAACAACAAAAAAATGACGTCAGTGGAAGGCAGGGGTTCACTCTTTGGTTTGTAAAATTTGTTCCCAACTGATGCGAAGCAGTTTCATGGTGTCAAACGAATGCTTTGGAAGCTCGCTCCAGTCCCCGTGCTCCAGCACGGAACAAATGATGGGCATATTCTATTTTTTAGACTGCTCGCTCGACTGGCAAGCCTGCTCTCCACTAACGTCACGGCACTGAAAAGTGCGTGTATATTTGAATGTAGGTTTTTGCATCATTTTCATTTGCGGATTTCGGAATAACTATTATGAAATAGCATACCAGAAAGGGTAAAGGCCGGGGAGTCAGAAAATATAGTTAGTTGAGGTAGCTCAAAAAATTGCCGGAGTACTCCTTTAAGTGTCTGTATACTTTTTTTTTTTTGCTCAAAGATTTTTTTAGTGTTAGATAAACGACGATTTTTCAGTGATTGTACACATCGCGACACTGTTAGCGCGAACACGACATCAGCACATTTTTGCAATTCACTTCTAAATAGTATTAGCGGGCACTAAATTGTACCGCTTACAACATAGAACTAAATGAGCTCTTTCCGTAGTCTAATAATAACTTGGATGATATCCCTTGGTTTCAAAGAGAAAAACTGGAAAAACCGGAGATCGCTTGTTCGCGCTAACAGTGTCGCGCTCTGTACATATTCTTAGGATGATCCTGTCGGCAGCATAGAGGAAAGGACATGTGGTGACAGAATATAGAATGGTTTAAGGAGGCCGAGCCGGCCCATGGGGCCTTGCACGAGACACTCGTGCGCACCACTGCCCCGTCGTCGTTTTTAACTTCCTAGCAGTACTTCCTCCCACGAAAACGGCCGACCTGGGTGGTAAATAAGAAGACGGAGCACACTCACAAAGTCGCTTATAAAAGAACAAAGGACAGCTGATTATATATATTGTTAGGAAAGAAAACGAAGTGGGACTTCGCTGGTCAAGCCCGCGCTCTTCGAATCTAGTGCACCCGCCTACTGATCTGGCTGTTGACTGATCGCCAGTGCTACATCTGTATAATCACCCCTCTAAACCAATCTGGCATCATCTTACAGTACATTTCATCTCGCAAATGTCACAAAACCTCCGCTCTGTGAAGTGCAGTTCTAGGGTCACCTCATAGATGGCGTCAGCGTGTTCTCTCATCGTAAAAGATTACGAGAACTCGTTCATAAGCCGATGCAAGTGTGTGAACGGGCCTTTACCTAACTGATAGCCAGCCTCGAATTGTCTGATAATTTCTTGACGGTGTGCAACGAGAGAAATTCGGGAACATTGCATTCGACTTGATTTTTGCACGGACCTCATCAATGCAAAATTGGGCTGAAGTGGCACCGCCGTGCCGCGTTCGTCTGTCCCATTTTCAGAGGTGAAGTGCCCAACGCCGGTCAACCCCCCAGGCGGTGTGGTAGTGGTGACCAGCATGTCGGTGGGGGCCAATGTCACCTTTAGGTGCCTGGCCGACGGTTCCACCCTGGTGGCCCGGTGCCTGCCTCAGGGTGTCTGGTCACGCGACGCTCCTCGGTGCCCTCCCGGTGAGTCACTACGATTCCCGGAATGTGTCTCGGACAGGCGTGTTTACCGCGTCCAAACAAGCGGTTCCTCCATTTTCGCCCGATGAAGTCGTAGAAGCGTCATGCTGTGGCCGGCCACAATCCTGGCGGTGTCGCAGGGGCGGTTCTGGATATGGCAGACGCCCGTTCTGTCGCAGGTCGCTCCCCAGTTTGACAGTTTAGGGAAGCCTCGGCAGCCACGTGTAGGGACGCTGCGACAAAGCAGACACCAGCATTTTCTCGTGCTTTTAAATGCGGCAGCATTTATTGCCCCGGTGCATGCAGCCCTCTTTCGTTTGGACGGTCGTGGACTGGACTGCTTCCGTGAGGCCTATATGCGGTTCCTGCCATGCTCTTCACTCCGTTCGTTCGCTTGTTGTGTCCGCTTTTCCTCTTACAAGTGAGAAAGAGTCTTCTGACACGCTTCCATTGACATGCCGCAGGAACGGAAGGGGAGGGAATAGAGCAGCCGTGGACGCAGCGTAAGCTACAATGTAAAACTGAGGCGCAGCGACGACGACGTTTGCGAGAAACTGCCGATACCCAGGAGGATACCAGATCAGCTCTCTGAAAACAACAGTATGCGGACTGTTGCGAGGTTACGATTTCCATGCTTCGCCGAGTCGAAACCCCTGTGCTAAATGCCAACGCATTTTGTTGAGAATCGGGCTGGCGACAGTGGCAATTTCGGAATAATTACAGCGTAGCTGTTAAGGGCTAGTTTTTCCAGGATCGTGTCTGACGCCAAACAAATGTCGACACAACTCCCTGGTTGCCGCAGTCGCTCATAGATGGCGGTGGCTGCCCAGAGCGTTGTGTTTGCCGGTAGTCTGCTTGCCGCCGTCGCTCATAGATTGCGGCAACCTTTCCAGCCTCGGAAACCAGACAACTGGTTGCTGCTGTCGCTCATAGATGGCGGCAACATTTTTTCGGAGGAAGAAGAGCGGGAACGGAACGAGTGGCGATGTGCGCAGTAACGCGAATGGTTCCGCAACCGCCGCGAGGTCGCTATTGCCTAAAGCTCCACTGCGTTGAGCGCTTCAGATTTTTTCGCGAAAGAAGAGCAAATTGGCTCAGCTAGAAAGCCTCCGCCGAGAACAGAAGCTACAGCTCCGCTGCTCTTCCTTCTTCACGAAAGTGGGAAGGCTGAAAGTTTTTTTTTTTTTATAACTTCTACGCCCAACAGCCAGGATCACGAAATCCAACAGTATGATACTCCAGCTTCTGCGACGTCATTTGTTGCCACTGGGGGGCCATGTTCGCTGCTTGGGCGGAATAAAACGCCAAATGCACTGGCCGGAGACGTGTTCAAGGCACCATGGCAACAGCACACTACCATGTGCCCCCTTGGAACCTGGTTTGGTTTAAACCAGGTCTCACTTACCAGCTGTCATCTTATGAGTACCTATATTAAAGCACAAAAGGCTTTCTTAATGTAGTTTCCTCAGCCTTCAACATCAAAAAAGCGTTTAAGCAAGCTTTTCGAAAAAGTGCAGTTGCCACGGAGTTGGCTGGCAGCCAGGTTGATTTCTCGTCTCGCTCCAACTGCATCGCTTCCAGCGATTTGAATACTTCTGCAACGTCTTTATTGAGAGCATTTCGCGCTTTCAGCCCAACTTGGTGTCTGGGAGAGGGCTTTATATCTTTTAAAATAATTTTAGGAAGCTCTTGTATCAAAATGCCATTTCTTTCTCGGTGAACGAGGTTGTGAGTTTGAGCCGCTTGTAAGCACACTTTTTTAATGTTGTTGCTTCGTGGAGCTGGCATTGGCGCTAGTAGCAGACGTGGATTTTAGATTGGACACTCCTGGTTGTGATGTGGCACGTTGGAGATGTGATGCAGAAGCATGTGATGAGGCAGTGGCGCTCAATGTAGCTCGTAGCGGAATTACTAACTACCATCTCGAATACATTGTGCGTGGTAGGTTGTGGGTAGCAAGCAAAACGTTGAAGTCTCTTGTACGAACTAGGGTGCCTCAATGTCCTTCTGTTAAGGGTGATGCCACCCTTTGTAGTACCCGATGCCGACAGCACGCGCTCACTGGGAAAATACAAAGAAATTGACGAAAACAAAATGTCGCCATAGCACAGTCAGTGCCACAAACGCGTGCAGGGACACGCTCTTTCACGCGCTTTTGAACAAAAAAGAAAAATAAATGTGTGGGACAAAATGGCGAGATGTCTCCACCCTAAGCAAAGCGCACATGAAGGCACCCTAGTACAAACTGTCTTGCCTTGTGGGGACTGCCCGGCCATTTGGCATTATTGCAAGGAGTGGGTTTAAAAATAACAAGTTCATCAACATAGAGGTTTTAAATAGAGGTGTGCGAATATCAAAATCGAATAATAAAGGTTACGAATCGAATCGAATATTTTCGAATACGAATAGTAGTTTCAAATAAGGAAGATATTTGAAAACGAATATTTTCTATTTGATGTGAATTAAACAAAAATGCTTAATAAAAAACACATCTGGAATTTTTTTTCAACAAACGTTTATGAAAAGGTTACTTTTATTGCAATAAGAAAAATGTCTCACATGTGACTGTTAAAAAAAAAAACGGATGAAAAAAAGATCAGAGAGTAAAACACCATTCCTTGAGTGAGGTTAGATAACATAAATGAAAGTGCAAAAGTGAAGGCGGGTTGGCAAGCCACAACGCAGTCGGAGATGGCATCGCGGACGAAAGGAGGCACTTGAGCGTAAACGCAAGTAAACAAGCGGCGGCGGGTCCGCAAGCCGCAATACAAAGTCGATGATTGCGTCTCTACTTTGTGCGATCTCTTTTTACGCTCTTGAACGCAACCACGTGAACGTAAACGGAAGTACACAAGCGGAGGCGGGTCGACAGGCCACAGCAGAGTTTCAGATTGCACGATCGCGCTGCGCAACCGCACTGACTATGCACCGTCTCTTTCTGTGTGCAATAGTTCTGTCCATAGAGGGCGCCACAAAGATGCAATCATTTAAGAATATATATATATATTTTTTTTTTTTGGCGGGGGGGGGGGGGGGAGTCTCACTTTTACCAGTGAAAACGGGTAGAAATAAATAACAAAAGGAATACTGGCAAACTGATGAACCGGAAAATCAAACGGAAAATAACACAAGCCAGATATCACCGATAGCCGAGGTGAGCCATAAATTCATATCTGAATCCATAGCACCTTGGCTACTGTAGTCACTGTAAGTACGAAATCACGAATATATGGTTGTGCTACATTAAAAATGAATGTGGACAGGAACGTATACAAGACGTCTCGTGCGGACGCCCGAAAGGTCATGCGGTCCGTCGCGACGATGCATGTGCCGTTGCAAATCATAGTCCTTCATCCTATCTATCGCAGCGTTTGCGAAACGACTACTTAGCCAACTCTGCAATCCGGACATTACGGCAAGCAAAACACAGATCGCGCCACCGTCGTGCAAATAACTTTCCAATCCTTCTTTCAAAAAAAAAAAAAAAGACACTTAGGTTGGTTGTGTAGGTTTGCCAAGCTTGAAACCATACTGCGCAGTCCAAAAACAAAACAGAGAACTCGACCGCAAGTTGACACTAATCAATGAGTTCCGCGTTATTCGTAGTTTTCGAAGTATTCGAAGAACTCGAATAGTTCGAACAGCGAAAGGGCGAAGCGAATCGAATCGAATAGCAAGCATTATTCGCGAAGGATTCGAAGTTTCAAATATTCGCACACCCCTAGTTTTAAAGAGGTTACCTGTTGCATTAATAACTGCACAAATAACTATGGAAATTGTTCATCGAGAACGACGTTGGGGGCGCTGCCGCAGCAGAGCGGCGTGTCCCTTGTAGAATGCTGCACCTATTAGTGGGTTATGCAACTTAAACGATTGACTCAACCTTTGATCTGGTTTACTGATTGTTTTTCTCATTTCACCGTTGCACCATTCTTTCATAGTGGTCCCGACACAAGCCAGCACAGGCACTCCAACGACGACCACCACAACTGCGGCAGTGACGTCACCACGTGAGTACCCCTCCCGCGTACGCTCGGGCACAAGCTGCTCTCAGTCGTAGAGACTTTGTTTGCGGCGTCTAAAGTTTTGGTGAACCAATGATTCAGCTCCGTCCGTGATTCGTCGCGCCATTCTATCGTCCTCGATTGCTTGATCCTCCAGAGGTTGGATTCCAAAATATGGAACCTGCGTGCTAATGTCTTTTCATTTACATTGAACGTATTGCTCTGTGCTTGCATCGGCTTCTTTTAGTACGCAGCTCTTAGGCGCCCGTTTCCGGCTTGAGTGGCGTCGGCGAAACCGTGATGTCACGTGACCCCGGTGTGGTCGCGTGACCCCCGTGAGATCGCGGGACCCCCGTGAGGTCGCGTGACCCCCGTGAGGTCGCGTGACCCCCGTAAGGTCGCGTGACCCCCGTGAGGTCGCGTGACCCCCGTGAGGTCGCATGACTTCCGTGAGGTTGCGTGACCCCCGTGAGGTCGCGTGACCTCTCAATTACGCTGATGGCGACGCCGCTCAGAAAAAGGAGTAGCAGACAGGATGAGGAGGAGGGAGGAGGGGTATACCCTCCCTTCAGTACCCTTTCCTGCTTCTCAAGAGCTGCACTCTAATTCGGCGTTAGAGGGAGTTCTAAATGACATTCATTTTTCTTCTACTTTGTTCCGAGTTGCGCTGATTTTGGTTCACAGTGAGACGCGCTTCCCAACCGACCCCTCCCGGAAGGACACCTGCAGTCCAACCTAGTGTGTACATTGACATCTTCCGTTCTTATGTCAAACGATCACCTTAATTGAGGTCCCTTCACAAACTACTGTTTCCTCGCAACCAAGTTTGTGTGATCTCCTAGGCCCGCTTCAGGTGGGGCGATTTATCCCAGCAACTTGGCATCGCAACACGAGCAACACGGGCCGCCCACATTCACACGCAGCAACCATTTCCTGAAATTTGCTGTCATTATCGTCACATTTTTTTTTTTTTTTCACTATTTAGACACACAGTTACACGCTATAAACATGTTTCTGTACGTTTAAAGGGCGTTGAGAATACTAACTCATCTTTCTGAAACGGTTTTATTTTCAAAAAACAATGAATTTCAAACCAAAACCAAGTCTTTAGTTGTCATCGTCAGCGGCACGGGGTATAGAGTAAAAATATTGCGTCCCTGAATGGCTGCTGCCGCTTCAAACGTCTTCGAATTGCTCAGAGTTGCTTGTTTGTTTCAAGCCGGACCCGATTTCAGCAATCCGTGTCAATCTAGGGAAACCTAGGGAACAACCCGCCAGTAACACCGAAATTGCCGAGATAGTTGCCCCGTCTGAAGCGGGCCTTACGACGAGAGAACATGCTAGCAGACTGGCACCATCTATATTTATTTATTTATTGTACCTCGGGGCCAAAGGCATTACAGAGGAGAGTGCAAAAAAAAAGGTGGAACAAAAATAACATGAGCAAAGGTTAAACATTTGGAAATGTGTGGTTACTAACACTTGACCAAAAAAGAGCACCATCAAAAATTGATGTGAGTGATGAAGGTAAATGATTCCAGTCGTGCCCTCTAGAGAACGTTGCATCTATTAGGGGTTATGCAAATTAAATGAATGGCTCAACCTTCGATGTGGTTTACTGATTGTTTCTGTCATTTCACCATTCCACCTTTCTTTCATAGGGATCCCGACACAAACCAGCACAGGCACTCCGACGATGACCGCCACAACCGCACCTGTAACGTCACCACGTGAGTACCCCTCCCACAAACGTGCGGGCCCAAGTTGCTTTCGGTCGTAAAGGCTCTCTGCGGCGTCTGAAATTTCGGTGCACCAATAATTCTGCTTCGTCCGTGATTTGTTGGTCCATTCTACCGTCCACGATTGCTTGAACCTTCAGAGGATGATTTCCGAAATATGGAACCTGCGTGCCCGTGTCTTTTCATTTGCATTGAACGTATTACTTTGTGCTTGCGTCGGCTTCTTTTTCTTCTATTTTGTTTTGAGTTGCGCCGATTTCGGTTTACGGCTAGCCGCACTTCCCAACCGATCCCTCCCGGAAGGACACCAACAGTTGGACCAAGAGTGTACGCTGACATCTTCCGTTCTTATGTGAAACGATCGTCTTAAGGCCTGTTCATGAACTACCGTTTGCTCACGACCGAGTTTGTGTGATCTCTTACGACGAGAGAGTATGCTGCTGCCATCTAAATTTATTTATTGTACCCTCAGGGCCAAAGGCATTGCAGAGGGGAGTGGTAAAAGATGAAATTATAAAAATAACATGAACAAAAGTTAAACACTTGGAAACGTGTGGTTACTAACATTTGAGCAAAAGAGAGCAATGTCAAAAATTTATGTGGGTGATTAAAGTAAACGATTTCAGTCATTTGACACTCTTGGGATGAAGGTTGCGTAAAATATGTTATAGCGACAAAATGAAACGCCGACCTTGTAAAGATGATCGAGGCGACAAGAAATTAAAGATGGTGATGTTATTAGCTTATCTTTTAGTATGAGGTTATGATGGAATATATTGTGAAAAAGACAGACTCGAGAGATTCTGCGGCGACGTTCGAGACTCTGTAGGACTAAGGAGTTTTTCATGGAACTAACTATAGCCGTACGATGATAATTTGCCAAAATGAAATGCACCGATCTATTTTGTACAGCCTCAAATGGTTTAGCAAGGTCATTTGTTCCAGGACTCCAGATGGAGGCCACATATTCAAGCTTTGATCTCACTAATGTTTTAACTAGAGGTAGTTTTAAAGATGAAGGTGTTAGTTGGAAGTTATATTTAAGATAACAGAGCATCCGGTTAGTACTTTTAATTATATGAGAAACATGCAGGTTCCTGGTAAGATCGCAGCTTGGGATTACACTGAGGTACTTGTAAGGTTCTACAAGTTCTAATGCAGTGTTGTAAAGGCTATAAGTAGCACTAAAAGCAGCCTTTTGGGTCATTTGCATTAGTTTGCATTTGTTAATGTTTAGTTCCATGGACCAGAGTTCACGCCATTGAAAATTAGAATCCAGATCATGCTGTAGCCAGTGGCGGCACCAGGGTCAGCGGCACCCGGGGCGGCCCCTCTCAGCTACACCCCCCCGGGCTCATCACCCGTCGCAACACTATCCCCCCCCCCCCCTCTTCTCGCAGCCCGCCGTGACACCCCCCGGAGCGCTGCACCCAAGGCGGTCCGCCGCCCCCGCACCCCCAATGTGACGCCACTGACTGTAGCTGTTAGGAATCAGAGTCATTAGATATTATTCGGTAATTAGCACAATCGTCGGCAAGCAATCTTGGAGGAAACAATACTTGGTAGTAAATCATTAATATAGATTAGAAAGAGTAAAGAACTTTGAAGGAACTTTTGGACCCTTGGGGTATTCTGGAGGAAACAGATGTAGAAGTGGAACAAATACCATTGCAACACACAAATTGGGAACGATCAGTTAAAAAAAGCTTCTATCCAACTAAGCACGTTATGATCAATGTTAAGCTTGTTTAGTTTATATAGAATGAGCTTCTGTGATGCCTTAACAAAAGCTTTCGCAAAATCAAGAAAAATACTGTCCCTGATCAAAAGCAGCATGAAAATCATTAGTAATGGAGAGGAGCGGCATTTCGCATGAAAACGTTTTCCTAAACCCATGTTGAGCAGCAGAAAAAAAACGAGTAAAATTTCAGAAACCCTATAAGTTGTGAATAGGTGATGTGTTAAAAAATTTTACAAGGAATGCTGGTTGGTGAAATGGGTCTGTAATTGAGAGGAGAGTCCCTTTTACCAGACTTATGAAGGAGAATTACTTTGCCAATTTTCCAGTCGCCAGGCAGAACAGATGTATAAAGTGTCTGTTGAAATATATGTGCAAGGATGAGAGAGGTGTATTGGTATGTCGATTTTAAAAATGAGTTAATTTCATCGACACCAGTTGCAGAAGTCAACTTAAGACCGTTTATGATTTTTGAGACGCCGTCTGGGCTGATTACGATATGGTCCATCAATGAAACACCGTTAACAAGGTAAGGCGGCTCTGCAGTGTTGAAGGAGTTTGAGAACGATTTGATGAATATTTCATTAAAAATGGAAGCAAACAGTGAGTTATCTGAGTTTCATCTGTTATGAGTGAAATAGTAGGTGGTGAGGTGACCCTCGAGCTGCATTCCGCTAGAGAGGAGGTTTTGCAATTGTTTTATTGTTGCTTCAATTGTTTTAGCACAGTTTTTAAACTGCTCTAAAACATTTTTTTTCTGGGGGGGGGGGGGGGGGGGAGGGGGGTTTATTTTGGTCATTTGTCTCCTTTTCAGGCATTTGAAAAAAGCATATTGTTTTTCATTTTTTAATCCTTCTTTCGTTAGTAATGTGGGGGAGTGCTGGGTTACGCTGCTACCACGGTAACAGTAGCATTCCTTATCTGGAGCTACACAAGAAAGCGAGGTTTACAAATATTGTTCGTGGTTCGTTTCCCGCCGGTGTGGCGAGGAATGCCGCCCGCGAGCATTGGGACAGCTTGTCCGGTGAGTTCCCTAACACGAATGAAAGAGATACGTCGAGGACAATACAGGTTTCTTTGATACTATTATTTTTAGGGGAAGTTCTTAAAGTGGGGAAGATTTACGTAAAAATAAATTGGCTCTTTACCCAAAATGGAGTGCAACACGCACCCAGCAGTCGCCGAAAAAATTTACCTGGTCCAGGATTCAGTCTTGGGACCTCTTTGAGACAAGTAGACTGCTCTGTCAACTGAGCTAACCAGGAGCTGGCGGTCAGTTGAGCAAACGGTTCTGTTTTTGGTTTTTCCCATATCTTTTTTTTAACATAGGTATACCCGTTCTTCGTCGCACTCGTTTTTCCAAGGCTGGGCGCACCTTCTTGCAGCTTTCGAACCGACAAAAGAAACCACCGGGGATCCACCGACAGTGGGTGAAGGATCAGGGATGCTGGCACTCTTCAGCGTGCTCCTAGTTCTTTCCGTGGCTTCCATGGCCGGCGCAATCCTGCTGTTGCGGTTCTACTGTAAGGCCGAGGCATCGAGAGGCAGCGACACCTGAACTAGAGCAACAACCTAAGGCCAAGTGTCGGCAACGACCGATCAATTGTGGTCGACGGCTACCTGCGATCACCTTCTTCAGGTTGTGTAGCCGGTTCTGAAGTTTAGGTGAGGGTGCGTTATGCTCGAAGGACATAAAAGGGGTGTGCTTTCACGGGGAGTAGGTATTGGCAGTCCCAATGAAGCTCGGCAAAACATCATTATCGGCAAGAAACTGATGGCCAACGTTCAGCCCCTTTGCGCTGCCATTGCCGTTTTGATCGGCTATAGCTAGGATTCAGTGTTTTCTATGTGCGTGCAAATAGTGGATTTTTAGTTGGAAATTGAATTCCGAGCGAATAGTGGTTTTGAACAAATGCTTTCTAATCAAATATTGAATAGTTTGCCAAAGCCTTTTACTACCACACACCACGCTTGAACGAAAATTCAGCTGAACTCGTGAAGTTTGTTCCCGACTTTCAAATTGTCCACTTCTAAGCTCCGTTAATTTTGATATACCTATATGAATTCGGCATATAAATGACATATTTGTTCCAGCTATCCTAATCAAAGGGATTTATAAATCTGCTCATGACATGCATATATTCTTGCTTCCATTTAAAATTTGGCGAAAAAAACCAAAAACAACAAGCACAAATGACGAATGCTGGCCATCAAGAGATCACTGCCTAACATACTCTCGCATAATCTCTGCGGGTTAGCACCGTTGAGTGCGCTTCTCACTAAGCACGTTTGCACTGCAGGGAAGCAGTACCTGCGGAGCCGACGCGCTGTGCGGTTATTGCTTCCCCGCAGTGCACAGGTGCTCGGTGAGGAAGACATTGAATGGGGCTAACCCACCGCGATCAACACTTCGGAAAGTATGAACATCGCAGTTCATCTCGAAGCGAACATCAAAAGCGCATTACAGATGGATTCTCGTTTATCTGAACCCAAGGGGGACCAAAACTTTGCTTGAATAATGCAAACTTTGAATTACCGGAAGTTTTTTTTTCTTAGGAAAGTGTAGGACGGGACCTGCACGTTAATTTGAATTATTCGCGAGTTTGAATTAACGAGATTCCACTGTACTTGAATCTACTATTCAAATTTTCACGAACACTAGTGTTTTCGGATAACTGAGAAAAACACTTGCTAGTAAAATTTTCGTAAAACCGGATCCATTCTATGAACTCCAAACTTTAATGTTTCAATACAAAAGGAAAAAAGGTGATATTTTATGATTAAGTTTCATCAGAGCCTGCAGGGTTTGTTATCCTAAGAAACTGCTACTCCAGTTTTTTTTCAAACCACGGATTATTCACAAAGGGGGCTTAACGCTCATCTCGTCAAGATTCATTCGGGACTATAGGTAAATGTACCTCTGGGTCAAGACAAAAGCTACTGCTCCAGTTTCCAGCTTGGACCATAGCATTTTTGCTCTTTTAGGGAGAGGAGGGTTCTGTTTGTGTGACAGTGAAAGCTACGAACCCCAGAGATTTCATTGAAGGGGGAAGGGAAGAAGGGCGCTTGATGCTTTACCACTCAACCCAGTGCACTTCCAGGGTTTGTTGATGGAATAGGAGGGCATGCAAACAAGCTTCCCAGCGACCACCTGCAGTGATTTAAAGATATTGTCGTTTATTGAAGCAACACTTGTTCGCATATTTTTCCATGGGACAGATTTATAAGGCCAATGGCAAGGACACCAATGCCTAAGCCAGCTGAAGAAATATTATTTCATACAAGTGCATTCTTTTGAATCTAGCACATGTTTACAACGGGATATTATTTATGATTATTTTATATTAGAGCGCAGCTCTTAGGCGCCTGTTTCCGGCTTGAGTGGCGTCGCCGTCAGCGTAACCGCGTGGTGCATTATGGGAAATATCCCATAATGCAACGCGCTGGACTCGTGACGTCACGAGGGTCACATGATGTCACCAGGGTGACGTGACCTCACGGGGGTCATGTGACGTCACCAGGGTCACGTGACCTCACGGGTGTCACGTAGCGCCATCAGGGTCACAGGACCTCACCAGGGTCTTGTGACCTCTTGGGTGTCACGTGACGTCAAGGAGGACAGGAGGAGGAGAGGGTGCTGATGAGGAGGAGGGACACACCATCCCCTCCATACCCTCCCTTCCTCCTCCTCAAGAGCTGTGCTCTAATTTGGCGTTACAGGAAGTTGTAAACGTCTTTCACTTTTTTTAGATACAAAACATTAGAAAATTAAACTTCAATTTTTGGAGAATCGGGAATCTATCAAACATGAACTCTGAAAACACGGAACCCTAGCTATAACTACGGTTCCATGCATTGAGACAAATCCGAAAGAAATGTGAAAAACACTCGCCAGTAAATGTTCCGTCAATTCGGGTTTATCCAAAACTTCTGAATCTCGAGGTCATGATGACAAAATAAAAAGCAAAAAGATAGTGTTTCACTAATAAACTTCGTAAGAGCACAGGGTCAGTGATCCTGAGGAGATGCCAAAGCATTTTCCTTTTAAATCTTGAAACTACTGACAAATGTGGTTTGCCTTTTAGCTCGTCAGTGTTCCTTTAGGACAACGAGTGATGGTACCCAGACTTTTTTTTTGTTTTTGAATTTTTTAAAAATTGGGAACACAATAAAATAAATTCAAAATTTCCGAGAATTGGCGATCTAACATAAAAAAAAAAACTCCTATAAACCCCAAATTCCCAGCAAAAAATAAACTCCGAAAAGCAACCTCTGAATTTCACAAAAAATAAACTCCGAAAACATGGAATTCTAGCTATATAACGTATCTGCCATGATTTCTGGGGGCTTCATTGTTTGATCATTAGATGCTTCATGAAAGCTTCCTATATGCTGCAACAGTTCCTTTTGCAGCTTTGTGCTTTTGTCGCTTGCTGTCACACTTATTGCCTGACCTGAATCGAGAGTAGATCGAGGCCAATGTACTACACTTTTTGATGGCTGAAGCTGTGGAGGCATCGGAACAACGAAAACTTAATTCATGTTGTCGATAACCCATTGACGATTCCAGGTAGGGTGCTAACCGGTCTGCCCTAATCCCAGGATCCACCTCTGTGGGAGTGCCGCAGAGTAGGAGGTGGCATGTGGCAGGAACGTCCTCAGAACCGGCAGGCCGCTGCGATTGGACGGAACTGCCCCACATGCGAGGACATTAGACGGTAACTGGCTCCGCCTCCTTTCTGGCTTAGCATAGACAAAGTGCAAGACCACACCTCTCCTTTTTAACCGATTCTAAGGGAGTAACGTGTTGCTCCCGCAGCCGAAACATCATATTCCCGGTCATATATGACTGGTTGTATCCAGAGTCGTAAATTGGGAGAGTTTGGCCGGTTTATGATCTCGCCGCCGTAACGCCCCCCTGCGGAGTGAGCCAATCGGCCCGCGGTGCAAAATTTGGGTTATTTCCTTTTCTATTGCTGGCTCTGGCAAGAAAATGATATACCTACTGTTGTTCCTTTATGGGTTAAAAAGCTAACGAATTAAGTTTTTCGACGTCTTACCACAAACTTTTATTCGGGTGAAGAATAGGTCAGCCCGTAGCAGACGACGCGTAGCCTCAGCAGTGCTCTGCGCCGACAGGGTTGCCTCAAAATGGCAGTCGTCTCCTCTGCTTCCTCTTTTCCCTCTCACCCCTTCGGTGCTCCTCTCTCTTTCTTTCACTTTTCTCCTCTCCAGCGCCTTCGTCGCCACACCCAATGGCCAGACTCTCCCAATATACGGCTCTGGTTGTACCAACCCCCGAATTCTGCGCTATATATTTGCTGGTGAAAGTTTTTTTGTTTTTTGTAGTTGGAAAGTTTAGGGTATAACTCGTTGGTTGTTGCTGGCCTGATAATTTTCTTGTTTCCTTATGGCTGCTGCCCTTTTCCCTCTTTGTTAAAAGGAAGATACTCCACTGTGGATGGTGGATTGCCTTCCGTATACCCAAGACTGGAATAAATGTGAATATACATCTACAGCATTCCTACAGCATGTTACAACCAACACAGTCAACTGTCTTTCAGTGAGCTATGATGGACCGTCAAAAACTTTAATTGTGGAAGTGATTTTTTTTTAACAGTCTTGCACAAAAAATTAAATGGGCTAAACGAAGACATATACTGGGTGTTTTTTTCTTAAGCCCGGATTTGTTTAAAGAAAGCCGTGAAAGCTATATACACTTACGGCCGTAAGTGTATATGCAGATGAGTCATACGGCCAGGAGGACATAGTATATAGGGATAATCATAAAAATCAGTCGGCTAATTAGGTAAAATTTGTTAATCAAGGCTGGGGCTTTAATAACAGATGGAAAAATCTCACGGGTGCCTTATCGCGCCGGTAGCCTTGTACCTAGCTGCTCCACGAGTGGTAACTTCAGTGCACCACTGCGCTCCTCACGCGCTTGTAGTCTTTATGCAAATTACTGATTTAGTGGTTTTCGGTGACGCTCAGCAAGTTTCTAATTAGAACCATATGTCTATTTTCAATATTTAAAAAGTTAATTAACCAGGTTTACTCAATAAGCCGACTGATCGTTGAGATTAGCCCCCTATCCTATGTCACTCTGGCCGTAAAACTCACCTGCACAAACCGCAGAGATCTAGCTTTCATGGCTTTTTTTAAACAAATCTGCTGAAGCTTTTAAAAAGCACCCTGTATGCTTTATCTGCAAGTGGCATTGCAGGCCTGTTTCACGATTTTCTAACAGACAACTTACGTTTTTGGGGCCGTAAGGCAGCGCATTTTTTTGCCACCGTGACCATCAGCGTTTCTTGGCCATGGGGGTGATTGTGTCTAACAATTGCTAATTTCTACTAAAGCACCCAGATGTTGAAGAGGGATAGGGCACCTTTTCTAAATGAAGATCATAGCATCCTTTCATTTCATTTTCTGCTCATCCTCCGTACACCGTGTCCCAAAAAATATTTACAGGGTTTCTTTGACTGCAAATATTAATGACATATCGCTGAATGCCCTTCCCCCGCATACATGTAGCGCCAGAAATTCGAACCAGATGCCAAAGTTTCAGAATTAGCCGTTATTTAATTAAAAGTTTAAATTGATTTTTTGAGAATCTGAATTGGAAAAATGGGGCCGCCCATTCTATATAACTGCACCATTCAGCTCTAAGTGTTCAAGGCCTCGTCAACCACCATTATCCCCTTAAAAATTTCAGCAAACCACTTATAACTTTTGAATAGATAGATGACAGTTAGTTCTGGAACTTTGGCATCTATCGGGTGATTCAAGGAGCGGCCAGGCTCTTTGAATCGACCGCAAAATTCGGTTTCTTAACGTATCGCGTTCCGATTCTGTACAGTGTTGGCCACAGGTGGTGCATTTTTTTTATAAAATTCGCAAAGAGGAAAAGTAAAATAGAAAAAGGCTTAACTCCTATGGAAACGCAGCGAAGTCATCGGTCTTCAAATCATAGGGCGACCAATGGTTTGAAGACCGGTGGCTTCACTGCGTTTCCATAGGAGTGAAGCCTTTTTCTTTTTTTTCTCTTTTTTTTACTTCTTCCTCAGGTAAGCTCGCTCTTTGCAAATTTTACAGAAAAAATGCACCACCTGTGGCCAACGCTGTACAAAATCGGAATGCGATAGGTTAAAAAACCGAATTTTGCAGTCGATTTAAAGAGCCTGGCCGCCCCTTGATATCACCCAGTAGTTTAAACTTCTAGTGCTACATTTCGATTGTGAATGAGCCTTCGGTGATGGATAGTTTAGTTTTGCACTAAAGTAAACCTCGTAAGCTTTTTTGGGGGGGACACCTTGTACAACAGCATGATGTGAGAGCAGGCAAAATAGGGCTGCATCTTCTGAATCTGTTCCACTTTCATGTTGTTTTTGCAGTATCAGTGGGCCTCAAGGACTCTGCCAGTGTCTGCTGCAGTATGCGTAAGACAAGAAAAAAAAAAGTAGTTTCTTCGTGCATTTTATTGAATAAACTGTCCTGAATGTGTATGGCAACACCACAGATTTAGTACTTTCTTGAGGAATGTGACCTTAGCAGTGCAAGTATGCAGCCTGCCGTATTTTCACATAATTTAATAAACGCTTGCTTTTTAAGCGTGTGGAATTGTTGCTTGACTCTCCAGCAGGGTGTAAGATATAGCAAAGTGGAAAGTTGAGCCAGTTGATTCATGGTTCTTTGAATGGCAGCTTCCTCTTGGCCTTCTCCACCGAGCGCTTGACTGGTGGCATTCGCGGCTGCTAATCTAGTCACGTGGGGCAATACAGAACAATCTGCTCAAGGGGCGTCTTGCCTGCTCTATCGGCCAGAAACGCAGCATTGCAATCTTATTTTAAGGTGAAAGCCTTATATGTCTCATCGTATTCAGTCGACCTGTTGAGGTGTGTTGATGACTACCTGATTCTGCTGAAAGGCAACGATAACACAGACATTGAAAGTGTGGTTGCCGCGATGTTACAAGTGTTTACGGATTGTTCTTCGGGACTAAAGTTTAAGTGTGAGGCCACTTCTGAGGGTGCCCTACAATTTTTAGATCTCAATCTTCGATGTGAGCCCTCACATTTGTGTTGGCCCTATGAGCATAGATCTAAGAAGGGGCTCTTAGTGTATGAATCCACACACTCTAAGACAGTGAAAAGAGCCATTGCACTGTTCAGTCTCTGCACCGCCTTGTTTAAGTCGTGCCACTGTGGTGTGGTGACAGTTTTTAGTTGCAATGCAAAAGGTTGTCAAATGCTGGTTTCCCTTTGGGAGTTGTCATGGGCGTCGTGGAATCCTTGGTTAAGGTGTTTAGAGGGCCTGGTAGTACTGAGGCAATGCTGAAAAAGAGGCCGTATCTCCACGTGGTGAATGCCGCGTGGAGATACGGCCCCGCAGCGCCCTCTCGTCTATAAACGTTGAGCCAATGCATGCAAAGTTTAACACAATTATTTACGCATTTGACCGCAGCGCCCTCTCCTGTATAGACGTTGAACGGCTACATGCAACGTTGGAGTGTAGCGTAGTGGTTGTGACGTCTGCCTCGTAAGCAAGCAATCCCGAGTTCGAACCCCCGTGCGGGCGTACGTTTTTTTTTTAAAGTGGGCCGATCCCGAAGGCAGTGCAATTGATGTGAGCACGGACGCCGGACAGATGGACAAGGCTAGACCCTAAGGATCTTCACTCCTAAAAACCAACGGTATGACCTGTGGTCTTGCCGTATATGCACACTTGCCCTGGTTAGTGATGCGATAACTTTTATCAGAAAGGCGGATAAATACGTGTAGCTGCGTGTCGGCTTTATGGGAAGAAGACGTGTTATCGGGTCGATTGCTTGTATGTTTATCTGTTTTCAAGTTTACTTGCTGAACGGCGCAGAAGTAAAAATTCAATTGTAAGTCATCGCTGTGTCTGTGTGTTTCCTTTTACTGATCCTTCATCGTTTTGCGCTGTTTTAACTCACTCAATATGACCATCAACCAACTCGCCCAACTTTACACCTTGTTGAAGGAAAAAGTGTTTGGCAATTCACTGGGAAGTGCTTTGCTGTTCGAGGTGAGAACGGGAGTTTTGAGGACGAGGACGTATAGGGCTAAATTTCAGGAGACACACAGATTATGCACCACCTGCCATAATGATGGCGAGACACTGGAGCACTTGGTTTTGAAGTGCGCGGGGCTTCGCCCTGCCCTCCCTGAAGGAGTAACGGATATGGCTGGCGCCCTGGGTTTTACTGGCGACGATGGAAGGACGGAAGAGAAAAGGGTTATAGCGACAAAGAGGCGGTTAGAAGATTGGTGGAAATTGTCTAGGGAAAATTAAATGATGAACAACTAACTAGCACAGCTGGGGACAGGCGGGACAGAGGAAAATTGGGACTCCCTCCCGCGTGGCTCCGGTCCAAAGTCTCAATCCTGCCTCCCAGTGGGTCCGGTGGTGGGGTAACGCCGACAAGGTTTGACCAGAAAAAGATTGGCAACTCCGTCGCCAATGTCTTTTTTTTTTTTTTTTTGCTCGATTTTCTGAAGGTCATTCTGGTAATATTCCACACACACTGCCTGGTGATATAAGGGCGAGAGGAATCCTGTTTTTGTCTTTTTAGACTTAGCCTAGGTGGCGCAAGCTGCCACCCGTTAGAAAGGGTATAGCCAGGTATAGCCATTAACATCTATCCAGTGAGCGCCACAATTATACATCTATACATCTAGCTCACCTCCCCCTCCGCCATTTCTTTTGGCTCCTACGGGGAGCGGTGATGGTGATGGTGGCTGCTGCCGTTGTTCCGCGCTAGCGACGAAGATTGTGCTCTCCCAAGCCGCCACACGCGAAAGCCTCGACGCATGACGTAGCCGCCTCCAGCGTCAGGGCCCAGGCCTCGACCCTTCCGAGCAACAAAGGCGACGATGACCCCGGGAGCGACCGAGGGTTTCCAGCCCCCCGACGCAGCAGCCGTCGTCATGGTTCTAGTCGACTGAGGCTGCGCGTCTTCGAGACACAGTTCAGGTGACGAACCGATCGGTTATAGAGCCGCCGAAGGCGTCTGTTTGAGCTCTCGGCGCGGTTTCGAAACTTTAAAGGGGCGCGGGCCGTGGCTACGGACTGTGTTGGGTCGAGGCGGAACCCGGATGACTCGCCTTTGATATTGGCTCACTCGGCTGGGGTGACACATCCCTCGCGCTGGGCTTCCTTTCGCGTCGGATAAGCAGCCCGGGGCACCGCTTCGCTGCCCCCGGCTCGCCTTAATTCGGGAGCTTCCACAACTCTCGGGCCACAGGGGGTGGGCGTGACTTGAGTGACTCTAGCTTTTTGGCAGAAAAAAACAATTCATGTCTTGCTTGCGCTCAAGGATGGAGCTCTAGGCGGTCGTTGTTCGGTGAGTGGCTTTCGGACTGGCCGCCCCCAACAGTCGAGAAGTCTGACGGTTGTTAGATACAGAAACTTTATGCATGCCAATGTCGGCAAAAAAAAAAAAAAAAAAAAAAAAAAGCTTGCGTGGGTGCTAGCATTGGGAGGTGTGGCAGTTCTTCAGCGGGTTTGTTAAAGGCCACCTCTATCTATTGAGGTGTGGTTCATCGGTTATCGAACTTCATAATCTTGCCTCCCCGTTGGCCTGCTGCCATTTATGCGCTTCAATTGACCGAGATAAATGTTGCTGGAACGTCGGTAATTCGGCGATCGACCTCAACTCGAACTTATTTGGATAGCTAGGGGAAAGAGAAAAAAGCAACGCAGGTGTTGCTCGACAAGCTGCTGTCTCCCCCACAGCTGCAATTTTTTTTCTTTTTTTCTGGCTGATAGCATTTAATTTTTCGGTATATTTATGCAAGTATTAACTGAAAAGAAAAGCTTCCACCTCCCATTGCAGGGTTCCAGCCATGCTTCTCAAACTCACTTGGGCTCAGTAAATTTCACTTGGAGTCCAACCTAAAAAAGTGTACGACTACCAATCTTGCAGCTGGTTCACACAGTTGCATTTAACTTTAATTGAGTGCAACATGCTTTCTCATATGTTATTTCAAGGTAACACACTGGTGCCATTATGAGGTGGCCCTGGAACTGCATTTAACCTGAGAAGTTTTTGCGCCATTTGCAAGATGAAGTGCATATGCTATTTATGAGAAATAATTGTCTACTACATTGTCAAAATATTTTAAGGCCCACGGTAAAAGCATGATGCACGAAACAAATGGGAAAAATATAAAAATTGCAGGTGCTCCAGAGCTAGCTGACAGATGGTGCCAGTGTCTTCTCTCGTCCTAAGAGATCACAGGGCTGCACAGCCCCCTCGGTTGCGCTCAAACACAAGTGTGTGAACCGGCCTTTACTTTCCGCCTTCGCATACATACACTGCACAGGGAAGGCCTTTCTTTTGGGAGGACTTCGGCTTGCTAGATTTTTATCTCATTGTGGTCCCTCGCAGTGTGAGTGTCTCTTTCATGCACCCGCCCTGACGTTTGTATTGCATGTGGACACCGTTTTTATTTTTTCCAGACCTGGCAGCATGGTAGCATGGGCACCGAGCATGCCTCTGTGGCTGCCTGTCCTGTGGGCACTTCTCCTGGTCCCGTTGCCACCGTGTGGTACGTCCACTTTCTTTTGACTGCCTTTTTGGCACTCTCCAAAAGACCCATTCGTCCCACGTTTGTGACGTGTAATCTGCCGTGTTGCATACGAGTCGAACAAAACGGGATCCCACGAGTCGAGACGCAACTGCAAAAATCGTCCCCGACTTGTTCTGGAAGGCGTGGCAAACTCAATTCCTTTCAATTGACAATATTATTTTGTGTGTCCCCCACCCCTCTTCTTCACCACGAGATATGACAAATCTGTCAATTGTTTCTTGGTTGGTCATCAAGACTAGTAGGTGGATGCGCATCTGGTGTTAGGACCTAGCAGAACACGAAGGCAAGACTTTGTTTATTTGGTTATTTATTACGCCAAGGGAGCATCGCTTCCAGCAGCACAATAACTCTGTACAAATTAAAAAAAAAAAAATTGTACAGTTTAGTATTGTCATTTTGCCAGTTGTAAGGCCAAAGCAGGTTGTTAAGCATTTTAAAAGCAGAACCACCTAAAGTATTAAAGTGTTATCAAGAAAACAACACACATTTGCAGTATATGTGCATAGACAATAGATATAACAAATAGGTCAATAGTTGACAACATAACAATACATCAAAATACTGGTAAATTAAACTAGCACTGCAAACAATGTGAAAATGGAAATGGAACAGAGAAAATAAAAATAGAATGTCGTAGAATGTAGAGAATGCGAGTGTAATTTCTTCGGTCACGCGTCTTCGGTGAAGAACGATTGTTTGCAGGAAGAGAAAGTTTTGGTGGGAGTCTATTCACAATCGTGCTGAAAGTTGACCCCAATCTGTAACAATAATTTTTTTTTTGCAAAGTTGTTTGAGTTTGGTCCGAGAGGCTTCACTGGCAACATTGAGAGCGTGACATCAGACGTCTGTTCTTGTGGGAGATCTAAACTAGGCTAGGTGGCGGTAGCTACCACCCGATATAAAGGTTAAAGCCAATATTCATCCATCCATCCATCCATGTTGTAATCGGGGCAATAGGGGAGTTTGTTCCCCACGGGTCAAAAGAAGTTCGATAGAAGAAAGATGCACGAAATACTGCGTTTTTTAGATCGCATGTTCGACTTGCAAGTTATTCAACATTTGACTTCACCCGACTGGAGAGTGTGGAAAAATTGGAATGTTGGTTTTGGCATCGCTTTTATTTGCCATTCTTTTCTCAATCGGTATTTGGAATTTATAGGTAATAAATAGCATGTCGGGAAGAGTTAATCATGGGTGTTCCGAAAATGTGTATGGATAGTTCAGAAAACCGCCGGAGCTCCCTTTCGAGACTTCACTCCAAACACTGCTTTTGACGAGGGCACGAGTGAGTAACGCGAGACGTGCCATGCTCTGCTTGACAGCCGGAGACTGCGACCCGGACCAGCTCTCGGACGACAAGCTGAAACAGACGAAGGACTACACCACTCGGAGGTCGTTTCCAAATGGTACGGTGCACGCCTACAGGTGCCAGAACGGCTACCAGCCCGCCAACGAGCTCCGCAACGCCACCTGTCGCGGTACCGTCTGGGTGCTGGACACTGAACGACCCCTCAACTGTCACGGTGGGTGGTGCCATTTCTCGGCTCTGCGTCGGTCGGAGCCGCAGACTACCCGTAGTACCGCGCGCCGCGACCTCTAGCCCGGAAAGTAACCGAATCCACCGATTGAGTGGCGACTGTCCCGTCAACGTCGATCGCAGTATGTGGGGTCGCAGCATTTCAAACTGCATTGCTTGACCTTCTGTCGTGGTGCAATAACATTTTTGCGGCTCTTTGAAAACCCATAGACGTTGAAAGGCCTCCAAGGAACCCCCTGAACTTGGATATTCAGTGCCAAATACGGTGTTTTGAGCTTGAAAACTTCAATCAACTGCATTAGAGCTGTCGTTTCCCAAGTTCCGGTGGGCAGTAGTAAATTACGATTGATTTCGGAGAAAATTGGTAGTGTCATGCTGCATTTCTCATGAGAAAATTGTCCTGAACAAGCGTCGTGGACAAATTATGCGCTGGGAGCGTTACAGACGTTCAGGTTGTATATAAGTTTTATAAAGTTCCGGCAGGGTGGACACTATGGCCACAGCTCTAGCATGAGCATGGGGTCTGGGAGGGTAAATTATTTTATTTGAATGAAAATGTCCTGGCAAGAGTGGCAAGTTTTGAATGAAAAAAGAAATTAAATAAATACCAGGTAAAATAAATAGAAACAATTAAATTAATTAAAACAGGACAGTAGAAAAATAAATTAAAATAATAAATAAGTAACAAAATGAAAGTATAACTAATAAATCAATTTAAGTAAAAATGAAAAGAAAAATAAATAAATATGCTAAAAATTAAAAAAAGCTAATAAAACCATGGGAAAAGTTTTTGCACAAACAACACACGGAGCAGTTTATGCGGGAGCACATTGTGCTCTTTGTAAGCATCATTGAGGCTGTATGTTTTCCTTAAATATTCGTAAGGTCCTCTCTGGCTTATGTGCCCATACTTCAGTACCAAGACTGCTTCCCGTAAATTGTCGGCGTTTTGCGTCGCCCTTTGCAGCGACAAATCGCGCAACACTGGTTGTGACACCAAATAAGCTACACTTTCGAGCAACAACCCTTTGGCCGTCTTGGCGCTTGAAATCATGGTTGTCAGTCATCCGAAGCTCTGTCTAAAATCGCAGGAAGCGCTTTACCGTCCTTCGGAAACGGTTCACGACAGTTCAAATCGACGTCGCCTCTCGACACCGTGTGTAAAGCTCACCAAGTCGCATTCTTTTTATTGCAACAATCTTCAATTACGCCCGCTCTGCACAAGGCACAAAAAATGGTTGCGCCCACAAGACAGCCGGGAAAGGGAGTGCCGACACCAGCCCAGCTTATACAGTGACTATAATCTGTTGCAGGTTAGGGAAAGTGGGACCAAGCTTTCTTACAAAGTTCTCTTCTAGCCGTGATTAGTCCTTCTCTCCACACACCTTCTCTTCAGCATTTGCTTTGCTGGGCTGGAAAGAGTGGGGAACGTTTGTGGGAGGAGCCTTTAGAGCTTTTCTTAACCTGCAACGGACTATTTGCCCTTTTTTGTTTGGCAACAAACTCGGTGGGGCCATCTATTGGGTAGCCCCGGTATATTTCCTTTTTTCTTTTACTCACCATTCTGTTATCGTAAGGGGGAGTTACCCTAAGTCTGACAGTGGTTTAAGTGGCCATTTCCAGAAGATAGTGTGTTTATTTGATTTGGAAAATACTGCGAAACCTGCCGTCTAGCTCAGAACCGGAAAGTGGTCGGGGGCTATTTGCACACTGGCGCCACCATTTTTTAACTCGAGCGAGATAGAGGGAATAGTTGCGACAAGTTTTGTGCCGTATGTCGGTTTAGCATGGCGCCGTTGCCAGGCTGGGACCGTTGCAATCTTTCCCCGCGACGCAGGTGTCGGCTGCGGAGCCCCCGATGGGAGGAACGGCATCGACCATGGCACCTTCCGCTCCCTCGTCTTCACCTTCCCGAACAAAGTGGAGTTCGACTGCGAGAGAGGCTACCGGCTACACTCGCACGACAATCAGCCCGTCGACTCGGACTACGGCATCTACTGTCTGTCCAATGGAGAGTGGAGCGAACCGCCACCCAAGTGCCTCGGTGCGTACGCCATGATGCCATAGCATCGTGACCGAAGTGCAGTTTTTCGGTTAAAATTGTATTGGATGCTTTCTGATACAGTCTTGATTCCTGCATAGTTGCATCGGTGGCCCCGATGCAGCCCCAGGTGGCAGGTTCGAATACCAGCCACCTGCAATCTGTTAAATGCTTATTGCGAAGAATGCGACCAATAAGGTAACCGAGATTTCGGTTGCGTGCCAGGCGATGGTCAAAAGTAATCGCGAGTTCTTCGCTGGAGCGTGCCAGGGGGAATGTCGAAAGGAAAGGTTTTTCGTTCTGGTTTCAGTTTCGTTTCATAGAAAAAAATGTTCCATTCCAGTTCTGCTCCAGGTTGAAAGAAATAATGTCCTTAACGTCGATCCGCAGGGTACCATCCACGCTGACCTGCGTGGATGGTACACCGAGGGCTACTTACTTAAAGTGTACAGTTCTGATTAACGTTCCTTGCGTTCTTCCAAAAATGTTGATACAATAGGTACATTTGTGGTTGTCGGAAGGCCTGCTCCTAATGAATCAAACTATGTCCAGTGGGCCTAGCTCACTTGTCAAATGAAGGTGTGCGCCAGCCTCAGCTTATTTTTTCTCGAGAAACGCTTCGAGGGCATCTTTTGGTTACTCTGGGGACCACAAGATCCCGAAATACGGTAACTTTTCTCTTGAACCAAAATCCGATAAGAAAATGTTTCAGTTTCACTGCCAAAAAAATATTAAATAATGTTTTAATTATGTTTTCGTTTTGCCCAAAAATACTTTTGTTTCTCGTGTTTTTTTGTGTTTTTTTTTTGACAGACTTGTGCCAGGTGTTCTTCGTGGATGTGGCACGTAAAACCTCCAAGTTCGATTGACCCGAGGTCAGCATTGACGTTGCATTGCACCGGCGGTAGTCCTTTCTTTCCTCTTTCTCAGAAGTGCGTGCATAGTGGTTGTCTGCTCGTCCTTAGATAATTTGCGAGCGTGTTGCCCCTTCTCCGTCAATGAGGGATTGGCGGCCAACGGTAAAGGAGGGCGGTACTCTGCCTCCGCCATGGGCTCACTCGTCCCTCCCCGTGCCGCGCAGCCGTGGCGTGTCCGCAGCCGAAGGCGGTGGGCCACGGCCGCGTCGACACGTCGGACGGCTTCAAGTACCAGGCCGTGGCGCAATACGAGTGCGACGGCGGGTACAGGCTGGTGGGGCCCTCGTCGCGGGAATGCCAGGAGAACGCCACTTGGAGTGGAGCCGAACCGGTCTGCGAGGGTGAGTGAGGCACATTCTTAATGGACCCTTCCGGGAAATGTCACGAGGCCTCTCGTCAATCCCATGTTGCGTCGCACGGCGCGGGGAATTGTGCGGCTGTTCCAACATACGCTCGGGCCGGATCGAACGCTTCGCACGCCCCAAAAGGGGCTCTTAACATCGCCCTCACTAGGGTCACAAGGGTTACCCTCACCAGGGGTTACCCTCACGAGGGTCACGAAGATTACACTCATAAGGGTCACGAGAATTAACACTCGCAAGGGTTACACTCATGAGGGTAACGCCACAACGTTACTCTCGTGAGTGTAGTCCTTGTGAGTGTTAATTCTCGTGACCCTTATAAGTGTAATCCTCGTGACCCTTGTGAGGGTCACGAGGGTAACTTCATGGCGTTACCCTCGTGACGTGCGACGTCACACGTATGTATCAAACTTTGTTAATATTCTTGCTAAATTTAACCCTTTAACCACCAAGTTATTTTCAAAAAAAATGTACAAACTTTCTGAAATCTTTTTATTAGCGCATATTTTTTCTTATGTCGTTCTGACTTTGCAAATACATTACTTGATTGGTTTCTGATTGGTATTAACACAAAACTTTTAAAGGAAAAGGTTGATTTTTATGGAAGCTTTTTTCCCGTGCATGTAAGAGTAATAGAATAACACATGCTGAAATGCGCACTATTTATTTGAACATGCGCATTATAACAAAAGATCAAGTGCCTAGATGTTTCTCCGTACTAGTAAAATTATTAGCGCAAGGAACGCCATCATCTCTTTGCGGTCCACCGGTTTCCATGCAGAACCCCGCACTGCGAAATGCAGGACCGCCTAATGGTTTGTCTCTGTCACAATGAGGTCGACAAGGTCCCAATAAAAAAAAACCTCGAACCAGCTGAGAATGTCTTTTTCGTCAGTGGGTTGCCGCAGAATCCCAGGCACTGCTCGAAACGGAAACCTCGGAGGTGTGGGTGGCGGGTTTTCAGTGTTTACACGTTGCCACACTCGAACACCTCCAGCGCGTCGTCTTCTTCATCACTGTGGTCGTCGTCTAAGTCCGTTTCATATTCAAAATCCATGTCTGACTTGCTCTCAGAGACAAACTCGATGTCTTCATCGTCGCTACTGTTCGAACTACCGCAAGAGAGAGCCAGTTTCCGGGGGTCGTCACCGGCATCACTCAAGCGTGCTGCCATTTCTGATCACTGTTGCTAGGCTAGATACGCGCCAAAGGCCAAAACACGCTCTATTTGCGGGACCTCTCCTGCCCTCCAGTGTTGAAAATTGAAACTAAAGCCGATGGACGAACCTTAGTGTTAAGCAAATTTGGGGCGAATCGGGGATTATGAAAAAAACGCCGGCGTACCCCTTTAAAACACATTCTCCGTTAAAAAAAGAAGTGCTATTGCTGGCAACGCTGTAGCCGATTGGTAGCCGATTTATGCGGCCAAATAAATTTGTGGCGACGAGAGGTGTCGCTTTATTACTTTCGCGGCTGGCGAGCGAAGCGCAAACTTGGCTTTTTCATGGGCGGGCGTTGCAGCGAGGCTGCTTAACGAACTGCGTTCCTCTTCCCCTCCTTTCAGAGGTGAAGTGCCCTACGCCAGCCAACCCTCCCGGCGGGCATGTTGTGGTGACGGGCACGTCCATCGGCAGCATCATCATCTTCAAGTGCTTTGCCAACGATTTCACCATGTCGTCTCGGTGCCTCCCCCAGGGGGTCTGGTCACGTGATCCCCCCAAGTGTCCCCCTGATGAGCTGAAACCGGCACCAGGTGACTCAGAGGAAATGCGGCTGCCTAAGTACAGTGGAATCTCGTGAATTCACACTCTCTTAAAGGCCGACGTACACTTCACACTCGTTGCCTGCAGGGATTTCCCTAGACCCCCCTAGGGGGGGCTGAGACCCCCCTACTTTTCCTGGACACCCCCCCCCCCCCTTGAATCTAAAAAAAATTAAAAATAAAATAAAATTCTTTTTTTCAGATTAAGTAGAAAACACCACCTCTCAGGTGTATATATAGAGAAAGGGAAACATACATTACGGGTATGAGCATTTGGTTAATAGACGTCTGTAATTTAGCTAGTGGACTAAAAAAGAAACAGTTTTATATTTTATCTAGCCTCCCCCCCCTGAGCCATTGGGACACTCCCCCTTGTTAGAATCCTGGGGAAACCCCTGGTTGTCTGCTTCCTCCTTTTCTTGATCCTCTCCACTTTTTACTTTGCCCCAACTGGGCTCCCCCTCGCAGCTTAGGAGAGGGGAGTGCTAAAAGAATTATGTTCCCTGCAGAAAACCGAGGTTGTACATCAGCCTTTAAGGGGGAAACACTACCCAGAAAAAAAATTTCGGAAAAAAAAATCGATTTTGACAAATGCCATATTTGCATCTGCCAACATCTAGAGAGTATACCCAGAAAGTTTCAATTGTTTGCAATGCATAGTTATTTTTTATAGACTATTTTTAGTCCATCGATGCTGAAGAAAAGGTAGAGGCTCGAGCACTTTGAACGCGTTTTGCTCCGTTCCTTTTTTTTGGCCTAAATTTCACTTAATAAATCTATCGTTTTACTATGAAACTATTGAGAGACTTAATTTTTACGGCTTATATACCGGTTACTGTGAGCTTGGAATTTTGCATTTTCATGTTCCTTTATTATGAAAAATTGTAATTTGCAAAACTTGTTAAAATTTTATATTTTTTTAAATTTCTTTTTATAGTAATCGGAAACAGATATTCCAGTATGCATTCCACCAGAAAAATATGTGGTTATCAACTCCATTTTTCAACGATTGGTTCATTGAGAAGATTCTATGCAAAGCTATGCTTTGCTTTGTTGTGGGGTGTTCACAGGGCTGTAACTTCGCGTGTCCTCCGTCCATATGGCTAGAAACACCACCTGCAAATACCGTGCCGATTGAGTGAGTGGTTCAAAAATTGACATTCCCTGGTAGTGTCCCCCCTTAATTGAAACTCTCAGATAATTCAAACTAACATGCAGGTCCCCTCCTGTGCGTCTCTATGGGAGAAAACTTCCTTTAATGCAAACAAGGATTTGGTCCCCGTCAGACTCAAATTAACGAGGTCTCTCTGTAACTTAGCTGAGTTGCATCGTAGAGGCCGATTCACACGTTTGCATGTGCGACGAGAGAGCACAGTGGTGCCACCTGTCGGGTAACCCTGGAACAGTTCAGATTTGCGTATATATTCTTACGTTTTTCTGTGCACCATTTTTTCGTCTTGGGCTTTAACTAATTCTTAGAGTGTTATTAAGCGAGTGGTTCTCGTACATGGCTATGGATCTCGCGTACACTGCAAAACATTCCATCTAGTCATGCGCAGTTATGGGACTAGCCGGCAGACGATGCTGGCGCAGTTGTGAGGGAACGCAATGTGGTCAAGCGCTCTCAAACACAAATGTGGGAGTATGCCTTAAGATGTCGTATTAAGATCGGGGAGAAACTTTAGCGGTTCTGCATAACTGAAATAATACTTAAAAAACAAGCGAGCTGGTGATGATTCATGGTAATAAAACCCGAGACTCAGGAACACAGAAGGGGACGAACACAACACAACGTCTCAACTCACGAGTATTGAGACGTTGTGTTGTGTTCGTCCCCTTCTGTGTTCCTGAGTCTCGGGTTTTATTACCATGGTTCTGCATACTTTGTTCTTGTCGCTCCAACTTTGCACTCGATTCCGCCGTTACTCTACTTTCCTCCATGCCAGGGAGTTGTTCCGCCGAGTTTGTGGGCATCCTAAGAACTTCTTTCAAGGGGGGGGAAAAACCCTATTTCTCTAAAAAAGGATAAGGGAAGATAACAAAAATTGCAGGGGGGGGGAGCAGAAGTATTGTTGTGGCAAGCCTCAATTGGCCAAACGGATACTACAATGTTTTAGTAGGATCGTAGTCGTTGGTCGTATTGTCCCGCTTCTTCCCACAGAAATAAGAGTAACGTCTTTGGGCTGTAAACTTTGACGGTGTTGGTTTCACAAACGTGCTGCGAGCTTCTGCCGTGCTTGTCCGGCTCGTTACACGTACCATCAAGCTTGCCGTTCCCATTTGATCATTTTATAGTCGAGGCGTCACGAGTAGGAACTGCAGTGCCCCAGCCACACTGCTCTTACATTGCACAAGAAAACGCTGTCTTTGCTGCAGGCACGAGCATTTTTGAAGTGCTTCTGGTTTATACATACGTGTGCACATCTGCAGACAGTTTCTGTTTGACCAATGGGACGGGAGAGTCATAGAAGGAACCTCGGACGGTCTCTGGAGACTGTCTTTTGTACAATGTACTGCCAGCGTGACTCTGGCCTAAGAGTATGCCACCGAAATGTCTCTTCGTCGACGCCCTTGGAATCTCGAGCCCACGATTAACATCCTTACGTTGTACCGGACTGCGCAGGCTGTTGACCATCTGATTTAGCTCGCTGAATTTTTTGCGTTTCGTTGCAGCGACCCCAACGAGCACCAGCACGACGCCTAAAACAACCGCGACGACGGTGGCACCAACACGTAAGTGTCTGGCTCGCTCGTGGGCAAGTCGAGATCGCTTTCACGCGACGCAGCGTCTGCGTTACTGATGACGGTGCAAAATTTTCGGAATGAAGGGCGCGAATTTATTGGGTTAATTACTATATTCCGTTTCACGATAACTTGGCAAACTGCGGAGGCTGCAGCCCCCGCAACCCAATATAAGCTCCGGAGCAAGGCGCGAGATAACACTCCACGGTTGAGGCCGGTGGGTACTTCGTTACCACCATGGCAACAGCGCCGTCCGCGACAAAAAGCAATATTAGGCTTCTTTTTTTTTTTGACAGCAATTGAACTCGCGCGATTCTCTCTCTGAATAATGAATAAATATTCACAAATTTATTGGTTTGCAGTGGCTGTAGCCCCCACACTTCGCCTAGTTAGTATCGTGAAACGGAGTATAGTATATGCTTTTACATACGCACTTGTTACGTCTATCTATATTGCACCACATCCAAGGTTGGACAAAATTATTGTATGGTTTTCTACTTGTCTAAAACAACTTCAAAACATGTTTATGGTGCCAGCAGCACATGAAGAAAGGATACAGACATGGCAGACACATCTCTGGTCTGTTTACGCACGTTCCAGTTTATGAATTTAGAAGAGCGACTCTTGAATTTTTTTGAAAATTGACTCACCCTTCTAACTCGTGCACGACTGCGTTCCCCTTCTACATCAGCCTCCTCCAAAACAAGAAGCGCAGAAGCAGTTTTTTTTTTATACATACCCCGTTTAACAAACTGTCCCACACGTCAACTTTGCATCTGGCGCGCTTGGTCGCCCGTGCCGCTTGTCGAGAAGTCTCCACTTCCTCGAGCCTCCACTGGTCACCTGACCAACTCTTCCCATTTCCCCTCCCTCTCTTTTTTGCTTCAACTCCCCCCCCTCACATGCAACTGCAGACTGCATCCCGCTTTCGGGTCCCACCAACGGAAAGCTGTTCAGTGCCGAAGGATTCGGGGTGAACTCGTCGGTGATCTTCATCTGCAACGAGGGGTACGTGATGCGAGGCCCTTCCAACGTGACCTGCAAGCCTGGCGGCGTCTGGGACCCCCCCGTGGCCCCCACGTGTGAGCGGCCCTCTGCCTTTAGCTTCAATGCCTGCGCATGCTAGCCATCGTGCCCCGTCGGGCATGTGGCAGCCGAGAAAATTGTCTTTCCGGATTTCCTGGTCGAGCGGAGTGCGATCGAATGTTTGATCTAGAATCATTACACTTTGTTCCTCCTTACAATGGACCGCAGCGGACACCACGAGAGATCACGGCCAATCGAGTTTTGCGTTTCTGTGTGCCCGACGGTTTGCCACTCCCTTTACGAACATCGTGCGACACTCTCGCGGCATCGGATTGGCACTGATGGCTCGTAGCATTCGCCGTCGTCCATCGTAAGGTGACACGTGGAAGAGATTCGTTCTCAGGGAGTTGCATTCCTTTTGTCTTTGGTAACAATTTTTTAATTTGCATTTTTTTTTTAGGTTGGGGGGGAAATCGCCATTTTGGGTACTGGAATTTTGAACCCACTCTGAAATGTCTAGGTCGTCGTGACGCGACATCACGCTCTAAGCATTTCTCGTTGTTGTCGGCACCTCTGGATCTGTACACGCAGTCGGCTGCGTAACCTTTCTTATCTGCATTGATCTCCTAAATTAATGTTGTCCTTCATTCCTCTCATCGCAAAAATGAATCTTAAAGGGGCCCTAACAACCTTTTAACTGGTTTTTAATTTGCGCCGAACCTGATTGCACTGATTGTAGTAACTTAGTGAAACTTTTCTTTTCTCGAAATTCGATTTATTTTAAAAGTTCCAGGCCAACTAAAATTACAAAAACAAGCAAAAAAATAACCTCCTTCATGACGTCCCTGGTCCTGGCTTGGGCGGCATATGAAAAAAGCGAAGCGACTGGCCAATTGGCTGCAGCTTAACATTGATGGCCGGTTCCCCTGCAGCCGGATGTGTTTCAACAGCTCGTTGCTTGCTTTAGGCCTCCACCACACTTGCGGGCATGAATTCATTGGGTCTGTCTCAGTTGAAGCTTCGAATCCTCGATAGATATGCGGAGCTTGGAGTTGTACCGTACGAGGACACTCCTCGTAAGCGTCCGGAGCGCTCTGGTGAAGCCTCTCGGCCCCATCTCAATGACGCTCAAGTTTCAGGCAAGTTCGGGCGGGTCTCTTGTGGTATCACGAGGAGACATATTCATGCCTTCGCTTCTTGCAAAATGTATCGCCGGCATCATGTGTCGTCTGCTAGAATATGCAGGGTGTGACCTCGGAGATCTTGAAGAGAGCGCATTTCGAAATCATGCGCAGAGGCATCTGTATTGCCTCTTCCATCGCTTGGTGGCGGGTATGCCGAGAAGTCACCGGGGATTGTTTCTTTTTTTTCCGTACTTTCTAAACTGCGTTTTTGTTTCGTCATCTAAAATACTCAACAAAAGCTTCTTTCATAAATAATTGAAACTGTTTGTGCCACTTATATTTTGTATTTCGACTAAAAAAGGAAGCTGACCAGTCGTAAGGCGGGAGTTGACCGGGACAGACGACGTCACAAATTTGTCGTATGCCGTGCACGTTCGGCACCACAGAAACCATTTCCCCCTAGGAGGAAAAGGTTTCCGCGTCGTATGATTAAAATATGACTCGCTCATATTTAGTGACTCTCTCGGTGCCCGCAGGGTTGCCCGAACCACAAGAGATGGGGAGACTGCAAAAAGGTAGACGCTTAAATAGGATGGCAGGGCCCCTTTAAATGCCGCCACCACCGCCACTATTCGGCGCTGCGAGCGGCGGCATCTAGTGGAGGCACGGCAAACCCGTGCACTCATTTCCCCGGCTTTTGTTCATTTGGCAAACTGCCCTTTGTTCGAAGACAAACGGAAAAGCTTTTTCGTAGTTCTGTCGGAGATCAATGCAGAGCGCAAGTTTGTCTGCTTTTGTTCTAGGGGTTGTGGTGATGTCAGAACGCCGAGCTCTGAATGAAGAATAGCGAGTAGACCTTAAAGGAGCTGTGCAACGATATTCAATTGGAATGTTTTTCTCTCTACACGAGCTTACTGGCACACCTGGGACTCACGGATACTCACACGCAACTCCATTGGCCAAGAAACTCCTTTGTTGCGGTGTAATTTCAAGGACAAAAGCGATCATTTTCATTCAATCTCTCCTTTGCAAAATTTGGTGACGTAACTCGGGGATCGCAGTACACCCAAGTGACGATATTTGAATGCGGTTCATAGATTGGACCCGAGTATTGCGTGGGCACTCGACTTGGGCTCGTGACAATTGCTAGCTCGAGAAGCATTCGGGTTGTGACCCGTGTCCAATCGCTGCAACGACGACAACAGCCGAGCCATAACAATGTCTGGAACTCAGCGCGTGTCCTGCGCTTTGCCAACCCCTGCGCGTGGCTATGATAAACACTGGCGGCATATAATCGGCTCCAGATCACGTGGCCGCTTGTTCTGGCTGCGAGTTGAGGGAGTGAACGCTGCTCGTTTTTCTTTAATTTTTTTTCTGGGACTTCTATTGCGTGGGGTGAAAAACGAACGCGTGTTTCATAGGTCATTAACGTTGGGGATCCGTTTTAAGCCGTATTTGCGCAAAGTACAAAAATTGTTGCATTGCTCCTTTAAGGCAGCCTGGTTTGAGCTCTACCCACTATCCTTTAATCGGAGCCAATCGGAGCTCGGCATTCTGATGTCACCACAACCCCTGGAACAGAAGCAGACGAACTTGCGCTCTGCATAAAGAATTATTGAAGCCTGGGTGCAGTGTGCACGTGTAAGGATTTGTATTTTTACTTTTAATCGAGGCAAGTGCACGCTTTGATATTTTTGAAAAATAAATGCGACACTCAACCACACCTTCATGCTGAAGTACGGCGTCGGAGTGTGCAAAACTGGTGTTTTACACTTATTCAAAGCGGCTTAAGGCTGGTTTACAAACTTGTGACTGCTTACAACCGAGTGCCTTACAACGTCTTGTGATCTCTCAAGGGACTGGCGCCATCTATCGGGTAGCCGTGGAACACTTGCCATTTTGGGATACAGTCGCCGACAGATTTTTTGGATTTTGCAGGGAGTGAAAAAACATCAGAATAATAGAGCAGTCTGAAAAATCGGCAGATTAAAAAACTTGCCTTTATTACGTCTAAGCGGGCTTAAAAAAAGCTGTCAATAGCGCTTTGGTTCAGGTTACGCCTCTGCTTGCATTCGGCCACTTTCTATTAGCTTGAGAATCGCAGCCTTGTTTTCTAGCGTTATGGTCAATTATTTTTTGCACTTTTTGCTGACATTTCACGACAGCGGGAGAACAGGTGGGGCAATGACGTCCGAGGCAGCGTAGTCCGAAAACACGATTCACAGAGACGAGAGGCACAAGTCCACAACTGCAGAATGGCGAATGAACGAAGCAAAACAAAATGGTAACAATGATGATGATAATGACGCTCAGCTAGAGAAAAAGAAAACGCAGCATAGCGTCACCTAGTGGTAGGACTTAGCAGCACTCAACTAGCGTTGCCAAACCAAGCCAATCCACGCGCAGCCAACATGGAATCTAAAATGGCGGCTTCTCGGTGGCGTTCCCCGCTGATCACTTGCTACGATTTTGTCCCGAAAATCTAACTTTCACACTTTTCATCTGTCCGAAAAATTGGTCGTGAATATGCATTATTTCTATCGGGTAAGTCACGGTTCCTCCTTTTGGTTCGAAATATTGAACATGTCCGAATTATTGGCGTCTAAAAAACCGATCGGCGACTCTATTTTAATTGATTTCGTTTATCATTTTTTATTGGCTCGAAGAACTTGTGACAATGTTCTCAACTACCGTTTCTCTCAGATAGTATGTATGTTTTATCTCGTAAATACAGAAAAACATTCATTCTATTGAAATGCAGTCCCAGGGCCACATCACAGATGGCGCCAGTGTGCCAGTGGGTTTTCTCCTAAGAGATGGCAAGAACTCGGTTGTAGGCAAATGCAAGTGTGTGAACGAGCCTTTAGATTCATTTAGCCCTCGCGATACGAGATCCGTTTCGTGACAGCCCCCCCGCGTTGGCAAAAGAGTTCCTTCGCAATTTCCCCGTCGGCTCTCCAGGCTTTGCCCCGCCGCCCTGGCTGATCATCCTGAGCGTGTGCCTGGCCGGGCTGGCAACGCTGGTGCTCTGCTGCCTGGGTCTCTTCTACATCCTGAAGCGGCGGCGGCGCAAGAGTCCGCCGGCCCAGGGCTACAGGCGCCAGATACGCAAGCCGGGCCCCTACGACGCTTGCACGAGGGACGAGGTGACCCACCTGGGCAAGCCGTTCCCAGTCACCAGCCTATGATTGGCTCTGGCTTGCAAGAGGGACGATGGTCGTTCTACGCGGAGACCCTCGCGGCTTCGGCAGATCGGCACCTCAGCCCCGGAACGAAAGATCCCGTACGTTTGCTCTCCAGAGACCCTGTGGAGCATCTGATGGAGTCCCCGCAGGAGCCAGCTCGCCGATTGCTTCCTTACAGCTTCTGTCCGGGAAGCTCGGAAGCACCTTGGTTTTAGTCCGCTTGCATCGAGGTTCTGCTAAGTCTCGCTTCTCGGCATGTTTGGTTTCGTCTTGGGGGAGCCCTCTTGGGGCTTCCGGGTTTCGAGGAAGTGGCTTGCTGCAAAAGCTGGCTTACAAACCGGTACGGGGCAGGGGACTTGATCTGAAATGACCGACCGCCTGTGTTCGAGTGTTCAAGTGCCGCGGCATTGCTCTGACGACGTAACCTTGGAAAGAAGGGGACAAGCTGGGTTTGGGACGTGTCGGAGTCCCACGAAGGCTGGCACCTGAAGCGGTCTTCGTTGGCGGCGGACACCTTGGTTCCAGGAGGTAGGTGTCGGCGTGCCAAAGGGGACATGTCGAGCGACCTCGTAGGAGGTGTTGCCGAGAAGGCACTGCAGCCACCCAGACGACGATGGTCGATTGCGGCGTGGAATTCGTAGAGGCATTTGATTCCCTAGGAACTACGTCAAAGGTCAAGGCTTGTAGGTAAACTGCTTCGGCTGAGACGTTGTATAGTTTGGGTGTATTTTTTTATGCACCGCAGAGTTTGAGAGGGACGCCATTGAGTCGCTACTGTGGATTATGGTTATTTCCGAGGGAAATGGTCCCAACGCAAGAGTCAATCGTTTTTTCATTTTTCAGCAATTTGCGAATGAATTTAATGTGCACACCCCTCTTTAAAGTGCCGGGTGTATTTGACAAAATGCGAGTATCCGAGTGAGAGTGTTGGTCGAACGAATTGAGCTTATTTTATGAGAGGTACGCTCGGCCTGAATTAATTTCTTTAGGGAAGGAAACGCGAGTGGTGGTTATGTTTTGTTAGAAGTTGTTTTGGCTGTTACGGTTGAGACCGTAGAAGTTCTGGTACGAATTGCTTCACTTCTGTGTCGCGGCTTAGAAGGATGGAGGTTGAAGTTTACTGTGACATCGAGACTCGGTTAGTTTTGGACTGCATTTATTTTTTGTGCCTTGCTGGCTGACAAGGCAGTGCGTTCATTCTAATGCGTTGAACGAGTATATTTTGTTACTGGTTGGAGTACAATCCATTTCCTTTTTTGGAAGTGAAACGACCTGCTTTGTTGCTTACCCTACTACGGGCTTGCCAAATGACGACCCTTAACAGTGCAATTTCAGATTCTGGAACCTCACGACGTCTAGTTTTTGATGTCTGTTTTGTTTTCGTCGCTTGATTCACGTGCCGTTTTCGATGTCCAGCTTGACTGCCCGTCCTATGCTTGTGCCTTGTCTGGAGGAGACCTCCGGTATCTGTCTACTCAGTCTGTGTGCCTTGCTAGTTTTGTACTTTCCCATCAGATGCGAGGCAGGCTCTGGCCTTTCCCTGCTTCAAAACCACTTCCAAAGCATCGCAGCAATGGTGTTCAGCGTGGCAGACTGACTTTTTTCCCCGACATTTCCGCCGATTTGCTGCGGAGACGATCGTCGCATCGTGTGACATTATGGAGGACAACCAATTAACCAACCACCTGAATCACCATCTGCAGCAATTCCTCGCCTTGTTCGTTACCGGCTTTCTCTGTTCCATCGATTTGTAGAGAGGTTTTCTGGCTAGGATTGCAAGAAATTTCCTTCAGTCTTACTAATATGCCATTTGTAAGGCCCAATGAACTGTAATCACAGTTGCAATCACTTGCAAGGGCATGCCTGTTTAAACTGTTGTCTGTATAACTAAGAGCCGTCTTTTTGTTTTGGCTGCTTGCCTCGTTGAAGCTTTAAGTCGTACATACCTTCGTACCTCCGGAGCTGAATTGTTCCGACACTTTGAGTTGACGGGTTGTTTTGTGGAATACACTCAGACTTGGAACTCTGAGGGGCATTACGTGCGTGGCACAGCCATCTGCAAGAGCTTTGCTGTTTATAAACAGATATTGGACGCCGTCGCATATTTCGAAACATCTTATTATTTGTTTTTGCACTGCATTTATTTTTTAAAGGCTGCACAGTTGACACCACTTTGAGCCATGAAGTACAGTGCTAATTACACTTGGCTGTAATGCGGCAGTGTGCAAAGTTCTTCGGCGAGTGCTAGACTGATTGCACTTGCGACAACTAATCTACAGGGTGTCTCAAATGGCGGCCGGGCTTTTTAAATCGATTGCAAAAATCGGTTTCTTCACCTATAGCGCCACGATTTTGTGTAGTGTTGCCCACATTGACTTAAAACGAAAGAAACACGTGGTGCATTTTTCTATAAAATTTGCAAAGAGCGAACTTACATGAGAAAAAGGTAAAAAAAGAAAAAGGCTTAGCTCCTATGGAAACGCAGCGAAGCCACCGGTCTTCAAACAATAGAGCGTCCTTTTGTTTGAAGACCGGTGGTTTCACTGCGTTTCCATAGGAGTTAAGCTTTTTTCTTTTTCTACTTTTTCCTCGGGCAAGTTCGCTCTTTGCAAATTTTATATTGAAAGAAATGTACCACATGTGGGCAACTCTGCACAAAATCGTAGTGCGATAGGTTAAGAAACCGATTTTTGCGGTCAATTTAAAGAGCCCGGCCGCTATTTGAGACACCCTGTAGTCACGTGGGTAACATGGAACGGTCTGCTCGAATATAGCTCGAGGGTTGTCCTGCCTACTCGATGTGGGCTGCCACTGAATGTGTGGAAGGCTGCTTGCGTGCTTTTCACAAACGCCGCCTAGTTAAAAGTACCCATTGGGTCCAATTGGCTTTTCCACTTGGTATCATTTGGCGTAACCATTTGTGTTTTCAGACTTGCAATTGCAGAAATACCAATTGGTATTTGCCCAATTGGAGAAATACCCATTGGCATTTATTTTAAATTGGAACCTTAACCAATTGATACTATTGCAGTTGGAACTGTAACATTAGTATTTTTCCAATTGGAAGTGTAACAAGTTGTGTTTTGGAACTTGCAAACTCGAAAATACAAAATGAGCTCGTTTGCTTGGTCCCTTTACTACCATTCAACGGCATAGTCATAAGAACGAGCACTTGAAGCTTAATGGGACATTCATTGTATGTCCCACTAAGTTAAGTATATGACAAGTGAAAGCTTTTTTTTTTACTAGCAGGATATCTAAATATTACAAATTGAATGATGAAGCCAACATTTTGCAAAACTTGGATGCAGTTGATGACAGGATAGCCATCTCGTACATGCACAGCTCTGCCTCCTGCATGTCGAACACGTGTACCAGTTAAGTTTGCGTATCTAAGAAGCATTGTGTAAAAATGTAACAATGTCTATAGTCGGTGACAGGTCAAGAACGAAGTGGGAGCTTATCCCACCCCTTTGCACTTTAGTAGAGCGAATGCTGGAGAGGAGGCGACCTCCCCTCCAGCGTTCGCTCCATTGTAGTGGAAAGGGATGGGAGGAGCTTCCGCTTCGTTTTTAACGTGTCACCGACTATAGACCTACAACACACATGGCTCACATAAGGTGAAAGCTGTATGATGCTCGACGCGTCATTAAAGGGGCAGTACAACAGGCCTTGTACTTTCCGTAAATACCGCTTGGGATTTTTCATTGTCAATTCACAACCGAAGAAAACATGCATTAATTTTTCACTCCACGCAATGACATGCAGTCAGAGAAGAAGAAAATACTAGCAGAGTTTACCTCGATCCTAAACTTGCAGACAGCAAGTGACCACGCGATCTGAAACTGGTTACGTGCCACCAATGTTTATTGTATCCACGCGCTGGGGTGGGCAAAGCACAAGGTATGCAATGAATTCCACAGGTCGCTAAAGTCCATCTACTGTCGTTGCAGCGACTGAGCTCGAGCCACTATATATTTGATTGCATGTCGAGGTATTGATTGTCTTGAGCTCAAATGGAATGCTTATGCTGTACTCGTGTCCACTGTATGAGCCGAGAGACACTCACTTGATCGAATGACGTTTTAGCGAACGCCTACGTTTATCCGAATGACACTTTAGCGAATAGTTGGATGCCGCGAAGCGGCGTTTTCGGGTGGGCCAAATGGGTTCACATTTTTGTAATGAGCAGCCGCAGACTCTCGCCGGCAAAGCGGCGCAAGCGCAGCGCGGCGGATGGGTTAACGCGCGCCCCCGTTATTCACTAAAACGTCGATTCGCTCAAATGTCGCTATTCGCTAAAACGTCATTCGCTCATGTGATATGGACCCGTATGAGCGACACTTAAATATTGCTACCATGGGTATTGCAAAGCTTGATGGCGAAATCTTGGGGATTGCTTTCTTGGCAATGACGACAACACTATCCCCGCAACTTTTTCATCAAGTTCTACAAAGTAGAGAATGAAAAGACGCATTCGGCTTTTATTACTTAGATTTTGCGGCAAAAAAGAATCTTTTTGATCAGTGGCATTGCGTGCGAGTATTTCGGGTCCCACTGATGCGATAGTCAAGTCGTCAAGTGACAGGTTAACAAAAGTATTGGAGGGAAAGGTTGGCTGGGGAGGAGGAAGGAAACGGAATGCGAGCCGCTCCGGTCCCACTACCCCGTATCCTAGTACATTGTACCATCGCCATGTGTGTGCTTCTTCGCGGCCGCCATCTTTGCCCAATGTGCACATTGCAGAGTGCCACAGATGCTTCCAACGATTTCCACCGATTTTAACAAAAAAAAAATATTCGCGATATTTGAGAAATTACAACACGATACCGAACGAAAAAAGAAAATCCTGACATTTTCCATTTTTATGCACAAATTGTCTTTGTCTTAAAATTTATCCTTATTTTAAATTTAAAAAAAAAAGTACCCAAAATGTTTTCCTACAACAATTTTTTAACTGCCACGTTTAGATTTCTCAACATTTAGAGAGTATTCCCAGAAAGTTTAGTTTGTTTAAACTGCAGAGTTATTTTTTAATGTTATTTTGCGTCCACCAATGGTGGATAGCGCCATTTTGAGAGCGACAGAGAAAGGGGGAAAGGGTGTTGGCTACCGGCGCTTTCCCCCTTGCTGGAGCGTTAGAAAGAGTGAAAGTCCCGGATGAGAGGCTTCGCCGGTTGTGCATTGCCCGAACTTCGTTCGCGCTTCTCTGTTTTAAACTCCCCAACTGCACTAGAGCCACGGGCTTCGATGGCGACCGACAGTCCCCCGGTCATCGGGACAGCAATAACGACAGAAAGCATCAAATAGTGTCTGAGGCAGGGCCGTAACCAGGGGGGGGGGGGGGGGGGGGGGGGGGGGGGGCGGGCGTTAGGGGGTTCTGACCAACACCTCCTAGTCTAGGAGGTGTTGGTTCTGACCCCCCCCCCCCCCCCCCCCCCCCCGAAATTTTTTTCTGGGTACGGGCCTGGCCGGTGCTCTGGCAGTCAGCCGATTTTAATCTCCACCTCTGCGCACGCGCAGTGGCGCCGGTCGGCTACCGGGTACCAAACCGGGACCGGTTCTCCGGTTTGCTGTAACTCTCCATTATATTCCACCGATGCACATGATTCATAGGCGAAAATAAGACAATAGACACTTTCAAAACGGCCGCCGTTGTCCCCGAACCCCCCCCCCCCCCCCCCCCCCCCCCCGAAATTTTTTTTTCTGGGTACGGCCCTGGTCTGAGGACATAGCTTTTTGCACGGAACCCGGCAAGGGGAGTGCGGCTGTTTCCACATGACCCCGATCTCCGGCGACGTCCGTAAACCGAAAAGGCTGTGCTCGGAACATTTTGTGAATGGAGCGCGAACCAAACGCTGTACCGCCGATGAACATGGGGTACGCTCGCAAGGTGCGTGCAAGTTTTCTCGTGTTCTTGATATTTTGAAGTGTTGACAATGACTCAATTTGATTAACTACAGCACTTAGTTGAAGGCTCATTTCCGCTGCCAGGTGTGGCTGGAAATTGTCGAAAAGGTAGTTCTATCGGTTTTCCTGAATCGCGATCTCATGCGTGATGCACTGATACCAGAGAACCGTGAAGCTATGTTTACCGTCACAACGCGACTAGATTCTTATTATTTTCAATATTAGTACATAATGTAGCTGGAAAGAAACTTTCAGTTTCTGTTGGTGAAAATGTAAACATGCTCATGCATCGATTTCGAATCGCTGAATCATTGATCGACTCGCTCCGGCAATAGGCCCATATCTCGACTTTGCTGTTTTTAGTTCTCGACAAAAGACACTCGTCCGCACAATTTCCTCAAATAATACTTTTATAAGCACCGATGCCTGAGCATGTTTCAACGTTTATAAACATCGATGCATGAGCATGTTTCAACTTTCAGCAACAGAAATTGAAGGTTTCTCCTGCTGCATTATGTACTAATTTTGAGAATTTAGTCGCGTTGTGACGGTCAACATAGGTTCACGGATCTCTGGTGTCGCGCAGGAGATAGCGATTCAGGCAAAGCGATAGAACCAACTTTTCGACGATGTCCAGCCACACCCGGCGGCAGAAATGAACCTTCAACTAAGTGCTGTAGATGATAAAATCGAGTCAGTCACCACTTCAAAATATCAATGTTAAAATTGATTCAGTTACAAAAAGTTATAAGCTGAAACAGCAATTACAAGGAGAAAACTTGCACGCACCTTGCGAGCGTACCCCATGTTCATCGACGGTACAGCGTTAATTAAAAACGTTCCGAGCGCAGTCGAGAGGGTGGCGTTGGGGAAAAGTCTTTTCCGTTTACGGACGCAACCCACTGCCGCCGGAGGTCGGGGTCATGTGGAAAGCGATGGAGCTCAAAGACATTGCAGCCGCTCTCGCCTTGTCGGATTCCGTGCACCCTATAACCGAACAATGGTATCCCGATGACCGGGGGGACTATCGCCATCCAAGCCCGTGGCTCTAATTACGTTTGGGAGTTTAAAACGGAGAAGAAAGCGCGAACGAAGTTCGGGCAATGCATACACCCAACACCGGCGAAGCCTCTCATCCGGGACTTCTTCCACTCTTGGTAACGCTCCAGCAAGGGGGGAAAGTGCCGGTAGCCCTTTTTCCTTTCCTCTCTCTCCCTCTTTCAGTTAAACAGTCAATAGAAAAGGTCGAGGCTCGAGCACTTTGAGCGGGTTTTCCTCCGGTCCACTTTTTTGCATAAATTTCACTTTAGGAAAACTATCGTTTGATAACGGCGCAAAAGGAAAGACCCAGTCATTGTTTTTCCTCTGGAATTTAATGGGCAATGCAACTGCGACCTTGTTTTTCTACTTTGTGAATGTCCTTTATAAAGGATGTTGAGATTTTGTCGACTGCATAAAAGAAAAAAAAAATCTGCGATTTCTCAACGCGATGTTAGCATAAAATAAATTGCTTGGAAAATTTTGTTTCAACACTTGCACACTCCAGGTATTCTGCTGCATATCTATGAAGAAATATTTTGGATATTATATTAGTTTTCTAACGATAGTTCTCTTAAACAATGTCAGTATGTTCCATAAAAAACCACTGCGTTACATTCTTTTTTACTGCATTCTGCCTCGTAGCTTCCAGTACATGCATACTGTAAATTTTATTCATATTAGGCCAAAGGTTCAAAAGTTGACGCTTTTGGGTATTTCCCTATTAATTAAAATGCACAATGATTGGTTTAAATTCCAATAATATTATTTACCATTTAGAAGTTGTTTATTTCAACAGATATTGAAATTGTTAATACTCAAATCGCATACCAATTGGGAACTACCATTCCAATGGGGATCTCCAGATGCCAAATGCAAACATTCCATTTGGGATAACCAAGTGGAAAAAGGCACCCCAATTGGAATCGCTGAATGTGATACCAATTGAAAACAACTATTTCCACTGGGGCAATCAGTTGGAAACATGCATTCCAATTGGAACGGCCAGTTGGTGGGTTAGGTTCCAATGGGAAATCCCAATTCTAAATGGAATGATCAATTGGGGTGGAGGTCTGCCAGATTCCAATTGGCCCCAAAGGGTATTTACGCAGGGCGCTAGCAATAGAAAATAAAATAAAGTATGATAACTTATCAACGTCATCATCGTGAAAATCATCGTGCGCGGAGAAGCGAGCTGTTGATACGGCTATGATAGTTCACAGCCAATATGAGAGCAGCCTCCCGCGGTCGTCCAATGGACAGCTTAGGACACCTTTCGAACGTACCGCTCCATG